TACTCTTCTGGTGAAGGATGTTCGCTCGCTCCAAGCGATACCTATCTCGTTCATGATCTCGAACACGGAATCACAGTACGTCAACGCGAATGGAGATGCATAAAAGACAATGTTAGGTATAAAGACTGACAGCGACTGCATAACCACAGGTATCCGATCATCGCATGGCTCTCGTGGCTGAAGAGGGAGTGCAACCTCCGGATGGAAAGGTTCATGGTGGACTGTGCTAAGACCGAACATCAAGCAATCAGAAGCGCATTCCCGTGCGCCTCTATTTACTTGTGCCTCTTTCATGTCGCGAAACTATGGGAGGAGAAACTTCGGACAAGCACTTCCGTAAGGATAGAAAATACTAGGGAGGGCATACAGTCATATCTCTCAAACCATTAACACGACTCTTTTCCGCGCAATTCTAGATAGCAAATGCAAAACAAATGCGTCCGCTACTGCGAAAAATACGCGAAGCAAAAACCGAGGCTGATCTTGAAGAGCAATGGGAGCAGTTTAAAGAGCGGTTTCAGAATGCTGATGTACTCATTAAATACATGGAGAAGCAATGGATCAACAAGGAAAGCATGCGCCGATGGGCACCTCTCTATCGTTCAGTAAGTAATTGAGATCTCAGCTTTCTGATCGCCTTGCGCAATAGGTTTGGGTCTGGGTATGTGATTGAGTAGACAAAGACTGAGATTCTATCATTTGGCAACGGTGCTCTTAAATAGCTGTGTGTAACAAGACGAAGGAAGTGAAAAAGAGAACTAACTTTAATAATAATTACTATACACAAATACATATACATATACACATATACTATAACTACAAATCAAAGTCATTAACATACACTATCTCATTAAATGGCCTGGTCTACGATATGTAACTGGTCTTATTCTAGTCAATTTGTTAACGTTGAAGCACTTTATTCATTTGAAATAGCACCATCAACATATTAACACAAATAACCTTGTGGAGCGATGGCATCGAAACCTCAAGCAAAACTTTCTGGCGGGAAAGCGCAACCTGCGAGCCGACGAACTCATCTACATCCTGCTAGGTGTGGTGGAAAGCCAGTACCGCACCACATACTTCAAGATCACAAGCGGCCTTCAACCCCGTCGCCTAACATTCCACGAGGAGGCACGGCGTAAAAAGGCCATCCAAGTTGATTCGGCTCGGGCGAGAACATTGATCGACATTACTAAGTCTGTGGAAGGCTTGATCTCTGTGCTGTCGTTTCAGACCCCGCCTGAGGCGCAATATGCTATCGATATATTGTCGGACAAATGGCTCCGCTCCTGTTCTTGCCCTGACAACGAAAAACACGGTCTACCGTGTAAGCACATGTTCTTGGTATCGAGGATCTATCCAGGGTTCCAAGTGTGCTTTGACAACAATGCAACTGAGCTTAACGGGACAGTCAATTGACGAGAATGAGGAAACCGTCCTGGAAGAGGATTATGGCCCTCCGTTAGAGGAGTTTCTCTCTCCGAATCTACTTCAACAACTACAAGCAGCACGAGAGGAGGAGGAGCAGCGACTCCAAGCCGTGCGACAACAGGAGATGCAGGAAAAAAGAAGACGGCAGGAGGAGGAAAGGGCTCAAGTGATGTGGGAGTGTGAGGAGACAATTCGCCAGGCTTGGATGGAGCTTGGTCGAGTGGTTCACAATGGCAAGACCAGGAAGTGCACGGAGACTTACTTTGTTTCTGCGGCGGCACTCCTTCAGAAAGCAGTACGCGAGATAAAAGGAATAGATGAAGTTAATGCTGGTTCTCACTGCCAGTAAATTCTCTTAGTGCACATTCATTATTTCCGCACGCGAGAAAACAATAAAACCCAACGCTATTTCGAGCCAATCAGCGAGTTAGTGCGGAAAAGTTCAGACTACCTAGCAGAGGAGGTGACGTCAGTCGTTTCCTCACAGGTCGAGAATACGGTCGTAGGTCTTCCAGGATCGGGTCCACGAAGAACGCAATGACCTGTTTGTTTTGTTTGGTGCAATGGAACAAGAGAGGGCCAAAAATGAGCAGCAAGAGAACAAAGGCTTAAGAGATTTGCGCAACTGAGACGGAGAAGACAGAGGTCGAATGCAAATGTCTGCTTTTAGGGTTTGGCTGCGGTGCTCTTCAACCCGGCGGGTGCGTTTGTTGTTCACTTGCCTTGAAGACGATCATGAGTAATAAGTCCCGTAGTAGAAAGAAGCGGATATAGTGGAATATGGGCTGGCAAAGGCAGATGACGAACAACAAAGCAGTGGTGTGATCGGAGAAGGAAGCTAGACGATCAGAAAAAGGGGAAAAAAAGCAAAGCGTCGGTCGTGCACGGTCGACAAGCATCATGGGCGTCAAACATTTGCTGCGCAATGCATGGTCCCTGAGTACCATCATCTCTCTAGATTGTTTATTATTATTTTACATTTTATTCAGATAATGTTGGCTGGCTCCAAAAACTACGACCGTCGCTCTGATGTTCTCTTGTATTTGCTCTACTCGACGATTCTTGAACCCCTCGACCGTTAAACCCACTCGGCTACATAAGAGAAGCCTTGGAAGTTTGCCTGATCCGTTGCAGTGAGGTGGCTGTGCACAGGTGTTAGCACTGGAATCTCGCGTGTGAACTCCGTGTCAAAGTTAGACGTGTCCGTGGGTCCGCGCACCTTGGGGAAGAAAGGCGGTGGGACCTTCTTCTCCAAAATATCCTGCCAGTTCACGCCTTTGAAGAATGGATGGCGCTTAATCTCCTCCGCATCAGATTTGCCACTTCCAAGTCGCTTTTCTGGGTCGCGTGTCAGGAGCTATTGGGTTATAAAGAAAAAAAAAATGAGTACAACGCTGATTCATATCAACGAAGACTGCTGCTCATAGCGCGTAATCAATTCTTCAATAAAAATACCTTTTGCAGAATGGAGACAGAGTCTCGCGACATGTTGATGGGATACAGGATTTCATCCTCCAGAATGGCCTCAAAGATCTCATCCTCATCATCGCCACGGAACGGAGATTGACCCAACAGCATCTCATAGATCAGCACTCCAAATGCCCACCAGTCAACAGCGCGACCATACTTTTGCTCGCTCAAAATCTCTGGTGCCATGAATTCGGGAGTACCGCAGAAGGTGTTTGTAGTCGAGCCGTAGTACATATCCTCTTTGCAAAGACCATAGTCCGCAATCTTGATATGACCATCCAGGGCCAATAGAATGTTGTCCAGTTTTAAATCACTACAGAAATGAAAAATGGACATAGGCAATTGATTGTTAGAACTATAAATAATTTCGAATACGATTGACATGAATGTAAGATGGCCTCCTTACCGATAAATAATATTATTCTTGTGAAAGTACTCCAAGGCGAGGAGAACCTGGCAGGCATAAAATTTGGCTTGTCTCTCCGAGAACTGCTCGCGCTGAATGTGCAGCATCAAATCTCCTCCGGAAACATAGTCCATGACAAAGTAGATACGCGTTTCGGTTTGGAAGCAAGAATGCAGGCCCACTAGGAAGGGATGGCGCTCCTTGTTGGCCGTTTGGAACACACGCTTCTCAGACCGTGTGCTTGCCACTTCGTCGTGTTCAATGATGAATTCCTTCTTCAGAACCTTGATGGCATACAGCCCCTTTGTAAGTTTGTCCTCTGCCAACATGACCTGTGTGTAGAGTACGACAACGGCACTAAGTGATTAGTTTCACTACTTATCGCTCGTTGCAATTCGCAGGGCCGTCAAGATACCAAATACGAGGCATACCTTTCCAAAGTTTCCTTTGCCCAAAACAGCCAAGAAATTAAAATCGTCCAGTCCGACCTTCCGAGGCTGCAATCCGCCTGATGGCGATGTTTTCTATGATAAGAGATCAAAAGAGTACAGAGATCAGCCAATGCACCGATTCATTCACATTATCCCGACACTTGGGTTCAAGGATAGTCGACCATATATATATGGTCGAGATAAGTAAACGTACTACAATCTGGTTGGTTGCCTGCTGTGCTTGCTGAGGTGGTTGTTGTTGCTGCATGGGTCGCTGTTGCTGTCCGTATGAGGATGGCTGATATTGTTGCTGCTGTTGCTGATACTGCGGGTACTGGTGCTGTTGCTGCTGCTGTTGCTGGACCTGCATTTGGTGCTCCTGTTGGAGACGTTGCTGATGCGCCAGCTCCTGCTGCTGCAGACGCTGCTGATGCTCCTGCTGAAGACGCTGCTGCTGTTCCTGCTGCTGTTCCTGCTGCTGCTGTTGTTGCATCTCATACATCTGCTGTTGCTGCTGTTGCTGCTGTTGCTGTTGCTGCTGCATAACCATCTGCTGCTCAATCTCGTATTGTAGTTGGCCAGGCTCTTCCAGCCCATACTCGTGCTTCAACGAAAGCGAGGAAAGATCGAGAGAACCAGACGAACCATAGCCAGCACCCTGGTCCAGGAAAGAGCCTCCAGCAGAAGAGCCGGAATGAGAAGGCATCTGCAACTTTGGTGGAGGCTGGCGGGGTGACGATGGCTGAGGAAGGTTTTGAAGCACGGATGCAGTTTGCGATTGAGGTGAACCTGGCTGTCTGTACGATCCACGAGAATCGGGCGAACCAGGCTCCATTCTCTGGGAGCCAGGCGGGAAACGACTGTCGACTGGGGATGAATAGCCTGATTCAATTTGCCCGGGTCGCACAGAGTATCTGGAGCCCAAAGTCGAGACAGAGTTCACGCGACTGTCTGTCGTGTGTCGCTTTGCGCGCTTAATCTCCATCAAGATCATGTTGGCCTTTTCCATATCCATTCCACAGAAGTCAGGAACCAAGTGCGAGCAGGTTGCGTGACTAGTGATGCCGCACTCTATCAAGATTAGAAACAAGAAAATGTCGCCGAGTAAACCATGTTAATTGTTTTTTTTTTTCCACAAACCCCAGAAAAATATAGTAGACGGAAAAACGCATACCTGTGCATCGCTTGGCTCCCTTCTTGCCCAGGGGAAGAATATATCCGCAGTGACAGCACCACGACGCAGAGAGATTGGTGAATGCCTCGAAGCGATGTGGGATCCTGTGGTTTAACTTCTCTTCATCCGGATCTTCCTCAGCCTTGGATTTCGAGATGCACTTTGTGACAACTTTCTCGAAGCACTTGCGGTGGCATGTATACTTGCAGTCTAGGGTATGTGTTATCGAGAGGGAGTGGGTCAGCTCATTGTGGTATACCAATCCCTGTTGGTGTTTTGTTGCCGACACATTAGTAACGATAGAGAAAAAGATGGGTGCTCACCTTCGCACTGAGCCCCCGCGCCAGAGAAGAGATCGGAGCACAGAGCACATCGCATGATCTGGTAGAACTGTTGAACAGCAAACTTGTGTCCATTGACCTCCTTAATCTCGCCCTTTCTCTTGCGTACGGCTCCGGCACGACCGAGACGCGAAGGGTATCGCTTAACACCGACTGTGTCCTTGACTGAAGAGTAAGAGAGAGTAAAGAGAATATATGTAAGCGTGTTGCCTGGCTGTTTCCCATCAAACATGCCAACCCATATCTCCAGGCATTTTGTAGTGTACCAAAGTTGAGCTTGAGACAGATCTGGCCAACGGGCTCCAGATCAAACCAACTTTCAATTCCGTCGACAGTAACGTTCGAGTTGGTGTTGTTGAACGCGCCGCCATAACCTGGGCCAGCTGCAGCAGATCCATCCAGCTGTCCGCTTTCGCCTACAGAGACCTGTCCAGCAACACCTGCCGGCGCCCATCCAGGACCACTCTCCATCTCAACCTTTTTACGACGCAATTCATCCGTGATGTCTGAGATCTTGACCCAAAGACAACCGATGGGAATCAAATGGTTGTCTGGTCTGTCGTAAAGCGTCAATTCGACCTCACTCGCCTTCTCCACTGGGATCTCAAAATCCTCGTTCCATCGAGCGCCCTGGGTGCCAGAGCGAGCAGGTCGGGTTTTTACGCGAGGCACTCCATCTACCTTAATCATGCACAGTGTTTCCGGCGATTTCAATGTTCGTGTAGGGGCATTGTTTTGCTGCTTCACTGCGATGACACGGATGTCCAAAGTTCCAGTGTTGGGCTTGCGCAGACCCGCACCAATCCTGTTGTTGACCTCAGGCTCGCTGTCATCTATTTAATACTCAAGATAAATCAGTTTCGGTTGGTAATAATTCGCAAGCCTATTTGTTTCACTCAATTGTTTGAAGTAACAACCTCTATTATGCGCACTTACCATCATCCTCCATGCCAGGTACAAAAAGTTGCTGGTACTTTTGGAGAGCGCGTTTGAGTAAGACAATCTTCTCGTTACTTTCCAATAGTTCGCCGTTGACGCCAGCCCTGTTCTTCTTGTCTCCCATGGAGGGATCGTTCTTGTAAAGAACAGCCAGGCGTTCTGAACCCGCCTTCAGCTTCTTCTCGACATCAAGTTTGAAGGCGAGTTCGCGCAATTTGTTCGAAATCTTGGCAGTGGTGATAGGCGTACTTGACTTCAAGAGATCTAAAAAAGTACAACAAGGAGAAAACATGCCTCCGGTTAGTCTCAATAAAGACCCGCTTTTTGTGTCCTGACATATATACAAGGTTTTGGAGTTCCGTCATTTTCAATAATTGCGAAATAATGAATTGAGCATTATGTACAGAACAGTCCAAAATGAACATTGGCGTAAACTGCTTACCTAGGTTGGTATAGGCGGGTTTTTTGGGCAGCTCCAGTACAGCTGCGTCCACCTGAGGAGAGTCCATGGTCGTGCCTGAGCCCAACGAGACAGTTGATCCCGTCACGCCTTGGTACTGCGGGCTGATAATTGGGACAGGGCCAAAGTCACCCGCGAGATATTGAGCCGCGTTTGAGACCAAATCACGATCTTTATACTCATCCTCGCCCGCTAAAATGGGATCCATGCTCGAATCCGAGATCGAAGAATAATCGAGGCTTTGGCTCTGAAGCCTTTGCTGCTGGTGCTGATGCTGATGTTGATGCTGCTGCTGTTGTTGTTGTTGCTGCTGCTGATGCTGTTGGATGCGCTGCTGTTGTTGCTGGTGGGATTGCCTAATCTGCAGCTTTTCAATCTCCTTGGTCAGGTAGTCGATACGCTTCTGGGACTCCTGCAGAGTGATCTCGCATTGAGCAATGGCGGCCTAGAGATATTGATGAATTCAATTCAGAGATCTGTCAGTATTGCCCATATTCTTGAACGACATGCAGCTGACGGCATCTCCGGCATTGATATCCCGCCCAGTCTAAGTATGAGCACGGAGAGGCAACGCGATAGGAGCCAAATAAAAGAACGCAGAGCTTAGTGCTTACAGGGTTGGTATGCCGTGTTCGCATCACAGTAGTGGCATCCTTGACGCGCTGCTCCGTCTGCAGCTTCCTCGTAATCTCTTGGATTCGGCTTTGATAGCTATCCTAAAGTCAAGCCGACGACGATAGATAAGTTTACTGGTTCTATCGAGGCATTAAGGCATCATGCCTGGACAGTGGCACCCAGCCGGAGCCCGGTTTTGCCGAGTTCTATTTTAGACCTACTAGGGGCATCTTGACAGGACAAAACAGTGACAATTGAACTCAATTCTCTATTGCTGGATATATGAAAGGACTGAGGGCGGGGTGGCAGACAGAGGCGAAAGAAGAAGAAAAAAAGGTTCGATTATGGCGGCGTTGAGGTCAGGCCAGGGTCAATGATTGAGTATCAGGGTCACGACTACCCGCGCTTCGCCTTTCAAAGGACAGAAAGTAGGCCGTCCTTAGAAGCGCCTGTTTGCGGACAGAATGATGACGCGGATAGAGGAAAGAATGTATCAGGCATTACCGAGTGGGATGAATAAAGCCAGCTGTAGCCGCGAGAGAGTGAAGGAGAGAGAGGGAAAGAGATGACAACAGAGTGTGGAGTGGCGTGAAGAAAAGAACAGAAGAGGACTGGGCCCAAGCAATGGAGAAGATGAGATGAAAAAGGGTGGCGGAGAGAAGGGAAGGAGCGAAGAAGAGGGGGAGGAGGATACAGATGAGGATTAGGAAGTAGAGATCCCAGCCTGTGTGGACAACAGGAGGAGGATGTGATTGTGTGAGCGAGTGGATGTGAGATGGAAAGGAAAGAAAGGAAGAGAGCCAGTCCAATTGAGTGAATAAGGCACAAAGCACACTCGGAAAAAAACGAGGGGCAGGGGAAACAGGGCACACCCACAGGTAGACCAGGCGCAGAGTTTCATGGACTATTCAACCTTTCTAATTCTAAATTACATGGATTTGTAAAGTGAACAGATCGCGAATCTCGACCCAGTTGAACCCATACATCCGAGGGATGGTGAAATCGTCTTTCTTTCACTCATGTTGTTCTTCGTCCTTTCCCCTTGTCGACCAACTCAATGAGTCGGCCTAAATTGTCCCCGCCGCAGGCTGCTGGAAAAAGGAAGAGAAAACACCTGCCTCAGGAGTAATTTATTTTGCTCAACAAAAATGCGTTCAATTTGCCCCAGGCCACCACGCCTTAACCACTCGGCCAAGTTGGACTTTCATAAGATACATTGAACGCATTTTCATCAATATCAAGGTTCACGGGGCTCGTAAATAATATAATTTTAATTTTTGTTTTCGATATAGCTCCTCTCAACACCGTGGGCTGACTTTCTATCAGTCAGCCTTGAGTGCTGGTAGGTTACAAGTCATCGTGCTCGGAAAAGAGTCTCCCTTATCCCTTTGCACAACTCCAAAAAATAAGGCCAAGCGGATAAAAATAGAAGATTTTAATTTTAACGTGTGGAGGAGGTGGTTCTGGGTTCGAAGGCACAACCAAAGGTAATGGAAACCTTTGAAAGCGGGTATAGTCCAAAGGTCGGATGCCGAAATTCTGAAATGGTCTATGTTCTCTGTCGAGAATACAGAAGACGGGTATAATGACCCTATGGCGGAGGGAGGTTATGATCCCAAACTGAAGTCAACCCTGCTGGGACCTCTATGTTGCAGAGGGCATACATGGGCGACAGGACGTAATCCACAGGATAGATGTTAAAACGCCTAGGGTTATCTATGCCCTTTGTTGAGGATACGCGGCCAAGATATTATGACGCTGCGGCAGAAAGAAAGAGACGAAATGGGTATATCGATGAGGAAAGTCTCGCTGATGAGAATGAATGTGAAACGAATCTGCTAACTAGAGTCGATGGGAAAGGATATTGCCGAAGAGACTGAAGCAGTGAGACTGAGAAGTGAGGGAGAAGAGGATTGTGAGTGGAAGGTGCATGATGTGGGGCTGAAAGTAGAGAAATAGAAGAGAACGTGAGAAAGCTGGCTTGGGTACTGGTGCCATTACATGAAGAGTATAGAAAAACTGCAGGAAAAAGGAAAGAGGCCAAGATGTGCAAAGAGTGAATAAACGCGAAGGAAGAAATGGGTGCGAATTGGCTTATGCAAGAAAGAACTGGGCAACCAAGATGTGATTCATTTCTATTGAAGTTCTCGACTGTTTCAGCACCTCCATTCCTCTCCCCGATCGAGGAACAGAATGCCGTATCAAAATATATTTGTTGCCACCAATTTTTTGTAAACTTTAAAACAGGGCACTGTGTTTGAGAGCTGGGCGCAGTCCGCCTCTGAATCCCCACCAACAGCGGCTCTATTGGACACAATGGCGTTGATCCTGTTCATGCGTAACATTCGGAAGTTTGAAATAGACATCGCTCTGCCCGCACAAAGATGTATGCAACCCAACGGCCCTGACCCCAACTCTTCAGAGTCGTTTGAGCTGCGTACTTTCTACGACCTTGCAGTCATGTTGGCGCCTATGGTTCGCATCACCAAGGGCTTTTTTCATGGATAATCTAGAAGACGTTGTCATAACTCGCTTCATTTTGTAGTTTACCGACAAGGGAACAACACTTATTAAGTAAAGACAGAACCAATCCACAAAGATGGCTATGTATTCACGGAGCCAGACGGGAATGAATAGGATATGGTAACAAGCTTTTGAACAGTGCCATTCCAGTTTACATTTACTGCGACAGCAATTTCGGCTCGGATCGCTTATTATTTTTCCACTTTGTGAGAACAAGGAGCGGAAAATAAGGACCATCAAGCAAAGTGGTAAAGTGGGAGAAGAGGAGGAATGTTTTATTAGGGCGAAAATATGGCACAGTATAAAGCGCAAAAAGCGAAAAGATATTAGTACTACTATAAAGGAGAGAGTAAAGTGAAAGCGAATGGTGTTATCCAGGAAATCCCTCTTGCAAAGCGTGCCAGGCGCTATTGTTGTTTATCCCGATGTATGCGCGTCGTTTTTCAAAGCTTGAGCTCGGTGTTGAATACCCTACACGGAAAAAGTGAGCGGAATGTATGCATGCGCAATACAGAGTGAAAAATATTAATATTAGCGACGAGTAGTGTAAAGACGTTCAAAAAAAAAAAAAAAAAAAAGCTGAGACCAAGAGATAGAAGAAAGATCATAAGGAGCTACAGGATGCTTTACTCACCTGTCCCAAATCTTGGAGGTGATTCCATATCCGCCATCATAATTCTTGTAGTGATGAGCGAGATGATAGGTCTTCATCTCTTGGAAGTGGATCTTGAAGACCTTGGCATGATGCAGATAGTAGTGAGTCATGTCGTAGAGGACATATCCAAAAAATGCTCCAGCCATAATAGCGTAGGCCTGGGGCTCTGGAAAAAGAGTGTGGCCCAATTTGTTGAGTGGGAGGGCTAAAGCGACAGCCAGGGCAGGAGGCATAACAAGACGCAGCCTATTGTCAGAATGACAAGATAAACATGAAATGAAAAGTACGTCAGTCAATTGATCATAGTCACAGCAGAAAAGCAAAAAAGAGAATTTATACGGACCTGTCCATGGGTAGATAATGGTGAATACCATGCAGCAAAAAGTGGGCTGTGAGCCAGACGGTCGAGTCTGGTAAGAGGTCATCCAGGTGAAACAGGAATCGGTGGATGATGTATTCCGCCAGTGTCCAGAGAACCATGCCGCTGAGGAAGAAGGTTACTGCCTGGTCGGGACTCAGGCCGGCTCCGAGGCTCCAGTGGATATTGTAGGTGACGATGGGCAGCCAGAAAATGGGGATGATGAACCAGGGGGTCTTTGTAAAGACCTCCAGGTATGGCGACCCAAAGATTCGTGCGGGACCAGAGAGATGACGAGGAATGTGAACTTGTTCAAGGTAAAAGGCCTTGGAATAGTCACTGTTCCAGAGCTGGTACAACAATGGCTTGCTGAGGTCCAAGAACTTTGTTTTCTTGTCGGCAATCAAGTCCGTGGGCCTGAGGTAGTCTTCCTCTGAGAGTGTTTTTCCTTCTTGTGGTGCCCTCTTTTTCAGCTCTCTCGTAGCAGCACTTGATTGAATTGTAGCTGCAGTTATATTACTGTTGCTGTTGTTGATCACGCCTACTAGAAAGTCATCCATCATTTCGTATGCGCCATCCGAATGCAGGTGAGTAAGCTCGTCCTTCATGAGTGCAGTGATGTCTTGTCCTGCGTGGTCGAGAATGAGGTCGTCCCCACCGGGGTGATCTGCGGCGAAGGAGGTCATGTTGTAGACCTTGTTGTTATGGATTACCCAGCACGAGTCCCGGCTGGAGTGAGCCTGGACCTCTTGGACAGTGTATGTCTTGTTGGGATCCATTGGCAGATCAGGTTAGGTTATATGAGGAGTAGGAGTGGAGGATGGAGGGGATGTGGGAGGGATAGGGAATGAAGAAGAAGGCGACGAAGGAAGAGGAGAGTAAGCAGGTAAGCAAGACATATTCCCGGTCCCCGGCTGAGAAAGGGAAACAGGCAGACGGCCAATCGTTTTTCCCTCGCGTTAGAGATGGAATGTTACACTGCTCCTTGTACATGTACGTAATTTTAAGGCATTGTTATGCGCAGCGCTGATGCGCGCTTAAAGTCTTTTATCCATTGAACGGCAGCGTAGGCCATGTTCTAACCAGCGGCGTGGTCCCGATCGAACTGGAGACTGGTCGTGGAGTTCAACTTGTGCGCAAAGTCATATGCTGGTCGCCAATGACGACCATATGTCGTCTCTGACCAATCTTCGCCCTCCCCCGGGCTGTCCGAGCATCCCGCTGATTGCATGTTAGACCTCGGCCTTCTCCTCTTGCTCCTTGCGACAACAAGCAACCTCCAGGTCCCTCGACCCGTGGAAGGTCCCCAGCTTCTCAATCGTGAAGACTGAGTCTGCATATTATATTACAAATCCCTGAGCTCCTTGAACTGCTGAGTCAATCGACTCCTTGAGGATTAGAACACCTGGCAGGCCGAATCCTTGCCTCTTGATCGTTGATGCTCACCATGGCCTCTGCAGCCTCAATTCGTTTGTCTTTTTTGAGGTGCCTTAACAGTTTCGTGTCGCCAGCTGTTCCAGGTATGGCATCCCTTGGACAACGACAGGTTCCAGGACTCTTCAGGTATAGGCGAATCCACGATTACAGCCATCGCGGTGCTTTTAATATCTGGATCGATGGCGAGCACAACGTAGCTCTCCTGATCGTCAAACTCCTTTTGTAGTTCATCCGGACCCAGGGTCGCTTCGGTTAGCTGCTTCACCTTGGTCCCCGTGGACTCGGTCGAGGCCTTGCTGGTGCCCGCGACGTCCTGCTGATTGCTCTTACTCGCTTTCGGAGGCTTTGTGGAGCAAGAGGCGCTGCTCTGGGAGGCGCTTTCACTGCTGTCCTCGTCTTTGCTACGTCCTTTTTTCTGCGCTGTCAGGCTATAAGCATAGCTCCGGAGCTGATGCCCATCGGCTTGCAGAGTGCCAGTGAGTAGGTGCATTTCCGACCGAGTATTACTGTCTATGACCAGAAGGCTCTCCTTGGTTGCTGCCTTGACATCTTCCTTGGCCCTCTTATACCCGGTGTGAATACAGGCTTGGTCGTAAGTGTATCGAACTGATCTTAGCAAGGCAAAAAACCCAGATCAAGCGCCTATGACAAAGACTTACTATCGGGAAATGCCATACAAGTGCGTTGATCGTAGTTGATTCTTTTGCCATGGAAAAACAGCTTTCGAAAAAAAATTCTCCCAGACAGGAGAGTCATTTTCTTAACCTCTTTGGATTCTCTGAATACCTGGCTAGTTTGTTTTTGCTTCCTTGCCTGATCTCCTCCTTAAAACAGCTTCCGTCAACTGCTGATCAAGTAGAAGCTGTCCTTGTAGGCTGGCATTGGAAGATACGTGTAGCGATTTGAGAACGGTAACTTGAATTGAGAGACAGAAACAGAGCACTTACCCCTTCCTTCAACTCGGGAAACAAATGCCCGGAGGCGGTATTTGACCAGATCCCCCCAGCGTTTGGCCAAATTGTTCCAGAAACGGAGATGGAGCCTCGTTATCGAGGTACCCCTTTGCTCTCTGAATCAGGCGTCATTAATCCCGAGCATTGCCTTGAAAGATTCGCTGGGTCAAATCTGTCGCCGCTGCCCTTGAGTTCGTCGTCCCAGCGATGCATCCCTTTTACGATTGTCTTGAATTTATCACGATAGATTTGAATACCTCGTAATTATTGCCAGACGTGTGATAACTACAATGTAGCTCAGAGCTAGGAGTTAAAGATGAGTTCTGAGTACTTTGTTTTCAAATCATTTGTGTTAACCTAAAGTGTAGGATTGTGCTAGACCTCAGGTGAATGTCTGTAACATCGACTTATGGAGCGCACGAACAATCCTTACCATGATCGAATTAGACGGCGACGACGAAGTTGAGGACTGGGAGGTGTGCTGGAACGCCTCGTACGTGATTCACTGCTGGGTTGCGCGGACGTAAGAGATATATACGTCTAGGACATCCGCGTCCACGTCTCGGACCAGGATCATATTCACGGACGCTGCTTCCACCTCTACACCCAGTTGTAGTGCGTAAAAAAAAAAAGAAGAATTAAAACTGCAAAGGAAAATGAGAGGAAATAAAATGGTGATAAAGAAAGCTGTAAAGCTGAAGCAGAAGAAGAGGTATGAGCAGGGTCATAGATGGGAGCGATGGGAAAGAGGCTGTTAAGGGCACGCAGTTGTTGTAATTCAGGATCAAGTTCCTTTCCTCACAAGCCGCGGCGTGTAGTAGATAGCGCGAATACGCACTATAGTCATGCAACCGCCGATTTTGTCCAGGCACGCCCAGGTCTGTCATTAAAGGGTTTGCAAACAACAGCTCTATTAAATGCATAGTTCCTAAGAAAAAAGAATACCGGGCTGTTTAAAGAGCGACGCGACATATATTAACATCGATCTGCCGCTGTCACGCAAAAGGATCGCGTACTTCTGTGGTGAGAACAGTGATTGTTATTCTATAGGGACCATAGTCAAGTTCATTCAAGTCCATCTTGATCACCTCTAGCGCTCCATCGTGCTCGTCTTCGGTAACTGAGTTATCGTCTTAATATCTGTCTCACTCTAGTGGACAACCTGGACGCTCATTGAGACGGATACAATGCTTGGTGATGTACTTGACCTCATTTTTTTTGAATTGCCTATCTCGCCAGCTTGTACATGGAGCTGGCTTATGAAGTTCTGTCATCTTAATAACCGACAATCGAGAAGATAACTACAGCTCAAAGAGAAGACGCGCAACGCTGACCTAGCGTAAAAAGGGTTACCAAGCAAGAAAACTTTACTACAGTCAGAAAAAAAAGTTGAGGGCGAAGCACAAATTCCAGGACTATGAAAGCGAGGGGTTTACGTGAAAATGGTTTGTTTTTGAGCAATATCCACCTACTAAACGTGGATGTAAGTACCACAGATCGATGATAAAGAAACATGGAGAGATGGGCAACGAACCCCTAGCCAGTGTCTCCATGGCTTTCAGAAGGATGGTTTGGCTACGCTTTTTTACGTATAACATTCTAACTATGGGCGCGGTACAGAAATCAAAAAGGAAAACCATGTCCCTGAAATGATGACTGCGCTGCACTGGGACCGAAAGGAAAACGGGATCCAAAGCAAGAGCTAGTAGGCAAGGTCCTCCTCCTCTTTGATATGAACAAGGTTTAGCAGTTGCAATTGCACACCCATCGGTGTCTATATGAGAGGTATCCAGTGGCATACAGCATGGGTTCGATTGGTATCGGCTGGGCTGTAGTAGACAGCTTGCAAGTGGCCCATGGGAGTACAAAATCTAAAAAAAAAAAGCGCGCTTTTGGTGGATGTAGATGTGATGCGGACGGATGACCCCTCTCCTCTCCTTTCCTCCTCCCTCCCTCTATCTCACGCACACACACACACATTCGTTTTCTCGCTTATCCCACTTCTCAGAAGCAATCGCTTACTACATCATTCATCCACCTCTTTGCCTCTTCACATCCTCATTCGCGATGAATTCCGTCAAGGGCAGCATGAAGATGAACAGTCCGCTTCCAAAGGACCTTGCTGGTACGCTCTCACCAGAGGAGCGACCCCCACTCCAAGGGTAGCCTTTGAGGTTCAACCGTCTCTAACGTATTCTTTTTTTTTTTTTTTCTTCTTAAAACGCCCTTACGTCTTCGTCATTCTAGGAGAGTGCAAAAGGGCCTCAAAGATCCTCAACGCTTTTGTAGGCAAGTTGGCGCTTCCCTCCTTCTCATGACAACCTAATCACCTTTGCAACTAGCTCTTCCTTAGCCATCGCTACCAGCATCACACTGGGCATAAGGAACAATATCATGGATATGTATACACTGGATTCAACTGCGAGTGACACTCGAATAGGAAGCTCCGACATGACACGACTCGGCTCAACATTGACGGCGCTTTTCTTAAATGAGACAGCGTGCTCCATAAAAACACAAAAAAGGGATGGCAGATACGCGATCTGCTTACTGTGCTGTTGTCTTGTTGAGCTATTGTGCTATAGTGGCGATAGTGAAAGGCATTTAGGATCGATGAAAAAAAAAGAAAAATGAGACCCTTCGCTCTTGGCAAAAAGAAGCAACGAACAACACAGCCTGCCAACCAGCTCATTTTCTCGACTAAAAGCACTGCAATATTAGGACAGCGGATGTTGCTCCTTGCAAGAGAATTTGCCCGTTGCTGATTTTGTCATTATGCATGGTACTAAATTTCGGTTGTAATATTTTCCCTTTTTATTCTAGACCCGATCGCCGCCAAGGGTGTGGACAACATTATTCCGCCAGATATCCTCTCAAAAGCTCAGGGACTCGCTATTTTTACAGTCGTCAAGGCTGGATTCCTCTTTTCCGGTCGCGCAGGCTCCGGTATTGTCGTCGCACGTCTCGAGGATGGCTCTTGGTCAGCACCGTCTGCTATCGGAACTGGAGGCATGGGCTTTGGAGGACAGATTGGTGCCGAAATCACAGATTTTGTCGTCGTCCTCAACAATAAGACGGCTGTCAAGTCTTTTGCCACAGGAGGCAACGTTACCCTTGGAGGAAACCTGTCAGGTACGAAAATTGCATGACCTGGTTTTATGGCCTGATAGTAATGGACTACATCAGCAAAAAAAAACCTGTTTTTGTGATACATCTTTGTCACACTCATTGTCCACTGGGGGGGTTTTTTTTAAATAGTTGCTGCCGGACCGATTGGAAGAACCGCAGAGGCTGGAGCATCCGCAAGTGTGAATAGCGTCGCCGCCATCTACTCCTACAGCAAATCCAAAGGTCTCTTTGCCGGCGTTTCAATTGAAGGATCGGTCATTGTCGAGAGAAAGGATGCGAACGAAGCATTTTACCGCCAAAAGGTCACAGCAGCCGAGCTCCTCTCAGGCGCTATCACCCCCCCACCACAGGCCGATATCCTCTACAGAGCACTTAACTCAAAGGCGTCGAGCAGCAACCATAGCATCCACCGCGCAGATACAAACAGCAGCTACGCATCATCATCACCAGCCATGCGCAGTGTCTCCTCAGGGGCTGGTCGTTACAGTGGTGGATACGGTCGCTCGAGTCATGATGAACAGGCCCGCGAGAATGAACCCGGTCAGCTCCCTCGTTACAGTCCTTCAGTAGTTTCACCGGCAGCTGGACGCAAGTCCTTCGGAGCAGCACCAGGACGTATCTCGACCGATAACAGCTCACATCCTGCAGCCATTAACCATACCAACGCCAATCTGACAGGCCCACGCGTGCCGCCCAGGATCGGTGTCAAGCCCGAGATCGTGACGGCACTGTACGACTTTGTGGGCGAGCAGGCTACAGATCTGTCGTTCAAGAAGGGCGATGTTATCACAGTTACCAAGAAGACAGAGAGCCGAAACGACTGGTGGACAGGCAAGCTCAATGGTCGTGAAGGCTCATTCCCTGCCAACTACACCCAATAAGGCTGCTTCACTGAGCCATTCGAGCATACATAGCCTAGAGACAACTACTCCTCTGTCAATCTTCTTCCCTGCCCACCATCTATATGACTATCCATAAAAAGTAAGAAAAAGAAATAGCAGTTTACAGACGTTGCCGAGACACAAACAGATGCATAGATAAACTGACTTTTTTTTTTTTGTTTTTATTCGTGAGGATTTCCCATCGCGTTGGTTTTCTTTTTTTTTTTTTCTTTCTTTTTTTTCTCTTTCTTTCTTTCTCTTTTTTTTTAAGAATAAAAAAAGAATAAAAAGATAAGAATCATTTAAAAACCAACGGACCAGACACGGACAAGGCCATCCTGGTAACCAGCAAAGAGAGTCTGGCCATCAGCGGACCAGGCCAAGGAGACAGCTTGGGGAGGGTGGGACTTCTTGCCGACGTTGGTGAACTCGGGCTTGAGCTCATCGACAACGGACTTGGACTCCAGGTCCCAAATCTTGATGCAGGACGAGGTGGCAGCGCACAACCAGTAACGGTTAGGCGAGAAGACCAAGGCATTGATGATATCATCGCCCTTGCCCTCCAACGAGTACAAGTGCTTGCCCTCGTTGAGGTCCCAAAGCATGGTGATGCCGTCGCGTCCACCAGAGGCGCAGAGGGAACCATCGGGTGAAATGGTGACGGTGTTAATGTAGCCAGTGTGTCCAATGTGGTTAGAGCGCAGCTTGCACTTGGTAAGCTCCCAGACCTGAAACACACATGCGCACAAGGAGAAAGATCACAACTGTATTAGTAAGTTAAACGATTATAAAACCCAATAGCATGGCACGACCAATTGCAACCAAAGAAATCGTGAAGGATCAAATATCTCATGTGGAAGATTTCTCTCATAGGTAGATTGCAAAGCCCACCTCTGAAGTAACAAAGATAAGGTAGGTCGATATCATTTAAAGCACAATTTTTTCTCTGCTGGAGCAGCTAGGCCGCTGAAAGAGCGCCAAGCAGGAATGATCCATATGATAACAAAGAATGAAAAGCAGGGTAAGCAAACACGATAGATTCATTACCTTAACGACCTTGTCCCAGCCTCCAGAGACAATGACGGGATTGGCAGGGTTGGGCGAGAAGCGGACGCAGGAAACCCACTCGGTGTGACCATCCTCCTGAATAGTGAACTTGCACTCTCCGAGGGTGTTCCACAGCTTGATGGTCTTGTCGCGGGATCCAGAGACGATCTGACGGTTGTCGGCAGAGAAGGAGACCGAGAGAACGTCGTTGGTGTGGCCAATGAAGCGGCGGGTGGTGAGACCGGTGTTGAGGTCCCAGAGACGGAGGGTCTTGTCCCAGGAAGCAGACAAGGCGAACTGACCATCGGACGAGATGACAACATCCTGGACGGCAGAGTTGTGACCGTGGAGGGACTTGCGGGGAACACCAAAGTTGCCCTCGTCATCGCGAACCAAGCTCCAGACGATGATGGACTTGTCTGTGATAAATAAAGAGAGGCCGAATGACAGCGTCAGCTACCCTGATTTAAGACGGAACTCCTCGTTCTTTGAAGGGAGGCGCTTCAAATGGTGCTCGTGAATATAATGAAGGCGATTCAGGCGTGCCGCCGGTCTTGCAGTGTAGAGTTGTCCTTGTCAACAAAAGCATACAAAAATCCAGCATAGCGGTGTTGTGAAGAGGGCGTCCTGCGCTATGTTGCACATCAATGATCTACTTGCCCAACATGCCCATTCACTCCAGGGTGCTGCTTCCTGATCTCCCGCGCCGTCGTCTGCCGTGGATCCTGCCGTGGATCCTGCCGTTAAAAGTGATGCACTGTTACCACATACCGCGCGAGGACGTCAAGATCATGTCGGGGTTCTCGGTGCTGGTGGCGACGGCAGTGACCCAGTCGCGATGACCTAGAGTGTCAAGACAGGGTAAACGCAGTTAGTACTCTCCAAGATCAGTGAACATAGCCTGCCCACAGGAGTGAATCATAGGTTCCCCTCTAAAAACTGTCGATTGCGGATTCCTGTCCGATTGGTTGTCTAGTTCTGTAGTCGAGTCGAAATAAACACCGAGCTCTCGTATTGAAATATGGAGGAGGTCCTATGAGGGATATCAGCATACTGCATCCAATTGCTTCTCTTCGAGCGTTGATACCGATGTCGAAAGTAAATTAGGGTGATCGCTTCGGAGACCTTCCATTGCTGCCGGCTATTTAGCTTGTCGGTTGTCGATCGTGCCAGCCCTTCGAGTTGGAATTAGGTATGTGATGCTGCTGCCCTTGCTGCTGCCAGAATATCCGCAGTGTGACTCCGTGTCGAAGTATCCATCGATCGATCCATCATATCCCTTCAGTGGCATCGATAAAGCCATTGCGTTCGACTGGCATCCAGGTATCCTCTTGGTGTATGTTCCTTTGACAGATTGAGCATCAAGATGCCTAAATGGATGCGTACCGGCGAGCTGACCGCGGTAGTTGAGGCTATCACCCATGTTGGAATGTAATAAGGAAAAAGGGAGAGCCAATAGCCTGGTGGCTCGCAAGTACTGTTAATCCACCGTTTTTGATTAAGGGGAAAAACTCCTTTGGAGCACACTGTGATAGCCATTGACAATCCCTACTAATAAGCATTTGACGATACCATATGTAGCGTTATATAGAAAATGCCTGCATATATATATAGAGTTTGGAGTGGCTTGCTCTCTGTACGTGAACTTTTCCTTGGGCGAACCCAAACAACCTCAGCTTTTTTTTTTTTGTCATTTAGCGGACTTTGCCACAGTGGCCGCTGGTTCCTTCCTTTCCTCCTTCCCCTTTCTCCTTTCTCCTCACCCTCCCCTTATCCCCCTCTCCCCTCTCCATACATACACCATCCCATCATGTCCGCCCTCTCCGCCTCAAAGCAGAAGCGTCTTGCGGCCAAGGCTGCCAAGGACGCTGCCAAGAAGTCTTCAAGTGCTTCGAGCCCTGCGACCACCAATGGCCGCAATACCCCCGCCCCTGGCGGCGATAATGAGGACGGCGACTCATTGGCACCTGCTATGAGTGCCATGGACCTTGCCAAGCAGAGGGGAGGCGACCGTAACTCGACCGGAGTGCTGACATCGCAGCCTCTGTCCCGCGATATCAAGATCGAGTCCTTTTCGTTGTCCTTCCACGGCCGTGAGCTGATCTCGAACACCGATATCGATCTCAACTTTGGTCGTCGTTACGGCCTTATTGGTTCAAACGGGTCCGGAAAGTCGACCTTCCTCGAGTGTCTGGCTGCTCGTGAAGTCCCTATTCCTGAGCACATCGACGTAAGTTTTTTGCCCTGCTTCCTTTTTCTTGATCTCGGAATTTTTGTGCTCTGTTGCGCACAGACAGGCACACACAGTGAAACAATCTTGTTGGCATTCAGCACACACCAGCAACGCAACACTCTCAATTTCCCCTCCACCCGATTATAACCTTCAGCCCCTAACATACACTTCGCCGTTTGTTTATAGATCTACTTACTGCAAGAAGAGGCTGCCCCCTCGGACTTTAATGCCATCGAGGCTGTTGTCACCGAGGCAAAGTTAGAGGTTGAGCGTCTGGAAAGGCAGGTCGAAGATATTCTCGCTGAAGTCGATGGCGGAGAGAACCCTCTCCTTGATGACATCTATGAGCGTATCGAAGGCCTGGACCCCGCGACCTTCGATACCCGCGCTGCCACGTTGCTCCACGGTCTTGGCTTCACCAAGAAGGACATGCTCAAGGCCACCAAAGACATGTCTGGAGGATGGCGCATGCGTGTCGCCCTCGCCAAAGCCCTGTTCGTCAAGCCCACCCTTCTTTTGCTGGACGAACCCACCAACCACTTGGATCTTGAGGCCTGCGTGTGGCTCGAGGACTACCTTTCCAAGTACGACCGTATCCTCATCCTCATCTCTCACTCTCAGGATTTCCTGAACGGAGTCTGCACCAACATCATGAACCTGAACCACAAGCGAAAGCTCGTCAACTATGGTGGTAACTATGACACCTACGTCAAGACCCGTGCCGAGTTGGAGGTCAATCAGATGAAGGCCTATGTTAAGCAGCAGGAGGAGATTGCTCACATCAAGAAGTTCATCGCCTCGGCCGGTACCTATGCCAATTTGGTCAGACAGGCCAAGTCCAAGCAGAAGATTATCGACAAGATGGAGGCTGCTGGTCTTATTGAGAAGGTCGACCCACCACTGCTCTTCAAATTCAAGTTCTCAGACACTGACAAGCTGCCCCCTCCAGTTTTGGCCTTCGATGAGGTTGCCTTTGCTTACTCTGGCGACATGAAGGATTCCCTCTATCGAGGCGTCAATCTCGGAATTGACATGGATTCGCGTGTCGCTCTTGTCGGACCAAACGGAGCCGGAAAGTCGACTCTCCTCAAACTGATGACTGGTGACCTGAGCGCTACCCAGGGTCGTGTCCAGCGTCATATGCAGCTCAAGCTCGGCAAGTACAGCCAGCACTCTGCCGATCAGCTCGACATGGACCTCTCGCCCATCGATTACATGCGCAAGCGCTTTCCTGACCTGCCGCAGGACACTGACCATTGGCGTCAGACCCTCGGCAAGTACGGTCTTACGGGATCCCACCAGACCTCACCCATCGGCCACCTGTCGCACGGTCTTCAGACACGCTTGGTCTTTGCAGAGTTGGCCCTGTCTCGTCCTCACATGCTTTTATTGGACGAGCCTACCAATCACTTGGATATGGAGTCGATTGATGCGTTGGCAGAGGCCATCAAGACGTTCACTGGAGGAGTTGTCCTTGTTTCTCACGACTTCCGTCTGTTGAAGGAGGTCGCAGACCACATCATTGTTGTTGATAAGGGCGTGTCTGTCTTTAACGGAACTATTCTTGAGTACAAGAAGATTTTGCAGAAGAAGTCACGAGAGAACGCTGGTCTTATCAATTAGAGCATAGAGAACATAGATACTTGGATGGATCATATTCATTATACATTTTCCGCATTGTTTTTGTACCAATACACATCTATCATACGCAATACACATCTTTCATACGCATACAGCGGCGGGCCTGAGTGAGCTAGACCCCTTTTTAGTGATTGTAACGAGTTAACTCAACTGAAAAATTTGATGACATCGCTGATTGCATTGTCAATTAGCAATAATGTCTTAAGTAAAAAGACTATAATTGACAATACATTCAGTAAGGTCATCGAAGAGTTAACTCGAGTTAACTCGAGTTACAATCACTATCCCTTTTTTCCCATGACAATGACAATAAATAATGCAATTGTTTCAGTGGCAAAGTCGACATGATCCAGGCCCTGCGAAATGAGTACCTTACTGGCCAATAAACGAGTACCTCTCAGGGGTTTTCAGAGTTTGCTGTTTGCATCTCCCTCCTTGTCTCCACACCCTCCTGATCCTGGTTCTGATCCTGATTCTGATCCTGATCCCAATCCTAGTTCTGAATCTGATCCTGAATTTCGATCTCGACTGTTACGTTTCACTCTGCGTTGATTCTCCACCGTTGAATCACCCGTCCCTTGCATCGACACCCATTCTTTTGCTCGTTTCGCTGTGTGTAAACAATACTCCTTTATTTCCTACGCCCTTTCATCCGTACGCTACATCGCGCTTCAAAATGGCAGGAGCACCATCATCATGGACCTTCACTCGTCGCGACGATCCAGGTGAGTGAATGACTTGTCAAAATCTACGACATAGTGGCTACTCAGCATCTCCATGGTTCTTTCCAGTCCCAAATACATTTCAGTCAGTCTCACAGATTTTCTTTTTATTCCAATAGAGTCGCTTGAGGAGTGTTCGGTAGATGCCGAAGGGAGACTTGAATACAACAACGGCCTGCATATCGCCAGCATCTTCATCATCCTCGTGGCCAGTACTGCCGGTGTGTTCATGCCAGTAATTGCCTCCAAGGTTCAATTTCTTCGTATCTCGGAGAGAGTATTGCTCCTTGGAAAGCAGTTTGGCACAGGTGTTATTCTTGCAACGGCCTTTATCCATATGATGCCAACAGCGATGTCAAACCTCTCATCACCGTGCTTGGGACCGATTTTTTCAGAAAACTACACCGCATTCGGGGGACTCTTCATTTTAATGTCCTCACTGTTCATGCACTGGGTAGAGTTCATCGCGGTGGAGCACAATGAGCGCAGGATGCGCGAAGCCGCTGCTAGCAAAGGGGTTGAGGACCTCAACATTGATCTGGGCGGTTTGGGTGCCACTGGAGTCGCGGCTGTACCCTGTCCTGGACACAGCATCACCATCGTCGAGGAGGCACCATGCTACGACACTTGTTCTTCAGGCACTTCGTGTGATATCGACCATCCAGTTCAGGAGACATCGCACTCGGTCGTCGCCAGTTCCTCAGGATCCTCTATCACCAAGAACGACTCGAATATATCCCAGGCTGCACAGCATTCTCAGTCCCACGATCATGAACATGGCCATTGCCATGGCCATGCACACGAGAAGAAGGCTAAGAGCAACACCGAGAGTAGTCATCATCACCATACGCACGAAGTCGGTCATTCTCACGCACATGGTCTGTCGTTTCTGGACGAGTCCCAGCGTCGCATTTCCACATACATACTGGAAGCAGGCATTGCGTTCCATTCTGTCATTATTGGCGTCTCTCTTGGAGTGTCGACCGGGTCCGAGTTTACAGGACTTTTGATTGCCTTGATTTTCCACCAGTTCTTTGAAGGTGCGTATCTAGCTTGTCATTATGATCATTATGATTTCAAACTGATAGCGATCTACGTGACGCATGCTGTAAAGGAAAAGAAACGGACATCTCACCCCAACTTTAATCTTTTGCTTATGTCCTTAGGATTTGCTTTGGGAGCAAGGATCGCAGATCTCGCTTTTGATACGACATATACCCACTACGTCCTCGCCTTCATCTTTTCATTGACCACACCAATCGGTGCAGCCATCGGCATTGGTATCTCGAACACGTACAGCGCCAACTCAAAGTCATCCTTGCTGGTAGAGGGTATCTTTGATTCTATCTCCACAGGGATCTTGCTGTACATGGGCTACGTCAATCTGTTGGCAATCGAGTTTAATCTGAACGTAGGACTGAAGAAAGAGTCCAAGAAGGTCAAGTCGATGTGCTTTCTTGCCCTCTGGTTCGGCGCCGCTGTCATGGCCATCATTGGTCGCTTTGCATAATCATCTTTTTATCCATCTCCATGTTATTTCTGCCCATCTTATACCTCCATCTTCTATCACTATTTGCATGAACGTCCTTTCGCTGTATACGATACCTATTGCCATCTGTCCTCGTTATCGCTAGAAAATAAAAATAATCCAATGCTAAGTCTTTCAAGCAACAATTCCCTAAATATGCTCGTGAGCTGCTTTTTTTTTATTTTTCGTCTTTATCTTGATCCCCGTCGTCGTCTTCCTCGTCTTCATCCGGATCCATGACCGCAATGGGTGGAACATCGACGATCGCGTTGATCAAACAAACCTCAATGGTTTCGAGAATATCCTGCTCCCAAAAACCGAGCTCATAATTGACAAGGCCATACTTTTCGAGAGCATCAGCCCAGGTCTTGACGCTGTTGTAGAGATGATGCAGATGTGGTTCTTGTAAACGTTGGTCCTCAGACCTCGCATTTCCGTAATGCGAAATAGCAAAGAGCCAGCAGTTGTTGAGCCCAGTCCAGAACCCTGCCTTTTGGCCGATTGAAGCACTATCCGAGGCCAGCCCTGGTTATTTTCCATTGTGTGTTGCCGTTGTTATTACCGACAACGTCAATGTTATGGTATAAGACGATTGGTTAATGCTCTGGTGCAATGTGTGTGAATACAGAAAGCCATTGATTAAAGCAAAGGACGCATTATAGTAAAGTACCGAGATTTTCGCAATTGGCGACAGCAATATCGGTCAGCCTACTGAGGGCCTCGAAACTCTTGAGAATCATCCCGTGGTCGACATATTCAAGCACGTTCTGGAGCTCCTCCTGGATCTCGGCTAACTCTTCTATGGAGCCCTTGTCAGCGATGCCTGCTCCACGGGAACTTCGTGTAGGCGAGTTTGGGCAAGAGATAGTTGATGCATCGGAGGCGGATGATCCTGGATCTTGCTCGTTTATACCCGTGTCCTCATGACGTTCCATCCCATGGTTTGGGTTGAAGTAACCGGAGTAAGGCTCCTAGCCTTTTTGTGCGGTGGAGCTGCGGGTGACTGTTTCGTAAACTGGGTTTGTCGTTACTTCGTGGAGGAAACATGGGAAACCATTTCTTCTGACGAGCGACTCCCCATCACAGCTTACTGCACCGCAATACACCCTTACAGGAATAAACCAACTATCTCAACGCAACATAAATAGGACTAAAGTAATCGATATATAGGTATACGCACTTTAGTATGACGAGCGAAATGCTTAGGAATATGTACAAGGCAAGGCCACCACCATTGCCACCACACTTTGGCGACGAGAGCGAGGACGACAACGGCGACAACGAGACCAGTGGCTCTTTTGACTCTCGATCTCCGTCGCCTGCAATACATCCATCCAAACTTGGAGGGGGCCCGTCCATCTTCAGCGTATCGAGCCGGTATGCACCTCTAGAATGGAATGCCTATTTTGACGAGAAACGACTGGTGACGGTGCCTGGCGAAAACGAAGGCGAGTCCGAGATCACGTTCAATGTATTCGAAACGCATGGAAAACCTGGGGCACCGTTGTTTGTGATGCACCATGGCGCTGGACTATGTGCACTGTCATTCGCATTAACCGCCAGGGAGATTAAAAAGATTGTTGGACAGGATGCAAGCATTATGAGCTTTGATTGTCGAGGACATGGTAAAGGAATTATTGCCATTTGAAAAGAAAAATCGGGCTGTTCTGTAAGTTTGTTCCCACATTGACCACGGCTCTGTCCTCTTCCTCTTTATGAACACAGGAGAGACAACGTCAGGCGATGAAAATAACCTGTCACTGGACCGATTGACAAGGGACTTGAAGAATGTTATCCATGCGGTTTACGGCAAGCAACTTCCTGAGATCATTCTGGTCGGACACAGGTAAGGAGCCTCACTGGGCATGGACAGGAGCAGCTGTAGGGACAGATATTATTCTACAGGCGACTCAGCATGCGTTCTTTCTTTGACTTCATTCAGTATGGGCGGAGCCGTGGTATCGGAAGCGGCATCGCGTGGAATGATCTCCAACCTCGTCGGAGTCGCTGTCCTGGATATTGTTGAAGGTGAGGCGCCTGATCATTCAGATGAAGGGCTATTGTGCTTATCCAGGGATACGTTGCTTATATTCTCCCTCCTTGAACCTGTAGGTGTGGCGATCGAGGCACTGGCGAAAATGAATGGATGGCTGCAACGACGCCCTAATATCTTTCGCTCCCTCGACAAAGTCGTTCAGTGGGGGTATGTTAACATTTTTATTCGCCAATATCGTTCTTCAAGAAACCTTAACTGGCAACTTGATCTTGAGTTCGATCTAACATGCCTCATTATCATTTCCTTCTTTCAGAGTAAAGTCAGGAACGGTTCGAAATTTAGAATCGGCACGGGTATCATTTCCACCCTTAGTGGTCCTCTCTAAAGATTCAACGATCGAGGATCCTAGTTATATTTGGCGTACGGACCTGGCCTCATCGGAGCAGTACTGGAAGGAATGGTTCACGGGCTTGACACAGAGATTCCTGTCTGCGAAGGCAGGCAAACTATTGGTCCTTGCTGGGACGGATCGACTGGACAAGGATATGACGATCGCACAGATGCAGGGCAAGTTCCAGTTGTTGGTCTTTCCAAACTCGGGACATGCGGTTCAGGAGGATGAGCCCGATAGAATGGCGCGAGAATTAGTCTCGTTCTGGAAGAGGAATGAGCGACTTGTTCTTCCACCGCGTCCCTTCCTCCCTGACCATTCTGCCTAAGAGAACAGAATAAAGCATGGGCATATGAGCCGCGTTTATTGCAGTGCCTTTTATTCTCGAGAGTGCAAAGCCCAATTGACGCAATTACTTCAGGTGACTGCCACACAGACGAGGGATTCGCCTGTGCCCGCTGCCTAAGAGCGTTTTGCTTTCCGCTTTCTTATATCAGGACACAAACAGAAGCAGACCTCGACAGATGGTGGCATCCTCAGGAGAAATCGACAGCGCCAGAAATGATCAGGCCGCGGCCGCGACCGCTATTGGGGCAGGAATAGGGCCTACAAACGCCTCCTCTCATAGTCGGAAACCGTCTCATCTGAGCATCGACTCCAAGACCGCCAATTCTGCATTTCTCCACACACTCAACTCACAACTTCAAATTGCTGCCAATAGCCAATACCATCAGCGCCATACTCAGAATCAAAGTCAGGACGCGTCGTCTGTCTCTGAGAATGATTTCCCACTGGCGATCGGTATTGACAGGGCAGCGCTCATTGCGCCCGACTTTAACACGGATGAGTTTTTGTCGGCACGACGACACTTGCCTTTAGAGGAACTCAAATCTCAGGTGGGGAGCGTGGACACGAGAATAGATTGCATGCTCATCAAAAAGTGTTCGTGGGCATAGTGACTAACGTCTTTTCGCATTGTTGGCCACTGCTCTATGATATGGGACGGGTTCGCAGCTCATTTCACATATGAAGGAGCTCAAGACGGAGCTCGTGGAGCTAATCAATAGCGATTACGCTGACTTTATCAATCTCTCGACCAATCTCAACGGCGTGGATCGCACGATGGAGGATCTCCGGAAACCGTTGGACAGGATGAAGGACGACGCGATTGTACGTTTTGTTTTGGTTTGTTAATGCCAGGCGAATTTGGCTTTTTTTTTCTGCGGATAGAGAGGTCTAATGCTGACAGTTACTACAATGCTAGGCGGTGAAAGCGAATCTTCAGTCGCTTGTTAATAGTCTAGAGCAAAAGCTGCAACATCGCGCCGAGATTCGGGAAAAGAAGGCCAGCTTGCAATTGCTCCTCAACATCTCGGAATCGGTAGCTAAGGTCGAGGGGCTGTTGCAGATCTCCAGCACTTCGGAAGCACCTACAGGACTGAGAGATACCAGTGAAAGGTACGAGCAAGTGTATGGTATTTGCTGCGATGCGCAGAAAATGTTCAAGGCTGCCGAATATCTTTTTAGCGCTCATTTAAACACTCGTTTTATTCGGCCATAGCATAAGCGTTGCAAAGCGACTTGAACGCGTGGCGATCGAATACAATCAGATGCAATACCTTGTCAGTAAGGGTGCCAATCTTCCATTCGTCGCTACTATTGACTGGGTGAGTTCTTGACAATTTGGAGGGTCCCTTCTCAATTGCCTATCAGTTTATTGACCACATTCACGTTTTTTACTCAACGGTGGACCTACTAGCGCCTGATCAGGATCAAGGAGACTATGAGTGAGAATTTATCGACTGTCCTTCGCTCGTGCATCCTCCCGCCACAACAGATCGAAGGCGATTCATCAGCCAACAAGGATTCTCTTTCGCAGTGTCTGAGGACATATGCATTGATCGACCAGACAACAGAGGCTGAAAAAGTGATCACCGATGACCTCCTCGCCCCATTCATCAACAAAGTAAGTATCTATCACAGAAATGCCCAGGATAATCATATAGGGAGCTTCTCTGCGTATCTGCTTTCTTATACTCTACTGTCATCGGCTCCTGAATAGACAATTACACGGTCAGCGCTTTCAGATCGGTCGCACACCCACTTCAACAGCGGACAGGACCAGCAGACACCGCTCGCCATTATATACAACCATGTCCTTGTGTTTATCGATACTCACTGTGGTGCCCTGATCAATGTGACGCAAAAGGAACTCAAGGGTACTAATTTTGACATACCCGTGAACTGCATCTGGGGCATCACCAGCCAGACGGTCTTGAAAAATATACCCCAGATTCTCACGCCTGGAATCCCGGATGACTTTCATCGGAATTATATGGATACGATGGAATTTATCTCAAACATCGAGGAACTTTGCGGATCGCGCAAGTCGTTGATGCGGTTAAGATCGCAGGCGAGTTACCAGGCGTTCATGAAGCGGTGGCAGCTACCGGCATACTTCCAGTTGAGATTTAGGGATATCTCTCTCTCGGTCGAGGACGCATTCCAGATGAATATCGATGTCAGCCAAAAATTGCCAAGCGCAGATGGTATGAACTGAGGCTTTCAAAGAAGATATTTGGCTTGCTGCCGATCGCGCTACAACGGCCAAGACTGACATGGTTTCATTCCCTCGGACGACTGTTTTAGTACGTCTGCCAGCGAGTATGGCTCTTATTCGGGCAATTGAGAGGTGCTGGGCCCCAGATGTGTTTATCTATGGAATCGCCTACAGCTTTTGGAAGTTCACCCTGCAACTCATGGCAAGGTATTCGTTCTGGATTTCGACCAATCTTGCCAAGGATTTAGACCTGCCTAAGGAAAGATCTGCTCAAGTAAAGAAAGACGACACCGGTTTATTTAATCTGAGTTCGCTGGACCATACATAGCAAGCATTGATGCTAATTTTATTTCTCTATATCGTCCACAGTCAAGGTCATCGTCTCCTGCGCCTGGAGCTACCGGTAGCATCGGACGTCAACAAGGCCGTTCCACGCCCGCACCTGGCGGCCCACTCCGCTCAACCGGACCCGCTGGCCGAGCATCACTGGAGGATATGATACTTCAGCAGCTTTCAATGGTTGTGAATGACGTCGACCATGTCACTACACAAATTCAAGAAATCTTTGACCAGCAGATCCAACCACGACTACCGCCAGCGATCGCAAACGAACCCGTTGTGATAGAGTCTTTTGAACAGAACTTGAATGCAATCCGTCAGGATGTGCCGGCGGTGCAGCAGCGGATCACAGATCTTCTCACAAAGCATTGTGTTGAGACGCTGAATCATGTTAAGAACCTAACCGCACGAGCAAGCGAGGGTCCGCCCAGGGAGCCCTCACAGTTCGTGCCGTTGATCCTTGCACCGCTCGCAAAGTACATTTCTGGATCAGGATCGGTTCTGAAAAGCGAGGCTAGGGACCGGTGGGCTCTGGAGGTGATCACCGCAACGACGAACCAATACAACACCATTCTGGCAGAACGACTGCTAGATACCAAGATAACTGAGGAGAGGACCAATAAGCTGAAGGCTGCTGCTGCGAAGTCGAGAGCCGGTGGTCTTTTGTCAAGAGCCGCGCCCATGTTACCCAATGCGTTCTCGTCCTCAGCATCACTGGATACTGAGACCAATATGTCGACAAACGACAAGCTGAGATTGCAATGCATGCTTGATGTCAAGTGTTACAAGACGGAGGTAAGTTAAAGATTTTACAGTTATTCCTCCGGAACAAGCATGAACACGGAGCGGACTTGGCCTACTTTTGCTTACATCCTAAACCGTTACATCGTGCCTCCGTAGCTGACCAAGTTTGCTATCAATCCGAACAAGTTCCAGCCATATCTGGATCTGGAGGCCAACACGCAGCCCTACGAGGGGTTACTCGCGGCTGCCACACAGAACTAGAGGGTCCGCCAGGAATATAATAAAACATCCTTGTGTCACACACACACTTGACTGCATCATGTTTGTTTTCGTGGACAAGCGTCCTTTATTCTCTCTGGTATTTATTTGATCCACACAATTGATGCAAATAGGATATGGTGATGTGCAAGCTTCACTTCGTATTTGCAAAAATTCCAACAGCAGTTATCAGATGCGAAAACCGCTTAGTACTCCTCCTGAATCTCCTCCTGCATGGAGTCAGATGACACCTCCTCGTAATCTTTCTCAAGGGCGGCCAAGTCTTCACGGGCCTCGGAAAACTCACCCTCCTCCATACCCTCTCCAACGTACCAATGGACGAATGCACGCTTGGCATACATGAGATCGAACTTGTGATCAAGACGGTTCCAAGCCTCGGCAATAGCGGTAGTGTTGGACAACATGCAGACGGCGCGCTGGACCTTGGCGACTTCACCGCCGGGGACAACACTGGGCGCCTGGTCGTTAATACCGACCTTGAAACCAGTGGGACACCAGTCGACAAACTGAATAGTACGCTTAGTCTTGATGTTGGCAATAGCAGCTGTAACATCTTTGGGGATGACGTCTCCACGGTACAAGAGACAGCAGGCCATGTACTTGCCGTTCTTGGGGTCGCACTTAACCATCTGGTTCGAGGTCTCGAAGCAGGCAGAGGTGATCTCCTGGACAGAAAGCTGCTCGTGGAAAGCCTTCTTGGCAGACAAGATGGGAGCGTAGGTCACCAAAGGGAAGTGAATACGGGGATAGGGAACCAAGTTGGTCTGGAACTCGGTCAAGTCGACGTTCAAGGAACCGACGAAGCGCAACGACGCGGTGATCGAAGAGACAACCTGGGCAATCATGCGGTTGAGATGGGTGTACGAGGGGCGGGCAACATCCAGGTTCTTGCGGCAGATGTCGTAGATGGCCTCATTATCAACCATGAAGGCGCAGTCGGTGTGCTCGAGGGTGGTGTGGGTAGTCAAGATCGAGTTGTAGGGCTCCACAACAGAGGTGGCCATCTCAGGGGCGGGGTAGACGGCGAACTCGAGCTTAGACTTCTTGCCGTAATCGACAGAGAGGCGCTCCAAGAGCAAGGCACCGAAACCAGATCCCGTGCCACCACCGAACGAGTGAAAGACAAGGAAGCCCTGAAGGCCCGTGCAGGCATCAGAGAGCTTGCGAACGCGGTCCAGGACTCCATCGACGAGCTCCTTGCCGATGGTGTAGTGACCACGGGCATAGTTGTTGGCGGCATCCTCCTTTCCGCTGATCAACTGCTCGGGGTGGAAGAGGCTAGAAGGTGGGAAAGAATGCAATAAAATACACGGTCAGTCATGGTGTGTATTACCTGCCGCTTCCATGATGTGTAACACTCCATCGAGCACAACAATCGTGTCATTTCTGCTCACCTGCGGTACGTGCCGCGTCTGACCTCGTCAACGACGGTCTCTTCGAGATCGACAAAGACTAAAAGTAGCAAAAGAAACGACCAGTGACGGATTAGCATGGACTCTGGAAAATAAGATTCGCTTCCAGGCCACCCAGTTGTCTCTCGCTATTCCAATCTCCATTTTCATCCCAACAAAACATCTGACGCTTATTAAGACGTAGAAAAATAAAAGCATATACTTACTGGCACGGGGAACGTGCTTGCCGGCGCCGGTCTCAGAGAAAAAGGTGCTCGAGGAGGAATCAAACTGGGACGACTGCTTGTCCGAGGCACTACAGCGAAGGATGAGCAAAAAGAGTGGCAAATAGGGTCAGCACAGATGAGATAGGAAGCAATCCTTTATCTCAATGCTCATCTGCCATCATCTTGCAGACGGTATGTCCGATTCAGATGAGGTACTTACACGGTACCATCGGGAGAGATGCCGTGCTCCAAGCAATAGAGCTCCCAGCAGGCGTTACCGATTTGGATACCGGCCTGGAGTTCAGAAAGAAAAATGAAGCATCATAAACATCAGTACACAAGGCCACGCCTGACAGTCCTAGACCATCATCCCACGGCAATGTCCAATCTTCATCAAACATAAAAGGCAACATCATCATCTTTCCACTCACCTGTCCGACGTGGATGCTGAGTTGAGGAAAAAAAGATTGCAGGAAGCAAGACAGCATCTGAGTGTTAGTCCGGTGCCAAGTCAGGAACAGGCCCCTTGAAGGACATCAAGGCAAGAAAAACGGGTTAAATTTGTACCTGATAACTTCACGCATGTTGATAAAGGATTAAAAAGATTGGAGGAGGTGTGTGAGTGAGTGAGTGTGTGTGTGTGGTGGGGTAAGAGAGAATAGGGGAGCCGGTCTGTTGGAGTCGTGTTAGGGGACTGAAGGAACCGATGAAGAGAAAAGCGAAACACAACAGCGCTCAACCTTTTTATTTACCGCTCGAACGAATGGGAAGGCAAGCACACGCGGGTAAGACGTTGCCAAAGCCACTTGCCACTTTTCATGTGCAAGCCTACGCGGTATGCGCGACGCTGTTGTTGAAGAATGGATTGGAAAGCCAGTAGTATTGGTATCCTTTATTTGCCCTTATATTTTAGCTGTAACGAGATATCAGTCGAAGGGATGTCGATTATATATAACTGCGGATCTTTGCCTGAGTAAGGGCCGTTTGTATCTTTGTTTAGACGTCCCATAGTGTTCTTCAGGTACTCCTCTGCTCTCTGCCGCGCAATGACCCTTTCCAGAGGACTCGCTATATCAGGTACAGGATCTCTTAAAGATGGTAGGGACTCTGTCTCTATGCTTCGCATGTTTTCCCCATCATCCACTTGCCTTAGTCGCTCGTCCGGACCTCGTTGATACTGCTGAATTACTTCTCTTTCAGGACTACTGTACAAAATTGAACAATAAACAACATAGTTAAAGCACCCATAGACTAGTGTCGCGTTCAATCATAGATAAAGGATCTTACCTATCGTCGAAAAAGCTTTTGTCGTTCCGCATGTCACGTACAGCTGGAGATACTCTGCAAACAATAATGCCACGATGTACAGTATTAGAAAATACGAACTACTTTCCAGTCGATGCCAGTGTACAGAACAATCGATCGTACCTTTTGCGCCTTATCACCGTTTCGGGGAGCTGCCTCTTCCTCGTAGCTGTCGGCTGAATTTCTACTGAAGGCAATGTGCCTGCCGTCGAGCTAGCGCCGACAACAATGACTTCTGGATGCGGTAATGGCCTCGTTGTCCGTTCGACAAAGGTTCGCTTTTGCTCTTTATCTAACTGGCTGTCCATTGCGTATTCGTATGTACCTGAGCTCTCCCGTGGTGTTCCAACATGCTTTTCCTGCTCATCCCGTTCTTCTTTTTCTTTTTGGCTAGAAGATAGATGCGAAGTTTGGCAGTGGCCCATGAATTGCGTCGATGTCCCTAGAGTCGATTCCTGAGGCAGTTCGGGCAGACTCGTGCCTCTTCCAGATGTATCGATGGTACGTCCCATTGTTGCTGAAGGGTTGAAGTAGGCAGCGCTGCCATCTGAATATGACAGTTCTTCAATTCCTGTCTCTGGCTGATGTAGATGATCGGAAGCTGGTGTGAGCGATAAAATGTTGGTACTCGCAAGCGCATCCAAACCAACAGCCAAGTGGCCCTCAAACTGACTGGAATCTATCAAGATTGAATGGTCATCTGGCATCAGGTTTGCGGAGGAAACAATGGGTACATCTTCAGTCCAACTATGCGCATATCATACCCAGCCTCCGAAGTCCAGGAAAGGCTCCTTTATATCGCTGTAGGGATAAACGTCTGCCGCCACGGACAGAATCTGTGAAGTCAGCGAAAAAAAGTAAAGCCATAGCGAAGGCAGGGTATGAGTGTCATAGCAGTAAAAACCATGCCCTCAAATGTAAGGAAATATAATACGCCCCAATGACTCCATGGATAATGTTTTACCTTCAATCCAGTCTGGCCGTAGGATCTTCATGGTGGGCTTTAGCCTGTGGCGTACCGGATACGGAGATCAAGAGTCAATGCGTCAGCGTACTATCTCAAAAGGAGTAGACAGCGAGCAACATTTGAAGAAGAAGCGACGATGCACCTGTCTGAACTGGAGGGTGTACGATCGGTGACAAAGGCAATATCGGCCTTTTCGAGTGCCTGTTCCTCGCCACCGTTCTTGGCTTCAAAAAAACAGGATATTATTAATAAACACGCCCACAACGCGCTTATTGCAGTTTGAACGTGTGACAGTGCGACTAGTGTTTCGGTCCTCTTACTCCAGGTAGCCTTGTACGCGTCCAGTTCTGGCGCAAACCATGCGTTGAAATTACGGAACATTATGGTGGTGATGCGCGGGTGCAAATCGATGGAGGAGATGCTACAGGAGTACCGGAAGTGAACTGTAATTCGGTGGCAACGGCTTCATTGGGACAGTCACCACTTGGGTACAAAGGCTAATCTTACGCATCCACCATTGTCCTGATGTACAGCTTCAAAATCAGCCAAGCATGTCAAACGTCGTGGATCTGGGATTCTTCGATGCCATCCAGGCTTCAATGGAGGCGGAAACAGTAGGACAATTCTCGTTACTTGCAACACAATCGCTTTAAATATGTTTTTGACTCTGGACTTGAACATGTTTTCAACAGACTGCCAAGGACAATATCCGCGCTGCCGTTCGAGAGCTTGACCGGACGAACAGAAACATCACCGCAGTATTGAACAGAGTCCATTCTAGTCCCATGGAACAAGGTAAGTCTACCCGTGAATGTCAGTTGCTTTTTCTTTAATAAGAAACGAGCTCATGTCGAAGCACAATGGCCCACACTAACTGTTCTCTTTGCCTATCTCGAGATAGTGCTCGCTTTATGCGCCCAAGCCCGCATCCATTTTGGAGAAATACAGGGACACATCCAAGCAGTGGCCAAGATTGTCCCCACCAACCATTACTACAAATACAATAATCTCTGGTCGGGCCCAATGCAGCAGGCGTGCTTTCTCGCAACGTTGATCATATATCTGGAACATGAGCGATTGATTACAGTCGAGGAACTGGAGGGATTTTTCGCTGGTAGGTCGGCGCTTACTTTATGGTTCCGGATCTGCCCACATTGTCCGCTCTTAAATGATAACTCACATTTGCTATTCTGTTCTCATGCATGAACCGATAGTTAAGGTCGATCTTAACAACGACATGACGGAATTCCAGATATCGATCGAGGAGTTTTTGCACGGCATTGTGTCTTTGACCGGTGAGCTGGTGGGTGAACAGCATGCAACCAAATGCTACATGGATCGGCACTTTTGTATCGAAATTGGACTACTACTAACACAGCAACACCCTTTCTATGTAGTCGCGGTTGGCTGTGAACGCTGTGACGGCAGGAGATTTCGCGCGTCCAGTACGCATTGGCAAGTTTCTCAAGGAACTTTATAGCGGTTTCCAGCTGCTAAACCTGAAGAATGATACGCTTCGCAAAAGATTCGACGGTATCAAGGTAAGGCACCTGGCACAGCATTATTCGGCTACAATACTTACATTATATTTCGATGATCTAAATCTATGTCTATATTTTCGTCTAGTATGACATCAAGAAAGTGGAGGAAATCATTTACGACTTGACAGTACGGAAGCTTGTCATGGCCTCCACAGAGCCAGCGCAGGGAGTAGATCATGTTGGAACGGAACTGCGCGCATAGGATGTGCCGTTGGCCAGCGGCTGAGAGGAGGTAGCCACAACGCTTTATGTCTCTCCATCCAGCTTTTTCTCTGCATTTGCTTTGTGGGCAAGGCGCACGAATTTGGTGTGACGCCCAAGAGCAACAACTCTGTCTCTGGTGGTAATCTCTACATCCGTAAAGGCGAGAGAGCCCCCAATTTTGAGACAACGAGAGTTCTAAGGAGCAGGACAGCAGAAATCACTCTTAGGACGCGCATATACACCAACATCAAACAATAAACAACCTAGTATCATCTTACAATGGACAATGTGTCATCCAGCTGAGCCGCAGACACAAAGGACACGCTAATGTCTATGACCATTTCGGTCAGTAACTTCGCCAGATTTAGTTCACCATTTATCATCCATCGCAAGCTTGCTGAACTTTACCTGTTGACATACCGGTGGCGAGCATGTCATCTGCGGCAATTGCTAATGATCCACCAACATCGACAATAGTGCTGAGAAGACCTCCATGGCATCCACCCAGTCGATTCTATAAGGACGAACAATTTAACTCAGTATGAGTTTCCAATGAAATGAGCATTTTGATCATGTTTTCAAAATCGGATTAAATACATACCAAGTGCTGGGGAGTAATCTTGAGTTCAGCATGGCAAGTGCCCTTTCCAGCAGAGATAAGCTTGAGCTACGGTTGCGTTATTGGCGTATAATGCATTAGTATGGGTATGTGGGATTGCCAGATGGGAGCTGCAGAGCGAGCCACTTACACCGGAAAGAGCATGGGCATCGAATCCGTCTTGCTGCACGTAATTGGTCCTAACAATTGAAAGATCCGTCAAAAAACCGCTGTCATTTTGTCATTGCGAAGATATCCACCCAGTGTCATCTCATACCAAACTCTCTTGACGCGGTTCAGGGCAGCCATGGTAATCAAGTGTGAGAAAGTGATGAGGAATCTTGAAAGTTGGAATGAGGGAAGATCAGGTCCTGGCTAAGAGTATCCGGAAACTCCCACGCTCCATGTGACTAGCAGACCAGCAGTCGTCGAAAAGTAGAACTGCCCGCGGCATACAAAAATTAAAATAGCTTTATTGGACGATATTTCGCCCTTCTTTCCATCTATGGCACCATTTTCGACCAGAACCTTGAGGTTGTCTCGGTGTTTGCAACGCGAGAAGCCGACATACAATTGCCTAGCACCAAAGACGTTCTGAGGAAGATAAACACCAACGTGGTCAAGTGTTTGTCCTTGCGCCTTGTTAATGGTCATGGCAAATGCAGGCTTGACAGGAAACTGGCGCCTAATGAACTTGATTGGTGTAAATCCGTCGTCCAGGGTCATGAGAGGTATGTGCGGAATAAGCGCCGTTCGGTTCTTGAAGTGCAACAATAGTCATATAGTATATATATCCGTGCACTGCAAATATTAGTAAGAATAGTTCTTTTCTCTACTCCCTTCGTCTTGTTACATTGGTAGCAAAGGAAAGTCACTCCACCATGTCCCAGCCAACGTCCACCAACCCTGTCATCCTCATAGCGCTTGAAACGCTTCTCCAAGATTTCGCACAACTTGACCTCACCCACCCCTCCGGTCTGCAGTTTGCCCAAGGCCGTCTGCGTCCACTCGTTGAAGCCCAATCCACTGCGCCCGCACTTGCTCGTGTCCACGCACCATCCCCAGGGCCTTACCGCGGAGAAAGAAATGCAACCAAGGCGCTCTGCTGGTTAAAAATGATCGAGCTTTATTTCTCCGTCGCTAAGGTCAAACAGACCGAATGGACCACCATTGCCGCGCTCCTCTTATCCGACAAAGCGGCAACATGGTGGACATACTGTTCCGTCCAGACCCAAATTGGGACTGTACTGGGAGTGAACCTTCACATTTAGGCCACTTCCTTTTTTATTCATGAAACTATTAAGCTATCTAATACTCCAAGCCCCAGATGGGGCTATAAAAACCCCTACCGGGAGTATAATAAACACACACGCTCTTTTGTCTCCTTGACTCACACTCAGGTACATAAAACACCACAGCCACCTTAATACAGACATTCGTTCCTACCCTGACTTCCTGACTTGTGTTACTGTTGTACTGTCGATGCTTCTCCACATGCGGAAGTTACGCCACAGAAAAGGCTTGAGATGGTGGGCTAGCACCTTGCAGGTACATAGGCAATTGAAAATGTCGTGCGGATCGAGATACTGTACGGTGTGGTCGGCCAGCTCAGGAATGTTGAAAGTGGTGATAATACAGGCGTTGGCTGTCATGGTGATATATGAGGTGTGAGTTGTGTGCAAAGGACGAAAGCGAGATAGGCAGTGCAGGGAAATGTGGGAGGTGACAAGATATTGGCCTCTTAAATAGACATGTGTCGAAATGAGCTCATGCTCAAAGAGCCTGGGGGCGAAGCAGTAGCAGCGCAGCGGACAACATTTGATACACTCCATCTTACTTGCCGATCTGGATCAACTATCTGTGAACATTTCCCAAGAGAACCCTAATATGTTTAGAACTTAGTTCCCCATTGGAGGCACACCATTCGTTGTCCTTCGCACACACACAGGCACAGACGCAGGTGTGTTTTTGACCCACGCCTCTCTCAACCTCCCCAGTGCCCATCCTCTCCACACTCCCACTCTCGCGCCCCTTAACCCCTTGCATGGAAAGAGAGAAAAAAAGAAGGGAGATGTTGTTCTTTCGAACAAATCTATAGAACAATGGGCTTAATCTCAGCAGATCGTAGCAACAAGGCTACTCTACTGCTTACAATATCCCGTTCAATTAAAGTCGTCTGCAACGAATTTAGTGTAGGTGGCAAAATGCTGGTTATGTGAAAATGGATCTCCTCCATGAATGCATACAAAAGCTGACGTTCAGATGTCATTCCTTGTCTTTTAACAGTGGAGTGCCTTCACCGCCAAAGGCAACGGAATCGCCTGGGATTTGATCCGCCAGATGGCGTCTCCAGAGGAGACTGCGAATACCAAGCTTTGGGATGCAGAATGGGGTCCTGACACCAACAGTGCGACGATGAACGAGGCCAAAGACTTCTTGATTCCTATGGGAGGTTGCAAACAGTCAGTGGTCGGAGGGGTTCTAGGGTGGAATCAGAGGTTTATTCGATTATTGATTGTTATCTAATCCTACGTTTGAAGAGCTCTTATATACGAAGGATGTGGCTAGGCACAGTTGTGCTGGAATGCTCTAGAAACTGGACGCAGCATGGTTATGACTATGATATCATGCTCGAATAAACTGTTGTACCTGTTTGCAGAGGCACTCTGGGTGATTTTATTAATGTCACTTCTCATGAATGGATTTCTCTGGTTATGCTAGAGGACAAGTTGTTCGAAACCTAGCACCATGGTCGAATTGTCATCATTGGCGGTGGCGAGTTTATATGGCGTGATATATGCACCTGATACGCTGGTGAGAGAGAGTTTGGCTAGTAAGTCGGGTTTTCTCGAGAGGAAGTTGTATTTTCTGTTGGGGTTGACCGAGGTTTATTGAAAGAATTGAAGGTATTTAAGTATTTGATAACAGTTATGTAAAAAAGAGGAGGAAGCAGTAAAGGTGCTAGACTGAAAGCCGTGGCATTGAAAATAGTAAAATAGCAACATGTGAGGTCGGTCATAAATGGCGCAACAGTAACAACTGGCGTAGGCACCTTGATGCAGCCTTTTCTCAGCCATAACTGCTGGCAGGGTGTCCTTAGCTATCAAACTCCTTGGGAGTTCCGATACACCCAGTGACCTCACAATCGCACCACTGGGTACAGACAGTGTTGTATATGCGATACTGAATCTGTCCATGGCTATCGCAAATGTATCCGTAAGTGAGGTTACATCTTCCCCACAGGTCGTAGTCGCCAATGCAATCCATGTCGTATTAGAACTTGACATTTGGATGAACTTGTGTCGCGTTGGTGGGGATACTTCTCGCAAGCATCCCGCCTGTTCCAATAAGACTAAGGATGGGTATTAACTGCACTTCTCACGGCTCTGGCAATCTGAAGCCAATTCTCGTTGACTGATTGGAAGACTATTACTGTAACATCGCCACCGGTCTCGCAAAAGAGTGGGGGGTCTCCTCGTCTTTGGAATTCTGCTACGATGGCTGCCTTGAGTTCCTCGTGCCTGGCTTCTTGGGTATATCGGCACAGACGTACGGGTGTTTCCGCGTATGTGTTTACTAGTATGAACTCCAGTTTGATAGTGTTGTTAGAATGTAGGAGGTGGAGATAGGGTATATTTTCTTTCCAAGTCCCCCGCCTTTTATATTTCAACATCGCCCCCATTTTCTCCTGACCTTGCGCCTTTGTTTGCGCATTGCAGCTTTCAGAGCCGGCATGCGCAAGGGGGGGATGTGGCGTAATAAAAAAAAGCACATTCAACGCTCTCTTACCTCGCTCCCTTCATCCCCGGAAAAAGGCATTTCAATGCCCCCCTGAAAATTGAGTTTGAAGTGGGATTACTCCTTAGTCTATTTTATCCTTTCGAACAAAGTCATGCTCTCGGGTCTGATTCCGACAGAAAGATGGAATTGAAGGGGTGAGAAAGTCAGGTGAAGGTTGAGTTGCCCAACCGGCCCGGGCGAGCACTCTTCTTGAGCTTTACCTGCACCTACAGTTCGCTCCTCTTTCATGGAGTTTGTGCGAATGGTGTTTGGTCTGTGGTCGAATAGATCCTGGTTACCAGAAATTGGGCCTGAAGACGAGCAAACGCGCCCGTTCACTAGCCCCTGCTGAGCGAGCGACCTTTTGAAAGTGGCTCGCCTTCAAGCTGTACGTTGTAGAGACTTACAGGTTTGCCTGGGAAAACTGCTGCGTTTTTGTTGACATTACAGCCAAAAGTTTAATATCGAATCCAACGTTCCGAGTCTTCGCTTTGACAGACACAGCAGTGACCTTGTGCACAAACTATGACCTAGCAATTTCTCGCTAGCACAAACCAAAAAGTCCCAATTGTCGAATCAACCATTCGCGAGCCTTCGCTCTGATAGACGTGAGAACTACTTGGTGTTTGATTGGTGTAGAGACGTACAACTTTGTCCTGGATAATTAGTGGCGAGCTAACTCGGAACGAATCCGATTAGCAGCACATGCAACTTATCCGTTGAATTTGGTGCCACAAAGATCGCTTCCGGGTTGACTCTTGGCGAATCACAAAAAAAATTTACTTCGCAACAGCCGATTCTTGCAACAACGTTCGTCACTTGAGGACATGAAGGGGAAAAAGGATGCATGGAAGAGAAAGAGGTCGAAGGGAAGACATTGCGGCGGGCAGGCAGGGCGCGATGGAAACAAACACGCCATCTGTCTGAGTTCAATCAACGGTAGGGTTATGGCCATGTGAATGCGATAGGATGTCACAATTGCTCAGAACACGAGTACCAGCATGTAGCTTATCATTTTATTTACTATCTCACCTAGGAACTTGCTCCAGATCATGGATTAGCAAATATAGACTATCCAATGGTATGCTGCACGTTCCTCAGCTGAAATAGCAAAACAGGTTTTTTCCCCTCGCCCTCTTTCTTTCCTCGCCTAGTGGACTATGTCACGCCTGGGTGCATACTGCACGTAATTGATTTTAAGTTACATTTTAACGCGACGGTATCCGATTTGCATGCATGATCTCACTGCTGTGCTGTGGTGTGCTGTGCGACATTGGCTCGATTCAAATAAAAATTTCTTCTGTGCATTTTGTGTTTGCATTTGTGGAGGTCGGCATGAATCCTATGCATAAAATTTATATTTTTTTATCTTCCCTTGATTTTGAGTCGTGCCATTTGGATACGAAGTCCTGCAGCACAGCAGTGAGATCATGCATGCTCTCCTTCTTCGGATGTAGTTCCGAGTCATAACCTAAAAACTTAAAAACTTCCATGTCCTTGGATATTTTCTCAAAAAATTGGCTCGTGGAATCGTTCTTGGGAATGAAGGTTGACCAAATCCGAGGATAAGATACCAAATTTGAACGGAATGTGCAGTACGATCAAGCATACAACTGGGAGAGATTGTACTTAAATCATAGCTTTGCCGAGGATTGAGGGCATAAAAGTCGTTACTCACGCGGGCGGTACGCTTTTTTCATTCTTCGTTTCCACACCTCACGCGGCTTCACTTTTTTGTTCTCAGTCACCAGGACTCCATATAACAGATATAACATTCACATTCTAAGATGAAGCGCCAGTAATGATGGGAGTTAAACTTATTGGTATGGTCTTCTACATCTTCATGTAGGTTACTTTACAGTACAATGCAATTACCTCTATTGGTCAACGTCTTATTAGCCGCGTGCGTTTGCGTTGCAAGAGGGCGCCCGATTAATTCCACCGATATTGGGATAGACGTAGCAGTGGTATATGACCTATTCTGCTCCGACGGTCCCCTCGGCTATGCTTGCAGACATGCTTGTTCCTGTAATCAAAACAATGGAAGATTAATATGTCCGGTATATCTCCCAGATGGCACCTATAAGGGTGTGCCAAGCACACACTGCTCCACTGACAAAACACCTCCAGCTGCCGACTGCCAGTGTACTGCTCGGGCTGAATGCATCCCGGGACACAATTTGTGTTAAAGCCGTTCAAATCAAAGGCCTGAGAGTTATCTAGGCATAGCTACGTTTTAACCCTTGAATAAAGATCAACACTGGTCTCCTTTAAATCCAACGTTTGGTAGTAGAAAGAACCACCATAGAAGGATTAAAAAACATCGCAACAGGCAATTTATTATCCAGTTTGCGTAGTTGTGCGTTAGACCCTTGTATTCAGACTGGGAGTTTCCTTACTCCATACAACTGTAAAAGAACTACTGTGCGCAACAAAAAGTTCATATGTTTTTTGCAAAATTCGAGTTTTTTCTTTATAACTCCGCGTTCGTACATTTGATTGCTCCAGAACTTCGGAGAACTATACCTTGGTATTACATCCATCACTGTGTGAGTTGCGAAAAGGATCTGCTTACACTATGGATTTCTATGCGATTTTAAAGTCGCATGTCCATATGAACTTTATTTTTTGGATAAATGTTGATTGTCAATTCCTTTATTGATATCCCCGATCTTTCTTCCTTTAATGCTCGATAGGGCCTCCTTTACTTCTGTAGACCATCGCGATGCGCTGAGGCATGCTGTCGTACAGTTTATGGATAAAGTCTATGGGAATATTTGTCCATATGTCCTGCACTCTCTCCCATAACTCCTCCATGTTCGCTGGTGCCTTTGGGTAATGTCCGATCTTGCGTTTAATATGCGTCCACACATGCTCGACCGGATTAAGGTCTGCTGAGTTGGCAGGCCACTGCAGGATTTTGATCTTGGCCTTGGAAAGGAACTTCTTGACGGCTTTTGCGATATGGACCTTGGCATTGTCATGCTGAAAAGCAAATTTTGTCGGATCCATGTCATACCAATCCCTGGATTGGAGAACATAGGAATTGAGGACATCCACGTACGCCTCAGCGGTGATCCTGCCCCGGGTCCAACAGGTATCCCCTACGCCGTAATAGGTGATGCAACTCCAGATCATCATTTTGCCACCGCCACTTTGCTTGGTTTTGTTGGTTTGAAATGTCCTGAGCGTTTTGTCTTCGGGCTTTTTGTAGTAGAACTCACTTCCCAAGGACCCTATCTTGCTAATTATGCTTTCGCCTGAGAACATTATATCACGCCATTGCTCGGCAGTCCAATGTAAATGGTCGCGAGCGAATTTGTACCGATTCTCGATTTGATCGTCCGTCATATCAGGCTTCTTAGGCTTGACGTATCCTTTCAACCCTTGCTGTCTAAGATAGCTCCGGATGGTCTGTACATGGACCTGAACACCTTGTGTCGAAAGGACAAGTTCCTGACCGTCATGTGGAGTTAAAAGTTTTCCGGTTGACATTTTTCGGGCTAAAAGAGTCTTCGTGGTTTTGGAAACCTTTGAAGGCCTGCCTCTTTTCTTGATGGGAATGTAGTACTTGTATAGTCCCCTAATCTTGGATACCATTCCGATCGATATACGGAGGGTTTGGGAAATCTCACGAACGGTTTTTCCTTGTTTGAGGAGCGCAAATGCTTTCACTTTGGTTGATTCCGGCAGGGACTTCATGTTCAGGAGTAAGTTGGTGAGAGTGAATATGAAGGGGAGTGAAGTGTTGTAGTAGTGTTCAATCGAAGATTGGAGGTGTAAAGTTTAGAGAACGGAACCATGGAGGATGGAGTTCTTATATCCAGAAAATAAAGTTCATATGGACATGAGACTTTAAAATCGCATAGAAATCCATAGTGTAATCAGATCCTTTTCGAAACTCACACAGTGCTGGATGTAATACCAGGGTATAGTTCTCCGAACTTATAGAGCAATCAAATGCACGAACGCGGAGTTATAAAGAGAAAACTCGAATTTTGCAAAAAAAAAAAACACATGAACTTTTTGTTGCGCACTGTAAATAGAACCAATGGTAGAAGTTAAAGAACCCGTTAGTAGACCCCCTACACTGCAGTGTGTCGAAATTCTGTTCGTATAGCAGGATGAGTTCCGGTGCGAAAGAAAAGATGATGAGGTGTATTCAGAGCATGCGAGTAGTTTTGTCTTCGTTTTTCTTTATTTCCTTTGTCTATTTGCTTTGAATTTTCGGTGCAGAAAATAAAGAAAAGAAGTGACACATTATAGATCGGCTTCCGCTGTGGTAATCCCCCAAATCAACCCGTCTAAGTCATCGAATCACCACGGTTATCATCCATCATACCTTAGACTAAGCACCCGCTGTGGTTGTTGCGATGTGAAATGATTATATAGAATATAGAATTCAGGGCCCAGACACCATTGTGAGAACATCTTCGCGCCAAACAGTAGCACGTCATTAATAAAACCAATGGGTTCAGCATGGCCAATTTATTTGATGGTAGCGATAGCTGAAAGGCGGCAGTTTTTAATTCAGTCCTTTAACCTATATAGAATAAAATACCAGAGCACTGAAACAACCTTTCCATATTCGTCTTCATCTTACCATAATCATTTCACTTTGGGAGCCTCCGGGGCATCGTTCTCGGATGTCGAGAGCTTGAAGATGACTTCAGTGCTTGTTGACTGGCGGTGATAGCGGTGCTGGCGGCACTAGGATGGGGGATAGCTTAGAAAAAAAGTGCGGACTGGGCGTGTTGGGCCAGGGCCTGTAGGACATTCAAGGCTTTCGTATGCCACCCGAGATCAGGGATAAAACTCAGGCTTTGCATTGCAGCATGGTTCTGTAGGAGAAAGTGGGAATGTGAAGGTGAAGGACTGATAAAGTCAAAGGTGTGCTTCGGCGAAATGAAGGGGTGGAGAGTTGCCAAAAGGCACGGATTTTATAGGCATTTACGCATGCATGCACTACCAAGAACGCGAAGCCTTATGTTTCGACGGGCCTTGATAGATGCGGGGAAATAAGAGGACAGGGTGTGGTTGATAGCTCATATATCTCCGTCTATGATTGAGGCTAGCTCGCGTCAAATCTTTTATTCGTGCACACAGAATAAACCCTGCGGAGCAATCAGTTTGACGCGTCTTCTGTCTCCGTTGCATTATCTTCTGAACCGAGAGATCGACAAAGGAATGGATCGCTCAAAATAGCCAACCTCTATGGTTTTGGTTACAGTAGAATTCGTCCATATACACAAACACGGCATCCTTATACTTGTCGGAGCGTCGCTATTGAAGGTAGCGCCGCCTTTTGGCCTTGATATCCCCGGTCTCGACAAAATTCCTAGTGTTTCCGACATCCTGATAACGGAAATCTATTTTCTTCATCAACAAGCGAATCGTTTCCTTGCTTGGAAAATTGACCTGATCCGCGAATAGCATCTTGATACTGCTGAAATAGACTCGAAGGTTAACAGCGTCCCTTGATGTTCATTTCCGTTGGGATTCGTCAAAGGCCTGAAGCAAACGATAGAGTGTGATTGCAGCGTGGATGCTTGCCTCGAACGTCTCCGCTATCCTTTCTCAACACGATACTCTTGACGGTATTGAGTGAGAATCTCATGTAATAAGCCGTTCGTAAAAAAGGATCCGATGTCGTAACAAGTTTCGCGTTCTCTTTTTCTCCATTGCAAAACTCGTAGCAATGAAGTACTGCTCTACGCTCCTCGACAGACACCTTTTTTCTAAAAGCTGTTTATGTTGTTTGATTGAAAAACGTATTGCTGGAAGGCGAGGCCGTTCGCAATTGTCTGATCTGGCTCTACAATAGCTTAACCTTCTTCTGCAGCCTCCCAATCGTCTCCAAAGTCTCCAAGGCTATTGACTCTTCCTCTTTTTTCCAGATCGTTGGACAGAGTTTCGGAAAGAGATCAAGGCAGGGGCCTTCCCCAGAAAGTGCCAAAGGGAACACCATGTTGCTCATGGTAGTAGATATCTGCACTTGGTTCGAATTTCTCGTACTCATGAAGAATAAGACAGCAGCAACCGTAGCGCACAGACTATTTAAGATATTTACCATCATTGGTTTTCCTCGCATTTTGCAGTCGGACAACGGAAATGATCACAGAGATAGGTGTACAACATCGGTTGGTCACTCCTTACCATCCATGAGCTAACGGCGTAGCCGAGAACCACGCCAAGACAGCTGTCAATATTATCCGTAAAGAGATCAAAATGAAGAAACGAAGTTGGGACAGACATATCACCATGCCCAGTTAAACATGGGTACGAGGATTGTTGCATTGCACAACTCTTCACCCTTCTCGTTATTTTTTGCCAGACGTTTCAACGGTTTCTATAATTTTTTCAAATGACAAGGATGAACGATTGCCCCATAGTGTACTCTTGGAGCGACTTCAATACATCACCGAAGTTGTTTTCCCAGCTGTAAGCGCTAAGTCGCGTGCCACTCTGAAGAGAATGATTGAACGATTCAACAGAACGGTACTGCACAACGAGTTCCCTGATAAAGCCAAGGTTATGACTCTCGATCCTATCTTGGGTGACAAATTGACGCCCGAGTATGAAGGTCCTTATGTTGTTGTGCGTAGAATTACAATGCAGATGATAATTATGGTAATGAGTTGAGCGATAATGGAGGCATATCAGGTTTCGAGTATTGTATTGAGTTGAGTGGTGATGGAGGTACATCGGATGCCGATTATGGAGGACCATCCTCTGGAGCCCCTTCAAAGGCATTTGTTGCAACACGACGAAAAGAAATTCGACCGCTGACGGTGAAGACAGTTCTTGTCGGCCAAGGAAATAAATCCGCATTAACACTGATCATACGAACAGGTAAGGGCGTTTCGGAAGTCGAGGATGGGTCAGACGAATAAAGAGCTTTACATGAACATCTTGGCTATGTATGTATATTGACGTTATGGAGCAAATGGGTGCAGACTTATGCCTCCTCATCCGTTCTCCTTCGCCGTGACGGGCTTGGATGGGGAGTGCAGAACTACTCTCTCCCACTCCATTGTTGCTAGGCCCTCTTTCGGATAGGCGGACTCTGCTGCCTCCTGTGCCAATGTCTGATTGTGGTATTCATACCGCTGCTTTGCGAGGAATGCATTCTGTGCATACGAATGATAGTTATTCTACGTTGTGGAATAAACGAACAAGGGCTTAGTACGCATCCTCTCAGCAATGAAACACTAAGCAAATACACTCCATGATTTTTACCAGCAATCTGAACAACACGTAAACATCTTTCTCTAGAAAGAAGCGGACGTGTGCGCCTGTTCTTGGCAGTGCAAGTGTGGGGCATGCCATTCCAAGCACCCATATGTCTTGGTATCTAGTTATTTTGGACACTGTCGCTGTCATACCTACCAAGAAGTTATCAAGATTAAAGAGACGTTAGATACTATTATTTTCTTACTTCGTCCTTGTATTTTCAATACTAACCATACCTTGAATGTTCAAAATGGGAGGACATTCTAACCCGTACTTCTCGAGTTCCAGCAAGATACTCTTGTTGATTTTGGCATTCTTTCGCATCTGAATAGCGATGTCAATGGAGCTGGAACTCTCACGTTTTGCCTCAAAATTGCCGACCTCCAGGCCGTCTACAGCAAGGATGCAGTCGCACTTCCGTGTAGCGTTGTCAGTATCAAAGGCCTCTGCAAGTGCTGACTTGGACAACGTGGTTGCGGCGCAGCCTTGGTCACCACTACAAAGATAGTTGATTAAAGAAAATATGGGAACCTGGAAACCCGACATTGTCCAACTCCCGAGTGCGAATATAAAGTGTATATGTAGTAACATACAGGTGCAAGCTCAATGCAGTGTCCAAAGGCAAACCGTCTTTGAATACCGATGCCCAGAGGAGCAATGCGTCCGCCTCAGATAGCGCCTTAGGTCCAGTTAGAGGCCTAATGACATGCATGAGGCTTTCTCAGCGAGGGAGGGGTTAATAGCAGAAGCAAAAGAACACCGACATGTCACCGACATTATCCGGAAGTCATACATTGTCTGAAGCACACGAAGATTGAGTCTCTGAGCGGGGAGTTCGTACTGCAACTTATAGGTGTGCTCCAACAGTTCCTGCAGGGATGACCCGTCGTTGAGCTTGTCTATTAGCGGCTGAACAATGAGATCTATTCCAGGAATCTTCGCATCCAGATGCGGGAGTAAGCACAGATCTTGAGCTTCCTTTGACTGTGCAGGGTCAAAATGGTCGCTGGCATTTTGGGAAAATAAATTCCAAATTCCGGACAGAGCCACGCTATTATAATTATACGAAGGAATGATATAAGTAGTGATGAACGAAAAGGAGAGAGACAAACATAAACTGATAGCTTACAACGCGTCCTTGTACTGCAGACATCGACCTTTATCGAAAGAGGGGATCCTGTTCATACGCTGGACATCATGGAGGTTCTTCAATGCAATCTTGAATAGCATCTCTTTGTTTTTACTACCGATCTCCTCAGAATATGACTCGTTCAGTATGGGCAACTCCACATCCCACCCTGAGTACTATGAAACAGAGCCTAGAATACATTAGTGTGACAGATACCCATATCCATTAATGCAATGAGGCAGAAAACAAGTTGCCTACCATGTGGATGGCAGACTCGATTATGGAATGGCAGGGCTCACTAAGCCTTCGCTTAGAAGCGACAGTTTGGGAACCAGCACTGAATGACGTCCTGCTCCGTTTCCTCACAGATAAACGTGGTGACCCCAAGGGAGCTATTGGATAGAGAAAGAGAAATAGGCATTCAGAGTAAGACGGAGATTCTTCAGCTTCAAGACAGCCCAACAACCGGTGTAGATGACCGCACACCTGCTACACGATTCTCCACATGGCTTTCCGCTGCAGACAAAGATTGACGACGCGAGTCGAGCTTTCTGGCGCTAGGTGATGGGGCTATTAATAGAAGAATAAGATTGGTGATTCTTTATTTTTCAATTATGGTATATCAGGCGCGCATACCTGCGATGAAGTTGTGGACGAGGATCTCAGTGTCGACATCCACTTTCCGTGCTGCAACCAAAATTTGATGCCGGGCATAGTCCTCCAAAGCTGCTAAATGTTTGACCTATTTGAGTGAAAGCATAATGGAATAATGGGATATTAAGCCTTCGTTCATTAATTTTGTCCAGCTACAATTTCAAGCGCAAAAACATAACCACCTTCTTCTCCATGTCTTCCTTGTTGCTCCAATAAGATTTCCTCTTCTCTTTGGTAGTGCTCCACTGGTGCCGTAGTCCTTTAGCTTTCTTTGGGCATTGCTCGCCAACGAGGGCGATGACTTCAAACCACACTTTGCTCGCGACCTGTCGGCGATCTGATGGAAAGTTTAGGAATTTAAAGAAGCTGATGGCGGAGAAATCGTTGAGGTTTCGACCAACTATGTAAGATGCATAGGCGGAATCTTTGGGAGGTACGATGATCGTCATGTTGTACTGGTGGTAAGCAGTGGCACGCTGATGCGATTGCTGATGCGATTGCTGATGTTGCCCGTCTCGTTTGGAGTGGCCAGTTTTCCCAATATGGAAGGTGTCTCGGCTGCCTCGAAAGGAAAATGTGGCGACGGTAACATCAGATTTTGAATTGACGTGGGCTAATCCTTGACGCTTGTAAGTTAAGTGTTGGGAAATAGACTGTTGCAGGGGAGGACCAAACTCATCCATACTTTCCATGTTGTCCGTAGTGTGATGGGCTGGCTTAGGCGAAAGCATAGAGTCGTAGTTGATTTCGAAGACGTTGTATATCCTTTTCACCAAATATAAATACAAGGGATCCTATGCTTTTCGTAATCGTCACAGGAACAAGAAAGAAGAAAACTTCTTTCCATGTCGGCGACAACGGAGTATTGAACTTCAGTTGAAGTAAATGATTTCACCTCAAGCTGCAGATATGTAGAAGAGAAAGAATTAGAACCGCAGGGAAGAATATCAGATCTATCACACGAAGAGTACGCACCTTAAACTCGTCCATCTTTTCTGTAATCATATCCTTCGCAAGAGAGAGTTCCAAATTCATCGCCTTGGCCTTCTTCATTTTGTCATACGCTGACAGCTCCACAGGCAATAGTCCCTTCCTGGTCTTGAGGTAGGTGACTCGAAAGTCAGTCTTTATGATATTGTATAGCAAGAAGATAAGATAATCTGCGCAAACATTGCGCTCGTTGCCCAGATGAACTTTCTTGGGCGTTTTATGCCAGCTTTCCACCAAGTTATTCGTGTCCACATGCTGATAATTCTGAAGATAACGTCAAAAAGGAGCAAAATTCACCCAGGTTGGCATAGATTCACCGTTCATCCATTTCCTCTCGATATAACGAATTAAGATGACTTTTTGCGCATGCTGGCCCTTGAACTCATTCCGTAGCTCGAGCAGTTTTTCCTTGGACTCTGAAGCGTGAACCTTGTTCAGCAAAGGTCGCATCCAGCGCGTCTCATCACATTCCTTCACCTAACGATGCGAACAAGGTTTCGCACGGTTCAGTGTCTTGCATGCAGTGCAACAAAATGAAATCTTGGTTTCGTGTTACATACACTGGTAGATTTGCGGAGACGGTGTCCCCAAAGTTGGCCGGGATGGAAGTGGCAATAATATATCGATGAATTAAGAAACACTGCCTTCAGCGCCTAGGATTAGACTACTGAATAGTCTATCATGAACTATTTTCTCATAAAGACTATTCATAAATAAACATACTCAACGAATGACCATATTTTGATTCAGAGCTGGTAATCATATATGCAATAGGGATCCCTCGATGGACTTGGCAGTCTTTTACAAGGATCGTAAATAGATATACAGACGTGTATACAGGAGAGTTTCCAGGCGACTCGTCCTCGATAGGCCTCAGAGATTTAACAGCCTTATGTGTGGAGCCCATGCAAACTATCAGCCTATTCTCATTCATATTCTGTTGAAGGGAGAATAAGTAGCAGCAACAGAGACGTAGACAGATGGATAAAAAAGTACCGAGAGAGCAAGAGAAAAGCTGAGTACCAGGGGATTATGAATTACTGTGGCTCGTTGTCAATGGTATCCAAGAATATTCCTTTGTCTTTGCCTTTTCCGATTCGTTTGATCCATTCCTCCACGCTCTTTATAACATCCTTAGTTTTTGAGAAGTCTTTATACGCGCTCGATGAATGACTCCCCTAATATAAACGTACTTGATAAGAAACCCGAGAGGGAGGTTCTCTTTTTCCTGCTCCAACTACAATAAGATATACGAAGCAATCAATCAATTTCGTGAGGAGAGCTAGGCATATTGCCGCGGATGACAGAAACCACGAATGTACAGTCACCTAACAAAACTAATTAGTGAATCATAACTTTTACCTATGCTTTTGCGCATTCTTTTTCAAATTACCTATATACAACACACCTAAAGAGTTATGCAGTCGCTATGAAATTCTTCATGTCTATCGAAGGGCTCTGGGGGAACATCTTTGGTGAATATCAGGGTGGTTTATGCTGAAGGAGAGGGTTGTGGCTCGCTCAATATCTGCCATTACCACCTCTGTGCTTTTTCACGAATTCCAGTCTCTGGGGCATCGTGTCGACTAGCCTTGCCAGCTGTTCTTGTGGTAAAGCATTCCACTCCTCCACTAGAGCTCTCATCAGGGTTGCAATGTCCCGAGTTTGACTTCGTCGTCGATTGAGGGCAGTACCAAGGAGGGACCAAACATGCTCGATGGGGTTCAAATCTGGGGAATTGGCTGGCCAGTCCTCTATCTTGCGAAAGCCGTGCACTTGGCGCCAACTCTTTGACAGCGCGCAGCTGTGCACTGGGACACCATCTTCCATGAGGATTCCATCCTGTACCTCCGTCATAAACCTAAGCAATTCACCCTCATACACATCCTCCACGAAGCACTGTCCGTCGCGACGTCCTCGCTCAAAAACAACCAGCCTGGACTTCTTAGTAGCTGTAAATGCGCCCCAGACCATGAGGGAGGTCCTACCGCTCTTGAATGTGGGTGCGAGGCAATTGTCATCGTACTTCTCCTCCGCTGTTCGCCAAACTCGAATCTGGCGAAAATTCTCTCCAACCTCGAATGTTGACTCATCAGTCCATACTACCCTTGACCATTGCTCCGTTGTCCATTTGCTGTACCTCCGCATAAATGCGAGTCGCTTGTCCTTGTGAACGTCGCTGAGATAGGGTTTCTTTGCGGCTACCCGGCTGAAAATGCCAGCTGAATGGAGCGCTCTCCGAACGGTGCCTTCGCTCACTTCATGGGGTACCATGTTGGTGATATCCTGTAGAGTGACACGTCTTTCAAGCTTTGTATTGCGTATCATACTCCTAATGTCTCTCTCACTGAGCGCTCTTGGCCGTCCAGGAACTGGGGCGTGTGCAGTGGTGCCTCTTTGATGGTAGATGTGAATAATATTGGTCATTGTGGCATATAGCCATATTACATGCTGCCACCGCGTGTATTTAATTAGATCCAGCGAGTCCTATCAATTTACTTAAGCCACCGAGTAACATATAATGTTCTCGGTGGATTAATATTAAAGATCCCTCTCTTGTTCTCATTGACTTCTGGTTCATATATACTTCGCAGTCATCATGGGCCTGGGTGTGTTACACTTCGCTGCAATTTCCGTATGGCTCATCCCCGCTAGACTCATTCCAATGATAACACCTTTTTCTTCCATGGATAACTGTTTCGGCATGGTAGCTACTCAAGCTGCTGTCGACTGTGCTTGGAGAAGAAAAGTCGTGTTGAAGAAAAGATGCTCATGGCTTGAAAATTATGATTCGCTAATTAGTTTTGTTAGGTGACTGTACAGTCAAGTCAACAGACCATATCAAGGCTGCCTTGGCGAGGTCTTAAAAGCTTCTGGATCCCTTTCCAGTTATACTTCCGAGATCTTCTCTCTATACCAATTCCGATTGTTTAGCCCCCGAGGGAATTTTTTGCTTATTGCAAGGGAGCTGCTGTCCTTATAACGCCAAAGGTACTCGATGTCTACTCGGTCTTGGTTCGCCCTTTTGCAGATTCGGATATGGACTGGACACCGTTGACCGACAGAGTCACGGCCACTGGAAAGTGTTTTCTTGGAGTCCCATGTCTGCATACATGTTTCACTGACCAATCGAATCCGCGTGGTCGGCCTCATTTTCCGTTATAATACTTTTGAACGTAGACGGGAAGTGGTGCGTTGGCATCCAGAGTTTTCCAAGTTGTGTAAAATCGCTCCATATATTATACTGACTTCGTCTTGGTGTCCCATAGGCCAGGTCCCTAGGCTACATCGTGGTTGGTGCAAATGAATACTATACGTCCAAGAAATGTCCAACGTGCGAGAAGTTTGTCGGCCAGGTCGAGATTCTCAGGCTATACTGCTCAGCCTGCAACACTTCCATGCACCGCGATATATCATAACATTTGTAAACGTCGTTCGCAGCCATTTACTCATGCAACAGCGACCGCTCTCTCTTCAGCCAGTAGATAAGGGCAGGCATTACCCTTGGATGCAAGATGCAAGACTGCACACAGAAGATGGGGCAGCAGCAGCAGGAGTAGCGGCAGCAGTAGCGCGTTAGGGCAAGGGCCAGGACACAACATCGTCAACATTTTGCGCAGTCATGTCGAGCAGCAGCAGCGGCCAATCTATCTGCATCCGGTCGACATGGACGGCCACTACCCCTGGCTGAAGCCTGAAGGCAAGAGTGCGGCCCGACCCAAGGATGCCTCAGGTCGGTCGCAGCAGGCAAGCAGCAGTGGTGATCATGCTTGTCGCGCTGGTCGCAAGCGCCAGGCAGAGGGGGATAGCAATGCTGACAAGAAGTGTGGCAAGCGCACCAAGGCAACCATGGCCAAGCGAAAGGCGAAGACACCCAAGGGCAAGGCAAACGCCATGCAGTTCGATAGTTAGACTAGCTTTTTTTCTTTCCTATTTTTCATTTTGAGGTGTTCGAAAGCACCTTTGTCCACCTTTGGGTGGATTTAGATAGCTGCGCAGACCGAGCTGTTGCCTACTTCGGTGACATCATCGTAGTCCGATGCGCGGATGTCCGCTGAGAGAATCTTATATTCAGAGGGCTGCCATTTAGTTCTAACATCATTCTTCTTCCCAGGCAACCAAGAGTAAGTTCTTTTCCACTTTGAGTTCGTATAGGAATGCTGTGACGAATCACGCCTGACTTTGCGAGTTAGTCAGCAAAGGTTGGGTGTGCAGGCCGTTGAGGAGACCGATGTACGCACAGTCGTGTCTGGTAATTCCGACGAATGTGGGCTGGCACGGGGGGTTAATCTCAGCTATAATATCATCTTGGGCTCTTGGTACCCCTGGTGATATTCATTCTCACCTATTTCAAACCCTATTGACCATGGGGGATGGTAGACTGAGGAAGAGCTGAGCACGGCTTATTTTTCCCTTGACTTCAGCATTCCTAGAACGGAGACAGTTGCGACGAATCACACTTGGCTTTGCGAGTTGGTCAGCAAAGGTTGGGTGTGCAGGCCGTTGAGGAGACCGATGTACGCACAGTCGTGTCTGGTAATTCCGACGAATGTGGGCTGGCACGGGGGGTTAATCTCAGCTATAATATCATCTTGGGCTCTTGGTACCCCTGGTGATATTCATTCTCACCTATTTCAAACCCTATTGACCATGGGGGATGGTAGATTGAGGAAGAGCTGAGCACGGCTCATTTTTCCCTTGACTTCAACTTGTCTCTGACGAAGAAAGAGTTAAAAGACGTTTCGTGAATGACGCGCTCGTGGTTAAGTTTCAAGATATGAACTAACTAATCCTTTCTTGAGCAATACTCATATGCCTAGAGACTGTATGTCGTGAGAGTTCCACATCCAACACTTCTCACACATCACCCCACCCCATCCGCCCTTCACCCAGCCTTGGTTTCTCCCTCCGACTTGCTCGATGCAAAGTTTTCTCCGTAACGCCACCAAAAGTCTTCAGCAAAATCATACCGCTGCCATGGCTATAATAGTCCGATGGGAACCTAAACGAATATGAGCGTTAGCAGTGTTGTCGCGATTACGGTACGTTTCTGATCTTTTTTGTATACGGTTATTATATTGTTTGTGCGCCTGGTTATACACTCTGTCTCTGCTGACAACTCTTCATTTATTCTGCGCAACCCTTGAGACCAGCTACTTTGCAAGGACTTCCTTACGTTACGGTGGCATAAACGAACTTGCGGACGCGCTCACGTTATAAATGTATGTTCTCTGAGCGATCACGAGTTACCAATAATCTGGCAGACTGCTAGATACGTCTTGAAGTACGTAGTCGGGACTATAAAGTCGGAGCCGGATGACAAGTACAGGGCGCAGTGGCGGAGCTATTCGACGCGACGCGTGGGGTGCCATCATAACTCCGCCGGAGACTGTCCGTGACAGCAATATCATGGCCGGCCACAACATCAGCAATGCAGTCCGTCGCCATCTGATTAATCAGCAGCGACCCCTGTCCCTCCAGCCCAGAGATATCCTTGGGAACTACCCATGAATGCAAGCTGAAAGTTCTCGCTCAGTGGACAGCAGTAACAAAGGCCACTAGAGTTGTGCTGGATATGATGAGGTCAAGCGACAAGCACCATTAGAGTGGATCGACTCCTCAGGAGTAGACGAAGGCATTTATGTGGAGTAAACATACTTAGTCTTACTCAGATATCATCCGGTGAGGTATTTGGGCTAGAATACAGGCCATGCAGACCCTTGAACTCACTGCCAAAACTTGATAAAAATACAGTCTCTTTATTTCAAGTTGAATGATGGCAAGCTGTTTCGCTTTTCCGTGATGTTGCGGCAAAACTGGTTGGGAGGCGGTTACTTTTACTCGTCTATTATTACACTCGATTAAAGGATGTTGCCACATGGTCGAGTGGTGTATGATACATCCGTGCTACTAGGTCATTACTTCAATTTGGGCATATCCAGTACCATTTTTGGAGGAGCTGTCCGTTCGTTGCCTTCGTCATCATCGAATTTGATCCGGTAGAGTGGCGATGGATTGTCCTTATTCTGTCGCATGTAGTAGTGTATGATATGAATAATAATGTGTGAGATTCTCAATGGCCCCTCAAGGACTGGACTAATGTGAAGCGCAAAGTGAAGAAACTCTACGCCAGATTACCTTTGATGGAGGTTGTACAACGATTGCCTTGTAGAAGCAGGTAGTTAGCGGATAGAGAGCCAGGACGGTGTGCCCAGCAGGAAACTCCGGGATATCGTCCTGATCATCCGCAATCATAATTACACTCCTTGCATTTAATGAATATGTCCTAACGATATCCAATGAAACATGAGGTGTGAGTGAGTTTTTTGTAAAAGTGCACAAATACATTAGCCTTCATGTTACATACATTTTTTTGCCGTATTCGTCTGCTTCATCATCCTCGATATGGTACCTGCAATAGAAAACAGAATTATAGGATTAGTCAATGAAGCCATTTGACATGCCCTTGCAGTACGCTTAGCATCTCAAAGTTTGTTCATATTACTTGTTCTTTTCTGCAGAGTACGACAGTACCCTTGCAAGAATCCATTCTTCGGGTTTGTTCTTATCCTTTGGTGTCCGTGCTGCTACCTAAAAAGAGCCGGAAAATACGAAAATTAGGATGCTTGCATATCTTCCATGTTTTCTTCCGCAACAAGTGCAATGGGTACGCCAAATCCATAGAGTATGTATCCTGACCTGGTGACCAACAGGTATAACTCCATTTGAGTCTGTGGACGAATATCTATGCACCATATGCCGGTAAGATGTTAGCTGAGATGATAACGTTGAACTTGTACATACAATACTGAAAATGTGTCTTCCAGGACACTTACCGTCTGATTTTCTTCGAATTGGAGACAAGTCCTTCGGACTCAATTTTACGCTTCTTCCTTTTGCCCTCTGGGCTATTGTCAACTTTAAAGCGCGAACAAAAAGATAGGTGGCGGAGCGGTCAGTCTTCTATTATCGCCTTCATGACCCCGTTGATGCCTTCCAATGCTGTGCTCTATGCCATGTACCATTGACCAAGTCTCCGTCACGAAGGGCCAACAGAAGATTAATACCCTCCAATGCCCGTTGAATAGTGCTACACATTAAGTCGTGATGTAATCTTTAAATTAGCGCTACGACGACTCTGAAAAAAGTACACGCAGTTGTACATGTTCCTAAACAGGCACCTACTCCTGTTCCTCACGGGCCTTCTCAGCGGCATCCTGACAAAGAAGAGCAGATCGATTTGGTCGTCCTAGAAATTGCATATTCAGTAGAAAATTCAATTAAAATCCAAGCTCAGTCTGGAGCAACAGCAAAGAGAGGAAGAATGATGCATGCTTAGACGATATCGACACGGACCTTCAGGCACTTTGTCCAACGCAGAAACAATGTCGTCGCTTGCGTCGATGATCTCTGACAACCGTTGGAGGTCCGCCAAGGTCCGTTTCCAGATGACAGCCTCATCCTGAGCGTCGTCTCCTGGGAGAGCTGCAGCTGCGGCTGGCACCATACCAACCGTCCCTCCAGCCCTTTGATTCTTGCGGTCCATGGCGGCGTGCTGATGATAGTCTCTCCGTTTCTCACCTGGCCAGTATTCGTGTGGTTGGTCGGTCCTGCTTGGGCGAAGGTGTAGCAGCGACAAGCCTTGCTGCATTTCGGTGACTGCACTTTCGAATGTGTAGGCTACGTCACTCATACATATGGGAGGAAATAAGTTTTTTAAGGGGGGTAATAAGGACCATCCTATTTTGGAACACAATCTTCTGACCGTCAATCAGACTCAATTCCTTGTGCCTGTTTGACAACGGTTAACTGACATCTTTGTCCCGCCTGGACAGTATTGAGGCCCTTCACCTCAAGCAAGGTCTTCCTTACTCCTGCAATTGTAGTCTGGAAGTACTCGAGCGTACATTTCCTCTTCTTTGTTGAGCCAGCGGCAATGACGATCTCCGATTTCATGTTTTTCAGATCGGCCTCAAGATCCTGAAGCTCCTGCTCTTGTTCTGTTCCGCCTTTTCTGCCCTTTGCCTATGAAGTAGAAGAAGGTTTGCTGGTGGAAAGGTTTGCTCCAAAGACGGTGGAAGTGTTGAATCAGGTGAAGGATCAAAATCATTCTGGTCGGCCTGTACTTGTAAGTAGTCAACTTCGTAAGGCTCTCCTTGATAAAAATCTCCATGTCCTTATAGACCTTTGCGGTTAAATACATATGTTTGCACGGCGCCTGATGTTGAGCATACTAGTTGCAGCGATAGGCAGCAATGATGGCGAATTATTCGTCTGTACGGACATCATATGTAAGACTTGTGGGTGAGCGAGGAACAACGAGGTGAAAACGAGGGGAGACGAGTGAACAAGGTGAGTGATCAAAGACGAATGTGTGAAGACAATTGTGAGTATATGAGACGTTTCGGTGCTGCCTTTGCTCATCTTTACATCATGGAGCTTTCTGTGATGAGGGCGACGTTGATCCAATCTTAGACGCGTCTAGCGTCACATGACAATACCAATCAGAGTTAAACTCTGGCATGAACCCACGCGTTACAGCACTGATCACTCGTTACTTTAAACCTCATAACCTCATCGTCTTTGCAGATTCCCGACATCCGACCTCTTTTCCATTGAATCGATCACATTACTTCAGCTAAACACTACACATTCGACAGCAGCTCTCTCATCGCACCACTCGACGTACAGGAAGTGATGGGTCTTAAAGGCTGGTACGCCTTTCTCCGTAAGAAGGGTTACCAACCCTCTGTACTTTACTCATCAGCCGCGTCAACAACCTCGAGCACCGCCACCAGAAGAATCGACCTTCTCTCTCGCTTTTCAGTCATCAGGAATGCTTATACACGAAACTCCATCGAGGTGGCCCATACGATCCTAGAGCTGAATGTCATGCGGTTCGGGACCAAGGAAAACATCGTTATCTACGTCGACGGAGTCCAGGCAGAGGAGAAGGAGTTCACTGCTCAGATCCACCGAGAAGCTCGGGAGAAGACCACTAAGCGATGCAAAGAAAGTGTGGATGAACTACAAAGACGGACCGATAACAACCTCAAGGTCCGTAAGCGACACTTTGCCGATGCCTGGACCAGCCTTGCGTCCTCCTTCTATTGGTCCCTGCCCCTCCGTGATGCATCTGTCAAGTATATGCAGGACGAGGGGTGGAACATTCAACGATGCGAGACGGAAGCTAATGTTGTGATCGCTCGAGATTGCAGACCTGACGATATTGTCGTGTCTGCGGACAGCGATATGCTCGCGTACCATCCGTGTCAACCCTGTGGCGCCCGATTTCAAAGAACCTGATTCTGATCTACAAGATATCGGATATCTGTGAGGTTCTCGGTGTGTCCGGGATCCAACTCACAGCCCTCGCTGTTGCCTCCAACAACGATTACGGAAAAAATATCTACTCTCTTGGACCGGCGACCAACTTTTCGATTATCAAGACGATCAAGAAACAAGGTAAATATCAATGATCAAAGTATTAAGGAGCGAGGCTGAACCATTTAACTAATATATAATTTTTTTTCTACTTTTTTTTACCCTATTTTTGCAGATGTGCGACAGACGGTGAATGCATATTTGGAAGACTCCAAGGTCGTTTTAAAAAACACAGACAACAGAACACTTGAACTTGCACTCAGAGTCTTTGTTGATCTCCAACAGACGCCTGTCAGTGATCCTCGTCCTTTGTCCAACGTCTCGTCCTACAGTGAGCTTTACAAACGACTCAAGGATCTTTGTGCCATGTACCAGGAGAACAAGGATTTTCGCGCACAACTGCAACCAAGGTATGCTATATTTCTGTTCAATATTGCACGGCATTTAGGACTTGGCATCGGCAATCGTCTCACAGCTCACCTTACTTATTGTTTTGATGTCAATAGTACTCGCAAAGATCATATCATCCGCCTCCGCTCCTCGCATTCTTCCATTCAATATAGGACAGTTGAGTCTCCAGCTATGTTGAAGCCTGGCCTTGGGTCGCGCTTACCACAGCCGCCATCACCGCAACCATCCTCAGCACAACCACAACAACCTGCACCGAATCTGTAGGATGACCCTCCGACCACATTACCGTCTCAGGAGTCAAACGGTCACCCGCCACTTCCAAGGACGCAACTCCCTCGAAATCGCCATCGTTACTCATTCAAGACGAGGACAGGGGCAACAAACCCCCCACCCCCAGTCAAGATGAAGCTCTACAAGTTCGAGCCTTACAAGGAGTCTGAAGCAAAAGACGAGCTTGAGCCCTCCAGCGACGAGCCCAAGACCAAACTCAAAACGTTGTCCGATTCGAGTGCAGCCACCCGCAAGCTCGCTATTACACGGTTATTACAATACCAGCACCCAACGTCTACTTTGAACGTCGGTACTCTATCCGCTAACCTCAGACGAGCTCTGCCAAACGACGGTACCGTTCAACAGGAAGTTGCCCTCTGTATCCGAAACGCTGTGCGCGAGGCTGCCAGGATCAGACGACAAGGTCAACGAGTAATTGGAAAGTTTGTCGAGCATGTAAACAAGCATGGACCGGGTCCCAACGATCGTCGATTCATGAATTTTCTTTGCCCTCGAGTCTCCATAAAGGACGCGAAAAAGCTGGATGACGGTTGCGCTGTAGAGGACGACGATGAGGATGGTGATGACATGGACCAGAAATCCAAGGATGGCAAAGGCTCTGAGCAGTTCTTGTTCCTCCAGAGCTTTCTGTCATACCTCTACTCTGGGAATTACCCACGAAAAAGTGGTACCGGTCAGAAGGTCAACGATTTCATTGATCGCCTCAAGGATCTCGGACTGTACGCCCCACCACGTCCTCGGGCCGCTCTCAACGAGACAACTCCCTTCTCACCAACAGAGTTACTCCTATCGGTGGCGTTGCAGCTCAAGGTCGAACTCAAAAAAATGTACCGTAATGGGACCTGTGAGCTGCATAATAAGGTATGAGTTGAGGGCACTACTGGCCATCTTAATGTACATCAAACCGATACCTATCATGCCTCTCATTTATTATCTCAATTATAGCTCCAGAAAAGAAAAAAGAAGGGGCTGCTGGGGTCCGATGTTAACGTGGAGATCCAAGAGGAGGTATCTGCTATCGAAAACTACCTCGCGATCAACAAATTAAGTCCAAACCCTTGTAGGATCATCCCCATGTCGACGGCGAAGCAACCTTTTGTCAGTTTCACGGAGCGACAACTAGCCATGTTCTTTTTCAACCACGGAGGCGCACTGAGGGCACGGGTTCAGGAACTGGTCGGTACCGTCTGCACATCCATGCAGGATGTTGAGGAGTGGATAGGAGGAAAAGAACCAGGCTTTCTCATCAAGCACTCATCGTCGATACCGATCCCGAAGACCTGACCAGTCGCCAGAGAGGCAAGGCTGGACACCGCGCTGCGATCAAGTTGTTATCACTTGATGATCTCGAGACCCACTTGCAGATGCTGGACGATCCAGAGTTCAGATCGGAGACCTATGCCCGCAAAGGATATTTTCTCAGGGGGTCTTTACGAACTGACGGATTCACTATGCAGCTCCTGTGTTCCAAAGTCAGGGAACTTCTGTCAGTCAAATACAAACGGTTGCCCGACGATCGCCTACCTCCTCGATTGACTTCAACACTTCACGGTACCAGTGATTTTTTTGACGGAGATCCGAAACGTTGTCCGAACCAAAGACGATGTGGCGAGACTTTGGCCTAGTGTCGATCCTAAAGATATCAAGATTCTCACCCTTGATGCAGGACAAGATTTTGTCGTCGGAGCATACGCACATCTTCCACAATCGGGCAAAGACAAGGATCCAGTGCAAGGAGCCCCTCCGTCCTTCAAAGGCTTATTCCCTATTACCTCTTCCTCGACAACAACACCACAGGATGTTATGCAGAGACTCACTTTGGAACAACAAGCGACCACCACGCCACCAACAATGATAGGGCTCACGAAAGCCATAGAGCTCACGAAAGCCCACCACCATAATCTTGCTGTCAACCAAAAAGCCTGTGTTCCGATACAGACGGTGGCTTGAGGATGAGAAGCAGTTGATTCCAGCGGGTCAGTCAGACTCCATCGCGGACATCGAGTCCTGTCTTCCTCCTATTCGAGGTCCAGAGGCGAGCGTCACCAATTACATCGAGATGCTTGAACAAGTCGAGGATCGACTGTTGGACTTTCATAATGGTAACAATAATCGGTTCAACAAACACACTTGGGATATGAAGCGAGCCAAGCACATCGAGTACCAGGCTATTGCCAACAGCCTACTCCGGATTGTTGGTGGCAGCATCGGTGAGCGCTGCAAGGATGACAATCCTGTGTTGATCGGCGTGGGTCTCGGTCAGTTCGGAAGCTCCAGCCAACTGTCATCTCTGCACTCTTCATTTTTGTCGTATTTCATCCCATTGGTAAGCAAACTCTTCACCATGTACCATCGGGAGGAGTGAGTGCCAATGAATAACATATTTTGTTATTTTATTTAGGCTCGGTCTCTCAGATACAATGTGGTGGGTCTCAACGAGTTTTATACGTCAAAGAAATGTCCGGATTGCCACCGGTTTGTGGCCCAAGTCACCCTTCGAGAACTCTTCTGCCCCCACTGTGGACGGTATCGCCACAGAGATGTGATAACGGCCGAAAACATGTCCAACATTGCCCGAGAGTACCTATTGCACCAGGAACGACCACTCTATCTTCACCCCGTCACGGCAGATGGTAGATACCCATGAATGGAGTCAAGAAGTCCAGGGCAAGAGATGGCCGAAGGGGCTATTGTTGGAACCAGCGCCACTAATCGCAAAAAAAGAAGAAAGATGGAACTTTAGCATTTTGTGTGTACGGCCACACACACACGCGTTACAGGGGGCGTTGATGAATTTACGATGACGTAGATAGCGCCTAGATAGTCCTGTTTTCATACACACTTGCATCTGGGTTGTGCGATGAGAGCCATCGACTCAACCAACGCCGAACCATTCACAGGAACAGCAGGATGCGACCACACAGAGGAGTCATTGAGGAAGAGGATGCGTCCACCTTGAAGCTTGGAGCAGGTACGATATCATCAGTCTTACAACGACATCCTGATCGTGCCGAAGCGACCAAGGATGCAGTTTCCTGCAAAAGTCAGAGTAATGACGGGCGACAGCAAGCAACAACTGACCTTTGCGATGATGTTCTTTCAATTACCTTTGGACAGATTTCCAGGACGCTCACTGCTTGTTCGTGTCAGAGGTCAAGATTTTGTTGGATGCTTCCCAACGCCCCAACACGTCCGAGTAATCAGAGTGGATTGTGAAACAGCTAAAAGCAAATGGATGTTTAAAAAAAAGGAACAGTGTTTTAACAACTCGATATATTGCATCGAAACCTGCCTCCATATTTAGGGTCTATCAAAAGTCGCTCAACTATGTTACCCAGTTCAATCGATTCACCAACCCCGATGTTGTTCGCGAAGTCAGAGCGTAAGGCTTGATATCTGGAAGCCTTTGCAATTAGAATCGGAACTGCAAGGAAAGAAGAGCTGTTAATCGTTATTTTCCACATATGCTGTGGATCTGCTGTATCTTTTTTAGTGGCATGAACGAGGAACCGATCCATTCGCTTTTGACAGGATTCGAATTGGCGCAGCTCGCTAATCTCTGCTGCGAGGAGGCAGAGGAAGCCAAGGCATTGATCCCCAGGTAATCAACAACGTGAGAAATAGTAGTAGTGGAGGTCCGTACAATTCACCAAAAGGATCTTTTTCTGATTGACTTTCGGCTTGTTGCTTTGTTTAATAGTCTTGCCAACAAGATCGACGACGAGACGTTGCAGAACTTTTTGAACCAGACTTTAGATCTCAAGAAGTTCCAATCTTAAACATGCCAAAAAAATGCAAAGGCTCGCTTAGATTTCACAGCAATTATAGCATAATAAGTTGAGAAGAAGAGGCTCCTATCTCTTTCATTATTAAATGTACATTACTTCCGTCCTCATATGGGTAAATCTCTTTGATTCCAACGACCGAGTATTACGATGAAACTGTAGACAGCGCAGAGAGACGCTTGGCAAGTAAATCTGCAACGGACTCAACCATGGACTGGATGGAAGAGTCTGCGGAGGACACAACGTCGACCTTTTGTGTCATTGGATTTTGCCGCAAGAATTCCCTTTCTGCATCGTAGATCCCGCTTTCCGTGCCGGCCTCCATCGCCTCTGTCAACTTGATAAAGGGCTCGTTGCAGGTTAAGTAATTTGGCCACACAATGTTATCAAAGTAACCAGGTGGATCCACCCAGTAACCTGCAGAACGAAAAAAAAAAAAAAAAAAATACGGATCAATTGTTTTTGAAGTTGGCGCACGAGTGCAATTGACATGATACCGCAGATGTTGAGTTGAGCATAGAGCTCTACCTTCCAATGTGGCATATCCCTTCCTGGACTCTCGCCTTTCCTTGAGAACCTGATATGGTGCCGTGAGATAAAATTTGATGTCGATCGCATTCCGCAGTTGGTTGTCTACATAGAGTATGAATCCGTCCAATATCAAGAATTTGACGTTGGTCCTGTCATAGGAAGGGATCTGACTGATAATCCTTTCTCTCAGTCCGTCTAAGATATGATCTGAAATTGGGTCCGAGGGTGTGATAGATCCCACTGGGTTCTTGTCTTCCAAAGAATTGAATCGTTCTGGAAATTGGCCATGGTCCTTGACATGGGTTAAAGTGGAGATCATGGTCTCAAAGTCAATGGCTTCAGGGCAATCCCAGTTGGCGAGCCCTGTCCTTGAATCGATAGGAAGCTGGTCCTCTGGTTTGTAAAAGTCGTCCTGATGGACGATAGTGCTGTTGGGAAGGATGGATCTCAGATAGCGAGCTGTCGTCTGCAGTAATGCAAAAGAGATACCAGTTATTTGATTAGCATTTGACAGTGCCATTTTGGAGGTGACATTTTTGCACGCGCGAAATGAGGATGACGATCCTCAGCAATTGGCTGTTTACCGTTTTGCCGCCAGAGGATGGACCACTATTACAAAGATGGCATTGGCGCCGAGAGAGCAAAGCAATTTACCTATCAATATGCGTTTCTTATAGTCTTCTGGCGATGCTCGTGTCTTCCTTCAGAGGCGCAATGACAACACCCAATAGCTGAGCAAAAAAAAAAAAAAAAAAAAAATACCTGAGTCCGATAGTGATGACCCAAGGTCTGCTGTTGGCGGCGCTGTGGTGCGATGGCATCTGCGTGGATGTGAATGTGAATGTGAATGCAGGTAGAGATGACGGGGGCCTGGAATGATCAAAGAAGAGGGATGCGGAAAGCCGATTGGGAAAGAAGGAACGTGCGCCTAGAACAATTTTGTGTAGGATGGAGGGTGGGCCACGACTATGCTAAGCATTCCAGGTACACACAGACAAACAGACACGGTCTGAGATGGTCGACTGCTTCCCAGGATTGCCGTTCCTATTCGAGAAAGGGGCTGCTGCGCGGGAGGAATGGGGTTCGCGAAGTGAGTGTTGTGAGCCATGGGCTATTCTTACACCGATTGTTTGTCCTGTCTGTCTGTCTGTTTAAAGACGAACCTATCGGAGCAACCCATGCACACTGCATCCATCATGTCTTCATGTTCCTAACTTTCTCTGTCCCCATGTCCTTCCTTTTGTCCTGGTGTCTTTTAACGCTGTGCCCATTTATCATTTATCATTTATCATTTATCATTTATCATTTATCATTTATCATTTATTCATTTGTCTGACTGCCTCCTCAGCACGTACAATTCAATTGAAAGTGGGTTTGTAAAAGGGGGAATAGGAGATGGACTCGAATTGGAATGGGGCTGCTTGTGCGACCATGGGATCTGGACCTGAACCTGGACTTTGATAGATGGTTCGATAAAATAAGATGCAGATGCAGAAGTACGCACACTGACCGGAATGGGATGTTTCTTCTCCTTTAACTTCAACTTCTTTTTTAGCTTCGTCTTCGCCGTCTTTTTTCTTCTCTCCACCCTTCCACTCCCTTCCGAGCCTTTTTCTCAACTACCCCCTCCTCATTCTTGCTCTTCAATTTCTCTTTAATACTCCCTCAGTCCCACTCCCACCCCTTCCTTCTTCAACAAACAGTTGCACTCTTTTCTCTCGCCTCATTCTTCATTTCCTATTCTCAGGCACAATCATGTTCGCCCTCTCCACAACTACGTCTTCTACCTCTCCACATGCAGCAGAGGCCCTTCTGAGTAAAGCAAGGCTACTCTCCAGCAACGCATACGAGCGCTCTCGAGCTGCTGCATCCTCGCCCGTACCGACAGCCTTTGCCGAGGGCGAAGACTTCAGTGCACTCTCTTCTTCATCCCCCTTAAAATCACACTCCCTCTGTCTCCCTCCCTCCACCGCTTCCCTTCACCAGCTCCACCGGAACTCCTTCAACGACCACATCCGAGACCATGGCCGCAAGCGCTCTTCCTACCAGAAACGGTCGTCTTCATCCTCTGCCACCTCTCTCTCGGTAAAAACCAACAGCTCCTTATCGACCGATAATAATACCGCAGATCAGCAGGATCAGCAGGGGCAACAGGAACACCAGGAATCGGCCGTTAAGCCCTTGCCCTTGTCCTTGCTCTTGACGGGCGACTCTCCCCCCCCATCCCCGCAAAGCAACGACAATAACAACAGCGGCATCAACAACACTATAGACGACGAGGACAATGGCGCACAAACCTCTCCCTCGGCTTGTCCCACCACATCATCATCCCCTATGACGAGGCACTCTCTCACGATCACAACAAGTCCGAGAGCCCTGTCCCTGGAATCCATTCAGGAACTTCGAGAGAACACAAATGCACCCCTTTCTGCCGGTCCCATGTCCTTGCTGCATCATCAACATGCATTAGATACCCATCGCAAATACTATAGCGACAGTATCACCACCACTACCAGCAGTGGGCGCGTGCTTGGCGCTCTCGAGATCTTGCGTGACAGTGATGAAAGCCATTCGCATTCAGCGCCTTCATTTTCTGGATATGGTGTTAGTGCGAATGCTGCTCCCATTGTCACCCAGGTACTAGTGCCGCCCGCCTTGCACAAGACTGTGCAGAGGACGAGAGCAGAGTCGACGCCGCCAGCACCCTTTCGTGTGACGATATCGGCGCCCTTGCATGAACAGGTAAAGACTACATCATACAGCGCGTTTTTTTATCTAGCCATCGTCTGTTTGTTTGTTTGTTTGTTTGTTTGTTGCAATGGTTGATGATTGTTAAGCCGAACAAAAGTTGTTCCTGGAGAGAGATACCCAACAGGGACGCGCGCTTTGTGCTTTAGGGTTTCCCTTATCTGATTTGATATTGTCCTAACACGTTTGTCTATGAACAATCTCATTGTCGTGGAACTAGGCCAGTCAGGATGCAGTGTCCCCAACAGCCCCAAGGATAGAAACCTCGTTCACTATCACTGAAGAAACTACTGTGGACCCTGTTGCGGCCATCATGCATGCTTCCGAGACCACTGCTCCGGAGTCGCCCAAGGACCAGAATGCCGACAGTTTGTTGACACCTACGATGACAACCTTCATGCCTCCGAGTCAGACCCTATCTCCCGTCAGCACAAATGCAACTCCAACCAAGGGAACAAAGAGGACCTCGAAACTGTTTGGTAAATTGGTACCAAAGTTCCTGCAGACTTCTTCTCATGGACCTTCGAGCGGCGGCGGTTCTTCGCCACGGTCTCCGAATGCGGCTTCGGCTTCGCCGTCTCAGCTTTCTGTGGTGGGGTCACGTCAGGGTCGGTCGGCAAGCTTTGCGGGAGGTGCATCGAGCCCGATGATGGCGATGAAGACTGAGAATGCCCTGCCGGCTTTACCTGTAAATTCGATGCGTGCGCTGCCGCAGTTGCCCGAGATTCCGGATTCGGTATTAAAGGCGGACGAGGATTGGTTGGAGAGCCCTAGTTCTAGCAACGCTAGCGGTATAAGCAGCAGTTCAATGCTTCCAGCAAAGTCAGCCGCTGCGGACGTGGCTGTCCAAAATATCATGGTGCCCTTAGCGCCAGTGCCACCTACGCGTACGACATTGTACTCATCTCGGACCTCGCAGCACTCAGCAGGAGCTGAAAACTTTATGTTAGCTGAACGGTCTTCGACACTCATTACCGAAGAGCGATCTACGAGTCCATACAAGGTCGAGATTCAACAACACGAGGAAAGTGCTCAAGGATCGTACCAAGGTCACCCGGCCTTTTCACACTATGAACACTTTAACAACAACGACAACAACGACAACAACGACAACAACGACAACAACGACAACAACGACAACAACGACAACAACGACAACAACAACGACAACGACAACGACAACGAAGACGATCAGGAAGCGGATGGCCACCATGATTCTCCTTACATCATCGACGAGAGCTGCGACGACGACTTCTTCCTGAACTCGGTCCTCCACAAGAAGAAGGCGCGGCCACATCCACCACCGATGTTGTCGACAGGATGGCCATCATCGCCTTCGGCCTCGTCCTTCTCGTCCTTGTCATCGTCGTCAATGACAGGTTGGGGAAGGACCCCTTCGTTTTCGAACTCGTTCTCGATCTCAATTGCGTCGTCTTCTAGAGCTTCTTCGACGGTCCCCTCGCCGACGACACCCATGTTCACGCCTGCGTCGATGTCGACTTATCATGCTGGATACTCTTCTGTGATGATCCAGTCGGGGCTGGATGAAAAGAGGTCGCGATTGAGTGATGCTGTCAAGGAGTGGCGGAGATCTACGAACGCGTCTTCAGGATCCGTGAACTCGATGCATTCTTCTGGATAGACCACAGTGCTTTAGAAGAAAAGGATCAGGATATCTTTTGATTGATGCGTATTAGCACTTAATAAAAACAAAAGGTGGAAAGGCGATTTTTTTTAATTGTCAAACGAATGAATGTGAAATCGACCTTTTCTGCAAAAAAAAAAAAGAAAAAGAAAAAGACGAGGGGTAAAAAGGGAAGGGAGGGAGAACGGGATGTGAACATACGCATTTCAAGCTGGTGGATCTGATGATGATTGACTGTTGTTGCCGTTGCCTGGCGGGATGCCGTGATATTGTTGCTGCAGCTTTTGTCGCTTCGCAGCCTCTCTGCGCTGCTTGTTCTTCGTCTTGATCTGTGATTGTGTCCGCTTCTTCTTTGGTGCCCGGACCATAATGCCGCTGCCGCCACCGTTTTGGCTCTCGTTAGTGCTGTTGACCAATGAATCGGCTTGCAACGGAGTGTGGGCGTTGTTCTGGTCGATATCCTCTGCTTCCACTTCTTCATCCTCACCCACATCCTCTTCACTCACGTCCTCCTCATGGTATCCGCCTTCCTGATTCACCTGCGCTTGCTCCACCACCGTCTCCGAAAGTCCTGGAGCAGGTAACGACGGCTCCTCATGTTGTTGATGGTGAGGAATCATAACCGCTTTTCTAGAAGACGGCGAACCTCCAACGGAGGATTCTCTCGGTATGGACACAAAAGACGATCCGAATCCGAACCCGACACTTGGAGATCCAAGCCGGTTACCAAATGGAGCCTGTTGTCCGAACGAAAATACCGACATGCCGAGATGCGACGGCGACATGTGCGAGTGTGATGTTTTCGGAGACGCTACATGGGGCTCCTGACTATTCGATCGCGAGCCCGTCTGTCCACTGCCGCTGCCACTTCCTGATATAACACTCGTGCCCACCTGTCCGATGGACGCTGGTGAAGTAATAAATGGCCGCAATGCATGGCTCCCAACAACAGTACTCTGGATAACCTTTTCTGCGACCAAATCAACAACGCCCAAATGTTGATGCGATGTAGTTGCCTCTGCGGTCGAAACTCCCGTCGTGTGATCAAGTTCCGCCGGTGGATCCACTCCATTCTCAAGACTGATCCTCCGTCGTGCGATTCCAGTGAGTCTCGATGGCGAAGATCCAGAACTTTGTGCCCGAGGTAACGAGGGGCTCAGTGTATCGACGACCAGAGATCCTAAAGATGACAATGAGGACGGTGCAGTCGCACCGAATGATGCGTTGCTGCTAGATCCTGTACGTACAGACACAGGTACACCGCTACAGAACGCTCTTGCCTCCTCCACCAACAGTTTCATCCCACCTCTATCACCTCTATATCTTGCCACATGCGCTGACTCCGCCAATCCCGATACCACAGGGGTGTTGACTGGCGTTGAAGTGCTGTCACCCAAAGACTCGGAAGTGACCATCTCCGACGACTCTGAGTGCTGCTGCTGAAGGCGATGTTTAGTCTTACTGTCAGAACTCGATTTCGTCGCCGTGTGTTCAATAAAGGCCTTCCCGTCCCGGACCGTCTGTACAATAGTTGATGTCCTCGCCATCCTGGCTCGACGTGGCAGCGAAGGCGACAAATCCAACGCAAGATCGTCGCTCGCCATCATCAAAGGAGATTTGGTTGATGATGGAGACTCCAAAATATCAGGTTGCTTGGGAGAGGCTGCCACCAGTGCGCCGGTGTCAATCGAGGGAAGAATAGTTGATGGCGGTTCTGTGCGATCCAGAGTTGAAGACGAGTTAGGTTCTGAAAGCGGTATATGCTCCTCCTGGGCCACAGCACGTAGACGCTCCAGCAAAGATACGTGATCGGCGCTGAACTCTGTTAAAAGCTGAGGTGCATGATCGGTGGTATCATCTTCGAAGGTTGTAAACTGCGCAGGGGCCTGAATTCGATCTTTCCCCGCTGGGTGTTCTGAGGAGGCAACTGACTCGATACTGACAGGAAGAAAGGAAAGAGGGACAGCCGAGTCGATATTGTTAATATTGGTGAATTCCTGGACCATCTCAGTGGTCTGCTGAAGGACCATATAGGGCTCCGTCGACAAATGGTTATCAGAGAAGAGCACCAAGGGCGGCGCTTCTGTCATCTCGACCGTGTCGTCGCTGTAAAGCGGGTCGCTCGAGTCCATGGCTTCCTCTATTGATCCCAGATCGCTTGAGACGTGCGCCGTGTCCGCCTCGATATCGCTGTCGCTCGACAAGAGTTGAGACGCCAATGATGATCCTGCCGAGTCAATGCGATCATACATTTCAGGAGCTTGCATAATAAGAACACTCGACGATCCACATTCGGAGCGCTCTGAGACTGGCTCAGCCAACACTTCCATCTCTCCGGCTATATCATACCCTGGGTTCTGAGCAGAGGACGGCTCTATCAACAATGCTACTCTGCTCTCATAGTCGTCGAGCTCACCAGCTTCATGGTCTACTGGCGCCATGCTTCCGTCCCCGCTTTCAGAATCCATCACCAGTTGATCCGAACCGAGTACGATGCCACTGCTAACCTGCTCCACGCCCCCTGACAATAGTTGGTACTCCTCGCCCTCTTCTTGCTCCTCCTCCTGGCCTTCCAAGTCGTCTATTTCACTTTTTTGATCGCTTTCTGCTTTGCCATGTTCCGCGTACTCGTCATTGTCGTCGCGAAGCAACACAACGCCGTCTCTAGAGGCGCCAGGCGAGGATCGAGGGTCAGCCTGCTCATCAATTTGTTGGCCCTCTGACTCTGCGTCGGAAGGCATATTCACCGAATCAGAGTGGTAATCCTGAAGCTCCTTGTCGTCGTCCATTTCCTGTTCTATCTCTAATGCGCCTTCGTCGACTGCGTCCATGCTGTCCTCTTCCTCCACCACATCAGCGTGGATCTCATCGCCCTGAGAGTAATCTTCTTCGCCCTGAGAGTAACCTTCTTCGCCCTGAGAGTAGTCTTTCTCGCGAGCTGCGAAGTCTTGTTCAAAGTGCTGTGAGAGATTGAAGCCGAACGCTCTCGGCTGAGACATACCCATCGAGCCATGGAGTAGAGTGTTCTTCGCATTTTGTTGCCAGCGAAGGAGGTCCTCTGGATTCACCCTGTTCTCCTTATCCTCGTCGTCCTCCTCCGCTTCCTCCTCGTCTTCTTCTTCTTCGACCTCGTACCCGTCCTGATCATCCTCATCCTCGCTGTCATCCAGTTCAACGACTTCGGCATACTGTTGCTGAGCAGGCTTCATAGACACATTCGAACGCAACGGTCTATCCGTTTTATCCTCCAGGTCTGTCTGGCCTTGCTCTTCTCGCTCATCTTCGTAGTCGTCATGGTGCTCCTCTTCCTCGTCATAGCTATACTCCTCAAAGTCCTCTCCGTCTTCGTAATCAACCTCACCCTCATGCCCAGTGTCGACCTTCTCAGCCTCGCCTTCATCTTCTGATGACAGCAGCTCGACAACGTCATCGTCAACTTGAGCCCTATCATCCACTAAGAGAAAGGCATATAAATGACCAACATTAGCGTTAATGCTCCTGCAATATGGAATCCAGACTGCTGCGAAATCGATGTAACTGTAATTGTATATTTACTCTCATAAAATGGCTCTTGTGGCCTTTCCAAAGTCTCCTCAGTAGAGCTAACATCCAGAGGCGGGAGCATAAACCGATATGAACCAGCTTGTGTTCGGACCTTTCCTGAAGTGTCCTCTGGTGAAAGCGTCGACCATATTGAGACGGGTCCATAGTGGCCGCGACCCACATCAATGGCATTTAAAGTCGTCGCCCTAGGTCCTTTCGATTCAACATTGCTGGCTGACTGGGAAGCAATGGTATCCTGAACCTCTGGCTTGATGATATCTCGCACATGTTGGCGGTGCTGCGTATGCATGGGTCTTCTTAATATTGAGGGTGTAGAAGCTCGCGCTGTGGAAGCGTTTGCCAGCGCCATGACGCGCTCAAACATTCCCTCAAGCGCGTTGACTACCGGGGCATTGAATGGGTTTAGAGCGGGAGATGGATCAGGTGGCAGAAGTCGGATCCGCTTATGGCGTTCCTGGTAGTCGATGCTTGAGCCATGAATCAGCTTGGGTCGTCTACAGTCCCGTGAAGGATGTTGGTCGTGAGCAGGCACTGAATGTGGAGCCCTCTGAAGATCCTGAGGGGTGGCTGGCTGCCGTTGGATCCTCTGCTGTCTGAAAGTCATTGAATCCTTACGTGCGTGAATGCGATGTAGGAGCTCGAGAATGAATGCCTCCAAAGATACACAGGCTAGTATGGTTCAAGTATTTCATTGGTCAACGAGGACACTGGAAACTTTATTTTGGGCACCAATACTCGTTAAAAGTACCACCGCTGCCAAGTGCCAAGGATATCCTCGTCCGGCACAAAGTTGATCTTCTTGATCTCACTGAACCCCTCTTGAAGGGTCGGCTCCTGATATTTCTTTGCATACATCGCAAATACCATTTCAGAAAGGCGCTCCCGAGCAGGTTCATCACGCACTTTTGTCGCCAAGGAGGTGTTGGCTGAGATCGAGGTCGAGGTCGAGGTCGAGGTCGAAATCAAGGTGGACGCTGATCCGTCCTTTGAGGATGCTGTGGTGGTCGAGGTCGAGGCGCCGGCTACCTCTACCATTGTTTTTATTGCTTTGGGGTTTGCTCTCTCAGCAGCCTCGACCAGAGCGCGATGGAACGCTCTAAAATAATTATTGTGCGTCGCCAGATCCTTGTTTGCCACAAATAGGAAGCATCTTACAGGGACATTGTACTTCTTAGCCAGTGCAATATAAGGCGCCCTGGTGGGTGCGTCAGGGTTGGTATTGTCCACGACTACTGCTCTTTTGTTCCGCAGACTCTCCTCGACCGTTTTCAGGCACTTTTCCTTAGTCTTGAGTATATCCTGATTAACATAGTCGTACTGTCCGGTCGAAATGATGTGTTTCTGCGCAAAAGAGCTCTTGCCTGATGCTGGATATCCACAAAAGACGATCACCTCACAGGCGCCAGGAGTCGGCAACAATGGCGTAGACGAAGGCGAAAATAAGGGCGCTATTTCGAAGAGGCCATTGAAGGCGGTTAATCGTCTTGGTCGGCGTTCGAGTAGGGGGGGAAAGGGGAAAGGTCATACCACAGATCGACCATCATTTAGCATTGAGTGTACCATCCTTGGGCCAGGTCTTGGGATCAAAGGAACCGAAGGACCACATTTCGTCGGGACAGACTTGGTTCAGAAAGAAATGCTCGGGAGTTTGAAATTGTATATTCAGACTGCCTGCAAACTTGCTGTCGAATTTGATCCGCATATGCAAGAAAATGAGAGAGAGTTGAAATCAATAAGGTATCTCCATGACATTAACAAAAGCAACCCATTGGCATCAATAGCCTTACCGATCGGTGTTATTGAAGTCCTTGACGGCGCCAACCTTCCATCCATCGTGTCGCCCAGCTGCATCTCCGACGTAGTAACTCTCCGCGCGATCTGTGGACAACAAGGACCATGTAATAAAAATGAGTACTTGGAGCGCTTGCTTCAAAACGATCAATTGAGACAAATGGCCAATGTGTACGAGAGCGATTATTACCGATTTCAACGTTGTCTTCCAAGAACCTTGCTTCAAGCCAATGCCAAAGACCTGTCATTGGCTTCCTGTTGTGATCTTTTTGCATGCTAATCAGGATCCATATGGGCAAGCGCAGCTGAGCACAGATCTTTTCGAATTTCAAGCGCATCTCATCCTGTTTTCTCTTGTTCCCGTCAAGACCGGCCTGGTTTGTGATGACCACAATTGTGTGCCTGAGTATGATAGGAAGTAATCAGTGGAAGGCTTTTTAGTGATACCATTCGTTGTACGGGACAATAAGGTGATTCTTAGTCCTACCCTGAATCCGCAACTTGCTTCAAGTGGTCAGGGACACCAGGAGCCCACCAGACCCAGTCGTCTGCGTTCTTCGGCCATTTATGTCTGCCATTGACCTTGATAAGAGTTTGATCCTACAAAAACCACCATGCAATATCACGTCAACACTTCCTGTATAGGATCCAGCGAGGCAATATGTTATACTCTGAATTTACTGGAGGAATGTACCAGATCGAACGCTGCAACCTTTCGCCCAGACTTGGGGGCGAATGCTTCGCCCACGATAAAACTCGTTCCATGTGTCGTCCAATGGATATCTGCAGGCGCACATTCCACGCCAGATTTCTTTTCGAAAATGGAGAACATAGCTTTCTTTGCTGGTGGTGCGGAATTCAACGCCTCCTCGGACTTGCTTAGTCGTCGTGCAGTCTTTGAAGATTTGGCATCAGCCATGGTATCTTTGGTTCGTTTGATAGTCGAGCGTTTGTGTTGGGCGAATAATAAGCGCGAATATTGCAGTGAACGCAGTTGGGTATGAGCAAAGGGTAGGGTTGTAGGTACGGCGATTGAGTGTGATATGGCGGCGAGATGAAGGCCAAGAATGCGACGGGGGTAGAATGAAAGGTGAGTAAAGGTGGAGGTGATGAAGATTGGCATGAACAAGAGGTATTTATAGTGGTCGGTGGCGAATGAGTAGTTTTGCCACCATTGCCGCCATCTTTGTGTTCAAGGTCGGACAAAGTCACAGAGTTGTTTCAAGCCACTGACGCCGTTGCAATGGGCAAAGGATGATCGGATTCCCGAAATCTAATCTCGCTCATTCCCTCCTCTTCTCTCGCCAGACTCATCATGATGGCCTTGCGCATCGCCTCGCCCGCCCTTCGTGTCGCTTCGGCAAGAGGTATTGCTTCAACATCCCAAAACCACCTCGGAAAGAATCACTACTTGCAGGCGCGATATATTGCAGCTCGGACATGGCTCCGAGACTCATGTCGGATCAGCTCTAGACGCACCAACGACACTTCTTGCTAGACACCGGACGCGTCTCCAAATACTCTTTCCACATGTGCGCCTGTTTCTAATCGCCCCTTTATTCTCTCATTTCGACCTTGTAGCAATCCCTGCCAGGATCCCTGCCGCCATGATGGCCCGCTCCGCTTTCCACTCCTCTGCCGTGACCAACAACAGTAAGGAGGGTCTCCTCTTCATTAACACTAATCTGGGCGCACGCAGTTGCACGAATATCTACGCCTCAGATGTGCTTAACCATATCACTTCACTCTCTACTCTATCCTCCGACCATTATAGCCCCCTCTGGACCAAGGATCCAAGAGAAGGCCAACCCCAACATCAAAACGACTGTTACAGAAATGCACGAGTACGGCAAATACTTGACCTCCATTCTTCCCAAATACATTCAGCAGTTCTCGGTCTACAAGGACGAGCTCACCATCTACGTCGCACCCAACGCGCTCTTGCCTGTCATGGAGTTCTTGCGCGACCACACCAACTCTCAGTTCAAGCAGGTCATGGATGTATGCGGAGTCGACTTCCCCTCGCGCGCCAACCGCTTCGAAGTCGTCTACAACTGCCTTTCAATCCGCTTCAACGGACGCATCCGTGTCAAGACCTATGCCAACGAGGTCTCGCCCGTTCCATCTCTCACTGGATTGTTCAACAGCGTCAACTGGTTCGAACGTGAGGCCTGGGATATGTACGGCATTTTCTTCACTGGACACCCTGATCTCCGCCGCATCTTGACCGATTATGGATTCGAGGGTCATCCTCTTAGGAAAGACTTCCCCTTGACTGGCTATGTTGAGGTCAGATACGACGACGAGAAGAAGCGTGTTGTTGTCGAACCCGTCGAGCTTGCACAGGCCTTCCGTAACTTCGAAGGCGCTTCTTCTCCTTGGGAGCAAGTTGGGTACGTATTTGTAGCGACGGCATGCTTTGGAGCCAGGGAAATTTTATCAATGGCGGCGCCATGGAACTCATCATTTTTCTTCTTTATTTGCTTTATAGAACTGGTCGTGATGACAAGCCCGCTCTCCCTGAACCCGAAGCCCCCAAGGCCTAAGCTGCCTTTATTTCACCATTGTCTTGGATAACGTATACACCGCCTCACTGCAACGCCATCTTCACTCTCCTTTTTCTCTTTATTCGTCTAGACCTAGCTGACCTGCAACAATAAAATACGAACTGTTGGTCGTACAACTTCTCCTGGATACATTGTGCGATTGCCTCGCAAGGAAGACTGTAAAGAAGTATTGAGCCTATGTATGCATATGCGGTCTGTCTACCAGGAATACACGTCAATGTGGTGGTGCGTCTTAGGGAATAGAATGTTTAGCAGCAGGCGCGTACTATCGTCCTTCAAAGAGACATCGCCATAGGCCCACTCGAGATTCTTCAGCGACTGCTTGCCCATCAAAAGCAAGGAGAATGTGAGAGGAGGAAACGTCGCGAAATGGATCACAGGCTTCTTGCCCTCCTTCTTCCATGCCAGCTTCTCCTCAAATTGCTTCTCAGGCGACGGTTTTACCCACTCTGTTGCATCCGTGATCCTGCCCTTTTCGAAGAAGATCTCCAATCCCTTCCCGCTGCATCCCTCGACATAACGGAAAAAATCGAGACGAAGACGACCAGTGAAACCTGCGAGGGCAGACTTGGCAAGACGCTTCTCAAGTTCAGGCGCAACCTTCTTGATGAAGATTGGATAGCTTGGGATGCGTGTATAGAAACTCCAGCCGGGTACGTTTTTGGGCTCGTACTTGATTTTGGTCCCGAGAAGTATTGTCACTGGATGGCGCTCATGAAGTGCAAAATAAAACTGGAATGGGGTTGATTCTGGCTTTTCTGTGGAGGCGGTCGTGTTGGTTGTGGCATCCACGGTTGTGGCAGTGGTCTGCAAGGTCGTTGTAGTTGCAGGTTCCTTTGGCGGCTGGCTCTTTTTCATGAACGCCTCGCGCTCTCTGTCCGCGAGGTCCTGGCGCTCCTTCGCGTGCACAAAGAGTTGACGGAGAACGGGTTCGTAGACATCAAGATAGGTAGCATCGTCCTCGAGCGCCATTAGTTCAAGCTGCGGACCCATGAAGACACGCGAAACGACTGTAAATCCTACGGCTTTACCCGAAGCGGCCTCGACAATGATCCTCGTATCTCGATCAGTATCGAACCGACTCCGCTTGTCCTGATAAGCATCGTGGACCGTCCATCGCCAGTACTCGGGCGTGTAATGGATGCCTACCTGAGCGTTCAAATGCAGCATTCCAGGAACACCCAGACGGTTCAAGAAAGGCAGATCCTCCTCAGTCGCCATACGAAGAATATATGGCTCAGCATTGCCTTTGGCGAGCGCAGGGACAACATCTGGACTCTCAATCAAGCCGGCAGGGGTCATATACAAAGCGTACTCGTACCCGAATTGTCTACCATGAAGATAATGAATAGACATATAGTGTGTCAAATAATGAAAGCAATGCATCAGAGCTCGACCGTAAAGTCATTTGAACATACCGGTAGAAGTTCTCAATGCCTCCAATAAACTGAAGAACATCTCCTCTAGCCTCTGACTCGGGATGGACCATCTCCATAAGTAGTCTTCGAACAAACCCCTGGCTGCGATACTCCTAAGTGAAGAACAAGACCATCAATATATACTTCTGTGATCCGCAGCCATGTTGATCTCGACGGTATCGTAGTCTTTCACATACTGGATTGGTTGCGATCAACTCTGGTTTGCCAATGTGAATATCGACGGATCCATAATACGCCACGTATCGATGAAGGCTAACGCATGCGATAATCGGATTCTTTTCCTCTGGGCATCTTGTATCCTCGACCAATGCATAGTCGTACTCGCTCATTGCCGCATTCTTTCCGCTCAAAAGTCGTCTCTATTTGATGTAGTAGTGAGTATGGGAGTGAATATGAGGGTTCTGTTTCTGGGATATATTACAACGGGCAGCCCAAGAGGGCTTACAGCGCCAGCTTTCATGAATTCATTTGGTCCTGGGACGCTGTCTTCTGGAAGAGGGTCTCCCAAGGGCATTCGCATCCACTATAATGAGAAAGAAAGAGGAACTTCGTCAGTAGAGCGAGGTATCATGAACAGATATAGATAGAACGACGCCTCAGCTTGAACATGCCTTGAAAGCCTCGCCAACGAGATTGATAACATTGTCTGTATCAGCCTTGGTGGACCATCGCATGATGAGGCCGTTGCCAATACTGATAATCCTGCGATACTTGGTCTGAATATGCAGATTGTTCATCTTGTAGTGTAGTCCTTAGGTTTCCATTCGGTCTCAGCAAGGAACGGCGGCAGTGTTGCGTAGGAGCACTAAGGAAAGAGAAGAGAGAAAGAGATTCAACCATCCGCCAGCGCTATTTATGCAAACGTACAAAAAGATATTGCGTGGAAGGTCATCCCAAGCAATCAGCCGCCAATCCCTGCATGAAGCTGTCTAATACCGTACTCTTGGCGCACTGACGACGCTTTTTTTTATGTATATTGTTATTGACACCAGGTCCCTCAGATACCAGATCCCCCCAGACGTGCAGGCGTGCCACAGGCTGCATTGTTACGCCAGATCCCTCATTTTTTTTTTTTTTTATTGACGCCAGGTCCCCCCAGGCGTGCAGGCGTGCCACAGGTTACGCCAGATCCCTCAGACGCGCAGACAGAAAACGCCTTTGATATCATGTGATGTACACAATTTTTTTCGATCTCAGTGGTCAGGCATTTCATAGGCGAAGCTTCCTTCCACAAGCAGCCTCTCTCTTTCCACGATTATCTTTAATTGTGAGTGAAATCCGATTGGGGAACTGCACACAGACATACTATCCATCGATCGACATCCGGACATCTATCCATCCAATGCACCATCACCCATTCTACGAAACTGCCCTGGAGCGAATTATTCAACAGAATATCAGAGTCATTGGACCGATCGAAGAGATCAGCTCTGTGATCGCAATCATCAACACTACACAACCCATCTCGAGAAGCGATTCGAAAAGCGGACAGAGGCAGCTTATCTGTCTAACACTTGAAAGAAGATTAGGACGGAGAGCTGACGATTGCGATGCAACTGATCACTGACGATCGACCAAGACATGGACGGCAATGACTCTTTGTACGGAACAACTGAACAACTACAAAAAGACCTCGCCAATCTCGTCTGGAAACACCAACAGCTGAAGTGTGTATCGTTACGGCGTCAGCAACAAGTGTAAAGCAAGCGGGCACTTGTGATTCAACAGTCTTATGTCAGAATCTCGTTGAGCTCAGGAAGAACCTCTGATCCTCTATAGGACACGCCTCACACTGTCAGGATCACCTTAACAAAGGACCAATCGACTAACGCCCTTCGACAATCACTATCAAAAATAGAAAATGGGTCGTGTCATTCGTGCTCAGCGTAAGGGTCCCGGAGGAATCTTCAAGTCGCACACTCGCCTGCGCAAGGGTGCTGCCAAGTTGCGCTCCCTCGATTTCGCCGAGCGTACCGGCTACATTCGTGGAATCGTCAAGGAGGTTATTCACGACCCCGGTCGCGGTGCCCCCCTTGCCAAGGTCCAGTTCCGTGACCCCTACAGGTAATAGTCGAGGACCATTTTATTCCTGGGCACAGCAGGAGCAGAACGCCATACCAAGAGCCAGCAACTGAGTTCTACAGTGTCAACAGGCGTGGGAAGGATGACTATTACTAGGAGTAAGGACATCAAAGTCGCTGGGTACGCCAGCCCATCATTCCTACATTGAGCCGACGACCTTTACGACCATGTAGACCTTTTAATTTATCAGCAACGGGATCTATTGGTAACGACTATCTACAACGACAAAGCTTTGTCCAGCAATCAACTGGGACTGGCGACGAGCATTTAGGATATAATACAGCTCTGCTGACTCAATGGCGCCAACACGATATATGAAGAGTGTAGCAACTCAACGCCCCGCCACGGTTTGGTCTATCTATAACCTCCTAGATACAAGATGCGCACCGAGACTTTCATTGCCACTGGTGAGTGCTCTGTCATATCCCCATGTCGTTCAAGCCCATTGTTGTCCTAGCGACTTGGTATTAACGTCTATCTGCCTGCTTACAGAGGGTACCTACACTGGTCAGTTCATCTACTGCGGTAAGAAGGCTGCCTTGAACATCGGTAACGTCCTTCCTTTGGGCTCCATGCCCGAGGGTACCGTTGTCTGCAACGTCGAGGAGACCGTTGGTGATCGTGGTGCTCTTGCCCGCACCTCCGGTGGTTATGCCACCGTCATTGGCCACAACACCGATGATGGCAAGACCCGCATCAAGCTCCCCTCCGGTGCCAAGAAGGTCGTCTTCTCAACTGCCCGTGCCACCGTTGGTATTGTTGCTGGAGGTGGTCGTATTGACAAGCCCCTCTTGAAGGCCGGTCGTGCTTACCACAAGTACCGCGTCAAGCGCAACTCGTGGCCCAAGACTCGTGGTGTTGCTATGAACCCGTACGTTATTGTCTTTGGATTAGATCTGCATATTGATGTTGGTGTTCGCTATATGAAGGCTCAGTTCCACTAATCAATATCTATCGATGTCTCTCTCTTTTCAACTGCAACATGGATTACATCTTGATACAGCGTCGACCATCCTCACGGTATGTTTTGTTTTTGTTGGCAACCAGTGTTTGAGGAACAAGTATGGCTGAAAGAAAACGTACTCACGCCGTTTCTGTTCTTTTCCTTTTTTCTTGATTTTGTGGAAAACAGGAGGAGGAAACCATCAGCACATTGGTCACGCCTCGACTATTGCCCGCGATGCTGTCCCCGGTCAGAAGTCTGGTCTCATTGCTGCCCGCCGCACTGGTTTGCTCCGTGGTTCCAAGAAGCTCAAGGAGTAAGGCAACAACCACAATTGCTCGTAATAAAATACATGAATCTTTGGGAAATACAAAGAGAAACGGACACAATCATGCAATCTTTATCTGCTGAAGATTGCCTTGCAAAATATAAGTCCGATATTATCATGAAAAAAAAAACTAACCAGACAACGCTGCGACGGGCGGTTATAGTTTTGATTGAAGCGATCAGGGTGAAAGGAGATGAATTATTCGCGTTGACAAATATTGGCACGGACCACAGCTCTGTTTCTTTTTCTCCACAGCCCTATGCATTTTGGATGAACTCGTAGTTCTCATGCCCTTTCTAAGCTGAACGATCCCCTGAAGAGTGGTTGTGAATATAAACACGATCACGGTGTGCGTTCGGTTACGTTGTGTCTAGGCGCAGGCGCCCTCAGCAGAGAAGAAGACGGGTCAACAGCAAAGATGTAACCTTCTGCTCGCAACCAACACATACTCCTACATTTTGATTAGCTTGGCCTAGAATGAAAAGGTCACCCACCATCTTGCATGCGCAAGGAAGCGCGATTAGTGTGCATTTTGAAAGAATCTCTTATATAGATACCTATATAACCTATACAGTGAAGAATTACTATCCAAGTCAAAATACGGTTCTTGAAGGTCTTTATTAGTGAATCTATTGCCTCCATTGTATTCCTGACATCTTGGTTCGTTTCCTTTGGAGTAAAAGCGAGTATCACTAACGCAGCCTTTTCTCTGAGATCAACACCGTCGCCTTCCATCCAAACGACTATTTTCTAAAGCACTTCCCTGAATCCTCCTGGTATACCGAACAACCAAGAATATCGTCTAGGGCAGAGATTTTTTGAAAACCAACGTCGGCTCCGATATCATCTTTCTCCGGGCCACCCGAGCGGGATCCAGGGTCTTTGGAATTGGTATCAACCCGGATATTGTTGCCATCACCTGCAGGAACTTTCCTATGAGTGATCTCAAGGTCAATGTCCATCGCAATGATCTCCACTCCGCTCTCGACTCGAAGACAATGGTCGATTATATCTTCTGGAATCGTCTCTAGCCGACCCTGGACCCTGTCTTTAAGGAACTTCACACAGAAAAGACTCTCGACAGAAGATTCAGGGTCTTATCACGCTATGTAAATGATGATTATGAGCATTTGAAGCAGAACGGCGTCGTCTTGGTTGGAACGGGATCGCGTCTGAGCATGGCTGCAAGATGTTGGTGATGCTGCAGGACGAATGCAAGCTGGCGGACAGAATTAACGAGCCTTACTATATCTTGTGCTTGGACAAGTAGAGCGGTCCTGAAGGTAATAACAATTATATATGCCCTGCTTGTTTTCTTTCTTTCTTTCTTCGTCACCGGTAGCCTCTATGAAGCATTTTTCGATGGCTATTATAAATTATTTATTAGATTACTGATGACGACTGCTTTGACGTGAATGCGCCAAAGCACCAGCTCGAGGTACACCAGAATTAATGGCATCTAAGGCCTCCATACTGAGCTCAGCATAAAGATGGGACATGGGTCGATCGCGTCTGTTCCGCCGCAATCCGGACCTCAGTCCACGGATAGCGTCGTCCAAGTGACCATCGCGGATAGCCGCTACTGACAACTGACCTGCAGCCTCGGATGGGCGACAGTTCTAAACGGGTTAGGCAGATATGGGAAAAAATAGTGTTAGAACGTGGATTCATCGCTTCAGTCATATTTTTTTTTTCGTTCGTTCTAGTCGCTCACCTTGTTGGGGGGCTGCTTTTGGCTCTTGGTCAGTCTCTTGGCCAGAGCCTCGTTCTCCAACTGCGATTTCTGGAGCATTGTCGAAAACGAAACCAGCATGCCGAAAAAGTCCTCGGGCTTCATATTGGCAGGGTCTTCGCCATAGAACAATAAAAGTTGTCTCAAATCCTGCTCCAAGCCTTGGCCGACCTCCACAATCTTTTGAATGCCTTCCTCATTTGCATCCACGAATTTCTATATGGGGCCAGCAAAACCAATAAAAATCATGAACATCAAGAAATGTAAGCAAGAATGCTGAATAGCTATTTGCAAGGGAAACAGGTGCTGTTGAGTATTTGTACCTCCATAACCTCAATGAAGAAGTCATTAGGCGGAGAGATCCTGATCCTGCGGAGAACACGGACTTCTTCCCGGATCTGGTTCATACCCGCCACGAGGCTGTTGATGGAGTTCATCAGGGTTTGCACCGAAATTCTAGCCGCGGCCTCCAGATGTGGCACCTCTTCTAGGAATTTGATCAAATTTGGATCATTGGCACTGATCGATTTCGCCAGGTAGTGGAGCAGAGTATTCGAGCCAGGCTTGACACCCTCAACGCCCTTCGTATCACGGATCTGGTATTTCCAATGGGAAAAAGACGTTAACAAATGCAATTCAATATAGCGAAACAAATACTCAAACGACCTCGTATAGCCTACCTTGAGTAGTGCGTCCAGCTGGAATCCATACGCATTTCCGCGGAAGCTTGTCGCGTTCAAGTGGTTGCCCATCAGCAGGACAGTCTATTATATAGCACGGAGTTACTGTTTAGTACGACAATATCCGATTAAATTTCTTTCCATTTGATTATACGTGTCCCACCATGTTAATATCTTACTTTGAGAAGACTCTTTAGTCGCCTGGAACTTTGTAGCTCCTCGATGGTCAAACGAAGCACATCCATTTCCTAACCAAAAGTATGAAAGTTTGATGATAGCAGCAGCATATTAGTCCACTTATTTCAACCGAAACCTACGTTCTCGTTCATCTGAATACTCGAAAAAACAAAATATCTACGTACCGGCTTCAATTCCCCAACTTCGATTTCAAGCCGTCGCCTGAAAATCATGGCGGACACGCGTTCAGAGAGCCGAGGAATATCCATGATCTAATTTATGCGCATCATAATATATGGGAGACATGTCAGACATCTTGCTATGCAATGCTAACGGAGGGCATGACATCTTCGCAGCTCAGGGTTATACCTCACGATAGAACTTCTCTGCGTTTCCGAGTTGTTCAAAATCTCCATCGTACTCTTTTATCATTTCGATCTGCAAAGAGAAGAAATGTAAAAAAAGATGGATTAGTGGTTATCTGCATAAACATTCGTAACTCGTACAAGTGTTGATAGTGACATACCTCATCGCTAGTGGGAACATATTGCTTGATGGCTTTGAGATTCTCGATACTCAGCTTTTCATCCGAAATCTCCATCAGTGCTATGCGCATCTCTGGATATGTCAGCTTGATCCTACTCAACATAATGGCAATGTTGTTGGCGCGGCTGACACTGAAAAGGCTGACGGTCTTCTTCTTCTTCTCTGTGTTGGCAGCGACATTAGCTGCTATGGTCTGGTTCTTGCAGAAGAGCTCCTCAATCTCTGCATAATCCAGTTCAATAGTTCCCAAATCTGATGATGGGTCGCAAATGTCCTTCCAGACTGTTTGCGTGATGGTTCCAGTGGGCAGCTTGTTCCAGAAGAGCTGCTTCATAGGACGAGAGGGCTTGACGACCTGTGGAATAGCCATACCGAGCGGTCTCAGAGGATTAGACGGGCGATTGCCTGCCAAAAAGACGGGCAACGTTGGGATGGCGCCATCCAGCGACGCTGCGCCATGGATTCCTGGCGGTGGAGGGGGTGGCGGTGAGAGTGACTGCATAGGCGCTTTGGGAGCCCTGTCTCCTGCCATGGATGGTGGAGGCGGAGGTGGAGGTGGGGGAGATGATGGTACATAATTTTGGCTCTTTGACACTGGCATCGAGGTAGATCGCTTGAGAAGCGCCTGAGAAAGTGGAGATATATTTGAGGGTATGGGTGTAGACGGAGTAGCGCCAGGTGTAAAGGCTGGTGGTGGAGGCGGGGGTGGTGGAGGAGCACCTCCAGCCATTGGAGGAGGTGGAGGAGGTGGAGGAGGGGCACTTCCAGTCACTGGAGGTGGTGGTGGTGGTGGTGGGGCGCTTCCAGCCACTGGGGGAGGTGGAGACGTTGGAGGTGAAGCCGTTTGCGCCTCCCTGATTGGGCGCGACTGCATGTTGATAACCATCGCAGGAGGCATAAGAGTACTGGCCAGTGGTGGAGGAGGAGGGGGTGGTGCCGAAGTATTGACTGCCATGGGCTCTGGCACAGTCCTGGCTTGGATAGGTGCTGGCTGAGGGGACTGCGCTGAAGCTAACGGTGTCGGGTCTGGCGTTCCTTGTCCAACTTCTGTTCCTGGTGTGGTCGCTGCATTGGCAGCGTACAGCTTATGTTTCGGACCTGGTGGTGGAGGCGGTGGAGGCAATGCAGGTCGCTTACCGCCAGAACCGAGGACACGCTTGCCAGGCAACGGTGAGGTAACTGGAGAGAGCAGGCCGCCTGGCCTTTGTCCTGGAGATCGTCCTGAGCTTGTAACATCCAAGTCATTGGCGCTGACATCCGATTTCAAGAGGGAGATACTGTCTCCATTCTGGGCCAGCGAATCCTCTTGCTCCTCGTTCAATTCCTCAGCCTGCCATCCCTTAGCTGAGAGGGCTCTGATCTGAAGCTTCAGAGAGGAGCGCGAATTTGATCGCTCAGCCTTGCCTCCTCCAGTACCGTTAGCGCCGTTGAGTTGTTCCGGGATGCCGTCAGAGTACTTCGCTGCCTCCAAGTTAATCAAGTTCTCCTTCAAACCCTTGATGATCCGTTCGCGGTCAGCAACCAGTGCTTGCAGCTCTTGTATCTGCAATTCGATGCACGGTAAAGATGATAAAGGAAGAACGACAAAGCCAGTTAGTTTCCATTCCAACGTATGAGCAGATTTCTTATACAGCGAAAAATGAAATTAACCTTCAGCATGCAATCCTTGAGGCTTCCGCGAAGCGACAGTACTTCCTCTGTAGGAGTCAATCCAACAGATGATGCCTTTCGTAGTGCTTCCACTTGCGTTTTCAGGTCGCTGATCTCTTCATCTTTACGTGCAAGTGCTTCGAATGTCTTAGAGAGCTGCAGAGAACCCTCAGTCTGATTGGGCTGGTTCGTGTGGTCCTCTTCAGTGACAGCTGGAGGTCTCTCGCCCATCGCGCTCTCATAACGCGTGCATACAATCTGCAAAGCGCGCTTTAGATATGCAATCTCCTTCTGGCGTTCATCCGCAAGACTAGCGGCTTCTGCGGTCTAGAGAGCAGATTTTATAGAGGATCAGCCATACATGTTAGAGAAGTGCATCCTCGAACAATGCATAGTATTGTACCGATATAGAAAATTGCCATAGATGTGGCGCGGCTTGAACAGACCCTTACTTTGCTCTTTTGCAGCTGAACCTCGGTCATCATAGCATTCCAACGGGTGCTATCAATCTCCTTAGAGCGCTCAGACTTGCGAGGTTCGTCGTCCTATTTCGATCATATTGAAGAAAGATTTAGTGACTTCAATCCTCTGCACCCATTTCCTGGCAGAACCCAGAAATTGACCACCGGCGACACTCACAGTGACGAGCTCGGCCTTGTCCCTGTACTTCTTCTCCATTCTTTCAATAGTCTCTCGAAGTTGGGTGACCTCCTTTTCCTTTTGAACCAATCTTTGAACAACTCCAGCGTGATTCTAACAACGAGAGACGAGCAGTGGATACGAGTGTGCCGGTAGACACCGATGGAGACATGAGAAAATTGATACAATCTCAATGACCGCACGCATCGAACAGTTGGATAGCGGTGCAGGAATTTACCTCTCGCTTGCCAAACGATGTCAGTGGCTCGTTATCTGAGCTGTCTTTGGCGCTCGAAGGGGCAGTCTTGGCCTGCTGCTGCTTCAGCTGAACCTTTGCATCCTCAGCTTCCTGCCTGGCCTCAGCAAGCTCCTTTCGCAGCTTTTCAGCGTCCTCCCGCGCATCTTCCACGTCACGTCTTATGGTATCAATCTCAAAATCGATGTAGCTATGTCTTCGACTAGATGTCAAGGACACAGACGACATGGAAGCGGAAGATGACGAATTACTGTTGGAGTCTGCGAAAGATAGGATAATCCCCCTCTTGCCGACAATATGTTGAATCGCCTCCAGAAAGTCGTCGTGACAGCCTGCCCAGTCTTTCTCAATGTCTCGCATTTGGAAGATGCGCTCGCCAAACTTCGCCACGATCGTCCAAAGATCCTCCTTGAATTGTCTATTGAATGAAGGGAGTACACCGTTGGTACTGTGAGCAATCTAGCAGGCACTTTGTATTGAGAATCACAGTAGCTTAGACCACTTACGGGCTTTGTCTTGAGATAGGACTCACTTCATCAGAATCCTCGCTGTCTTCGCTGTCATATTCCTCCGGAGCCAAGGATGAAGCTGCTGCATTAGCATACTGCTGCAGGGTCTGGATGATGCGCGGATAAAATTCTTCATCGGCCGGACCAAGCGCGGCAATAGTATTGATTAGCTCTGAGTTTTGACTGGACGAATGTGATAGGCAGTGTGCGTTAGACTTATTTTCTTGATCTGCCATGCATAAAGTACACATCGTATCGGCGCTTACCTATCCTGATCATCCTTAATTTGGGCCATTTCAAACGCCCTCTCTTGAAGATCCACCCAGTCCTCGTGCCGCTCGTCCTCGTAGACGTTGATCTGGATTAGTAGTGACTCCGGTGGTGATTGCATCTTGAGTGTCTGGAACACATCCTCGAGCCCGCGTCTGCGGAGTTCATTCCTGAGAGATATGCGGTCGTCCAGCGATGATGGCGAATTCGCAAGAGCGTTCATCAGGCTGAGACAGGCTGTCCTGTACTCCCATTCAAAGCCTTCGCTGTCCGCATCTTCTGGAATTGGCGCCGCCAAGGTGTGAACCAGGTATTCGAACCGAAAGCGCTCCTCGTGGGCGACTCTAAAATCTGAAAGGGCCATCAAGACGAGGCGGTGGGATTCTGGAGACATGACGCAGAGGGCAGCTAAAACCTCTGCAACTTTTGTGCGCAGCTTGCTGTTTGTAGTGTACAGGCAATATGAGATGTGAGCCACCAAGGATGGTGACCCTAGGACTTGGTTGAATCCGGGCTACATGAGGGATAGCACGAGAGAGCATTATTTAGCAGCAGTACGGCCATACTGATCACAAATGCACGCCAACTGACATGACTTTGGCCCATACCTCTGTATTCATAAGCACACGAAGACACTGAACGCACTCGGACTGCAGAGTCTCATCCAGATCGTTGGCTTTGCCACCACGCTTCTTAATAGCCGTCTTGTCTAGCACATTTTCTAATGCTCTGAATCCTCGCCCGTTTAAAAACTGCCTGATCCACGACAGTTTTGCTGTTGCAAGGGCAATCCGGAGGCTTAGGAGATGTTTGGCAAGTGTCTTTTGAGTGGTTGTCCTATGAGAATAAAACAGATTCTTAATTCCATAGCACAAGAGATATTGTATGATAATAAGCACGACTTTCCATTATACACAGAAAAAAGCCTTACTTGCTCAAAAGCTGATCGATATAAAACTGTGGTGAATCGTCTGAAGGCTCGTCAATAGACAATGCATCCGGCTGCGGAGTAGCTCCGAACCAACTCGACCATAAGGATCCTGCAGCGGCCATTGTTGGTGACATGGGGCGATCAGATCCAGTCAGTTTTGGTGAAGAAGGGGCCACATCTTCAACAGCTGTACCATCATAAGACCCTGCGAGACTCGACCAGGAAGAGTATCGCGAGTGTAATTTTGCGTTTGAAGAGCCGTCAGGCTCAATGAAGGACACCCGAGAGGAAATGGATCCAATGAACTTGTTCCTGGTGTTTGTACCCCTGCTAAGTGTTCCTCCATTTTGATTGCCGGAATATGGATCTGGTGAAGAGACCCTCTCCTTTTGCTGTTGCATTTGTTGGTTCTGTAGAATTAGAGCTGTCTTCTTCTCGCGCGAAAACTGCATCATGCTCTCGCGCACTGTGTCCTTGATATTGAGGTCATTCTAAAACAAATCCCATGTATTGGTTAGGATGTCGATACTCTGGATTAAGAATAAAGCATTCTAAAGGCACCAAAGGCTTACCAAAAGCGCGACGAATGCCTCATTCAGCTCCTCATCCGTCATGTCATACACTTCAGATCCGCCACCGTTCTCTATTCCCATGGGTTTTGATATCAAATTGGGCACACTCTGACCCACAACAATCGAATGCCGCTTCTTGGTTTCAGGAGCAAGCCATCCTCCTAGGGTAGACGGATCAAAGAACGAGCTCAGCCTGGATCCCGCAATCATGCTCTGCCGCCGCTTTTGAGCGTTCTTTGCACTGTCTGTGGAGTGGTCGAGGTCGCCAAAGGATGGATGATGGATAGAAGTCGGTGCTATTGGAATAGGGTTTGAAATTTCTCGAGTGGCTGTTGGCTGCGTGGGTGAAGTGCTTCCGAAGAGGCCATAGACTGCCATTGATAGAGGACGAGTTGCGGTCCAGCCCTTTGTGAAGCGAGATGTCACCGATTCCATCTTAGAGATCCATGAATCCGGTACTGTAAACAGGAAGTGATAATCTTTGATTTGTCGGTTCATGAGAAGCTCCCTGTTATCTTTCAGCAGCTCAAAGGGTGTCTCATCATCCAGCAGCTGCCTTTGCTCTATGAAGCACAAATATCATCCTAGGTCAGTACATTGTCAATTGAATAAGCCTCGTGATATCTCCTTATGAAGGCAACGGCAGCGGGTAATGTAATGCAGACTTGCCTTCAGTGCCCTCTTCATTGACCGTCAATTGCGAAAAGACATAGTCGGCTGAGACAGACTGCCGCGTGCTGCTGTTGAGTGTGCTGTCCAGGGCCTTCAATCCCATCTCCCGCGTGACAATATCCACAATCTGTCGTACAGGCATCGAGGGCAAGACGTGGATCTGCCGGTAGTGCGCCTCTGGAACAGTGGGGACATGACGGAAGACAACTGGCAGAGTGTACTGCAGATTGACAAGTTTGAAGACAGTAGCGTCTGGATTCCGTAAGAGCTCCTGATGTCGTTCCTGGACCTCCTTGATTCGGGTTTCTGGCGCCAGCGTGCCTGTTTTAGTGGCAAAACATGCAAATTTAGCGAACCATGGATTTTATTGGCAATGTTCTTAGCTTATCAATCATCCTCACTTGGTGCTTACCCTGATCGAGCGCAAACAACTCGTGGTATGAAAGGGAAGCTACGTGGACAATAAGGGCACAGACAACCAATTAAGAACACATATGAGAAGCAGACTACCACATATTCAATCCAGTAAAGAGAATAATGAAAAAAAAAAAAAAACGCGCATACTTTTTCTGGGCATGGCCACCTCAACAATGGCCCAGTCGCCATCACCATAATCTGGGTTATCCTCGGTGAGGGCTATTAGCAGGTCTCCCACGGTTGCATCTTCGTCAAGGAAGGTCGCTTCGATAGAGTGGTCGGGTGTCAGGACCTGGATGATGTCCTGCTTCCCCATTCTGCTCGTCCGTTGAACTCGTTATCCAGCTGACTTTCGTGTTTTATGCTTTGTTATGAATGGCTTTACCACCAGAGTTGTTTCACACAAGCACTGGTAATTTAAGGTTTGTTCAGGCACAGTTGCGGTGGATACCAGGAGTGTGAGACTGGGAGGGGCGGTCGAGTCGAGAGTGGACGTGGATGTGAATCGTAGAGAAGGTGGATGCGAATGCGGATGCGGATGCGCTGCGAGGAAGGGAATGTAATAACAAAGAGGAAGAAAAGCACGGCCGTTCTGTTGGCGACCTCAGTGAAGTCATGTCCTGACCTGACCCTTCAGCCCCTATTTCCCCCCTTTTTTCAGGCGTCTTGTCCACATTGTCTGCAGAAATACTATGGGGAGACAGGAGTACAACAACGCTGACACATGGCCATGCATGCGCCCGCGAAGATGACGTGAATACTGGCCAGACGACCATCCCCTTTTTCTCCGGATAGAATGAAGCCTCGGGGGTCAGCAGATTATTATGCGATGCGATGCACTACGATGGGTTTCTCCATAAAAAGGGGCGCTGCCGTGAACATGGTTGGTGTTAGACTTTTTCTATGCATCCTCAAGGAGTGGCCATTAATGATCCGTAGCAGATATGCTTCTGTGCTGCAGCAGAGAAAGACACATCTATGCGTGGCATTCGAAGGGCGCCAGAAACGGAACATGTCTTTTTTGAGTCACTAAATCTGGTTTCTATTGAAGGTGCGCCTACTTGGACTGCATTAAACTCAACGACGCGTCTCTGTGGCAGCTGAAAGGACATTGTATACGATCTGCAAATTAAAGGGTAGAAGCGCATGCATGGGTCGGGGAATAGTATATGTTGTTGTTGGTACTTTGAAAGCGTGTTGTTTGGATCATGTATATACTTCCATCTCATATATTCATTATGACCGGAAGTTCACAATGAGGGCCTCGGCAAAGATAGGTAGCCAGATCATATGTATATTTGAGGCAAAAAAGGAATTCACGCCTGGTTGTGGAGGATGCAGCTTGGACCCTGCTCTATTGACACTATGCTGGGTCTATTGATAGAACGTGGACACCAAGTGGGGTACAGATGCGTTTATCTTGGGCTGAGGAATGTGCTCTCTGCACTGCATGTTCAGTAGCGACATCCATTTGTCGTTTATAGACGCAAGGGTCCATGGATAGCTTGAGCGATGGACGCGCTCCAGGAATAGCCCTCAGTCCTATGCCAATCTAGTATCATTTGTACAACAGCCAATGTAGAAAACAAACGCGGCAGCGCCCTCATAACCCACATAGAGAAATGCCATAATCTGTAGAGCGATTGTAATAGGGGTAAAGTTCTTGCGCTGATCTTCATTCTTCTTGTTACGTTGAGATGTGTTAGACACTTCCAGTTATTCAATGCTGCCGCTTAAACGTGGTCACTGTCTTCTTTTTATATGTAATGTCTTCGCAACGGATAGCGATGTTGAGACTGGGATGGAATACCCGGGAAAGACTTATATGAGATATAGGGCAATGAATGTGAGGATGGACTAGCATGGGAATGTCTGTGCTCCAAAGAACTTTGGAAAAGTTGGCAGCAAGAAGGACATAGATTGAGGTGTAAATATAACATACACAAAGGAATGCGAATATGGACATCTGGACTCATGTGCGTCTTGGTCCAGTCGCGTCCCCGGAGGAACTTTAGAAAAGCGGCGTGTTCCAATGTGCGATGCATCTGTGGTGCGGTGCAAAAGCAGGCATCGATCTGGAGCCGTACATGGATAAAAATAACTCGTAGAGCACGGACAGAAACATGTGCGGCAGCAATTCATAGTCTATGGATTGGGGTACGACAATGGGGAGCGGACTACTAGCGAGGCATCTCAAATAAGCGTAATTGCACAACAGGATAGCGTATAAGCCATGATATGAACTCTTCATTTGGACATGAAAGAGTACTGAGCCTGGCTAAATACGGGAAGAGCAGTGGGTGCAGAGTAAGAAAAATTGGATAACATTCCTTTGGCACGGAGAGAGCTGCTCGAGATCTTTCCGACCCGCATTCTTTCATCTACTCTACCCCTTCATTGACATGGTTTGCCTATCTAATCATGAAAGTTGCTCTGCGGCTCACCCCTGTTCTCTGGTCTGCTTCCATTTGTTCAGACCTTGAGAACTTCATTGCTATGATCGGCTCTACCCAGCAACCAGACATCGGGTCTGTTATGTTATTTGTTTGTGCTGGCTCTTGCTCACTTGAAATTGTTATGACCCCGACCGTCGACGTGGGACTGACGCAAGTCGAGGAACGACAGAGATCCATCCATGTCCCAGTCAGAAGTTGAACAGCCGATACGATCAGGTTAAGTAGATGGGCAGCTATGCAGATAAGTCTTTTTTTTTTTTTTTTGTTATTGATACAGACGTGCAGACTCATACCCTAGCCTCGAGTCAGGTATAAATGGACTACGACCTATTATTGCAAGGGGCCTTTTCGATCTGCAAAACGCGAGTTCTTTCTTGAGAAACTGCTGAAAGCACAGATGACGAGTGTGGGAAAGCGAGGTACGAGAGCGATGAACCTCAACGATTGAATAGATTACTTCTTTTGCACATGCCCGAGAAGGAACGAGCGCACATAAGAACTAGTCGCGATGGAACATGGGGACAGAGGGAAGATTTGTTCCCTAGACCACTTTGCCTCGACAGACAGGCCCTTCCTGCAGCTTGTCGGGTCGTATATCAATGCTCCTCCAATTCGCTATTTGTGCCTGGCAACAGTCTGCAGCAGCGAGACCTTGCCTGTATGTATTGCTTCGAGGATACCATGGGTTAATGAGCGTGTAAAGGCAAGGATGGAGAGATAGCGGAGAGAGGTGGAGGTAGAGATAGAATTCAAGCCCAAAAATAGGGCAAGGGAACAAATGAAAGCTTTTTTTTTTTCTGCCAGGGGCAACTGAATCCTTTTTTGAGAATAAAGTAAGATCAAGAATAAGGACGGCGGTCTAATAAATAGCTCCTCTTTTTTTCTTCTCTTCTCATCAACACTCGTCTCCCTCATCACTCTCACTCATTCCCTTTCCTTCCTAAACACCACCTTATCATTATGGTCAACATCTGCTGCATCGGTGCCGGTTATGTCGGTAAGGATCACATCTGTTTCGCCTGCTTTTTGTTCCGTCTCTTTTCTCACAGTCGCAGGAGCACAGGGATCATGAGAACAAGCCAGGACCCATCCCATCACCCGCGCTCGTCCTCATCATCACCCCAACTAGACCTGGGAACGACACGGCCCCTGATCGCTTCGAAAATCCCGAAGGAACATGCTAATCCTCGTGGGTCAATCCATGGATCGATATGTAAACGTACTGGTCCTGACCAATGGCTTTGTGTTTTCTTTCCGTTTACAACAGGCGGTCCTTCCTGCGCTGTCATCGCTTACCAGTGCCACGACGTCAAGGTCACCATCGTCGACTTGAACCAGGCCCGTATTGACGCCTGGAACTCGGACGAGCTTCCCATCTATGAACCTGGTCTGGATGAGATCGTCTTCTCCCGCCGCGGAAAGAACTTGTTCTTCACTACCGAGGTCGATCAGGCCATCATCGATGCTGATCTCATCTTTGTCTCTGTCAACACCCCTACTAAGAAGTCTGGAATGGGTGCTGGCTATGCTGCCGATCTTGCGTAAGTCTCTTTACTACATAAGAGAGTCTCATCAACTGGAAAACGAAATGACAGCCCCAAGGTGTATGAGATGGAATCAAAGTACCTCTGGAAAACGTGTTTTGAACTCTCCAGGACCATTGGGCTGCGGGAAAGGACCAACCAGTGCGTCGCTTCATGTACTCCTTACTTTTTTTTTTCCATGCCATCCTTGCCATTTTCGAATTATAGCCAATGGGTCAACGTCTTAATTTGCATAGATCGGCAACGGGAAATTGCTCAATAGATCCAACCTATCCATAAAATAGGGAGAGCAGAGTCTTGAGAGATAAGATCTACGGACAACGGAACTTTCTAACACCCTGCCTTGCTTCTTTACCTTTACTTTACTAGTTACATCGAGAATGCCACCCGCCGCATTGCTCAGGTCGCTACTTCTTCCAAGGTCGTTATTGAGAAGTCAACTGTTCCCTGCCGCACCGCCCAGAGCATGCGTACCATCCTCGAGGCCAACTCGAGCAAGGACATCCGCTTTGATATTCTCTCTAACCCCGAGTTCTTGGCCGAGGGGACCGCCGTCAAGGACTTGACTAACCCCGACCGTGTCCTCATTGGATGCCTCCAAACCCCCGAAGGATTTGCAGCCCAGCAAAAGTTGGTCGACATCTACACTCGCTGGATCCCCCAGGAGCGCGTCATTACCATGAACTTGTGGTCTTCTGAATTGTCCAAGTTGGCTGCCAACGCCCTCCTTGCCCAGCGAATCTCCTCCATCAACGCCCTCTCTGCCATTTGCGAGGCCACTGGTGCTGATGTCGATGAGGTCGCCTATGCCTGCGGTACTGACTCTCGTATCGGACCCAAGTTCTTGAAGGCCTCAGTCGGTTTCGGTGGCTCGTGCTTCCAGAAGGATATTCTCAACTTGGTCTACCTGAGCGAGCAGCTTTACTTGCCTGAGGTTGCCGCATACTGGAAGTCGGTCGTCACCATGAATGAATACCAGAAGATGCGCTTCACCCACCGTATTGTTCGTACTCTCTTCAACACCGTCACCTTCAAGCGCATTGCTCTTCTTGGATTCGCCTTCAAGAAGGACACTGGTGATACGCGCGAGTCTGCCGCCATCACTCTTTCCAGCTACCTCATCCAAGAGCGCGCCAACGTTGCGATCTACGATCCCAAGGTCAGCGCCAAGCAGATCAAGATGGACCTCACTGAGCCCGGCGTTGGCACGAATGAGGCTGAGGTTGACAAGCACGTCCAGGTCTGCAGCAGTGCTTACGAGGCTTGCGCTGGCGCTGATGCCCTCGTTATCTGCACAGAGTGGGACGAGTTCAAGATGGAGCACTTGGACTACCAGAAGATCTTTGAGAAGATGCAGAAGCCCGCCTTCATCTTTGACGGTCGTCTGATCTTGGACGCCCCCAAGCTTAGGGAGATTGGATTCCGTGTCGAGACCATTGGAAAGAGCGCTTAAAGCAAGATTTGATACGAAGAGACGATGGCGCCAGATGAGAGAATTGTTCCTGGTGAACCACCATCTTGGATACCTGTCTCTCTTTCAGAACTAATGTACATTTTTTTTTGGTCTTTAGCAGCAACCACAATAAAACCTTATTCATTACCAAGGTCGAATCTTACAGTGTCCCGTTTGCATCGGGGTGCACAGCATCATCACCTGCCTCTCTATGTTCAGCTATACTGTTTGTATTTTCAGAAAGCAACGTTCACGTCTCCATCTCCGCGGTTCCGAAGAGTGTTTCTCATTCGCGATTAGAATAGAGTCCATTCCTCTCCCTCTCCAAAGCAACATGTTTATTCTCAATAAATGTTCTGTCGCGCACTCGACCTCTCGCGATCGTTGCCATCCTACATCTTAGCCCTATCTTTCTGAGGCGTCTCCCACTAGGTCGGCTCAGCCTTCACCATCATACATCATCATCGCCTTTGTCAGCCTCGCCTATTTCTTCTTGGCATCATGCTCTGCCTCGTCTAATCATACTTACAACAAAACAAGCGCTTCATACTCGGAGATCCCTGCTGTCGCAGCATCCACAACGCAATTACTGCAGTTATCGCAGTCAACGCATATGGGAACGACACCAAAGGTCAAGGACAATATCAGCACAGCACACAACATCAAATCTCGTTCAAAAAAACCACCCACTCCGGTTTCAGAGTATATTGCGGCGATCGCTTTGTCCACGGATCCTGTTTTCTGCTTCCACTGAATCCTTCAAAAGGGTCCATTGCTTTGGCAGAGAGTCATGCAGTCTCATACTGCACACAATCGAACATCTCAAGAGTCCTAGAATTTTATTGTATCAGCACATTCCAAGGAGAATGAAGGTGCTAGGCGGATGCAGGTGACGGGGCTGTTGAACTCGGTAGTATATAGGATCTCGATGCGTGACGATGGAGGGCAGTATGCTTTTTTTTTTTTTATTAACTGTGGTCTGAAGGAAACCTACAGGTGGAACAGAGAACAAACAGCAAGCTGCCCGCTCCGACTATGTCGCAACGAATCCATATAACATAATCAATGACCGCATGAGTGGTGAGCCGATGGCCCCTGCTCCCTACGTGGCCTGTTGTGCGCGAAAGTCAACCTTTAGCCACGGTCCTCTGACATTTTAAGAAATTGGCATCATCCCAATCACTCCATTACATCGAGTCTCAGCTGTCTCAAGTAGTGCCCCTGCACTCGGTCATCCGCGGCGTCGTTGATCTCTTTCACATCGGGTGCTTGTCGTTGCCTCAGGGTAGATCCCATAAAATCATTGCTGCTACGTCTGTGCTCTCCAACACAGTTGCGTCCCTGGGGCGCGTTTGCTCACAGCAGTGATCCCATGTTCTCGTTCCCAGTCGACGGTGACTTTACACCTTCTGTTCCAGATCTCTGTTCTGCCGATCTCTTCGATGGCCTTCACAAAGCGGCTGACCATGTATGTTGCGATCCGTTCTGTAGTGTTAAAAACGCGCCTCCAAGACTGAACCATGCACTTGGGTGTTAGACCGTGATACAGATCCTGCACTGACCACTCAACCCACGATGGGGGGCAGTATGCTGTTATGGTAAGAAAGAACAGAAAAGAAGCTTAGGTTCGAAGCTCTAGGCGCTCCTCTGTTTAATCTGCGCCTTTTTTCATTTTGGTGCTCGTACCTAGGATAAGCACCGCGAGGAGATAAAGCCCATTATTATGTCCATACCTTGGAGTATAGTGCAATTATGCGGGCATGTTTTTGCATAGCTGTCTATCTGTGCCTTTCCTTGATACAACGTCTTGTGATGGTTATTTCTTGTTCGTCTAGCCGCTACTGCATTCGCTGCTGCATGGATCCCTTGGACTGTAGCGTTCATATTTCCAAGCAGAATTGTCCCCGTACCATACTTGGAGAGTATAGTTTTGAGGGCTCTATTCAGTTGAGATTGATGCTTCAGAGTCGGTTGGCCTCCCACCCTATCCTCCTACGACAACGGTGACTATGGCGGCAACGACAATCCAAGTGTCCTCGGGGAACAGCGGACCTAGAGACAGGGGGAGATCTCTTTGGACGATACATCGCAAGATACAATGGCTGTTGAGGCAGTGCCTCAAGCATAGCAGATGCCTGATTTGCATAGACACTCAGTTCTAGTCCGTCAGCAACAGCGGCAGCAACAGTCTTCAAGACCTCTAGAAGCACAGTAATCGAATATTCCTCGCACGTCGTGGAAAGACAAAGGCAGCGCCCGGAGTACCAATGGTCCCTTCAGGCACAAGTATACTCCAGGATGCACTCGAGCTTGCCGCCAGAACTGGCGAGCTATTCTTTTTGTTTGCCATAGTTAATCTTTACGCATTACGAAAGGCGCCTCGCATCAAGGGCAAATAGAAAACAAGAAAACAAAAGCCATCGGTCCATGTCATCTGGTAACAAAAATGCAAACGGGGTCTAAAGGTCTAGGGTGACTAGTTTGAGACGATAAAGTCTTAACGGATAACCATCCACGTGTCTCGTCGCATTTGCTCGCTGAATTATTTTTTGCATCGTGTTTTGGGGTGTTTACCCAGGTTAAGGCTGTATTTTTTGCTTTTTGGCATGGTCACAGAATTGTCCGCTTGTCATTGCTCAGGCCCTTGCAGCTGGATAAACTATCTAATTTAAACGACAACAAAGTCGGTCCATATTCGTCCGAATCTTTCTCAGCCTTCCATAGATTTGGAGAGCCCTCCACCAGGTCATTTGCAGAGTAATTGCCTCCGAAGGTACACACCAAAGGTCCTCACTTTTCCAATGCGTTCTCTGGTCACCGCAGGGACATGTGCATTCGAGTTTCCATTTGCTCTTTTATTTGCTGCTGAAAAACGGAGCCTGGGGGTCCAGTTGAGGGTGTGGATTTGTATATAGACATATATTTTTATACAACTATCTGGAAAGCTGTTTTCGCTGATTTTGTACTCTGAAAAAGCGGCGCCTGATCACTTTTTATTTTCGGGTCGCAAAGCGGAACCAGCAGCTTCCCCTAAAAGTTCTAATACAGCACTTTGACCCTTCGGGTAGAAAGGCTGCTGTAATGCTAAAAAAAAAAAGAAAAAAAAAAAAGTCACTACATTTGTCTTGGCATTCTTGACCTGTGCTTGTTCGGATGTTCTTTCGGACTGAGATTGCAACTGTCCTCCTCTTCGAGCTGTGCGTTTTTTGAATTATTTTCCGGGGAAATAACGAACGCGTCTAGATATCTACGGCAATTTATCCGTCATGCACTATCCGTTCTCTTGTAGGCTGATCTTCAGGGTCTCCTTGTCCTTAGATTGCATTAACTATTCATGACATCCTGTAGTTGTGCCTCGGCTGATTCTTTCTGGACCCTCAACTAGCCAACAATCAAATCTGGTTGTGGTGTAACGTGCATTGAGTAAGTTTATCTGACCACGAGCTGCATTGTATACACCTCTGCATGAAAATATTATTGGCTGACAGAGATGGTGCCTTCAGTGATGGAGATATACCTTGAGCATATACATTGAAAAGGGAAAATACGAATGGACAAAATAAATTAAACAGTGAGCGTTAACGAAAAGGAGCAATAGAGAGGGATGGACGTACTATACAGGGCCAAGTGAGGGCACCGGGATAGTTTATCCAACTGGAGTAGGCTGCAACCTTCAATTGAGCAGAACACTGCCTATTTCCACTAAAATGGGAGGAGGGGGGGGGGGAGAGTTGTTTGTTGACCAATACGAGCCCCGCTGCATGATTGTGCCTGAGCGAATGAGTACATGCTTGAATGCTTGAAGCGGAATGGAGGGGAGTGTATGTGTCAGGGACAAATAGAAAAACTTTACTCCCGGCAAAAGGTGCACCATGATATAATGATATAAGAAAGCATCCTTTCCCAGCCTTTGCAGCACCCATCATTCTTTTCTACACACACACACACAGACCTTGTGCTTCCTTTATATCGCCGCTGTTGTGCTTGCTGGTTATTTGCTGTAGAAATTCGAAACCCTCTCCGCTCCTTTCACATCCCGTTTCAATCTTCAAACATTTCTTTGCGCACCTGCCTTTCTCACTTGGATACCCGTCCATCGTCTTGCAGCCTTTTTCGCCCGCACTTTCTCTTTATCAGTCATTCACCACTGCACCCCCAGAGAAACTCAGGCACAAGCACTCTCTTCAGGAACCAGCTACATAACAAATCACGCTCCAAGAACATAAGGAGATGTCTATGCACGACACCACAACGTCCAAGGAGCTGTCACGAAAGCTCTTCTTCCTCGCTGCCTACTCGCTCACCGGTGCTGCCCTGATGGGATCCTCCATCGGTCTAGTCGTCTACCAGAGCGGCCAGTTCTTCTTCCTCAACAGACCTAGCCATCTCGAACTCTTCCACCCTCGTTTCCCCCCTTCTGCTCCAGCAGACCCTTCACCATATCACCCATTCCCTCATACCGCTCACGGCGCCGTCCCCCCACCTCCTCACCCTCACCACCACCACGACCATCACCACCATCATCGTCACCCACTTAAATCTATCTTTTCCACCTGGCTTCCCGTCGCCGCCTGGCTAGCCTCTCTTCTTATCAGTTCAACTCTCATCACCTCCCGGAAATGGGTCCCGCGGATCCTCTCAGCCCGAGCAGGTATCCTGATTAGTCAATCGATCTTTATGCTCTTCTGGGTTCTACTCGGGGCTATCCAGGAGGTTCAGGAACGGTTGGTGGCACAACGCTGGGCTATGAAGGACATGGATGCGATCGCCGAGGCCATGGATGGTACCAACCAGGCAGATGTCGCCTTCGAGATGAGGACACAGATCAGGGCGATGATCGTGCCGTTGTGCACACTTTGGTATGCCGCCGTTGTGCTCCTGGGCACCGGAACAGGGCTTTTGACGGCCAGCAGTAGTTGCATGGAGAATCAGCTCAAGAGGGCCTATCGGTATGCGCAATTACAGAAGTTGGAACAGGACGAGAAAGAGACCGAGTGGATGGAAAAGAAGGAAGGCCAGGACGAAGTGTTGTTGGCTGTGCCTGTCACGTCTTCTTCATCGGAAGCCATGAGTCGCCCGCGGTATACAAATTCGCAGCGCGCGATCCTGATGTTGTTAATCCTGGGCCTGTTCACAAGCCAGATGAAGCTGTTCCAGTGGATCGTTGAGGCCCAGTCAGTGCGAGCGTACTACACAGGGACGACAAAGTCGGTCTCGACATGTTTGACATTCGTCGGTCTGGTGTCTGGTACAGCTATGATCTCTCTGGGGTCGCGTTTTCTTCCCAGGAGGTCATCCTAATTTAGTGATAAATGGATACTTTCTACGGATCGTAATACGAAGTAAACACCTATCGATACATTACTGTTTACTGCACAATGGGCTGAGCGTGTTGATTGTCGCGATGGTTCGATGTGGCAGTGGAGACGCAGTAGCAGGTGGTAGAAGAACGCGTATCTAACTTGTTGTGTGAAGATCATTGTCCATGTCCATTCTACGCCCTTAAATTCCATATACGGACTGCGGCTGTTCATGTAGGCGGACGGAGCCAACAATATCTATTCGCCCTTGAGTCTGGGTATGTGGCGCGTGTGGGCGGAACGAGAAGGGCAGTGCTTAATTGATGTGGAATGGGCAAAGAGCTCGGATCTTCAAAGATAGCAAAAAGGTTTTCGTGGTAGTACCGGTTAAGTCATGCAGAAGGCGAAGAGTGGGTGGTAGTGAGCAAAACAATGGTGGCAAGATGGTGAAAACTGGAAAGGGAAAAGATGGACACAAGATTTACTGTGTTCCTGGGGACAAAAGTAGAGTGAAGAAGACGAGGAGACAGTACCAGAAGGCGCTGCTGCAAACGCGTTGCGCACTAAAGATTCGACAAGCAGGGCGTAAAGAACGCGTCCTTGTTAAAAAAAAAAAAAAAAAAAAAAAAAAAAAAAAAGGGACAAGGGGTGGCCGTGTGGCGCGAGCACAAAAGCAACAACAAAAAGACAGGAAGGTGTCGGCACAGTGAGAAAGAAGGGCTAGGGGATGGTGGGATCCTCTGCGTTTGTTGGGCGAATGAGTGCGGCGTGTTTGAAAGTGTGCGTACGGGTGTTGAGTGGATGCGAGTGGGTGTGCGCGTATCCGTTGAGAAGAGAATGACAGATCGTCCTTGTCCTTCCTTATTCATGGACGCATACCGGGGATGTAATCGAAAGGCATTCCAGCCCAGCCTTCCGCCCCTTTTTCTCACCGACACTTAAACAAACAATCAATGCACACTCGCTCACACACTCGTGCGCTCGGCGTTTGTTTGTAGAGTGTCCTCCGTGTATAAATACCATTGGTATCCATCTCCCCCCCACCCACCCTGTATATCTATCAGTCGGCTACTTCCTTTTATTCACTCTTTCGCCCTTCAGTCCCATCCTCTCTCCTTCTTACCACCAATTGCGCCAAATATTTGACCCAAAAATGATGTGTCCGCATATTTTTGAGCCTTCAGCATCCTGTATCTCCACCCCAGGCATCACCACCACCACCACCATCACCTGCGCCCATCCTGACAACTTCACCGGCCATGCAATACTTCCCCTCCTCGACGAAGAGCAAACGCAACCCCAAGAAATGGAATGTTATCAAGAGAACGATCTCCTCCTTCAAACTCTCGCCTCACACCTCGATCTGCTTACCGCCGGCAGTCTCTTCCTCCTCCCCTCTATTCTCCCATACCTTGCCTCTGCACTCACAGCCTACGCTTCCTCTTCTTCCTCTTCAAAAGCACTATTATCGAATGAGACACTCCTCGGTATTCTTGCGTTGTCCTGTGTGGGCGTCATGACCCCACTCTCGGTTTTTAAGGTCCTCAGCATCCTCGAGACACACAACTTCCAAACCCCATTCCTGCGCTGGAGACATAACAAGACAACAGCAATCAGGAGAGAGGCACAGCATGAACATGGAAGCGGCAGGTTGTTGTCTCAGAGGAGCCCAGAATCAGTATCAGTATCAGAATGTGCTTGTCACCGTCGTGCAGCAGCAAGAGCAGTTGATAACCACACTCCGAAAACATCTCGAATCATGCTTTGCCCGACCATCCGCACAATCAAGAAGGCCCTGCAACGTCTAAGAGGATACCCTTCAGGATACGGACCCTTAGTTCTCGATACTTCCATGTCTTTGACCGAGGCAAGTTGGACATATTTTTCTCTGGGACAAGAGCAACCGCATGGACACGACCAAGACCAAAATCAGGAGAAGCAAGGCCCGTGCACGTGCCTTGAACGCGCCTTGAGCAGCAACGCATCGGTCCAACCGCGCCCCAGGACTATTCTTTTGGCAAGTCTTGGCATGTGGACAGTTCTCATAGCCCTCTCGTCTCTCCTGGGTTTCAACACTATCGGCACCTCTCCGGTTATTGTTTCAAGAACGCCACCCCAGAACAACCGCAGCGATGGTCTGGCCAGGATCGTTCTTGAGCACGGGCCAAGCAATATCGATCTTCAGTCGTGGGCGTCCACTTCATGGGATAAGGAGCCGAACCATTGTTCCCAAAAAAATGTCCGACAGGGTGAGTCTGTCGTGACAGACAATGTAAAAGACGAGGACGAGGACAAAGAGGACGTTGATGACTTCTTGGACCCCGATTCGTTGGACGCGATGACCATGGATCCTGAAGACTTTGTGGTGTTCCGCAATTTCCTGGTCGCTCTCGAAGCCGAAAACCTAATCGCCAAGCCCAAAGACGAGAAACAACATCAAGATATTTTAAAGGCGACCAACGACCTGATGATCGACTCGATGCTCGAACAAGACCTGCCATGCGGATACCGCACCTCTCCCTTATTCACTCCCACATGGTTTGTTGGCTTTCCTGCAGTCGTACAAAAATTCCGTAATAGTATCAACTCCGATCACCTTACCACCGTGCCCCACACATCCGGACGAGTTTTTGAATACCTCGCCGGATGGACAGAGGTGATGATCCTCGCCGTAACCATGACTCTTGGCAGTCTCCTCGTCGGACTCATGCAGTCCAAAACGTTGTACTACCAGCTTCTGGAGCAACATGAACTCCATCAACAGCAACTCTTTGTATTCGAAACACCCGTTCGCAGACGCAGTTCCTGGACCACATTGGCCTTGTGCTTTGCCCTGTCCGGTTCCGCATTGTGTCTGATGATCGACATGATCCTGGCCGAATGCTGGGATGTGCCTTCGGTGTACTTTGTTGGTATTGGTATTGCAGGAATGATTCTTGTACATGCCTGGGTTCCCAACCTGCCATTGCAGGTATCCGAATCTATGGAGAGCACCGATAGCGACGATGGAGAGGAGGATGGTGAGGGTGACGAGGAGAAGGGCAAGTGGGGTACGTCTATGAGTGAGCACCGCAATGCTTGTTCGCTGGACGAAGACCGGCGATATGGAGTGTAGCTGGCTGCGACCCCTCTTTTCCTGAGCATCTGTACATATTTACATCCGAGCCAACCAAACATACTCCACTGTGCCTTGCAGTCCTTCCTAGCCGGATTTTTCAAGGGCCGGGTATTCTGTTAATACATCGGAGGATGAAAAATAAAGACACGTTTTCTTCGTTCAAATAATTTTTTTTTATTATACCCTGCTATCTACCGTATTACTCGTTGTCATAGTCATCGTCCTCTTCTTCTTTCACGGCGTTTTTTCTAAAACCAAAAAAAAAAAAAAAAAAAAAAAAAAAACACCCATTCAAAGGAAACAAAGCGCGTTAATGTCAAAGACTCGGATCCACAGTATAGATGTAAAAACGCCTACTCAACCATGTCGAAATCACTTACGCAACTGCCTTCTTTGATGATGTCCCCCTCCTTGCTGCTGCCATGGCTCCTGCAAAATCTGCATAGGCTTTATCGTCTTCATCCACCTTCATGGCATTGCCGCCATGGTGGCTGCTGTGGTGGCTACTGCTTCCGCTGCTGCTTGCTTCGTCTGCTTCTGCCTTTCCTGGTCCTGTTCCTGACGCTCCTGCCCCTGCTCCTGATCCACAGCCTTGAGGATCTGCAACGTTCTGAACAATATCCCGTAGGAAATCGAATTGGTCTTTGTCTAGAATAGTCTTTTTGCTTTTTTTTTTTTTTTTTTTTTTTCAAGTAGCAAGCAAACAAAACGTGTTTAGGCATTGCGCTGCGAAAAAAAATATATGTATATATAAAGAAAAGTCGAATGGAGGGACCGCCACATATTATTCTTTTCGCTTACAGATGCGCGGCTGTGAGTCGTTTTGCGTTCTTGGAGCGTGTTTCCATGCACGCTTCGTCAATCAAGGACTGCATAAAGAGTTCCAATGCTTTGGCTAAAAATTTTTGTATAGAAAAATCCATACAAACAAACAACGCAGGTCGGTGTTAGTCCAAGATTCAATTACGCCCAATTGGTCGTTCCCCAGTTGAGAAAAATACAAGGTAAAATAAACAGCGCCTCCATGGTAATTGCGGGTATCCTTCTGATCCATTTCTAAACATACATATGAGGATAGGGGTAGCCTGGGCGACCTTGCCAACATCCTCGTCCATTTGCATGATCTTCTTGATACGCGCCTACATCGCGATAGATTGTGCGGAGAGAGTAAGTAGATATATCAGGTATCAGTCATTGGAGAGGCTGCGATGACGATGTTGATGGTCCTGCGATTGTTGAGTGAAGGATACATGGTGCGGGTAGAATAGGTCGTCATTATTGTTGAAAAAAGGATGGGTCTAGTTCAGAATAATGCCGGAATAGAGTTGCCAACTGTCGTTCTTCCTGATGGCAAGAGGATGAACATGTGCTCCATCCGCATAGGAGATCCCGCCGTAGGTTTCCGTTGAAACTATCTTTCCTGTGTTCTTTCAAAGCATTTTCCTTGCTCGGCTGGTGTAGTTTGTTGGTGATGAGTGAAGAGACATACCACCGGGAACTTGGTCTTATATTTCTTGCGCATGGCTGTGATAGTGTGCGTGTGCTCGCCCAGGTGAGCTGTCCTTGCTGCGCTCCTTTTTTTTTTTTTTTTTTTCGTCCAAGTAAAATAATGCTTTGGCAGGACAAGTCCCGTATGATAAAGTGTGGTTGCCGAAAGAGGTAAAAGAATGGATGGATGAAGAGAGAAAGAAGAGCGCGAATGGCTGAACAATGCGAACACGGCCTCACGACGACTTTGAAGGAAAGTGAAAAAGGCAAAAAGCGCTCCGGTGGCTTTGCGTGTTTTCGTTCCTCTTTGGCTGTTCTGGTGCATGCAACTTTGCCCTTTTCCTCGCTTTTAGCATTCGCCATTCTTTCACGCAACACACACGACTAGTACACTTTCTTCTCCTGTTTTCTCCCAACACTCCATACTATCCTCGCGTCGCAGGTAGCATATTAAACGCCTCTATCTCACGGACTGGAACCTTTTGCAAACTCAAAGAAAGCAGGACTTGATTGGAAGTCTTCTCAGGAAAACCTTGTCACCAACTCAGCCCGCTCGCGAGGCACTCTTTCCAACCACTTCCGCGCAAGACTCTCGGCCATCGCTGCCTTACATACACCATGTCTGATCAGTTAAAGACCCTTGTCGACCGTAAGTGTCTTGATGCCGGACAGCTCATCCTAGTCAGAAACAGCACAGTACTGGAACTTGTTGCACCTTTGATATAAGACCGGAGAAGCCGAGCGCGCTTATTGACGTGTTCGTTGTCGAACTTCGAACGGAATTACTGACATGAAACCCCACGCTTCTCATTACTTAACAAAAAACATCACCAGACCCCGTATTCGTGTACTTGACCGATGGCCGAACACTCGTCGTATGTGTACTATCTGATATATTCCTTGGAGTGAAATTGATCGCGTCTAATCTTTGAAATGATCTCTAATTCTTCTTTGATGCCTTCTCTCCTGTACTAGGGTCAGTTAATGGGATACGACCAAGCAGCAAACGTCATTTTGGGCCAGACTCATGAGAGGATATTCTCATCAACAGAACCCATGAAGTCAGTACCTATTGGCGTATATGTCATCCGTGGAGAAACTATGTAAGCGTTCTCCCCGACGCAGGGACCGAAGATATCCTCTGGTTCTTCTCTTGGCCTAATGAGCTTAATTTATCGTCAATTGGGTATCTGAAGAATTTCCCTGTCCTAACTTGCAGTCTTTCGATAATGACAGAGCGATCATCGGCGAACTGGATCAAGAACTGGACGAGGCAACGGATTACGACAATATGCTAGTCGAACCTCTCGATCCATTAAAACTCTAAGGGTACATCGGACACGACACCATCGTCAGTACGGACACACGTGGAACCTGTTTTGATCTATTAGACAGGAGGAAAATTAGCGGGGCAACAACATATATACAACAGGCGACAGACTAGGCGAGAACTTTGCACTATTGGATCCGAAAGTCTAGGAATCTGGGATCGTTCCAACTTGAAGACACAACATATCGAAATAAAGCATCTCAAGAAACGCATATGGACATTGCGGCTTCGTCATGATCTTGACCAGTTCCGGGTATCTCACGGAAGGACAAGAAAGACGGATCGAAAAGGTTGTCTAGCAAACAACGCATTCGTGATTCGAACAATGACGCATTGAGGAGCCATCCAAGCATACTCCTTGACGAAATGTCAACTGCAACGGGATAAAACTGTACAAAACCGCAACATTCCTTTGAAGCAAGACACAACTGCCTTGCGCACGATGATATAACTGACAAAACATTTATATTTATTATTTCTTGATGTCGGTATAGTCAGAAAAAACAATAACATGAATTGGATACTATACATGCAAAAGTAAAGCAGCCCTGCTTGCACGGCACCATCATCTACTTCTCCAACGCAAGCGCATCCCCAGGAACAGTCTCTCAGCCTGGACACGCATTTAGTCCTCCAAGAAAAAGTAGTTTCCAGATGCCTTCTGTTCCTTATCCTTGACAGACTCCATCTTGTTGATTCTGGGACGGTAGTTGGTGGGATCTCTGCGGAAGGTGATCTCGAGCGACGACAAGAACTTATTCATACCAGTCAACAAGCTCTGAGGAGTACCAGCTGTGGCCTCGACGGAGGGAATACCGGTGTAAACAACCACACGGTCAGCCAAGTACGTAGCCATGATAAAATCGTGCTCAACGATAAAGGCAGTCTTCTTGGCGTGAAGAATGAAGCGCTTGATGACCTTGGCGGCGATAATACGCTGTTCGGAATCCAAATAAGCCGAGGGCTCATCAATTAGGTAGATATCAGCGGGGGCACCGAGAGCCAAGCAAATGGCAACACGCTGCAATTCTCCTCCTGACAGGTTGCCGACTTCGTTATCGATAATGGCTTCGGTCTGAAGGGGCTTGAGGACATCGGTGTTGAATTGAGGATGCATAAACGCAGCCTTAATCTTCTTCAAGAACAGCATACGGACGGTGCCCTGAAAACGAAGAAAACAAACGAAAGCATTAGACATCAATAATCATTTACCGAATGCAGTCTTCAGAACCGCCAAATCCTCACCATAAACACATACCTGAAACTTGGGAGCGATCTTCTGGGGCTTGTAAGAAACATTGAGCTCGGGGACGTACTGCTCGCCATCGGGTTTCAAGATACCGGCCAAGAGGCGGATAAAAGTGGTCTTTCCGGTACCGTTCTCTCCTAACATAACAATGATCTCCGAATCCGTGAACTGACCGGTCTCAACGTTCAGCTTGAAGTCGCCCAGGGTCTTGGTCATGGTTGGATACTTATAGCGGCGGTGGTTCTGCATGTCCTGGAGCTCGTCAGCAGTCTCAGCAAGGCGGAAGGTCAAAGATTCGTCACGGAAACGCAAGTTCTCAGTGGGGACCTTTCCGTCCAAGAAAATGTTGATACCTTCACGGACCGAGAAGGGAAGAGTAACAACGCCGTAAACCGAGGGGACACCATAGAGTACGCAAATGAAATCGGACAGGTAATCCAGAACGGACAAATCGTGCTCGACGACAATGACAAAGCAGGTGGGCTTGAGCAACGAGCGGATGGTCCTAGCAGCATTCAAACGTTGCTTGACATCCAGGTAGGATGAGGGCTCGTCGAACATGTAACTAAAGAAATGCAGTAGCCAATGAATATCCAGGTGAATATGTGGATAATGATGAACCGTTGAGTCGATTGTTACTGCGGCAATACATCCTGAATGCGCGAATACAAAACGACGTACATATCGGCCTTTTGAATGCACACAATTGAGATGGCGAAACGCTGCAACTCTCCTCCGGACAACTGTCCAACTTCACGCTGCAAAATCTCCTTAAGATCTAGATGGGGCCGAGGACGAAAACAAACAATAAATCAGTCAGTCGTTCCAGTCCACATAGCTGACCGGCCTTATATTCCGTATTCTCAACCACGACAGAGTGTATTGAGAACATACCGAGAAGATCGATCATCATTTGGCGATTATCGAGCTCCTGCTTGGCCTCCAAAAGCTCGCCGACCTTTCCAGAAACAGCCTTTGGCAGATGGTCGACATACTGAGGCTTGATAATAGCCCTCAAATTGTCCTCCAGAATCTTGGTAAAGTAGTTCTGAAGTTCTGATCCACGGAAGTGCTTCAAAATATCCTGCCAGTCTGGAGCATCGTCGAAGCGACCCAAGTTGGGCTTGAGCTTTCCTGCAAGAATCTTGAGGGCGGTACTCTTGCCGATACCGTTAGTACCGACCAAACCAAGAACCTGGCCGGGTCTGGGGACTGGGAGACGATGCAACTTGAACGAGTTGGCAGAGTAACGGTGGGTAACTTCCTTCTCCAAATTGGTGGGCAAGTTGATAATATGGATGGCGCCGAAGGGGCAACGCTTCACGCAGATACCGCAACCAATACACAGGTCCTCTGAGATGAAGGCGATCTTGGAGTTGGGTGTGACCTCAATACACATCTTGCCTATGATTCCAGAATTCAAAACGGTTGGTGAATCCAGTTAGCATCCCAGAGCTTGCTTTCCATCGTTTGAACGAGTGAGCGAGCAAGTGAGTGAATGCAAGTCTGAAGGAGGTCGAGTGAAGCTGCGGCAGTATCTGACAGGCTGGAAATCAAAGCTGCTGCGGGCTTGCCTTGCTCGGACGGGGTGGAGACAGCAGAACGCCTATGACGCCATGATCCAAACAAGATCCTTACCCATCTTTACTACAGGACAGGACTTTTTGCATTCCTGTCTACACTTCTTTGGCTTGCACTTGTCATTGTTGACAATGGCCACACGGGTAAGTTCGTCCGACATTCTAATATAGAGATCGAGGGATAGAGGAAAAGCCGAAGGTGGGTTAAAAGATCGAAGGTAAAGAGGTTTTTCTTGTGTGGCCAACTATGAAAATAACATTGTGCACGTGATACATGGCACCTTCCCTGATTTGGTGTGTAGGCCCCGAGCAGCACTATTTTCCAGCAGCGAATGCTCCGACCAAGCACCTACAATGGCTGAAGGCGGGAACAAACAGCAAGGGGAAACCCTCGCCCCAAAAGGGACATACCGCTCATACAGCCTTCTGGGACTCATGCCCACGACGAAGAAGCTATGAGATGAACAATGCCGACGGGTCCACTGACAACATCGGCAATACCAACGCCTCTGAGCAACAGGAATAGACCCAGGAGGTGCTCCACGCCCCTGCGCAGACGGAAGATGAAGCAAACCACCCGTCCTTCCTCAGGAGATCATCACCATGGGAGATGACAAGTTCATCGATGGGGACCTTATCCCCGCTGACAAGACCGCCAGCAGAAGTCATAGAGAAAAAATCAACGAGCTCAAATTCGTGATTTAGGACCAGGTTTCTATTATCGGAGAGCCGCGTATCTGCAAGCGCCAACTCGGCGATGAAATCGTCACCTACCTGGCCATCCGTATCTGTGAGGAGATGAGTAAGATTCGTATGCCCGGATACGTTTACGAGGATAATTCCTTGTCGGAACCTCCCAAAATCCCCTTTGAAGACTTGAAGGTCACCAAATTGGAACAGCGCCATGGGGTGAAGTTGAGCACATACGCCTGTAGCCTCGTCAAACTGGCCGTGAACAGGACCGACTGTCGGCCAGAGTCTTCTTCACGTCCGCGGAGCCAGTCAACAAATTTCAGGAGAGTAATGTTGACGGCCAAAAAATAAAAATAAAAAAAGATCCATAGACAGATGATAGGAGGTGTTGCGCCATGAACACCGCATTGGTCTTTATTTAAACATCTTTGGCATGTTCATTGTAGTTTGTAACGCCCCAAATATCGTACAGCATGGAAGCGAGGTAGCGCTCGGGATCTGCCTTAAGGACGACCTGAGTGCGTGAGTGCGAACCAGGTGCAGGCTTGGTGCTCTTGATTCTTCGATCCACAACCAACATTCCTCGAGTCAATCTGCCTTCTGTCTCAATGCGGATGTCATGCTCCTCCACATGCCAGTCCACCTGAGTTATATCGGCCTCGTGCTCCAAATCAATGAAGAACCCAATGCAGAGAGGATCATGCAAGTTCATGGCCGTATAATGCAATTTGGTGACCAACAGATCAAACAGGTAGCCGAGGAGGAGTGTAGAGAATTTTGACAACGGCGTCCCCAGAGGAGTGACATATTCCTTGAGAGTCTTAGACTCTAGCGACACCTGATGGGTGACTATGTGACAAGGCGTTCGAGGTGAGGATACGAGCTGGTTAATCGTGATTGTGGAAACAGAGTAAGTGCCTTATAAATGCACTCCACTTACCATCGGTGGGCAGCATGTATAGTTTGATCGCCTTTGCAGGATCCTCGTTAATGGTCGCCTGCAGAATCGAATGGACTGAGTGTGGACAAGCATGGAAGTTGAACTCTGCCACAGGGGTAACATTGCTATCAAATATGATGAAAAATCGGTTAAACAAGTGTTTTGGGACGGGACATGCCGAAAGCCAAGTGGTTGTCATCATCAGACACATACCCAGCCATATTGAGGCAGCCTCCCATGCAAATGACCTGCTTGACCCGCGCGAACGTAGCCGGGTCCTTTTCGTATGCCAGCGACAAGTTGGTCATGGGCCCCAGTGCAATGATCGTCACGGTATTGAGCTCCGCTTCCGCCAGCTGAGTCAGAATCTCGTCGTGTGCCGGCTTCCTGGACAACGTAAACAGCTTCTCGGATGGCAAATCACCCGCAGCTTTGTCCAGCTCCTTGCCCACTCCTTCAGGATCCAATAGACCAAGAATTTCAGCCCAGTCGGAAGGAGCGAGATCAGGATCGCTCAAGTGCAGTCGACCAAGACCATCCGGGCCATGGAAGTCTTCTCCGTATGCTGGCTCGACAACGAGGGGGGCATCAGCTCCTAGAATGCCCATGCGGACCCATCATTGTTATTAATTCAGTTGCGTTGGGCCATGTACAGCAAAAAGCACAAGCACACGGTACTTTGTGAACCAATTCTGGTCCATGCTCGTACCGACAGCGATGACGGGCTTCTTGGTTCTGATATGTTCCAGGCGGTCGCGGTTGGGGCCAGCAGGGATGGTGGCAAGATGCTCGGAACTGACCTCCTTTCCGAGGACGTGGAGGATGGTGAACAGATTCTTTGTCACGTTGTCCCTGTTTGTGTTGCCATAGCACAGGGTGATCGCCTTGACATCGACCTTGGGTGAGCCCATGGCATGCAGAATGGCCAGGGTGTCATCAATGCCGGGATCGCAATCGATGATGCAAGGACTTGATTTGGTCATTGTAAGCACTGGTTGTTGTGGGTTGGAGGAGTGGGTATGTGGTTTGCGGTTGGCCGTAGAGTGAAAGAACAAAGAAGGAGGGTGGGCGACAAGCATCAAAGGAGGTACAAATACCCGCAAGGCACGACCAGACGGTCCCGCCCCAACGTGGGAACAAACGCATAAAGGATGAGGACGTCTTTGAATGGGTGGGGCCTACAGCGCAAAAAATGTGGGGTAAGGTAAAGTTCAGGCGATGGCGACCCTTCTCTTCCCCTGTGCATGATGATGCCAACTCAGTAACGAATGTGGACTAGAAACCCGCCCAGCACGGCCACTGAGCAGGAGCACGCCTCTTGTGTAGGGCAGGCAACCCAAGCACGCACTTGCGCCCTGTTCTTGCATCACCGTGCTTGGCCAGCATGCTGATGTGTCAGCCTGACAAAGGAGGACTCGAACATGGGGGACATCCTCCACAGCCAGTGCGGGCTTTTGAAAACGAAATGTATTTTTGCACCATTGTTCATTTGCAAAATGGCTCACCTAGTGGCCCAGGGCGACAGAACATATAAAAGGAGGGGGCGAAGGCCCTTGCTTCATTTCTCATCTCCTCATCTCTTTCCACATCCACCGCTCGTCAGATATCACTCGACTCCACACAACTCTTTCCCCCACAATAAGATGACTGTATGATTCCGTTTGGCTTGCAATGTCACCCACTCCACCCTCTTGTACTCGCTGCACCAACTTACCCCACTCGCTCTTTCTCTCTCTTGTTCACTAGCAATACAAATACGACGTTACCATGACTTGTGGCGGCTGCTCTGGCGCTGTTACGAGAGTTCTCTCCAAGCTCCAAGGTAATAATTGGGATGTTTATGCTTGCGGAGAATGCGGTCAAGTGTGCTATGTGCGCTTTTATTATTGACACTTCCGCTAAACCACCGACACCCTTGTTTGATACGAATAGGCGTAGACAAATTCGATGTGTCCCTCGAGACCCAGAAGGTCACTGTCGAGTCTTCAACTCTCACTCAGGCAAGTTGACATGACCATGCTGCGCAACCTTTCATTCACTTTCCTTGGTGCTCACACTCTAACGGATTTTTGGATCTCTTTTATATTTATTAGGATGAAATCCTGGCTGTTATCCAGAAGACTGGCAAGGCTGCTAAGGTTGCTGATCAATAGCTGAGCATCCCTTTAGATGCAAGGGACAATGCATGTCCTCGGCGGAATATATTCTCCGGCGCGGTCTCTGCTATCTTTGGACCCCTTACTCTCCTCCTCGCCATTATTACTTTTTGTTGACCACGTCCATATCGATCAAGAGTTCAATAAATATCAGGGTCTATATTCGAATACAAGGCTTTACAGGTTTAGTGTAAAGGGACGCGTAGGAACACATGATGGATTGAGTATATGTGATGCCTATAATGCAGATTTATACCATTGTTACACATGTCGCATGGCGTTGACGCATGGCCACATGGCGAAAAGGAGACAAAGGTGCACAAGATTTACAAGAAGCCGAAAATGGAAGCTGTGGGGCATGAGCTTTTGTCGACTGATGGGAGGAGGCGGGCGCAGCACCAAGGATAAAAAGAGGAGAGAGAGAGAGAGAGAGAGAGAGAAAGGAGAAGGGAGAAAGGGCCCGGAGATTATTATTTTCGCCCCCAAGACATCGGTAAGGCCGTCCGACTGCGCACGGTCCATCTGCGCGCAGCTGTACCTGAGTGTCTGGGGGGACAACGTTTACCGAAATTCTTACCAACGTCACCTTAGGGCGAATTGGTGCTAGCGCTGAACAAGATCAACATTTCCCTGGCGCTTACCTCACCTGAGCGTCCTCAAATGCCTCTCTTAACAATGCACTCCTCTTTTTCTTTTTTCCTACTCTTCCAGATGTACTCCAACAAAGGGAAACATCCTCCCGATAGAAAACCACCATCGGCACTATATCCGGCTAGGCGTCTGCAATGTCCCGGACGGACAGACAACCCAGCACTCAAACAAGAAATTCTGGGTCCCATCATCATCCTAGCCATCGCCGCAACAGCTAATCCTGTACAATCCCTTTCCGAGCCATAGTCTTCGTTACGGGATGATCATCATCATACATCTATACATTTTCCGATGCTCCACATGTTTGCTCCTGTTGCCCGTCGCCACCTACAGCGAAAAGGCAAGGGTGCAATGGCACGATCTTCAGATCGATCGGTTCCCATTCTCATGGGAGGGATGGCTTTTTTTGTCAACCTTATTGGGAACTAATAGTGAGGGTAGGCTGCGCACCACTTGACAGGGATGGCACAACTGGCTGTGCGGCCGAAAGTACAGCAGCAAAAAAAAAAAAAAAAAAAAAAAAAAAAAAAAAAATATGCACACAGCGGCAAAGGCGAAAGATGTGGACGCAGAATGGACTAGCTAGACAATTCAATTGTCCGACCAACCAAAAAAGAACAAAAAAAACTCAGATCCTTACCCGACAGCGAGAGCCCCTTGTAAGCATTACGAGTGGAACATTCAGCCCCGGCACCTTAAACTCTACATGAAAGAAAACATATAAAAACCGGTGCCTGTTGTGGTCCCACTTTTCCGTTGTCCACATACACTCACGCTATCACTCCATCCCAGCTCTGACGCACCCCGTTATGGATAGCACTCTCCACATCCATCCTACTATCAAATACCACTAAGACACTTTAAATAATCCTTTCTGGATATACCACATGCAGCCAGTTGCCTCCAATGACCACGCCGTAAATCTTTCCGCAAGTGCCCCTTGCGACGCAGATCGTGCACTCCTTCCTACCACTCCACAGACTACCCTGACCTCCTCCAACGACGCTGATGCCGGTACCGCCGTCACTGCCACAGCAGACGTCGATGTGGACTCCTTGAACTCACTCGAGAAGGGCGGGTCCCCGGTCCGGTCCGGTCTTCCATCCAGTGAATCATTACATGATGCCACCGTGCCCTCCACCATCAAGAAGCCCTTCCTCTACTGGCTGCGCACATCCAAGCACTTCATCACTATCACCATTCTCCTGGCGCTCTTCACCGACATGGTCACTTACGGTATTATCATTCCCATCATGCCCTCGATCATCGCTGACATGCATGGCGACTCCACCTTGACCGGCGTCCTCGTCGCCGTCTATGCCGCCGGTATCATGTCCGCCTCTCCGATCTTTGGTGTCCTCTCCGATAAGATGGCCTCTCGTCGCCTCCCCATGATGATAGGCCTCTCTGGCATGTTGATCGCTACCATCATCTTTATGTTCGCCAAGGTCTACTGGCTCCTCGTCATCGCCCGTTTCTTCCAGGGCGTCTCTGGTGGTGCTGTCTGGACACTCGGCCTTGCCCTCATGACCGACTCTTTCCCCGCCAACGAGATGGGTGTTCAGATGGGCAAGTCGCTCATCGGCCACACCATGGGTCTTCTGGGCGGCCCTCCCATCGGCGGCCTCCTCCACGATGCCTTTGGTGCCCGCGCTCCGTTCTATTTCTGCATCGCCTTTGCAGCCCTTGTCATCTTCCTGCTCTCTATCCTGATCGAGGTCCGTGCGGACGAAGTCCTCGAGATCCGTCGCTACGAATGCGAGATCCGCGAACGTGACATTGCCAACGGAATCCCAGTTGAGGAGGCCCGTCATACCTCGCTCTGGAAACTAATCACGACCAAGCGTATGATCGCCGCCGTTGCTGTCACTACCCTCGAGGCCTTTGATCTCTCCTCACTCGAGCCCACGCTGCCATACTATCTCCGAGATCGCTTCAGTATGACTGAGGGTCAGATCGGTCTTGTCTTTATCGCGTTCACGATGCCGACCATTTGTTCTCCCTTGGCTGGTTGGTTCTCGGACCGATACGGCGCCAAGTACCTATGTTCCTCTGCAGTTTTCATCTGTGGCTGTTTCATGCTCATCCTCAGCATCGAGGGCAAACCCCTTTGGGCGATCATCCTCACCCTGATTGGTATCGGTCTTTCGACATCCAGTTTCATTGCCCCGATTTTGGGCGAAATCTCTGCGGTGGTACGACATACGGGCGACAAGGCTGCTTTTGCAAGAGCGTTTGCCATCTTCAACATTGCCTTCAGCTTTGGAATGCTGATTGGACCGATCTTGGCAGGAGTTATCTACCAGCGACATGGCTTCCGCTGGAACTGTATTACAACAGCCTGTGTCCTGTTCTCTTTTGTGCCCATGATGCTCCTTTGGATGGGTGATCGCAATGCCAAGATGGAGGACGTGGCGATGTATGAGCGCGAGATGGAGGAGCACAAGAGGATGCTACAGGAAATTGAGATCATTAAGGCCGAGAAGAAGGCTGCCGAGGAGCTGAACGCCAACACTCTTGTTTAGAACCTTTGATTGTTTGATTGCAAACGCAAGCGACTCTGATTCTCTAATTGTTACAGCAGGACGTTTTGAATAAAGGTACAGACGTTTTTAATGTACACAGGATGAAGTTGCTAGCAATGGCGTGTTTCTCTACGATGGTGGATTTGTGGGTGGAGGTTCTTGTGCCTCAAGCATGGCCTGCCATTCTTTCATTTTATTCAGGATCTTGGTTTCTTTCCGCTTCATCTATCAGGAATAAATAGCAACGGTGTCAATTGCAGATCAAGAGGATTGACCGATCCTTTAGAACATCATAGGTCGGCCACCGAGATGAACAGCAGGTAGGCATACCACTGAAAAGTCCTTGTCGTCTTGATGGTCATACCCAAGTAAATGACAAATGCCATGGGCGTAAAGTACTGGCAGCCTTTCATGAATGTCGACCTTGTGCTCCTTGCACCATTTGTTGACATAGCGCATCGAGATAAAGAGATCGCCCAAGTTCTTATCGTCCTCTGAGCGCGGGGTCGGCAAGACACCCGGGCGCACAGCCTAAACATGTCAGACGTACATAAGTAATCTCGAATTAATCGAATATTGATTCGAGCGCTCCTCTGGAGTGCGTGTCTGTGAATCCTATATTACCTCCGCGAAAGGAAAGGACAGGATGTCCGTGGACCTGTCCTTGCCCCGGTACTGAGCGTTCAATTGTCGCACCGCTTTATCTCCCGTAAGGCAGACCCCGATATCCCAATCACGATATCCGGCCGCGGTGAGCAGCAGCTGGATCTGCTTTTTCACGGTACGATTTGGCAGTTTGAGAATCGCTTGTGTGTTCTTGAGCAGGATCATGAAGAATGAAAAAAAAAAAAAAAAAAAAAAAAAAAAAAAAAAAAACGCTGCATCATGTTCGAATCGATCGCACAGGTAGTAGCAAGTGAAATTGTGTCTGCCAATCAAAATTCGTCCATTGATTTGGCCTCGGCCGAGTTCCAGGTCGGAAAAAAAAACTATTGCAGGAATCGTTTAAAAGAACGCGATGAACAGCATCTACTCTTTTAAAGAGTTACTCGCGTTAAACGATGCAACGTCAATGGGTGATGTTAATAAACCGCAGCTGTTTTGGCATGAGGACGCATCGTTGCTATAGTGTGTGGGGCCTCAAAGATTTGGGTTGCTCGCACTAAGCCCATGTAAAACTTGGTTTATTCGGTCAATGAAACCAGCCACACCGCCTCAGAAAGTCGGGGTCTCTAAGGCCACAGTCTGCTTTGGCATCTGGGACCTGAAGCATATCCTTTATGGCAGCCTGGAGGATAACGTCCCTCCATTTCTTTGCAGATAAATCAACCTATTTTTTGGGCTTCATCATTGAGCTGGATGACAAGGATCAAAAACGGAGCCGGTCCTGAAGGAGGAGTCCACAAAGCCGACCAAGCCGAGCTCTTTATCCAATATACAGGGGGATAAGTATCCATACAAAAGTGTCGTTGGCTCTAACACGCACTACTTTGCTATTAGCAAAGAGGACACCTCAAGGTCTGTTTTGTAGAAATACCTCCATCACAGTCTTTAACTGGAATTGAAACGACTCTTACTGCTCCTGCAACTTCCTCGGATCTAAATCTCGTCTTGAACTCCTTTTCACTCCTCTCTAGTCGCTGCTCGATCTCGTCTTTCCTCTGCCATGCCGTCTTGGCTGCCTGCATCGCCGATGCATTGGGGCACAAAGCAGGATGAGTAGACCTGAATGTTTAATGTAGCTACAGTTCGGCCTCGTGGATGCCGGGCACCTTATACTCTGTAAAGAGTCGTTTTCAAGGAATAGGCTTCTTGACGCAATATAGTCCTTCCTCGCTACCCACTTGTTCGCTGATTTACTATGGACCTATACAAATGCCCGTACCCATTGGGCCCATATTCACACAGCCATACTAGTTGCCGGCGGCGATGACAACGCGACTCAAATGCACACTGTTCTGCTGTGATACCCTTCTGACTGGCGAAACTGCTTCGCCCATTCGGATTTGGTTGGATGTGTTTCAGTGGTACAGTGTGCGACTGAAAACAATTTAGCAGTGATATGACTAGCATCAAGATCCACTTTGAATCGGTTGCCTCAAGAACCATCTCCGCTCTCTTGACACAAAGAGCCGGATGTCGCCTCCAATATCGCTGCTTTCTCAAACGCACTCTCATATTCGAAGCCCTCTTGTCAATCTAACATGAGTACCTAGGTCAATTTCTCATTGCTGGTTTTGTCAGCCTGTAGATTATCTTACCATTTTATAACGACGGCTACGCCTCTCGGTTTTGCTGTTGTTGATATAGCTGGACCAGAAAAAAGCTGTCGCCGTGCCTCTTTTACGACTACCATGTATCTTACTCGGTCGACCACTGAGATGACGCTTATCCTCCAAGGAGCATGTATTTTGAATACAACATCATCTGCAGATTTGAATGTAGTTTCTGTCTTCGCCATTTCCTCCATGGAAATACCTTGTCGAGGCCTTCACACTGTCCCTTCAGCACCACGCATATCTCCTTGAGCCGTACAAGGCACGTTTTACTTCGCCACATATCTAAATTACCAAAGTACGCTCGCTCATATTTAATTTTGAAAGTTACGACAGAGCTCTAAAGTCTAGGACGCGTGCAATCTTCCTGCTATCCTCTGAATGTAAATCATAGGCCTCTGTTTGGGTATTTTGTTTCAGAGAATGGTTTTCGTTCGTCCCGAATAAAACAAAAAAAGGCAGATGGTGTAGTAGTAATACTCAAGTGTCAGAATCACAAACAATAAAACAAGCAGTAGCGCAAACGTTAAACAGGGGCATACTTTCGTCCTTTTCATGGATCATCATCTATTTTTCTTCACGCACCGAGGGCTGCAGCTTTACGCTTTTGCTTCGCAACTTCTGGAGTATCACGGACATGTTTCGGCAAGTTCTCCAGCGGGGTTGGCCTTGGCTTGTTGTAGAAGTACGGGTGGAGCAAGGCCTGGCAGAGAGTGATGAAATTAAATGGCGCGTAAATACGCAGATAACAACAGCACTGCCTGATGCACTTAGTTCAAGGAGATTGCAAAGCGCCTACCTCGCGAGCAGATATCCGGCGGTTGGGGTCATAGATCAGCATGCTCTCTAACAGTTCCAAGGTATCAGCCCCAGCAGCAGTGAATAGCAGCCTGAGAGGTGTCCTTGGGTACTGCTTGAACTGCACATAATTCGATAATGAGCTGATGCCCTACGAGTTCAGCGTATGAAATATGGCGTCAGTTGTAGGCATCTCTTCCGATTTCATCAATTGATGGATCCTTGAAAATCTCCACGTACGGGCCATTCTGCTTCTGTGGGTGTTCCCAGAGCTCTAAACATGGTATCTAGCTGATCCATATCGGTATTGCCAGGCAAGTACGGGTTACGAAGCAAGAGCTCAGCAAAAATACATCCAATGGCCCAAATGTCGATTCCGTATCCGTATTCTCTGGCTCCGAACAACAACTCTGGTGCCCGGTACCATCTATTATGAACACGATGAGGGAAATGCTGGAGATGAGCGATTTAAATCCTGAGGTGCCCTTGAATTCATTTCGATACTCGTGTGCAGGTACCTTGTAACGACCTGTGCTGTCATTAGTCGATTGCGATCTCCAAAGTCCCTTGCAAGACCGAAATCGGCAAGTTTGAGCTGTCCATCTCGGCCGAGAAGCAAGTTGTTTGGCTTCATATCCTGAATGATATTATCCATGCAACAAAATGACAGTATGTCAGCGCTCTGCGAGTTGGATGCCGATCCTCATAATGCATTGATATGTTGCAGGGCACAAGCACGAGTTCACACCCTATGAAGGATCCAGTTCCTGTGGCAATGATCGAGTCCTCGCAGTGTCATTAGCATCCAGTGCTTGACATCCCCAGGCATAAACACGATGCTCTTGTCCTTGATGATCATTTCTAGGTCTGACTCCAGGTATTCGAGAACGAGGTTGAGGTTTGTCTTATGGAAATACACTTCCATAAGCTATTGTTTCCAGAAGCAATCGAGCCTTTTATTGTCAGTGAAATGTCCTTAAACGTTGTCGCAATCCCGTTTGCAGCTAAGCAAAGGATGTACTTGCCTCGATCACGTTGGGGTGTCGCAGCTCCTGCAAAGTTTTGACTTCGCGGATAGCACTCATATCCAAGCCATCCTTAAACTGTCCAATCTTGATCTTCTTGATAGCAACCGTCTTTTTTGTCGACAGTTGCGTCCCTATGGAGGCCAGTTGAATTTCACGCATGGCGTGAGTAGAAGGGCGCACCTCCTTACAGTACCATTATTGTACTCGAGCAACCTGATGCCTGATGTGTTGTCCTTGGTAGCCATACCGAGATATACGACGGCATAGGCACCCTCTCCGACCTTCCTGTCCTTCTTGTAGTCATTGTAGACAGCGGTATTGTGCTGTTCTGCGTGGTTCCTGATGGATGTCATGTCGATGGGTCTTGTTTCTCAATGTCTGCGATGGAGAGGTTCTTGCCACCACTTTTTAATGGTCACCAAGGAGGGGAACATAAGCCTCCAAACTCAATTGAAAAAAAAAAAATGTTCCAAGGGCACGGTGCTTAAAGACCTTTCCATTCGTTTCTCTCCCTCTCTCTCTCGCCATCACACTTTCCCCATAAAATACTCCTCTTTTCAAGTCGATATGAGCAACGAAGGCGAATGGACCACGGTCACGTCGAAGCATTCGACCAGCCATAAACTGCAGCGGCCTCTCACGACCACATCCTCCGCGAATGCGACCTCGACTTCTTCGTCCAAGACCGACTCTCGCACTTCCGCCGACAAGTCCGCAGGAACGAATAAGTCTGGAAACCACAATCATCATCATCACCACACCAAGAAGCCAGCAAAGAAAGACGCCGCCGGCACTGCATCCACTCAAAAGGACAGCGGCACAACCACGACCACTTCAACTAAATATTTCACCAAACAAACGAATCGATCCCGCTCGAGCTCCTTCTCTAGCGACTCAGACTCGTCCCAATCCGATGACGATCCTTCCTCTGCCTCAGGACCCAGCCGTCCTCCATATCACGCCGTTATTATGATCCATTGCCCCTTCAGCACCTGTGATCTGACCGACCCTCTCACGGACTCGACCTCGTTGGTAGCCCATCTGAAGGAAGCTCATCAGATTGCATTCAAGAATATCCACCACATGTTCATCCTTCTGGATCGGTATCTGAGCCATTGGGCCGAAGAGATTGAGGCCAAGGGAATTGAGAAGGTGGCGGTCAAGGAGAACGAGAGCGATGAGTATTACACAATTGATCCGACAGTCTCAACAGCAGACCGGACCCTGCGTGACGAGATTCAGAGGGAAAAATTGAACGAGATTTTAAAAATACAGGAGAAGGAGCGTAACGAGGACGCGAAGCTGAAGCGCAAGTGTCTTTTCTGCAAGAATATCTGCGAGAACCGGTACGTTGCCCAATGTGTCTGCCTTTTTGATTGCATTTGCAGTACGAAAAGTGGGATAGGTGATCTAAATTGTTTCTGCTGCTCTGGCTTAAGAACTATTTTATTCAAGCACATGTTCGCAGAGCACAACTTCAACATCGGTCTGCCCGACAATCTTGTCAACGTTAACGAGTTCCTCGATATGTTGGAAGCCAAATTGACCAGGTAGGCAGGCAGACATTCGTTCTTAACAAATGAATGTGGTACAGACTTTCCAATCAGAAAAGCTGACCTTTGCACACGGTCTATCGATTGCTAGCCTCCAATGCCTTTACTGCGAAAAGACCTTCACCTCACCAGCAGTCCTCCGCAAACACATGCGCAAGAAGAAACACTTCAAAATCAGTGCTCGCAACCGCCTCTACGACCAGTTCTACGTAATCAACTACCTGGAACCTGGCAAGAACTGGGAAAATTTTGAGCACGATCGATACGACTCTGATGATGACCGTCGGGATGACTCCTGGGCAGATTGGGACGATGCACTGGAGGAGGAAAAGACCAAGTGTCTCTTCGAGGAGATCTACTTCAATTCGGCTCAATCAGCGCGCGACCATATGAAGGAGGCTCATGGATTCGATCTGGATGGCGAGAGACACAGGCTCGGACTTAACTTTTATCAGACCATTTCGCTCATCAATTATATCCGACGACAGACCATGCTGGGTGTTTGCTTCTCGTGTCTAGTCGAGAAGCCCGAGACTGGGGACAAAAAACCGATCGAGCAGAGCGAGGGACACGCAGAGGAGAACGAGGAAGAAGTGGAGGATTGGTTGGTTAAACATTTGAAGGAATCGGGCTGTGGGGCTAAGGTCCCAGCTATGGATATGGATTTCTGGAAGGACGCACAGTTCCTGTTGCCAATGCTCGAGAACGATCCACTGTTGATGATCTTTGGTGAAGAGGACTCGGATGACGAACAGCAGGGCACTGAATTAGACAGATCGTCTCTGTCCGGGAGCGACAGCGACGCAGACGATATTTAAATTCTAGGCCGTACTTCTATTGCTTTTATATATCGTATAGAATAATCATTCTTTCAATTCGCACATGCTGAGTTATAGTCATCCTCAGTGGTATATTGAGTTTTATTGATAAAGTGGTTGTACATGAATCCTAGGGGCCTTTATTCCTTCTTGCTTCGCGAGTTTTGTCGCTTGGACTGGGTCTTTGGTTTGATTACTGGAGGTGGTGGCGGATCAGCGAGCGATTGGAGCACGAATGCAGATGACGCTTGTGCCAAACCATAGACAGCAACACCAATGATCGGGATGCTGCATCCAATATAGAACACGACTCCAAAGCCCAACAGGACGCTTTTTCGATAGTTGAACCACTTGCGCTTCTGATAATGACTCATTCCAATCCTGATAAAGTATGGGTCGAGCAGTTCACGAGTCAAGGCTCTGCATCCGAAGAAACCCTTGAGCAGATAGACCGAAACACTCCTTGGAAGCATAAACGAGGCCAATGCGAAGACCACCGCCAAAGGTTTTGAGCCGATCGCCTGGATAGTCGAGAGGAAGGAGGCTATCGGAAACGCGAATCGGCCCAGGACAGGAACCCAGGATAGTACCAAGAAGAGTAATGCCCACTTGAGACGTCTCCAAGTTCGACGCATGTATCGCCACATCTCTTGCCATTGTTGAACTTTGAGCGGATAAGCCAGGAGCGCGGGGGTGAAGGGTCCACGATGGTCCATGACATATATTGAGGGCGATGTTGAATCGACTGCAGTCGGGTTCCTGGCCTGCTCCTGTTTAGCGTGCTCGTGTTCCTGAAGCAGCAAATGATCCGAATACATCAATGAATCGACAAAGATATCATCCAAGGGCTGAGGATAGAGATATCGCATGAATAAGAGGCCAAGCAACGGGACCGAGCTCATCAGCTCATGGGCCTTGTTCGAAAAAACCTCGAGTCCCCGCTGCGAGTCCGACGTATCCGCGTCCGCTGCATAGCTGAAAACTCGTAGCAGACTGCCAATGGCCGCCATGGGTAAGAAGAACAGAACCTGGGTCACCAGATGGGCGACCAGAGTGAACAGCAGCAGCCGGAATAATGTCTTGTAAAGTCGTCCATTCTTGAAGTCGGGATTCGTTAGAGCGATGAAGCAGCCTTCTATTGCAAGACGCGCACCCTTGATGAACTCCTTAGGCTGGATAGGTGAGCGCAGTTTATAGGTCGTGGCGGTTTTAGTGCCGCTCAAATTGGTCGGCTCTGCTTGCGAGGATTGAACGCCTTGGATGTTTTGAGCCTGGACTTGAGTGTGGAATCCTCCGATCTGAAGGTCCTTGTCGTGTTCCTGGTACTCCAGCAGGGTACCGGGGCGTACTTTGGTTGGAACAGGTATAATCGGAGGTTCATCATCATCGACAGCTTCCAGGTCTGAGATATCGCCGAGATCGGGCTTGGCGCCGGCTCGCACGCGCGAGGGAGGTGGGTACTGTAGTGGATTGTAGTCGTCTGGCAGACAGACATGAGTCGAAGATGCATTCGACGAAGAACGTGAGACATGCGTTGACAATGGCGATCGAGGTGGGGTTGGCGTAGAGGGCAAGGGTGACTCTGCTGAGGCATGCCGCGAATAAGGCGGTGGTCGTTCTGGCGGCACTTGGTTCAGCATCCTTGTGGGTGGTTGTTAGTTTTGTGGAAAAGGTCAAGAAGTGTGGTGAAGAACAATGACATCAACTGGGTTTATATACTCCGTTTTTGCCAAGTCCTATAAATTAACTTGCCAAGCAGCAAGAGACACTTTACGAGGTTGACATGGCCCAGAGTTGGCATCCAAGACTACGGAAGGATCATTTTTGCTCTCAGCTGTGCTTTCATTGCCCTTATTTATCTGCGCTCGGCATTTACGAGCAATATCTTGTTTCAAACACTACAATACACGGTCCCTACATGAAGTTGTTCATATTGTATTTGGAAAGAAGGCTATAGTACAAGTGAAAGCATGAAATACTAGTAGAGTAGAGAGTAAGGAATAAATTGTACATTAAAGGCGAAACAACGTGAAAAGAAGCATAGGAGGGTATTGGAAGTATACATGTCTTGACCCTACGTCGACTACGACCTCGAAGGTGCCTCACGTGGGTACATAGCAAGAAGAGGCTCTCGCTCTTGGGTCTCTCCACGTTCATCCACAGCCAAGGTAGTTGTAGCATCCGTAACTGTGGCACTCGATGCTATCGATTGGGTCGCAATGTTCTCCTTTTGTTCTGCCTCGTCCCTTTCCGTGAGTGCCGCTCCATTGACCCCAAAGAATCCTGCCAAAACCAATCCAGCCCCGATCCAGTACCCTAGCCCAAGCACTCGACCATACCCAACAACATCGCCTAGAAGGGCAAGCGGAATTGTCAGAGACAACCCCAGTGTGACAACCAGAGGTGAAGTCATCAGCATGCTTAGCAGCCAGAGGTAGTCCGAGCTATGGTTACGACAATAAACACAAATTAGGAGTTATGAGTATAAGACAAAGGCGATCATAAGCAGTTATCCGAAGAAATGAAGAAAAAGCCGCCAAGAGTCCATGGTACTTACACAAAAGTCCCAATAAAGGCATTGATGGCAATCATCCAAATGATCCGTGTATCATGTGGCAGCTCAAATGGCTCGACGCCTGTCCAGTGCAACACTCCAAAGACCGGCCACAGCAACAACAAATTGAACAGGCCTACGAATCCGAAGAATAATGACATGTTGACTCGACTCTCGTTCTGGATCCTGAGTTTCAGCAGCACAGTGTAGCATCCGTAAAAGAGTGCTGAAATGAGTGCCAAAAAGTCGCCGAACAACGGTGCACGGGGTGCTGTTGGTTCCATGTTGGGGCTTCCTCGATCAGACTCGCTCACCAAGGCCACACCAATCACACTCCCGCAGACAGCGATCAATTTGAGGGTGCTGAATGTCTCAGTCCTCAAAGCAGCTCCGATAGCCAAGGTGAAGAACCCAGACATCGAGGCGAGGATGGTCGAGCTTGCAACGGTGGTGTAGGCGAGCGAGGCATTGGTCGCCCAGTTGGCTGCGAACCAGAGGATGCAGAAGGCAAAGCTGAGATGAGCGACTTCGCGATGGGACAGAGGGATATCGTTTGGGTTGATGACTCCCGCTCCTTGCTCCAGTGTTGACTCTGTTGAGCGTATGTTGTCCAGCGATCCTATTGGACTGACGCTTCCATAAGAGCTAATTGATCAAGGAGGAAGTGGGTGAGGACATTGTTCTTCAATGCAGAGTCCTGTCTGTGCGTGGAGACAGAGACCTTGGACAGACAAACAGATTACGAGAGTGGACACGTACCTGGTGCTGGGGATAGATTTTGCGGTGTGTTCTGTCCCTGACATGGTCTTCTTTCCTATGCACTTTTGTTTCCATTTCCTGAAAAGTGGTCCCAGCAGGTAGAACGAGAAACTGGCGGTGTTGACATAGGTGACAAAGAAAGGCTTGTTGTACTTTTGGTCTGCGAAGATGTTCTGTTGGTTGGTCGAGTACAGATCGTATCCGTGTTCGTGATGGTCGAGTATCAATGTCGAAAGCATGTCATAGGCATGCATGTTTAATTTTACCAAGCATCATCCATGTCAGCGATTGCGTGATACGCGCAGCAGGGGAGAGGACAAATAAGAAGCGAATAGACTCGTTAGTTTTTCATTCAAGGGAAAGTAGGAAGCACATGGTTGGTTGGTCGGTCACACAACCACATTCTTGCGCTAGCATGCGCCCGTCGCCCATCCCCATCCGAAAGAGAGGGGGGTAAAGACGTCAGTCGTGTGCTGAACGACGTCAAAAGTCAAGTGCTTGATCACATTGCATTGTGACAAATAGGCAGTAGAGGGGATGGTGAATGGACAGAGAGAATTCTCCACTCCTTGATCTTATCGGCGGCGGGAGGGCAATGAAAGTCTTTAACTTACACTCATCAAGAAACTGGACGAGACCCAAATACAGACAACGGACAGGAGAGCGAGGATTCCAACAGTGTATCGGGTGATCCCTGTAGTCGCACCCATCTGATGATATAGTGTGCTGTGCTGTTGTATGTCGGTGCTGTATTTCCCTGCCAAGGCCCAGGTATAAAGTAAAGAATAGCAGATCTCCACAGACAAGGCAATTGAGAGAGTAAATGAAAAGGCAATCGCAAAAGCAGCGCTAGTTGCCTCTTCTGCTCGGTCAAGGCAGTGGTTGAACAAATGTGGTGGTCCTTGCTACTGCAAGGTTGGTCCTTGAGGTTGAGCGAGGTTTGTTGTTTGTTTGTTGATCGTTCTTAGCCAAAGGAGTATTCCTGTCCTTTAGAATTGGATCCAAATCGATGGCGAGAGAAGAAGGATAGACAAACGCCGGGTAGTTGTTTAATCCTGAGGAGTTGAAGAAGCGTAGCAAGGATAGTAGGACTACGGTGAGCAGTAGAACTAGGGTTGAAGGAAGAAGAGTGCAGGAAAAGGACGAAAGACGAGCGGGAACTGGAAGGGTCTCTCTTTTTTTTATTTTTTTGGTGACCCGCCAAAAAAAATTGGGGTTCATCTCCGTGATTTTGTGCTTATTGGCTAAAGTATCGCTGGGATTTACAGGTTTTTGGTGAAAGGATTTAAGATTGATCATATTCTTAAGACTGCGATGGCTACTGTGCTATGGTCCGCTCTCAGTTTTTTTTTTTTTTTTTTTTTTTTTTTTTTACAACGGCTCGACACGTTGAGTAGAGACCCGAGGATCTCTTTTCCCTACCATCCGGTATACCTACACATCCCACACCGTGGACATTGCGCGCATTATCGTCGAGAGAATAATAAAGAAATTTGGACCCCTACCAACTCGGTTCTTTACTTGGACGGCCCTTCTTCGCAAGAAAAAAACTCTCTCATAATCGTCGACAAGCGATCCTCACGAAAGTCATGACGCGGGCTCAAGGCAACATCGGTCAGCTGGAGGGTCGCGTGGAGAAGAAGCAACGCGTGCGGAAACAGCAGTTCCTTATCGCACAGAGAAACCTGGCAAAGGCTTTCTATTGGACGCTGGAGACGCGGCAGACCGTTGTAGGGCATCTTCGGAAGAAGGGGTGGTCAGTGGAGGGATGCGAGACCGAGACGGATCTCAAGCTTGCTTAGAGCTACATGCCCGACGATATTGTCCTATTGCGGGACAGTGACCTACTCATTTACGCAAGGATCTTAACTGTGTGGCGACCGATCTCAAAAGGTCAGTTTCTCCTTTACGACGTTCCAGGCATCCTAGCGGTACTAAGGATCAATAGGACTCAGCTCACAGTCCTGTGCATGGTCTCCAAGAACCACTACAACGCCGACATTCCCTCGCTGGGGTGTGTCGCCAATCTCAGCATTATCAGGCATTTGGATGACGATGGTAATGTTCACTGAGAAACAGGCGTTATCTATGTGGACTTATTCTAGTGTATTTTTTTTATATTAGGAATGCAGTATCGTTCGCAGCCATTTACTCTGCCAATAGCGACCACTCTATCTTTATTAGATAAGGGCGGGCACTATCCTTGGATGCAAGATGTAAGGCCGCATACAGAGGCCGGGGGGCAGTATCAGCAGCAGTAGTATCGCGGCAGGGCAAGAGCAAGGGCAGGATATAGCAACGATTGTGCAGCACTCTTGCTCGGATACGTTCTGTGACGTATTTGAGCAAGAATTAAGCGCGAGCTCGGAGGAGGAATTGACACTACCGGATCATTAACTCCATACTTACACTCTTTCTCTTCACTCATCTTCAAACATCCAAATCGCAACATGTCATCTCTTCCCCGTACGATCAAGGGCTTCCTGAAGCTGGGACCTTCCCGCTTCATGCGCCAGCTCAACAACATCGGTGATACCAAGGTCGGAACCCTTGTCGGAACTGACAAGTTCGGCAACAGATACTTCGAGAACCTGGACGAGAGCTACGGTACGGAGTACACATTCCAACAATAGCAACAACAACTACAACAACTACAACAACTATACCTTCAGGGATATTAGGATCAACCTTTATCTTTTTATCGTTCAGCGTCGTCAAGGACAAAAGGATAAGGACCGGGTTCAAAGGGAAAGAGGGTGTTACAGGAGCACCTACAGACTTGACAGGACGAAGAAGGGAACGACTTCTCGACCTTCGTAACAACCTTAGTAGCATGTCTCTGATTGACATAGGAACTCAACACAACCTGGATTAGCCTGCTATGATTGAGATCCGTCGCGTTTTGGATACAGTCAAAATTCAACAGAGGATTAGGATTTATTATCAGCATCGCTAAAGCAGATCGGTCGGGATGCAGTATACTCATGGAGAATATCATGGACACTACCCTTGGATGGCGATTTAGAGAGACATGAAATTGTTCGGACACCACGCTTTTCTTTTTCTATCATATCCTATTCATGTTACCTACTTGACTCACCCGTCATCTCCGACGTCCGAATAGGTCGTAATCGCTGGGTTGAGTTTGCTAAGGAGGACAGCTTCTTTTCCAGAGCCGAAATGAACGCCTCCCAGGTTCCTGCTGAATGGTACGCCGACCTGTATACTACGCGCCTCACCTACGGAATGAAACCACAGGAACTAACGAGATCAATAACGCACTTCTTTCTCGGCTCCATCTGTTAGGCACGGCTGGCTGCACCGCATGTTGGATGCCCCTCCCAACAAGGACGCATCCATGGTCAACCCTAAATGGGGCGCCGAATTTACTGAAAACTTGACCGGCGGACCAAAGGGTAAACCCATCGTTTTCTAAACAGCGACATTTTGAGATGGGTGTGAACAACACAGCCTGTATTCACCCCGCTTGCCCTATTTTGTTTGCATTATCGTGATATAGCTTACAGGACTTACAATACCACCCGTCCTAAGTTCCAGGCTTGGACCCCCAAGGCTGCTCCCCGCGCTTAAGGAAGCGTCTGGGCAACAAGAAGAAAAGACGGCGTAATGACCAACACTAGAGATTCGGACGATGGAAACCACATGAAATAAATAAATGCGACTACAGCCATCTTCAACCATCATCGCTCCCTTCCCTCTTACAATAGTGTTACAATTTATTATGTTAAAGTAAAGAAGGACGCTTAGAGATCGTAAAGCTCGGTCTCGTCCAGCCCTTCCAAAAGATTACTCAGGTCGTCTTCACCATCATCGTCGTCGTTGGCAGGTCGTCGAAAGGTTGGTGCTGATGCCGCGAAAGAACCAGGCCTTGATTCCCCCATCCTATCAGCTCCTTTGGGTTCCTCTGTGGTGCTCAGATCAATTGTTCCATAGCTTACATCTGCAAAATCTACTTCAAAGTCATCGGGCCAATCCGACGAGCTGAACGCATCCGAGGCACGAGAGAGCTGCACTCTTGCTGATTCTGGCGATGATGTCACATCCACCGACAGTTGGTTTGAAGACAATCCTGCTCCCGAATCCGATCCAGACCGTGCACTACTTGATCTCTGGCTCACTGTCGACGATCGCTTCCGAAGAAAAGCGGGAGCTGCAAAGGAAGACAAATTACTTCTGCTGGCTCTGTTTGCAGGGCTTGCCCCAGCAGGGCTCGGTGTCATGGTACCCAATGTAATCAGTGGTGTGGAGTCAACATCAATCGTTTGAGTCCGTCCATCCTTGGCAACGTTCGCTCCACCAAGAGTCTGATGTAAACTTTGAAACTGAACCTCTTGAGTCTGCTGCGTTGAGTTTGTGCTCTTGGTATCAATTTCCTCCGAAGTACCGTCCCTAGCCGTCGTATTTGACAGCCTCAGTAGTGCAGGTTTTGTGTTTATGACAGATTGGGGTGTGTAAGACAGCAGGGCTGCCTCATTGTCGTCTAAGATGTCTCCCTTGGCAGGCGAGCAACTTCTTCTCCGCTTGACATTCGCACTCGAGCTGCCAGAATCCTTCGATGATGCCGTTGATGTGTTGCTGTTTGAGCGTTCTCCGTGCTCGGCTGGTCTCAATGACGGGACACTGGTATTCACATCCTGAGAACGCGGGCCACTCGCGGTATCTCCATCATGGGAATCCTGACTGTTCAGGGTCAATTTCCTTTTTTTTTGCGACAGCCTGTCTTGTGAAGATCCTTGGGATAGAATGATCGTTGGAGGGTGGGGCTGGAAGATGCGGACAATGTTTCGTGGAGTAATGATGATGTAGTGCGATATTGGTGTGGGCGAGAAGATAGAAACCTATAAAGATACACATCAAAACAACGACGGTTAATGCAATGCTACTCTTGCAGAAACCCTGGCTGGAAAGCAGACCATTATGGTGAAGATTATATACGTTTTTTAGGGCCAAAGCCGTCCCGATCCTGATTTCGTTGTTCTTGTATTGCTCGAGTACGGTGATGTGAACCGTTCCTCGCATCTCGCCTGATGGATCCAACAAGGTCACTGCGGCGTCGATCTCCGATAATGTGAAATCCTTGATCATGGCAAGGAGGTATGGAACCTTACCACGATGAAGTTCCTTGCGACTCTCTATATCTGATAATGTAATTTCAATCATCGGTGCTGTGCCTTTATATATTGACAGTGTCGAGGCTATGGTCAACCATAAGTAACAGTTCGTCAGCGATGTATAAAATCATTGAGAGGAACAATGGATGCACGTCGAAAATAAAAGACTCACGTTTATAATTGGGTAGTCCGTATGCCTTAATCATATCCTCCCATGCTCCGCCTAAAAACATACTGTCGATGGGCCCTTGATAGACAGCCTTCATCTTCTTCTTGATGGAAGAATTGGGACTAGTGCTACCGACTCTCGGGATGCGATTACCTCTTATTAAAGAGGCTCCGCGCGATTGAAACAATTGTGCTTTTTCCTCTGGACTCTATTTGATTTTAAAATGATAACATTGTTATCTCTCGATGTCGCATCCATTTATGAATGCAACAATAAAAAAACACTCGACAAAGACTCTTTACCAATTCCGGCAAATTTCCAGCTGGTCCAGGGAGTCGTCGTTTGTTGCGAGTCTGAGCAGCCGACGAAAAACTTCCCGCTGAAGGTGAGCTGTTGCTGCGTAAAAAACTTCGTCGTTCCTGATCCTTGATGCCCCTAACAAGATATGACTGCCTTTGGCTCTGTCCATTACGATGATCAATCGTATCATGTTCCTCTGGACGGCTACTTGAATTCCCCTGAGAATTTGACACTATGATCCTCGAGGTAGCGGTGGTAGTGGATGTTGTAATAGACGTCCGTGCAGTGCTGACGGTGACCCGGGACTTTTCAGATGGTTCGGGAGCTGGGAGTTTGGATCGAGTTGGTGAACTTTGTGTTGACAATGTTATTCGCTCGTTCACAGCAGACTGTCCCGATGGGTTTGCATATTTCTGAGATGCTGTATTGACAGTTTTAGGAGTCGACACGGATTGAGATAATGTGCTGGTTTGTGATCGTTGCGAGGAGGATGCTGGTGGACTCGCTACCACTGCGGCCTTGGGTGGTGTCGGTGACCAGCTCAAAGAAAGTCCTTCTTCAGTTTCCTTGCTTTCATCCAACTCGTGCATCAGATCCACTAGCTCATCGCTTCCCAGCAAGAAATCATCGGGACCGAATGAAATATCCCCGTCTGAAGGAATTCGTATTAACGTATCTGGTGCCTTGTTCACGCCTCGTTGTCCTTCTGCTCCTGCGCGTTGAAAGTCTAATCTCATTCCATGATTGCTGTTCGATCCAGTACTGTTGCTGATGTGATTAGTAGAACTGATCTGGTTGCTGTTGCTCGAATTGTCTGCAGCGCCTTGCCTGGATGGGAGCTTTCCGCCATTCAGTTTTGGTGCTAGAGTCTTGAGAGAAGCAGAAAGATTGAGGAGAGAACCTGAGTAAAGAGGAATGTATAGAAAGTGCAGGAAGTATAGTAGGTGTGTGGAGCCGTTCCCTTACCTCGAACATCCTTGTGGCCTCAGCATGTCCAGTTCCTGAAGATCAGCGTTCAATGGAGCGAAATGAAGGAAAAAAAGGGGAGCGTACAGTACCGTTAAAAAGTGGTGGCAAAAACGGACTGTCGAGACAGGGACAACAAGCAAAAGAAATTATTTGGACGCGTATTTATTGCGCTACAAAACATTCCAATCTATGGTGCCTTGCGGTTCTCGCGAACGAGGATGCCAAAGCCAGCTAGGATGCTCAGACCCCCCACAACGTTGCCCCAGCCAACGGTCTCGTTGAAAAGCACCCAGTCTGTTAGGGCCACCAGGGGGATCGTCGCCATCACGCCAACAGCAGCAAATACAGGGCTCGTTTGTGACACCACTATCATGAAGCATCCGTTGTAAATTAGGCCCAGAGTAGCGATCATGAGGATCGAGGAGAACTCGCTCAAGGTCGGCAGCTCAAAAATTTCATGACCCATCCAGTGAAACAGCGGGATCGGCAACCAAAGCACTGTACAGGTTACGACGCCCATTAATCCGGTGAGGGTGTTGGCAAATATTATTGGCTCGACTTTTGGCGATGCATACTTTTTGTAGACGACCTAGAAAAACAATTATAAAATAAGTATGAATGCAATGAAAAGAAAAGAGGCAGGCAAATGCAGCGTAAATGACTTACCTCCTCAAAGCCATAGAGTGCCGCTCCAATGAGGGCCAAGACATCTCCAGCCATGAAAACAGCAGGGCGATCACTGGTCGAGGACATATTCTCGCCTCCAGGTGCTGCCGAGTCTTTAGTAGTCAAGCTGATGATGGCCACACCGAGCAACGAAAGACACACGGCAAGCACCTTGTTTAGCACAATCTTCTCCCTGAGCAGCATAACCGAAAAGAGGTAGGCGAAGAAACAGGCGGTGTTGTAGATCGCCGTCAAGTTGGCCATCGATGTCAAGGCCACACATGTATACCATAAATAAGAAGGCACCATGAAGAGCGTTGTTATCCCAAAGGTCACCCAAAAGAGATGCCTTGACAAAACCCTTCTCTCGTGGGAGGTGTAGACAGTTGGTGTTGTTGAAGTAGAAGCTGCGGTTGTTTGTGCTGCCGATCCTATAAGGGTATAGTTAGCCTTTCGGTGATAAAGGTCGCCCGTCGACTGTCGGATCAATCGTCCAAAGTAGTCGATACGTTCCCGCAGTGAAGAGAACGATTTTGGCGGAGTAGGCGAGAGGTAGGTAGTGTAGAGGAATTGCGCTGGGAGAGCAATTGCCCAAAATGAATGCGAGATATAGAGGATGAAGTACGGCTTCTGGTATCCCATGGATGTTTGCACGAATTTAGTGAGTTCCTAACAAACGAAGTTAATGATGGTGATATCAGCGATATGCTTGCTTCCTTTGCCTGAAATGCGTACGATTCGCATACGGCAAGTAATTGGCGGGCTTGAACGTACTGTTTGGAGCACAAACGAGAGAATGCAGAAAAGCAGGATCACGGAGGCCATCCTGGATTGCTTTGCTTTGTCCTCCTGTCCCGCCTTGTGATCGCAGCTGTCATCTGGATGGGCTGAGAGGGTGATGCTGGCCTGAGACGATGAGACAAGTGGGGCGGTGTCCTGAAACGACCTGGTTGGACTCACTCCTGCCCTCGCTGTAATGTCCTTTGTCTTCCTGGTCCCTGTCCTGGACATGATGCGTTGTGTGTCAATGAATGAGTCTCGAGCGGATCGATAGCTGCCGCGGAGATCATCAACGCAGACGAGAAAGTAGAGCTTGAGAGAGAAAGATGGATAGAGAGGATTGAATAAGGGAAAGATAAATGAGTTACCCGGACCCGATGCTGGGTACGATACGTCACCAGACCGACCAGGTAGTCTGAACTTTTCCGCACTAACTCGCTGATTGGCTCGAAATAGCGTTGGGTTTTATTGTTTTCTCGCGTGCGGAAATAATGAATGTGCACCAAGAGAATTTACTGGCAGCGAGAACCAGCATTAACTTCATCTATTCCTTTTATCTCGCGTACTGCTTTCTGAAGGAGTGCCGCCGCAGAAACAAAGTAAGTCTCCGTGCACTTCCTGGTCTTGCCATTGTGAACCACTCGACCAAGCTCCATCCAAGCCTGGCGAATTGTCTCCTCACACTCCCACATCACTTGAGCCCTTTCCTCCTCCTGCCGTCTTCTTTTTTCCTGCATCTCCTGTTGTCGCACGGCTTGGAGTCGCTGCTCCTCCTCCTCTCGTGCTGCTTGTAGTTGTTGAAGTAGATTCGGAGAGAGAAACTCCTCTAACGGAGGGCCATAATCCTCTTCCAGGACGGTTTCCTCATTCTCGTCAATTGACTGTCCCGTTAAGCTCAGTTGCATTGTTGTCAAAGCACACTTGGAACCCTGGATAGATCCTCGATACCAAGAACATGTGCTTACACGGTAGACCGTGTTTTTCGTTGTCAGGGCAAGAACAGGAGCGGAGCCATTTGTCCGACAATATATCGATAGCATATTGCGCCTCAGGCGGGGTCTGAAACGACAACACAGAGATCAAGCCTTCCACAGACTTAGTAATGTCGATCAATGTTCTCGCCCGAGCCGAATCAACTTGGATGGCCTTTTTACGCCGAGCCTCCTCGTGGAATGTTAGGCGACGGGGTTGAAGGCCGCTTGTGATCTTGAAGTATGTGGTGCGGTACTGGCTTTCCACCACACCTAGCAGGATGTAGATGAGTTCGTCGGCTCGCAGGTTGCGCTTTCCCGCCAGAAAGTTTTGCTTGAGGTTTCGATGCCATCGCTCCACAAGGTTATTTGTGTTAATATGTTGATGGTGCTATTTCAAATGAATAAAGTGCTTCAACGTTAACAAATTGACTAGAATAAGACCAGTTACATATCGTAGACCAGGCCATTTAATGAGATAGTGTATGTTAATGACTTTGATTTGTAGTTATAGTATATGTGTACAGTCAATTCTTTTTTATCCGGACAAAAGGATAGGAAATCTGTCCGGATAACAATTTCGAAGAAATGAATTAAAATGTTATTCAGTCAGATCAATTATTCGGTCACATGAGGTATTTTCAACCCACATAAAAGGAAGGGCAAAAGGGCCGGACAAAAGGACAGATGGGATAGATGGACAAATGGACAATGGACAGACAATCATTCTGATCAACAACACCAACACAGCACCAACATGCCGCCGAAACGCCCTCTCGCCTCAGACAGCAAAGTATTCAAAAAGAAAAAGGATAAACCTACCTCAACAAGTGGACCCTATACACCCTTACAACTCCCCCTCAAGGACGACATGAAAGTCAATTACACCAAAGCCCAACTCGAATCCTTTTACGACTTGCGCGTCCGGAGGTACGAAGATCTCCTACATTGTGCCAGGACCAACGCCCCACATTGCCTGCTCCTGATGCCTGACCCCGGTGTCTATGCCATCTCAATGGCCAGGACATGCTACACTCTTCGTGTCAAGCTCGAACTCGTGGATATCTTCCACTACCTTCAGAAACACCTCACAAAGCCTTTGGTCAAGGACAAAACCCGAATGAAGTCCACAATTACCTATAGGAACTTTGGACTCAACATGGGCATTGATATTGCTCATTCCACGATGTATGACTATATCAGGAACGAGAAAACTATTCGAAAACAGGCGGACCAGCTACCCCTCGATGCCAAGTACATGATCAACCGGAAGAACAGAATGGTAGAGGAGGTTCTGTTTTTATGGCTGCAGGATCAACGGTCAAGGCAAATTCCTATTAATGGAAAGATGGTCATGGAGGCCGCCCAAGTGACATATACCGTTCTTGTCGACGAATACGAGAAGAGCGATACAAGAGACGCTGTCGTTCCCTCCTTCTCCGCCTCGTGGTTTAATGCCTTCAAAAAACGATACCAGATTTCGTACAGTCAGCTGTACGGGGAAGCAGGAGGAGTTGACTTGGTTGCCATCGAACCTGAACTTCGCGACATCCGTGCGGTTTGCGTCAACTACTCACCGGACGATATTTTTAACTGCGACGAGACCGGAGTCTACCTCAAGGAACTTGTCACAAAGTCATACACTATCCCCGAGAAGACAAGCGGATCCAAGCCCAACAGGAGCGCCCGAGTGTCGATTCTTTTTTGTGTCAACGCATCAGGCTCGTCCTTGGTTTTGTCAGAAGACCCGAAAATGTCTGCGTTGAGGCCTTTGCTTATTGGTAAATATACACTCTTGCCATACTACGCTCTTTTTTTCCTAGGTGTTATTTTTGTGGATTGTCTATGTCCACGTTATAACTTAACTATTTTTTTTTTGTTGGTACATTAGCCAAGAGCATGGCTCGAGAGGTGGATGAAGAGGCCAAGGGCAGGATGGAGATACGGAGGAACGGGTCAGGATGGATGAATAGCAACATTTTTATGTCTTGGTTGATCGATCTCGATAAACAGCTCCAGCGACCCACCCTCTTACTCATGGATTCTTGTCCTGCGCATAATAAGGTCGAGAAACCCGATCCTGACTTCAACTATCGCGACAACTGGAAGTTCCTCACAATCCAACGTTTGCCTAAGAATTCAACCTCTATCACGCAACCACTCGACGCCGGCATCATCAGCGTCTTCAAACGAGCGTTATTGGATCTTCTCAGTCGAGAAACAAGCCTTGTCAAGACCTACGACAAAAGCAAGGCAATCAGCAACGGACACGCATGGTCACTTGTTCCGTTCGCATGGAACAAAGTCAAGGCATCAACAGTTCGCAATTGCTTTGCGAAAACTCCTGTTCTCCCGGATGACATGCGCCAGCAACTACGACAGCGACCAACAGCACCCCAGGAACAGCGGGAGAAGATTCAATACTTGCGGCGCAACGATTACAGGGAAGAAGCGCAAGCCTACTTTGAGCACCTAATTGTCGAGGTGAACGAAGCCAATGACTGGAAATGGACCTTCAAACCACAGGGAACAAAGGACGTACAGGATCTTGCCGACGAATCATTAGCTGCCGAACCTGCAGTGAAGGAGGTTGCTATCGAGTTGAACCTGTTACCTGTCTCGAGCCCGTCTTGTCCACGACCATACGATACCGACGAGCGAGCAAGTTCTCCTCTGGCCGAGGACGTCTATGCGAGAGGCATGCAGGTCCTAAAAGAAAGGGCACCAGCACTCGGACTGATGAGCGTTGACGAGTTCAAGGCGACAAGGAGGGTATTGAGCGGTGGATCGGCGGAGGAGGTCAAGCTCAGCAAGGTGTTAAAGGATGTTTTGCGCTCCTATGACAAAGCTGACCATCTGGGAGGACCTGTGGAACAGTTGGAGGTTCAACCAGTCATCCAACCATTGCTTTCAACATTGATGGACAGTGAAACCCTTAATCTCTGCCCCACCAACTCGAGCAAAACCCAATACAGCCTTGACGACGGCAGCAACAACGGGGGATACGTGATGGATGGAAATCAATGTGGTCAAGGAGAGAACGAAGGCAGTGAGGAAAGTGACGAGGAGGTTGACGAGGAGAAGCAGTGGGTGGAGAAAGAATTGTTTGAGAGACAGCGTCAAGGGTATGGAGATGAGGAGGAGGAGGAGGAAGACGAGGAGTTGCTGCTGCATCGTGATCGAGGAGCGGCTATTGCACCCTTTGCTGTAGAGGAAGAACCCACTGCTGACTACAGCAATTACAGCGGCCATGCCGGCGATGAGAGCAACAGTGACAGTGACCACGACAAGAGCAACAACACAATATCAATAACAACAACAGCAGCAACAGTAGCAAATAACATACCCATCAACGAATATCATTCTTTTTCTTAACCACCTTTTGTCCGGCCCTTTTGCCCTTCCTTTTATGTGGGTTGAAAATACCTCATGTGACCGAATAATTGATCTGACTGAATAACATTTTAATTCATTTCTTCGAAATTGTTATCCGGACAGATTTCCTATCCTTTTGTCCGGATAAAAAAGAATTGACTGTACATACAAGGGACACAAGGTTCAAGGTTACAAGGTTCTATTCCGCTAACTCGAACCTTACACACGGCAACTTTAAAACAGCTCAAGAAACAACTGGTCAAAGGGCTCTTGCCGGCTGGGACATGCATTGACATTCGTGGCGACGTCTCTGCGGTCGAGAACTTTTACCGTCTGAACCCGCTGACCAAGAACCCTCGGAAGTTAATGGCGTGTACGCCTTCCGCGCAGCCGTTCGTCGCGTTCACGGAGCTGGAATTGGTTTCAATCTTTTGGAAGAGCGACACACTCAAGGCGAAGCTGCAGAGTCTTCATGGAGCCAAGGACTATCGTCCTGCGTTGTCTGACATGTCGTACTGGCTGGCCAACCAAGCACCAGGCTACCTCCTCACGACACTCATCACCGACGCAGGACTGGGTCATAAAAAGCGTCGCATGCCCGGAATCAGCAAATCATTCAACAACCTCGCGACACCTTCACTTGCAGAGATCAAAGAGCACCTGAGAATCATTCAGAACGAGGATTTCGACCCCCGCACTTATAAGGAACGCGGTTACGTTATTCGCGGATCTATTCGGACCGATGGCTTTCGTCTCCAGTTAACGGCATTCAAGCTGAAGGAGCTTCTCTCGGTTCGGTACAGGCGGCATCCCACGGACATATTGCCTTCTCGGATTACGTCCACTGTGGGTGGAGTCGACTACTACCTAACTGAGGTTCGGAACGTTGTCAAGACGAAGCAGGATGTCGCAGTTCTTTGAGACTGTGAACCAGAGAAAATCAAGATATTAGGTCTCGATCTTGGTCAAGCGTTTGTGGTTGGAGCGAGCGCTCTATTGCCTGAGAAGACCTTAGATGACATGAAAAAATCCGTCAGCCTCGAAAATGGAAAGCCACGCAACGACAGTTATAATCCAGAGCAAGCATGTGTTACAGGAGCGAGTATGCCGAGATCCAAGGGGAGCTTCCATCAACAGAACAGTGCCGTCGGTACCGAACAACCTGACAATGGCAATGACACCGAGGCTTCCGCCCGCAGCTCCCAGGTCTTTTACAACCTAGCTGTAAAGCAGAAGGCCGTATACCAACCAACATTCAAGTTTCGACGTTGGTTAGAAGAACGCAAACGGTCGATCCCGCTAGGCGCAGCAAAATCTATCAGCAACATCGAAAGCGAGCTACCAGCCCTTCGCGGAAAGGATGCCAGCGTTGAAAAGTACGTTGCGGGATTAGCAGGCGTCAAGGAGCAGCTCGACGAGTTCTACAACAAAAGCGCCACATTCAAAAAGCACCAGTGGGATGCCAGAAAAGCTAGAGAGGCAGAATTCGACATCATCGCAGATCGCCTGCTCAATATGGTTGGAGGATCGTTTGGTAGACAGCGAGATGAAGAGGACAAGGTTGTAATCGGTATTGGTCTAGGCAAGTTTTCATCCACGAGACGACTTTCCTCGTTACATGAGTCCTTCCAGTCGTACTTTGTTCAAAGGGTTAGTGCTCCATTGCAAGACATTCGATTTTTTTTTTTTTTTTTTTTAAAAAAAAAAAAAAAAAAGCTACTGATGACGCTAATGAGGCGCCTTACGTTCTGTGTCCGTTAGGCAAGGGCGCTCGGGTATATTGTCGTGGGCGTCAATGAGTACTACACGTCAAAGAAGTGTCCGATGTGCGAGGAGTTTGTCGGCCAGGTTCAAATACGTCGGCTGTATTGCAAGACTTGCAAGACATACATGCACCGCGATATCATGGCGGGCCACAATATTTGCAACGTTATTCAAGGGCACTTGCTTCAGCAACAGAGGCCACTCTATCTTCAGCCTGTAGATGAGAATGGTAGATATCCTTGGATGGAAGCTACACAGACAGTAACCGATAGCGCGAGCACCAGTAGCAGCAGCATCAATGGTAACAGTAGCACTAGCAGCACCAATAGCACCAGTAGTACTAGCAGCACCAGCGCCAGCAAGGGCAGTGTGGCCCGAAAGAGGACAGCATCAACCGCGGCTGCAGAACAAGAAGGAGCTCCAAGGCGCAAGCGTGCGGCCAATGCGGCATCAGGGCAGGAATCGGCAACTAGCCAGGCCCCAGGAAGTGCCTAAACCCCATCTCAACCATATATGTGTTCGCAAGCACATTTAAAAATGATCGGTAGGTGTAATTTATATCCTAAAGCTGCATAATTCTGCTATTGCACGCCGAAATTCTTTTACTGCATGTATTTGCTTATGCTCATCAAAAAAATTCTATCGCGTCGCCTTTTGCTGGCGTAGTTGGTGCGTTTTTAATGCTCCAACGGACCGACCACCGATAGCATTCCCCGCCGCACTTTGAAAACACTGCAGCGCACATCGTCTTCCTTTTTATCGCGAATGATATGGCCTAATTCCTTCAAAGCGTCTTCCAGCTCGCGTTCACATTCCTGAAATGCCTCTTCAGCTTCAGATTCTCTCGCTCTTCTCTGTGCTTCCTGCTGTTTAGTTTTCATTGCTTGTAGTTGGAGATGGAGTTGCGGCGAAAGCAGCTTTTCAAGAGGGGGTCCGAAGTAGCCTTCGAGATCGTTTTCAATACCGATCGGTACTCGTGGCTGTTGAGGAAGTACAGGTTCCCTGTCGTAGATAATCGCCATGCCTCTGTAGATCCTTGGTACCAGACACATGTGCTTGCAGGGCGACTTGCGCTAAACGTAGCCGGGACACGTACGAGAAAGAAGAAGGGCCCTGTCCATGTTCACAACGATGGAGTACTCTGCATTGGGTCGAGTGAAAGACTTAACTAAGAGCTGTAGAGGATAACATTGATTAAAAAAATATTCGGATATAAACCTTATCTTTTCACGCGCTCCTTCACTCCCATCTCCTTCCTTTTCCGCAACACAGTTCGCTGCACATCCTTTGGTGCCTTCTTACCCCACCTTGGCCACCTTCTTTACTCATCTCGTAAGCGTTAGCAGTAGGTATTATGGGCCTGTTGCCGCTTAATTCGAAAGCTTGGATATGAGGCTGTCTTCTGCTCTCAGTGTCTCCAAGTCTCCCAGCCCTCCATCTCCATTAACCACGTTTCACCACCCATGCTTCGTGTCGACATTCTATCTTCACTTTATCCTTCTATTCGCTACACCTACACAATTCATCCCTTTCTTAACGCTCACACAGTCCTTGAACAAGTGATATCGAACTCTGGGGTCCCAGAGAGTTCAGCTCAGTATCTGGATGGCCCTTCGCCAGATGAGAAACGACAGACCTGCAAAACTCGAGTCGGTGCTCTACAGCGCGCCCAGAAATGAATTAGTGACATGGAGGAACGTGTGAGGGACGTAAGCAGGACGCCTTGGATCTTTTGGGATGTGGTCCGGAGCAGATCAAGACTTTAAATCTGGATCAAGGACAAGCATTCATGGTAGGAGCGAGTGCCTTGTTGCCCAGTCGTGAGAGGCCCAAAATGGATAAAGAAACAGGGATGAATATTGCGACCAAGGAACCATCTGGAGAGATAAAGGCCCCCAAGGTTTTCAACCTTGCCGTCAAGCAAAAGGCGGTATATCAGCCCACACTAAAATACCGACACTGGATGGAATAAAGGAAGGACAAAGCAGTTTACGACTCGACATCTATCAGCAGCATCGAGAGCAACTTGCCTCCTACGCGGCTCTGGATCAAGCATCAAAGACTACGTTAACAAGCTCAAGGATGTGGAAGCACCCCTCAATTTCTTCTACAACAGCAACATGGTCCTCAAGGTACACAAGTGGGAGGCCCGAAGGGCCCGGGACGCCGGGTGCGAAACCATAGCCAGCCGCCTGCTAAAGTCGGTCGGAGGTTCGATTGGCTGCAGAAGGAAAGAGACCAACAAGGTCGTGATTGTGATTGGTCTTGGGCAGTTTTCCAGCAACGCAAGGCTTTCCTCGCTGCATGAGTCGTTCATGTCGTACTTCGTCCAAAAAGTAGGTGCACCGTCGCTGAGCTTTGCTTTTGTTGAATTTTTGACATGTGTCTAGCATAGTTCTATAACGTACCTGATGCCGGTCTATTAGGTAAGGTCGCTGGGCTATATTGTGGTCGGTGTAAACGAGTATTATATACTTCCCGTATGCGAGCAATCCGTCGCACAGGTTGAAATACGCCGACTCTATTACTCTCATTGCAAGACATCCGTCCACCGGGATGTGATGACCGGCCACAATATCGGCAACGCTGTCCGTGGCCATCTGGTCCATCAACAGCAACCACTTTACCTCCAGCCAGTGGATTAGAACGGCGATTATCCCTGGATGCAAACAACGAGCGCCACCACTAATACAATATCCATTAGCACAAGCAGCAGAAGCAGCACCGGCAGCCAAAGTCTTTCGATCAACGCCACGCCGAGCCAAGGTCAACCTCTTGGCCGCAAGAGAGCCAGCTCAACGCAGAAGGAACGGAAGGGGCGCGGATAAATGCGCGCGCAGTTGTAGATATGTCCATAGTTGCTCAAACGTTGTTGCCTTCTCGGTGACATCATTAGGGCCCAGTTTAAATGACATCCTCTTTCTCTCTTTTGTTGAATCACATCGCCAAGAAGATCTCCACAGCCGAGCTAACAACCAAGCACTAGCACCAGCTACAGCGACACCCCCCCCGAACTCGGTCCAACGAGCAAAAACACCACTGCAACGCAATAAAAAAACCAACCCCAACCCAACCAGCAATCATGGCCTCCAACACGATGAACTTCGGTCCTGAATGGTACTCCCTACTAAAAGCGATCGCATCCCCCTAGCCGATCTTCTCAAGCATGCGAACATCGATCTCCACTACGATGGAGCATTCACATAATTAACGCTGTTGCCACTTAAAAACACCTATGGATCAATCTATTAGGATGAGACGTTTCCCTGCAAAGGCAAGCCAATCTCACACCGAGCAGCACGCCAGGGCAACCTCCCCTCCTCCTGCAGCGCCGCCTCTCCAGGACTGGAGCCAGCCCGCGCCTGCTGCCGCCTCTTCTGCCGCCCTTCCAGCCTTCAGCTACTCGTCAATTGCGGCCAGCAATGTCCGCTCCCAGAACGGCGTCCCTGGATCGACTTCATCCTTTGATGCATCTGCCTCCGACGGCGGTAGTGGTGGCAGCAGCGGCATTACCAGCGGCAACTTCGCAACGGACTCTCTGAATCCTTTCAAGTACTCCAAGGAGTTCATGCTGTCACTCTACAGACCGACAGGACTCCCGATCGAATTTGAACGACACGAGTATATGACTAGTGAAGAGTCTCTACAGCCAATGTCCTCGATGCCGTTTTCTGAACAAGAGATCAAGGCAAGAACACATCAGGCTATCTGAGAATACTTTTTGCCCTGCGCTCTTCTTTTTATTTTCCTTGCATTCAAGAAGAGTATGACAGGACAATCAGGTAATAACAATTCGATCGTTCTAATAACAAAAATGTATCTAGCTTCTGGCCGGAAGCGTGAACAGCGAGGTCGCACGCCGAACTACCCAGCCAGGAGATGGTCTTCAGGAGCGAGCTCCTGGACAGAGGCGCGAGAGTTTTTCCAATAACGGGGAACACTCCACTGGACGTTATGACCGATCCGACAAGATCTCCTCCCATTCTCGTAACTACGAGTCTAGGAATCACGGATCGAGCGCAAGGCCAAGAAGTAAGTAACAGCTTCGGCGATATACTCCCCTATTTTCATCATCCACATCCGCATCATATTATGAGTGTGTGGTAACGCGACAGTTCTACATTTCGCTAAACTCCGTCTCGATTGCTTTGTAGATCTAAACAGCGAAGGTCGTAGTCATTCGTTCAGGCGTACGGAGCAGATTGAGCGTGAACGCGAGCGTGAGCGCGAGCCAGAAGACGATGGCCTTTGGAATTCACCAGTCGGCAACATAGTTGGTTCGTTCGATGCCAATGGCGTCTTCCGTGTCGTTGGCGACTCAGAGGAGCTTCAGCCATTAGCCGAGCATGAAGAGTCCACTAAAAAGCACGCTGCTGACGAAGCGAAAGGGGCGGGTGTTAGAAACGGAGACAACCCCAAGTCTTCGGCTAATGCCACCGCTCCTTTGCAAAACCAAGAGCTGATTTCTTCAGATCTTGGGTCAGGCAAGACAGATCAGCCCTCGCCGGAGCAGCAACAGCAACAGCAGAAGCTGCAGGAAAAGCCTGCCGATAGTTATCTGTTCTCGAGCGGGTTACTCGCAGGCAAAAACCTTGGTTCCGGTCCATTGCGGGACGATGCTGAATTCGCGCCCTTCAACGCCGGCCAGTCGTCAGTACCGAACGTGGCTCCTGCACCCGAATCTGCGTTTGACGCTTTATCGGTGGAGTTAAGCAAGTGGTTGTACAGGGATCCCAGTGGAAGCATTCAAGGACCATTCTCGTCCGAAGAGATGCATGAATGGTACAAGGGCGGATTCTTCTCGCCAGATCTTCTTGTCAAGCGTGAGCAGGACCCGACGTTTGAGCCTCTGGGTACATTGATTAGGAGGATCGGATCAGAGGACAAACCATTTTTGTTGGCAGGTATTGTGCGTCAGGAGCAGCCATCACTTTCAGGAATGCCACTGCGGTCTTCAGTCCCTTCGCTTGCACAGGTCAGGCAGCCTATTTCTCAAGTTAGTCTTTCATCTGGATGGATCGGAATGAGTGCGCCCACGACTCCGAGCACCCCGAGCTTTGGTGTTGATCGCTTGCTCATGCAACAGCAGCAACTTCAACAGCCACAGCAGCATTCGTCTGGCGACCTGTTTAGCAGCACTAATAATCTTGGGCAGCAGCGATCTGGTTTTGGATCAGTCCAGGACCCTGGCCTCGAGTCGAGATGGAGTTCCGGTCTGTTTGGTCGCACTCAGGCTGTAGAATCGAATGCTGGTTGGGGCGGTGATACCTTTTCACGCCCTGCGATGGGAAGCATGTCTGCGGCGCACACGCCTATGGGCGGTCCCCAGTATATGGACCAGCAACAGCGCCTGCATAACCAAGAGATCGAGCGCCAGCAGTACATGCAACTGCTACAGCGTCAGAGCCAGATGCAGACCATGGTCCATCAGCAGCAGTTTATGCAGGCTCAGCAACAGTTTGGAAATGATCCTCATGCTCTTGCGGCGCTACTCGCTCAACAACAAGCCCAACAGCGACAACTTCAAATGCGTTACCAGCAGTTGCAGTTCGCAGGTCTTCATGCGCAGGCAGTTTCCACTCCTGGCGGCACCGCAATTCCCTGGGGAGGAGCAGGCATGGGACAGCCCTCGAGTCCATGGACGACCTCGATCATTCCTTCGAGCTCCGACAACTACTTTGAGTTCAACAAGGGGGATGGTAGCCAGGTGCCTCACTCCATGCAGCAGCGTCAGCAGCAACAAGTCCAAGCGCAAGCGCAGCACCAACCGTTTCAGCCGTTCCAGCAGGAGCAGCAGCAACAACAGCACTCTCAAGAACAACAGCAGCAGGAGCACATCTCAACTGCAAAGGACTCAGTTTCCACGCAAGATTCATTGCCAACACAGCACGACAATGCTGCTGCCGACTCTCTCGCCGAGCGTTTGGAGCACCTCGAGGTTCGCAATGAGTATGAGGGCGCGGAGATTGGGGGAGTGAAGGAGCACGCCACCAAATCTGCTTCAATGACTGAGCAGACTGCAGTGGAGGACAAGGACGAAGAGGATTATGCTGACGAGACCTTTTCAGCAGCCCAGAACGATGCTTTTGAGCCTACCACTTCGATAGAGGCTGAGTATGAGAATCAGCAGGAGGTTGAGCTGGACTATGGTCATCAGGAACAGGGATCATTTGAGGAAAACATCTCTGAGACCGCTTCCTCCACCGCCGCCGAGTCGACCCATCGTACCATCAAGGCTAGCCCTGCTCCTTGGGCCAAGCCTTCTAATGACGAAGACCTTTCGGAGCGAAGGGGTCCAACCCTTCGTGAGATTCAAGAAATGGAGGCCAAGAAGGCAGAAGAAGCCAAGGCAGAGCGACAGGCCCAGTTGGCTGCTGCTGTCTCTGGTAACAACAGCATGTTGGATTTCACGAAGGGCATGCCAGGAGCTCCCGCTTGGAGCAGCACAACTGCGACCACACCCAAGAAGAAGACCTTGAAGGAAATCCAACAGGAGGAGGAGGCTGCAGTCAAGCGGGCTCGTGCTGCCCAGCAGGCGAACCCATCTACGACGCCTCTTGGAGCTCAGAGCCCTGGATTGGCTGCCATCGTCGCATCAGGAACTGGCTCGATCGGCAGACGCTATGCTGATACCATCGGACCCAAAGTGCGTTCTATTCACATTTATCTCGTTGTTTGTTGCTTCTGTTAAGTTATTGAGTTGACTGTACTAACGATATTCATACGTCTTGTCACTCTTCTAACATTGTAGTCCGCCAGCAGCTCCACGACCTCTGGCCCATGGGGCTCTGCTTCGGCTGCCGCAATTGCATCCAAGCCAGCATTGGTTACCCGCAGTTCTGCGGTTTTCGCCTCTAACCCGTCCCTGAACTCGCCCACCAACCCTGTCTCGAAAGGCTCCGATAGCAACTGGATTGAGGTTGGATCAAAGCACTCGGCCTCAGTATCTACTTCGCCTGCCGTCAGTCGCACCTCGGCTCCAGCTTCTTCGTCGACGAACAAGGCCCCCTCGAACTCGAATGAGCCCCGCCCTGCTTCGGAAGAATTTTTGCGCTGGTGCCGTCAGGCTCTCAAGGACCTCCAGGGCGTCGTCCTCGAGGACTTTATCCAGATGCTGCTCACCTTCCCTCTAAACCCTGATCCCATGACGGTCGAAATCATTTCGGAGTCGATCTATGCCAACTCCAAGTCCTTGAATGGACGCCAGTTTGCGGACGAATTCATCAAGCGTCGCAAAGCCGACGCCTACCCCAACGGCGCTCCTGCGTCGTTCTCTACAAGTAGCTCGGGTGTGTCCTCGGGTGTTGGTGTTGGCGGCGCTGACTCTTCGTTCAAGGTTGTTTCCAAGAAGGGCAAGAAGAAGGGAACTGCTTAAAACACCTTTCAATGAAGTAAATGGTGGGATAGCGGAAAGTGGTATTAAATGGTTAATTAAGGTTTAGACGCGTTGCCTTTTGCTGTGTGCAACATCTCATAAAGCTCCTTTAATAACTGCAGAAGAAGACCAGATAGAGCAGTTCCGCGATATGCGACACCATGTTGTGCGGCTTCTATGCGCGTTTTGTATCACCACAAAGTCAATTGTTGTTTATGAGTAGAGTCATCGCCGGGTCTCATTGGTCAACCCATCCTGTAAAACACGCCTCAATACTCTTTTTTCTGAGTTTACATTACACCAAGCTTCTCTGGCCGATTCCTGTTGCAACTGCTCCTGGTTTGTCTTCAGCTACTCATGAGTCGTCTTGAACTCTTTCTCCATTCTGTAATGGAGCCAGTTCTCGAGCCAAATGAGACGCCATTTATCATCATCTGCAATAAAGACAACGTTTGATCAAGATAGTCAACACGTTCAGTATCAAGATGACCGTTAGAAAGAAGTAGAGCATTGGGCTACATTACTCTCAAGGTCATGCCAGTTGCTTGCGACTCCGCGTTTGATTGGCCGTGCTCTGATCCAGAAACGGTAAAAGTGTATCCTTTTTTAGAATGTTCATCAGTTGCATGCATAACGTGACTCGAACGCGTACTGCTGTGCTGTGCTTCTGGCGAATGTGCTGTTGGAGTGTTTCTTTATTTTCTCACAAAGGCCGTTTTAGCTTTAGCTACAATTCCAGCGCCCTAATCTCAAGCTTTTTATGCCCCGACGCGATCTCCACACACCTAGCCTTGTACTGCTCTCTCTCTCTCGATGTTCTCTGCTTTTGGCGTTCGATGTGAATAGCCTGTCCTACTTGTGCTTCCCCGTCCTGGTTTATTTCTTTATGATAGTGATAAGGTATTGTATTCCACTTGCCGTAATACCCTCAACAAATACCTTTGCAACATTCGCGGCGTGCTACCTAACCTCTTCCTCTTCCTGCTCGGAGTGGTCGTCGACGAAAACGAGGGCAGATAGGGTGGGGCAGACACGATCCCTGTGAATAATGGTCCAACAGCCGAGACGTGCGCCCACCTACCTGCTCATGGAGAGCGCTATCAAGCAACGATGGTCAGCCCTTACAATTTTCGAGTACCATTGGGGAATGTGATATGACGAACGCCTCCGCCTTTTACCACTATCCAGTCCCTTGGACAAATTCATTAGGCTAGACATCTAATTCCTCTTTGTTTGTACCTGTCGTTCAGGTACGCTAGTCTTTTATTTTTACGAAAATGAAGCAGACTCGCGTCGCCTACCTGCGCTTAAATGCATGTATAGACCCACCAACGATAGTTAGATTGTATGTGACAAAAAAACGCTTCCCCAATACGAATGCTATCCTCAGGCTACCAATCACACCCTGTCCTCTTATTTCCCCACATCTATCAAGGCCTGTCGAAACAAAAGGCTTCGCGTTCTTGGTGGTGCATGCATGCGTTGATGCCTATACAATCCGCGCCTTTTAGCAACTCTCCGTCGCTCCCTACCTTGCAATGCGCCTTCATTTTACCAAAGCACACCTTGGACTTTATCAATCCTTCACCTAGCATCCCTAACTTTCCTTACAGAGCCATGCTTCAAGGCAAAATATAACTAATATCCCTGACCTCGGGTGGCATACGATAACCCTGAATGTCCTGCAGGCACAGGCCCGACAAGCCCAGCTTGCCCAGCTCGCGCTTTTTTTCTAAGCTACTCCCCATATTAGTACCACCAGCATCACTGTCACCGCCAGTCAGCAAGCACTGAAGTCATCTTCAAGCTTTTGACATCCAAGAACGATGCCACGGGGGCCCCAAAGTGAAAAAGGGATTATGGAATTATGCTGTTTCAGTGCTCTCGTATTACATATTACTAACAGTTCAACTCTGGGTTGTAGGACTATAATTGATCGAGCGATTGGAATTTTGTACTCTAGCTTGCTGAGTGCAAGTAGTCATCCTGAGCGGTCGTTTTGCTCTCTAGGATTGCCGCTGCGGTTATAACCTCCGGGGGAACCGCCGTTGCTATCTGCAATGCAACTTATGATGCCGCTGAACCACCAGCAGCATCCATGCCTGCCGTAGTCGTTGCTATCGACGAAGAGTCTGCCAAAATCTGCAGACCCTGCAGCACTGAGGACACCCCAGGCACAAACCACCGCGCCTCGGAGCTCTTGGAGCCAACTGTACAGGTGACAACTTGATGCTGTTCGTTACTGCCGCCCGATTCGTTGTCATCGTCCATGTTCTTGTCCGCACCCTTATCCAGCTCAAGCCCGTTCACAAACTGGAACATGTCCTCGTCAGACCGATCATCACCCACACATAGCACAAAATCGATTGGCTGGAACACCAAATTTTGTGCACTTCCATTCGATAATATGGTGGAGGAGGTGGGTTCTACATCTTCTGTCTGATCGCTCAAAGAGGATGGTATCAAGCCAAGGCTCTCGACAATAGTCCTTGTGGCAGATGCCTTGCTCACATCGCGGGGCATCACCTCCAGGCACTTTCGGCCAACAATGGCATGCACTGGATAAATGGACCCAATTGCTTCCTCGATATGGTTCTGGCACTCACTAGCCTGCCAGAGTCCGTAGCTCGGATTGTCAGCTTGACGGTAATGCTATAAAATCATAATAAAGGAGTTGTCAGCATACGGAGCTCAGCCCCAAGTTCAAGCCTCACTAGAGAATGTTGACGAGACATATACCTACCCAAACCAGCGGTACACTTTTCTCTTCAATCTCGGATCCCGGAGTCCTCTCCCTGTAGTATTCAAACATCTGAATAGATATGTAAATATAGAGTGGTAAGTATCATATTAGCTCTCTTTAAGTTCCATAACAACGCGGATCCAGCAAAGTATGAAGGTTTACCTCCATGACCTTCTTTCGCCATTGCATATCGCTGCCTTGTTGGACCTGCTCCTCCCAGATCGATTTGCCAGGATGTTTCAAGAAGCAGCCGCCTTCAGCACTAGTTGTGACATAACATATAGCGTAATGGAGTTGCACCTTCATTAGAGCCTCGGTTTACTTACACTTTGACTAGACATTCCATACCTTCATTGAAGACATGAAAAAACCTTACCAGAGACCGAGGCTCAGGATCTCCCCGAAAGTGCTCTCCAAGCTGCTCCTGGTTCGACCGCTCATAATGTATACAGTGTTCTTTAGGTCCTGGACTAACTCGTTCACCACCTTGATCATTTCCTCCTTGGATGTCTTGCCTTTGGACCTCACAGCTGAACTTCGCTCATATGGCAATAGCGTGCCATCATAGTCCAGCAATAGCCTATAGAGCATTAGATGAGGATCAAGCAGGACGTTTTAAAGAAAGTCCAGAGCATATCCCATTGAGCACCTTTTCTTGCACTTACAATCTACGATTGGCGGCTCGGTACTTTGGCAAGACGACCGCCATATCGAGCAGCGGGATGTGGATGGAGTACCGTCTCTGTATATCGCCATGCACCTTGACTAATTCAGTGATGAATCCCTGCGCCCAAAATTGGGCCGTGTTGGTGCAAACGTGCTTCCGAAGTTCATTCCACCGAATTGCCTTCTCACCCTCGTTCATCTCGAGTGCATCATGAATCGCGGTTGCAACCTCTGTATAATTCCACGGGTTCACGCGCAAGCATGCTCCCAGACTTCCATACGTTCCTGCAAACTATATAAAAAGTCGATTTAGCACATAGCGTTAGTAATATATATGAACACGAGGATCCGCAGTTTGTAAATAAGTCCATGGTAGATGTACCTCGCTAAGGACGAGTGGGTTCTTGTTCTCCTCCTGGCAGACGACATATTCGTGGGAGGTGAGGTTCATTCCGTCTCTTAGAGAGGTTATAAGGCACAGGTCTGCGACCGTCAAAAGACCAAGGTACTGACTGAACGTGATGTCCTGCCGAAGGAACACAATAGGCTGATAGGAAAGATCGCTGAACTTGGAATTGATCCTTGTCACGACATCCGATACCTGACCCTGAACTTCATTCTGTTCGGATGTCGACAAGGCGACTTGTATCAACACGATCTATTTTAGTAAAAACAGTAGACAGGGGTATTAGCAACGCGGTGTTGGATCAAGTATGGCAAAGAGAGAGGCCCTGGTCACTTACTTTGCCTTGGTATTCCGGGTATAGGTTCAGGAACCGCTCGAACGCCAACATCTTTTGTCGCACGCCTTTGATATAGTCCAGCTTGTCGCGTGCCACAATCAGTTTCATGCCAGCATACTTTTCACGAAGCACCTGCACCCATTTGGCTACTTCGGGATCCTGGCGCTTGATGTTTAGATTGTTTGTATCAATACCTAGTGATCAAAAGAAGAAGAAAGGCAATTCATCAGCGAACTTATCACTTTGCAAAAGAAAAAAAATGTATACTGTTTTACATGAAGGATCGCTTACCGATAGGGAAGATCCCAACGTTGACAGCTGTGTTCTCAAGCTGAATTCCTTTTGGGTTGGTCTCCACAGCCAGCAGACGAGAGCAAGTCTGCAGGAAATGCCGGGCAAACGAGTAGGTTTGGAACCCCACCAAGTCGGCGCCCAAAAGGCCCTCCAGCACTTCCTTGCGTGCTACCATGCCACATAGAGACACAAGGATGAAGATAAGCAAAAGTACGTAGCGCCTTCATGATGATTTCCAGTACAATACATTGGCTATCAGTATTGCATATTACCATGCAGACACTTGAAAATCTCGGAGCTGGGAAAGGGAATGTGCAAAAAAAATCCAATCGACGCATCAGGGAGCCGCTCCCGGACCATGTTCGGCACTAGCATCAGATGGTAATCGTTCACCCAGACTATTGTCCGTAGGACGAAGACAATAACACGCAGGTGAATATACAGGGCCTTTTTAATCAGTAAATATACACAACAATGTAAAGGCGCAATGACCACTTACTTGTGTCACCTTGCATGTAATTTTCCACGATCGTGTCCGCAAATGCCCTGTTGACAGCAACATAGTGCTTCCACGACCCGTCTTCGTACCCTTTGCTCCTCAAGTTGTCGGGCAGCACGTAATGGAAGATTGGCCAAAGCACCTATTATAGAGAGAAGAATGCGAGGGTGTCAAACATAAGGCCAGCTCACGGTCATGGTGGCTGTTGTTTGCCTATTCTCGTTCTGTGGGCGCGTCCGCTTCTAGATAATAATCCAAAAATCCCTCTTTGTCAAGCGTTTTTCCTGACCAAATCCATTAGAGCGTCGCTCATTGAATTGCATGCAGATACGATTTCCACAATGCGCCTTTTTTCGATACCCAACAATGTGGGAAAAGCAGCAAAACACATGCTTGCAACGTACCTGCTTACAAAACTGATGGTAATGGCCCTCAAAGTCCTGGTCATTTACAAAGACCGGAATTGAGCTGTGGTTTAGAGCCAATTCCGCCTTGATATCGCCCCGCGTGCGGTCCGTTAGGCTATCGGTCGCCATGCCCAGTGTGCCAATCCAGATTCGCTTCGAGAGTTGGCCCTCAATCGAATTGACCGCGTTCTGCAGTCCAATATTGCCGCCGTACGACTTCTCGACTGTCCATTGGGTATCCGTAAAGACCTTGGGTGGATTAGTCGCAGAGCACGACTCCGCTGCAGCGCCTGATGAGCTACCACCCTGTGAAAGAGATGCAGTAGCCGAGGATGTATGGGTATCAAGGCTCAATGACTGCTGCTGATGATGATGGTGATGATGAGGGCGATGGATATCATCGGTTCGTAATGCCCTGCTACGTGGCTGGTTCAGAGAAGGCCGCGGTGTAGCCTCAGGGAAGAGGTTCTCCTGGTTCTCGGGCGGTTGAGACAGGATCGAAGGTGGAGGTGTTGAGTTTCGCTGTTGCAGGGACAGGCGTTCCTGTTCCTTGAGCCGATCAGCCTTGCTGCTGAGGATGGGCTTTTGTGTAATCGTGACATTCTCAATTGCAGAGGCCGTTCGAAAGTATTCTGGAGTCGCTGGCGCAGGTGAGGCTAGGATGGCCGTGGGCGTGGTGCTGACTTCTCGAGGGAGTCCTCGAGTGACGGACGGAGCGGGCATGGGCGCCGATCCATGGAGGGCCTCGAGGGCAGGCGAGTAGAAGGACGTCGGGGGTGGGGCAGAGACAGGGGTTGAGGTGACTTTGTTAGAGCGAGCGGTGATAGTAGTAGTAACACGGGTTGTTCTGAATCGGCCATCCTTCTCGCGGGGTGGGACCTGGAATGAGATTGTGTTTGGGAGGAGGCATGTCACGACAAGCAGCCTGCCATCGGTCAGGACGCCAGTAGTGTTCCCAGTTGGCATGGCAGGGGCAGAAAGAATGCGCCGGGTAGGACAAAAGAAGCCTGTTGGGTATTCGAGAATGAGAGGAGGGAAGAGGAATGAGGTGGAATGGAGAAGAAGACGAGGATGAGTGAAGAATAGAGACCTTGGAAGGAGGAGGAGGAGTCGAAGGGGGAGGAGGATAGTTGGGAAGCAGCAGACTAGTGTTCAGGCACAGTTGGGCTTCGATCCCATGGGGCAAATCCGAACGTTCTTCAGAGCGGGCTTTTATTATGTCGCTGACTCTTATACCGACCTAGTGAATGGCCCTTCGGGCTGTCTCCATGGACCAGCACGGCCAAAAACCACGAGAACCTCCGAAAAACGATGCCATTTACAAATTCGGTTTTGCCACCAATATTTTTTTGCCCTGGGGCTGGTCAAGTCGCAAAACGAAGTACAGCCCCGCCATCCCTCGAAAGCTGGGCCAACCAAGTCGAGATTCGTGATCTGCTCATTCGACGAAGCCAAGCGCACCATCCGATTCAAAAATCCGAGTCTTTTAAGTAAAATGGCATGAAGGCGTCAGTCTGCTATGTCGTTCAGGGTCCGAAACATCCTGCGCTGCCCGCACCAGATCCCTGTAGGCTTTCGCGCGATTGATATGACTTTACCATCGTTTTTTTGTAAACAGACAACATGATCTCGTTTCAATTATCTTTGTTTATTGGAGTTCATACGCGTGCTTTTCCGTAGTCCGACCTTCGAACCCCATATATCATCCTGTCAATCTCTCAGCACCATCCTCAGTGATCAAGATCTATTAACAACCAGACCAGTATGCACACCTATCAGTCCTCGGTAACGAGAAAAAACCGGCCCATCTTTATCGGATCGTATTAAAAACAAATAGTAAGAGGCATCGACAATTTCAACTCACCATGTGTTCAAACTGGGCACTTCGCCCACCATCTGCCGTCACCACCGTCCATTTGTCGGGCCATTGGACTCCTAGAGCAGTGCCCTGGCAGAACATGGGCTCGATTGTAAAAATCATGCCTTTTTCCATCTCGCCATCTTCGTCATTATCTATTGGTCGAATGAATGCATGTTATGTCCGCCATATGAGTACTGTTATCTCCTTTTTGGTCCTGAGATCGTGCCTTTTGCACTTTCCGCTGCTTTACAGAGCTTGCGTTACCATGGTGGTAGATCAATGGCAGGCAGTGGAACTCTTTGCCGATCCCATGTCCTGAAAACTGTTCCGAGACCGTGTATCCGTATCGATCGGCAATCGCTTGAATCGTCTTTCCAATCCTATTGAAGGGTACACCTGGGCCGCAAACTGCAATGGCCGCATCCAACGATTCCTTTGTTCTCTCTACCAATTCCCGGCCAGGCTGATCTACATCGCCAACGAGAAACGTAGCTGATGTGTCTCCATGATACCCATCTTGATATACCTATTCAGACGATGAAAACACATCCTTGTTAATTGCAGAATATTGGAAGTACCTCATCTAAAAAAAAAAAAAAAAAAAAAAAAAGGCTCTGTAACTCACTGTGATATCGATGTTAATAATATCTCCATTCTCGAGGCATCGACTAACAATTGAAGTAGAACAAGACATTAAGGGGTTAGCTTCCATTTCCTTCGCATTACAAGTACAAAAAGCCCTATGATGCTGTGCCGCTCAATGGTCGAACATCAGATACCATACTTGTCAGGAATACCATGCGCAATGACATTAGATATAGACGTGCAGATTGATTTTGGAAAGCCCATGTAGTTCAACGGCGAAGGATATGCATTGCTGGCAATAATGGCTTCATGCAGCATGCGGTCGATCTCGTTCGTACTAATGCCTGGCTATCGTAAATGAACAGTAAAAACAACAACAACACTGCTGAATGGGCATTCCACGATATCCTACAAACGTTCATGCGCGTCCCTCAAGCAGCCAATAGAAAACCACCTCAGTACCTTCACAAGAGATCCTCCGAGCTCAAGGATCCTTTTGGCCAACTGTCCCGCCTTCCTGCACCGCTCAATGGCTTCGGGACCGTTCACTGGAATAGTCGAAGCCCACTCGGAGGGCTCCCCTCGAAGTGCATAGCCCGGTCGTCGGATATGCGCTGGAATCAAGCTATCTACATCTGGCGGGACCACACCGAGCTTTAATGAGGTTGGTGCCAGACGAGCATAGTTGCCGAAATGGTTGTGATCACGAATGTCTCCACCATGGACATTTTTGGGTTTACGAGGTTGCTGCCATGTGCTTGAAAATTGAATCTTCCTTGTCTGCTCTCGCAAGAATTGGTGTGGCTGCAAAAGAGATCTTGCTGAAGGTGCAGCAGCAGTTGTCCTTACGAGAAAAGGTAGCGCTGTCCCGCTTCGAAATAGGATCTGGTTGGGTCTAAACATGAGGATCGAACGAGGGAATGAATAGGGACTTGCATCCGTTCCTTTAGGCCAGCCAATAGCCATCATTTATGCCAGTCCTCTTCCGTGTTCAGGTTCAACTGGCAATTTATTTTCTCTATAAACACACATTCTTCTCCTTCCAGGGGGGTTCTTTACCAGAGAGCAACCTTCTCGTTCCACTCGCCAGTCTCACGAGTCTCCCAGTATCCACCCTTGTATCGCCATGTCTGACCTTCAGGGTCCTCAGTTTCGGCGTCAGCCTTCTTCTCAAACCAACGCACCTCCCATGGCTCGCCCTTGGTTTCCATCGCCTTGCGAAGCTCGCGCTGACGCTGCTCCACTCGCAGCTTCTCCTGGTCAGCCTCCTCCACCTTGCCGCGTTCAAACAATGACTGATCAGGACGGAATCGAGTGTCCGTCTTTGGTAACTTTTGTTCCAGCCCCTTAGTCAACTCGTTCAAATGCATCGTGAACTCCGTGAATCCATAATACTTTTCGTGGTTAGGTGGCGGTGTGTTGACCTTCCAAATACGCTCAAACTTGTTCGGTCCAACTTCTTCCATTAAGGATTCGCTCCATCGACCCTGAAGTGTTCGCTTCTTGGCTCCGCTCGCGTTCATGACATGTCCGACAACCTCGTTCTTGGTTCCGGCGAAAAAGCTGGATTCCTTGAAAGTCAAAACACAGGTCTCGCGAGTGGTATGGTTGACGATCTTCATTTCCCCAGTGTGCTCGAGATATTTGGTACCGGCCATGAGATTGCGCATCCAAGTCGAGGGCTTATGGATAGTAAAATGATCGCCAGTCTTCTTGAGGTTTATGTGAATCGTGCCATTAGGGATGAGTTCCTAAAAACCAAGCAGAATACAAACAGATGGACGCGTTACAAAGCCATTAAAAAACAAAAAGCACACGTCAATGACTAGCGGACCAAATTATTAAACACCAAATTTACCATTGATTTGCCCCAGAACTTGGTCTTTGCGCGAGAGTCCATAGCGAAGGTCCAATCATGAACGGACTCGGCATGGCACTGAAAAGTAATAAGAGTATCATCAGGTTAATCACCAGCTTCTACAAAGACAACATAATCTTGGTATTTTTGACCATAGCAATCAAAACAGGTACTTACAGCCATAATAGGAGGATAATGGCTGACTTTTTCAGAGATGAACTTGAAGCCTAGAGAGTCATAGCAGGAAAATAAATAAATAAACGTTCATTAGACGTGAACTTCAGCATTTGCCTCTATAGCATGCCAGGTAAGGCAAGTGAAGAAACGAACCTTTCTCGGGACACACATATTCAAATGTCTCGCCATGAAGAGGGTTGAATGGCTTGCGTGCAGCACGCCATTGAGTGGTGGCGTACCCACTGACAGCAAAAGCGGCCACATAAATCAGTCGATCCAAGCTATCCGAGAGTCCAACAGCTTTATCCAGCAATTCGCTGTACTCCAGTTCCTCGCACAATCGCTGCAGTACGTTGATGGGCTCGTTCAGAGATACAGGCATGGCAACAGTCGAAAGGTCCTTTCCCACGTTCTTTCGCAAAATCGACAATAATGAGATATCCTCTCCAGACACGGGCGCAGGAAGTGTAGATCGGCGGACAATAGGTTCCTCGGAAGCAGCACCATCCACAGTACCGGCAGCAGCAGGTTGTGGTTGTTCTGCCAGCTCCTCATTGACTGGCGTCTCTGCGGACTCGTCATCACTCGAATTGTCATCGTTTTGGTCATCGAAACCGGCGCCCTCCAGATCAGAAAGATCCGAGGAAGACAAATCCGCGGTCAGAACCGTATCATGGGCATCGTAAAAGACATCGGATCCAGTGTGAATAGAGGAGGTGAAGGAGTGGGTGCGTTCCGAGGTCATGGACGTACGAGTGATGTAGGCCTCATCGAGGGCCTGTCTAGAGAGAGTAGATCCTGGGCGTGGGGTTGAAAGATTCTCGTTTTCAGAAAGCAAAAGACGGAACTGCTTCTCGTTTTTCTCCCACTTTTCAATCTCTGACTGCATGATCTCAAAAGCCTTTTCTTTATCAGTCTTGAGTTTGGCAAACGATGCCTGCAGCCGGCTGTGGATGCTCTCAAGGGACGACTGAGATGAAGCGACACTGCCATCGCTCGTTGCTATAGAAACAGCAGAAATAAAATTTTAGAATAATGACATATGAATATACGTCGACTCATTCTATCACTTGCATTGGCCATCTGTACTTACTTCGCTGCAGAGAAGGAATACCAAACTTGCCAATCTTGAACTTACTGTTGCCGCTAGTATTGTCGACGGATGATTGGCGTTCGCGTTCGCGTTCACGACCCGATTTTTGGGAGGAGCCGTTGGTTGGAATAGTCTCCGTCTGGGTGCGGATCGACTCGAGCTGCTCCTTAATATCAAGGAAGCCAGCGTCCATCGCTGACATGATCTCCTTAAGCTGATCCAGCTCATTATTGCTGGCAATCCAGCTGTTGCGGAGCTGAGCTCTCTTCTGGGAAGACTCTCGCTGTGTCATGCGATGGACAGTATCGGACGCACTTCTGTCAGAGTTCTTAACGGTTTTGATGGCGCCAGTCCAGGCGCTATATTCTTCCGCCGTGAAGGCCTTAAGATGATACAGCATCGTGCCAGAATCAATGTGGATCATGTTGGATGCCTGGCTGACTGTCACTGTGGACAGCACCAGATGGACCTTGCCTCGGCAGGGACTGTCGGGTGCCTTGTGATAGGACAGGACACCATTGTCGATCTGGAACCAACGCTTCGCCCAGCCTATATCGATGCATACCATGCACGTTGTTCACGTTAGCTGGATCAAACGAGCCAGTGATAAGAATCAATTTTCAGCTCCCTGATTGAGCTAAACATACCTTGCATGCGCTTGCGCTTCTTCTTCAACAACCAGCCCGACATTTCCGAGGTCGGCTGTGCAGCTGGCTTTCTGGTACGCTCCTCCAGCGCAACGAAAAACGTTAGGCGCTTAGACGTATTGATTGAGAACGAGTTGTCTATTCAAAGTGTACAGAGAAGAGGTAATTTTTTAATAGCCTGTTCACCGAAGTACAAACACTCCATGCGATACATGGTCCCATTATCTTATCCAGCACAACCTGTATAATACTCCCCAAACGCCACTTACCAAAAACCAGAACATAGCTGCCTTCTTCCTTAACAGTGAACTCTCCGCGAATGGTGCCTGAGCCTGATTCGTAGTGCTGAATGGGCAGAATCTCGATCAGGTCCGGGTCCTTGAACTTGGCAACGGTTTTCTTTCTGCGGGAAGAAGGCTGGGATCCTGTAGGCAAAGAGGATTGGCTGGGATTCTGCTGGTTGGTGCCGAGTCCATCGGCCAGCTCCGCGGATTGATCTTCGTCGTCGCTGGTGTCGATGGAGGCTCTGCTAGAGGCATAATTGCTCGCATGACTGGACTTCGTTGGAGAAGAAGAAAGGACGCCGTCCTTGGAATACTGGCTATAGTTGCCGCCCTGACTGTTGCCTTGAGAGTGTTGAGAGTGCGAGAGGGTGTGTCGGGAATGAATGGACTCAGCCTTGGCTGGAGGGGTGACACTGGTGATAGAGGGTGCGAGGGTGTTGGACTTTAGCTGGGGCGGACAGGCGGCGGACTTGCGGAAGAAGAGGCCAAATGAGATATTCTTCTTCTTTGTGGAGAACCACCAGACTAGGGTCTTGTCTGGTTGGTCGACGTGGACATAGTGCTGGAAGACATCCCTGGGCGGGACCTCGATCTCTTGCATGGCAACGGTTGATGGAGGTAGGGTTGGAAAGAGTGACGAAACGAGCAAGAGAAGAGATGAGGGGGAGTTGATGAAGAAGGAGGAGATGAGGTAAGGGATGAGAAGGTGAGAATAAGAGTGTTGAAAGGTCTTGGGCGAGTTGTTGCGTGATAAAAAAAGAACAGCCTTTTGACGAAACGTGCTCAGGCACACACGCAGTCAGGCACAGGAACAACGAGTGGACAAGTCAACCTTTTTTTACTCTTTCCCATAGTCATCCATTCCTTCATATGTCCAGCATAGACTGCACACATGAGACCAGTCTGGTCGACTCTTCTCCGTAATGTAAACTACTTTATTCATATCACTCGCCATACAGTTCAGCAGGATGACGAATATGAAGTTGAATATGAAAGACGATAATGATGGATGGGCCAAATGAGAGCCCTTGCCTGCATGTTTTTTCATTCGTGTCTCTATGTTTATGTTTGTGTCTGTTTGCGCGTGTATAATAGGCAGCTGAAGGAGATCTGGACAGTGGCATTGGGCACGGTAATAGTGCCCACAGCAACGACAATAATAATAGCGATCGGTCCCTGATGTATCGGGCTGCCCATAAAGCCATTTCGTACATGATATTCGTACTATAATTGTATCCACTGCTACACCCACTGCCTCAGCATAGCAAACAGCTTCCGTTGTATTGTAATTTTGCTTCAGAGCCAGTATTGAGAAGTGAAAAATGGCGGCGATGATGATTGCCTATCGGCTTGCGAAGCGGTCGAGCCGACAGTCGCCTCCACAGGAGCCGGATGCACGCTTGCCTAGCCCTGCCAACCTAAAATTCCTCGGCTGGGCTACCTTGCTGGCCATAGACTTAACGCAATGCATCGCGCAGCTTCACATTACATATCATTAATGGAGGAGGAATGCTGTCTTGTCCTCATTCAAATTGGTGGCAAATAAAATCGTTTTCCACATTGACATTTAGTTTGATCGCTCGTCCTGTACTACACGCATACGAGGTAACCACCAATGTGTTTGATTTGAATTGATCACCATCAACTTCATCCTCCACCTCCCATCCACACATTCACTCATTCACTACATAGCACTTTTCCCATAGCACCAATGATCGCTTCGAGCAAGGTTGTCAACGCCCCTGCGAGTGTTTACTATCTCCCGGACTTTATCACACCTGCAGAGGAACAAGCTTTGATCGACAAGGTCAGGAAAGAATAGCGAAAATAGTCTTAGTTGTGGCTACGGGTTTCAACAGCTGACGGTAGCCATCCTGTGCACATTTATGGTTCTTTTTATCATTGTAGGTGCTCTCGGCCCCGAAGCCAAAATGGGTCTACCTAAAGAACCGAAGGTAAATTATGGTTCTTGTGTGTGCTATTTACGTTCAAAGTGAACGCCTGGACGTCGCCGGGGCACCAGCTGGTACTCTACCTCTAATCCTGCGTTTATACTTTGCCATGCACATGCGTCCTTTCCCATCACCTATGGCCATATACCTCCCACATGAAAGACTTCAAAATTGGGGTATGTACTGTATCTGAGCATTGAGCATTCGTACCCTATCATCCTATTGAAGACGCGCATCGGCAATTGCTTCCCATATTCTGAACCTGCTACGGGATTATCAATGGAACGTGAACTTGAGAGCAATTGTGCCTCCACTTCGCTGCGTACCCTGCTTCTTTCATGTGCTTTCTTTATCGCTCTTATTCTTTATTTTGTCTGTCTGTTTGTATGCTTGTTCCTGCATCGACTGAAGAGTACATATAATGACAATGCAAACACACAATCCACAAGCACTAACATTCTTTATTATATCTTTCCTCTTGTAGGTGGTATTGTAAATGAGAAGGGAATGATTGCGGAATTGTTGCCTTGCTGGCTCTCGGATATGTTTCCTAGATTTCAGGAAGCAGGGGTTTTTGATGGCCTGGATGCCACAAAACGCGTCCCCAACCATTGCTTTGTGAATGAATATCTAGCGGGTCAAGGCATCATGGTAATCTGGCGATCTAGTCCGCATGAAAACATCTTGTGGGCAGATTGCAACTGATCGGATCGATGTCTAACCATTTCAACTGACTGCTCGCCCCATTTTAGCCTCATAAAGATGGTCCCGCATACCTGCCTACGGTCGCTACAGTGTCACTCTCCTCGCACTGCGTACTCGAGTTTTATAAAGTTCCAGACAAGGCCGAGAAGCTAATGGATGATGGATCGTTATCTTTGTCAGTCGGAGATAACCATCAGGGCCAAGAACCTGAGTTTTCGCTTCTCGTTCAGCCGAGATCGCTGTTGGTGCTTAAGGAGGACGTTTACAACAAGTATATGCATGGAATCCGGGAGACCACCTTGGATGATTTGCGCAAGGGCAATATCTTGAACCTCGCGGAGGCTCTTCCTAATGGCATTCCGGACGACTGCAGTACTTTGGAGCGAGGCACCAGAATATCACTGACTTTCAGAATCGTACAAAAAACTTTATCAACCAAGAACATCTTCATTCGCCGCTAGAAACCAATTCAAGGCCATTACGCTTAAGGGTTATAGTCTTTGGATCTCAATAAATACTACCACGGCGGCAAATTTTTTTTCGCACCTTCCCATACTCTTTTCCACCCTTCGTTTTGATCTGTAAGTACCCGCCTTGACGAACTCCATTCCTTAAGAGCACATTTCTTTTGTTGTCAGCAATATGATGAATTTTGTTTGGTCCGTGTTTATGAGGCGGAAGTAAGACCCCGCTGCAAGAATACATCCAGTTTTTCTAAACGATCTGATCAGATTTCAACAAACTCTTGAAGCTCGATTCGGATCTATAACAAAAGTTGATCACAAAACTAATTGCTCCTCTTCGCGTCTTGATGTTCAGTCTTTAGCGTACAATCGGCCTCGTTATTTTTCCCCCCTTCGTGATGCACGCTCAGGAACGTTTTTTAAGGTAATTATCGAGACTCAATTGCTCGAGTATGATTGTACATGAATATGATGAATAATGTTTGGTCCGTGTTTATGAGGCGGAAGTAAGACCCCGCTACAGGAATACACCCATTTCTAAACTATCTGATTTTCGCCATGAACAACAAATACTTGTTGCTTGAGTACGAGCACAAGTTCGGCAGCAATTGAATCTAACGCCGTTCTATTGTATCTCTGTAGGTAATTGAACGGTCAGGAACATGATATGGTGAAATGAATGTAGTTGTTTAGTGTTCTTTTCTGCCAGGAGAAAAAATAAAATATAAAAAATAAAAACAAAAGCTTACAGTCACATTCGTTGTTGAGTTCTCTTTGTTGTTGTTGTTGTTGTTGTTGCTCTTCATCTCAATGCTCGTCAGTAGAGTCTCCACTTCATTTGCCCTTTCCTTCTTTGCCTCATTTACTCGTCCACTGCGACCATTCACTTGTAACACAGTCTCTTCTACCTCGCGATACCGTCTCGAAGCTGCAGCGACCATTTCGACCATGTCAATCCCCCAGAACGACGCCAGCGAGGCCTCAGCATTAGGCCTCATCGACGCAGAAAACGACAGCGTCGTCAAAAGGGCCATCGCCGAGGATCAGACCCAGGGTCAAGCTGCAGGAGAAAGCGCTGCTAAGAGGAGCAGGACTAAGATTGATGCTGAGGATACATCGTCCTACCTCGGGCCGAAACGTGACAAGGTTCGCGGCAACATCCGTGGTGCCGACAACTACAAAGGAAAGAGAAGCGGTCCTTGGGGACCTGGAACTCGCAACGCTGAGGAAGCCGCCAAGGCTGCAGCTGTAGAATCGGGCGAATCCACACCAACAACAACGGACAACAATGAAGAAAAGGAGGCGCGTATACCGAAGCGTAAAGTTGCGCTGCTCATAGGATACTGTGGGACGGGGTATCAGGGCATGCAAGTGTAAGTGGCCACTATGGAATGCTTCCAGCATGGGTATTGCGGCCGTATATGATGGATAACTCGACGTTACCGTTGCTTTGAAATATTCATAGTAACCCGAACGCCAAGACGATTGAAGGGGATCTCTTCAAGGCCATGGTTCAGGCTGGAGCAGTATCAAAAGACAACTCGGACGATATTAAAAAGGTACGATTTCGCTGGTATTACAGACCAGCTGAACCATTGAATGACAGTACGTACTGTATCAGCTACTTATGGAGTCCAAATTTTAGGTTAGCATGATGCGATCCGCTAGAACTGACAAGGGTGTCCATGCTGCTGGAAATGTGGTCTCGCTCAAGATGATTGTTGACGTTGAGGATATCATTGGCAAGATTAACACCTACTTGCCGGAGCAAATTCGAATCTTTGGGTATGTCCGCACGATCAACTCGTTCAACGCCAAGGTGCTGTGCGATTCGCGTGTTTACGAGTATCTCTTGCCGACATACGTGTTCTTACCTCGACCACCCCTTCCAGAACGGACTGGACCACCAAAGGAGACCATTATGAGGGAAAGCGCGCCAGAGGGCAGCATGGCTTGGGATGAGAGCGTTCACATTTCGACACCGGAGGAAATGGCAGAGAAGAGAAAGTACCGTATTGATGAGGCGACGCTGGCCAAGGTGCGCGAGGGCTTTGCTGGGTACATTGGCACCAAGAATTTTCATAACTTTACGATCGGAAAGAACTTTAAGGAAAAGAGCTGCCAGCGTTTCATTATGAAGTTTGATGTAGGTATTTTGGTGGATTTGCTGAAGTCCTGAACATGAACAGAAGAATTTGCGTGGTGAACATACTAACATTAGCTTTGACATTTATTGATGACACAGGTGAGCGATCCAAAAATGATCCAGGGCACGGAATGGCTTAGCTTGAAAGTCCACGGTCAGTCTTTCATGCTTCATCAAATCCGCAAGATGGTGGGCTTGATTGTCATGATTATTCGGACAGATACGCCCTTGAAGCTCATTCCCGAGACGTTTAAGGAGAACAAGATTAATATTCCCAAGGCACCTAGTCTTGGACTCCTGCTTGAGAGGGTAAAGAGAATGCTTAACCACATGTGTTTAACACGAAATGCAAAATGCTGACTATTTAACTAACGCATCGTATTATCATTCTGCTTTTTTTTTTTTTTTTTTTTTTTTTTTTTTTTTTTTGCAGCCTATGTTCACCACTTATAACCGCAAGGTGGAGGGCAAGAACCAGCCCTTGGACTTTGAGCCATATCAGGAGGAGATGGAGGCCTTCAAGGAAAAGCATATTTACGAGGGCATTATCAAGGAGGAGCTTGACTTTAACCGATTCGACGAATATCTGCAGATCTTGGATGGCAATGCGGACAGGTACAACTTTGGCTATCTGAACAAGGATGGAATCATCCCTGAGGACGCGATTATCAAACGAGGCGATACTCTCGAGGCTGTCGACTCGGATGGGGACTCTGATGAATCATCCTAGTGGTATGGCAGCTAGGGGAACGTTGCTGAAAAATGCCCACGTTTTGAATTAAAAAATATAATCGCGATGGGAAACGGCCCAACCTGTCCCTTGCTTTCCATTGCCGATTTGGAGTCCGCTTGTAAATATGCAACACGAAGACTCGGCGTGGCTCCCATTCCTGGGACGGGTACCCGTGCTCTCCTGGACACGAGCATATTGATTAAAAAAAACTATGTACTGCAATTTGCTACACAAAGCGCGATTCGTGGATCTTATGTGCCCTGTGCAACATATCCTCGAGCCTTGTGGACAGAAACAAGGCGGCTCAAGATAGGACGAAGAGGAGAAGTGGCTGCGTGGAGATGCTATCGCTACGAGTGTTATTATTGCTTCTGTTACTTTTGGTTGGCGTGCTGTTGTGTAATTTCCGCTGGGCGGACTAATTGTTTGGAAAAACAGTACCAAAAAAGATGAGAAGAAGTAGGCAGGTGCATTGCTTGCTTCAGCAACTGGCCTGTCCCCTCTGTCTATGCTCTCTCCCACTGCCCCATCCCTCCCATCTTGCCCCTTTCCCTCTTTTTTTCCCCTTCACATCCATCTCTTCATCCATCACTCCTCCCCGCCTCCCAGGCATCTGCCCATCTGGTCCTCTCCGCTTGTGTAAGACCCTCTGTCCCACTTAGATCCAGGAACACATTGCCGCTCCCCACTGCATCATCCCACCTCAATTGCATATTCCCAGAAAGAACATTCAACACTCAGTGGCGACAAGGAAGAAGGGATCGAACGATAGCACTCAACATGACAACATCTAAAGGAGGGGAAGAAGTAGAAGAAGGCAGACTATCTATGCTACAACAGATGCAACAAGTCTGACCTCCAACTATGCCTTCCCTGCAAAAGTGAACCTCCCTTTTATGCTCAATGGGTCTCGCCATGATATGCGCTTTTTTTATCTAACCACCCCTTTTCTTCTGCTCTTTTGCCTCCTCTTGCTTTGCACACATCCTTCGTCATCGTCGACCTTAATAGAGTGAATGGCGAGACGTCCAGTTTCCGAGTCCTTCACCATGCTGTCTGAACAAGGGAAGCAGTCGTTCGATCCCTCTGCTTCCTTTCGTCAGTCCGACTACAGCCCTACCCTGCTGCAACAGCAACAACAACAACAACAGCAGCAGCACTTTGCATCTGGTCAACAACAGCATCAGAAACAGCAACCATCGCAGCAGCAACATTTTCAGCGCGCTGCCCGCCCAGCCTCGGAAATCCTCCCCCAGAACCACCAGCACCCTTTTCTCGCCAACAATTTTCAGTCGCCTGAAGGTAAGCCGTTGTTTCTATCGTATGTAGATGAATCGCAAAGGCAATTTGTCGCCATTTGCTATCAATTGACCCCAATTGGCCCCGATTGACTTTGATACTGACCCCACACTTCATCGTAGCTGAAGCAATTGACAAATGGTTCGAGGACTTATCCCACTATGAGCAGACACTTGAGGAGATGGCTGTAGTCTCTTTGGATACAGTTTTCAAGGACGAACTCTCGACAATCGAGTCATGGTTTAGGGTCTTGTCAGAAGCAGAGAGGACAGCTGCGCTTTACTCACTCCTTCAGCATTCTTCCCAGGTCCAGATCCGGTTCTTTATCACGGTGCTGCAGCAAATGGCGAAGAAGGACCCTGTCGGGGCACTTTTGGCCCCCAATGAAAAGGGTAAGCACAAGGAATTACCTCTCGCGATACTAACTGTTGCCAACCCATGGGGGGCCAATCAGGTCCATATTAATTGCTGATCTATCGAACATCAATTGAGCCTGCCCTTCCTGCATTTCAATGGGCCAGTCATTGGGCGATCAGCTTGGCCTGCCGAGATGCAACACTGCAGCTATATGGCTTAACCGTGACCTGACCATGAATGATCATACTGGAGGCCAGCCAATTACGAACTCTTGCGTGTGTGGATATCGGCAACGTGCAGTCCATACCTTGCTTTTTGAATAGGAGCATTGACGATATAGCCTTTCATGTTCGATTGATATAGATCCTGTCCAGAATCAATTGCATGGCGCCATGGCTAAGGCCGAGATGGAGGCTAGCCAAAGGCTCTTGAATGTGCTCCCGATCCAGCCCCCGGCATCGCTCGACAGACCCGTTGTTCATCGTCGGCTCTATGATCGCCACTCTGTCACTATTGGAGAGAGCGATGAATACAGCAGGTTGTTCCGCAGGGATGGTAAGAGGAATAGCATCGATTTCCTAGGCCGTACCAACAATAGCAACACAAGCAGTAACAGTGGCAACACCGGCAATAACAACAAGTTCAGCAGTAACATAAACGGGACCGTCAACAACAGCGGCAACAATGCACTCCCTAATGGTCATGTCAATGGCATGATTGGCAGCGGCGTACTGTCCGAGTCGATCGCTGCGCGCGTGAACCAGTATAACAAGCCAGGGCAGGGATCTCTCAACCGCATCAGCACGCCCAATGTCTTTAGCAACCGCCCAAAATCAGTCCACGAGGGCGACACTTCGTCTATGTTCACTTCCAGCTGGAACTTCGCGTCGCTTGGCGCCAACCCCATCACCAGCGGCAACAATAATGGGGGTAGTGCCGCCACCGGCTCGACTTCATCAGGATCGCCAGGCAATATCGGAGACAGAACCTCATACGGACGTCCTAAATCTGTTGGTGGGGCGGAATGGATGCTGAGTGGTGCCTCTGGCAACCATCGAACCGCTGCGACCGAGGGACTCGAAAAGCCATGGACGCCGCTGATGATGTCGCCACCGAACATGGGAGGCTTCCACAACGGCACGAACGGAACAGGACATAACCTGACCGCTGGCGGATACTCGAGCTCTGGCTTGGCTGTTGAGCGGCCCAAGTCTGTGACCGAAGCGGATCTGGCGCAGCTGAACATCTCTCAGTGGATGCATAACAACACGAATACAAGCGGCAATGGCGGGCCGAGGACTTCGACTCTTGAAGAATTGAAGGCGAATAACCGCCGCAGGACGTTGCTTCGCCCGAGTGCCATCATCTCGAACGTCCCGGTGACCGTGATGGAGGGTGACGAGAAGTTATTGAGTGCGAGCGCCAACACATCTTCGATTAACATCGTGTCGACCATGTTCAACGAGACCTCCGCTTCTGGTTCCGGATCTGGATCTGGTTCCACTTCGGACTATCCAGCTTTAGGAACAACAGCCTCAACAGCATCGCAGGGCAATGCTTCAGGCTTCACGTATGGAGGACCCCAACCATCTTTGAACTCTTATTCCCAGCAACAACAGCAGGCTGTTCAGCAGTTGCAAAATCTATCCCTAGATCCTTCGGCCTCCGCACGCTCTTCTCAGCAGCAACAGCAGCAACAGCAACCAAGATCGCGGGCAGCTTCGCCATTCACGTCACCTCTTCCTTCGCCCATCAAATCTGGATTTCGCTCTCGGCCGGTTTCGGGATCGACTTCGCCACGATTGTCCGCGCAACACTCTGCTTGGGCAACTGGTGGAAACAACAGCAATTTTGGACTGGATGGCAGCGCCATCGTGCCCATGGACTACAACCAAAAGAGACATCTATCCCCACCCACGCTCCAGCGTTCGCTCCACCACCACTCGTCACTGGATGACGATTATCTGAGCGACACGAGTGATATTTCGAGCCTTGGCATGAACAGCCACCACGGACGAGGTGGATCTGCCGCCAAGGAAAAAAAACAACCCGAGGGCGTTGATTTTGAGCTCTTGCAAGGTATATATTGCTTACCTTTTGCTCCATTTGCTTCATCTCGAGATGAACTGAACTGAACTGAACTAACTAGTGCTTCTCCATTTTTATTTATTTATTTATTTATTTATTTCTGTGTCAACAGATACCCCAGCATGGCTGCGATCATTAAGACTTCACAAGTACAACAGCATTTTTGAGGGCATGCAGTGGCGCGACATTGTCAACCTGTCGGATGGCGACCTGATCAACAAGGGAGTTGCAGCTCTGGGAGCGCGGCGCAAGATGTTGAAAGTTTTTGAACAGGTTCGAAAGGAGATGCTTTTGCAGGTAAGCAAGATGGATGTATCATTGTTCATTTGATTAGAGCTGCTTCAGGCTTGGTCGAGAGGACATTATGAACTTACTTATTTATTTGTATGTACTAGGGCATGGTTGTTTAAAAGAAAAAAAATACCGAGTATAGAGGATGTATCGAACGCAAGGATGCGCTGGACGGCGAGGAAGAGGCGAGGTGGGGCAAGAGCTATGATAGTATCCAACGTTCGGGCATTGTCCAAAGCAATTTTTTTTCCTGTTTCTTTTTTGTATGGCTTTGGATGATGGTCTGTTCCTGTACATAACACGAGGATTAAATGCAAAATCAACATCATTCGCGATGCTCTTTTTCTTTTATGTGTATCCTGATGTGCCTACATGTATAGTCTATGCTCCAAATATTCGCACGCTCTCGCACTCTACGAGATTTCGTTCTGGAAGGCGATTCGCTTCCACATTCCAGTGGACGGTCGCAACAAAGAGAACAGGGGGTTGCACTTGAGACTACTGCTGTAACTGCAGCATTAGCAATTAGCACTTCATTTGGGACTGCATTACCAAAGGTATGTCTATCGGGACACAGTATGGCTCTCTCTACAACTTGCTTTACCCACTTCACTCTTCACCTTGCACATCGCTGCAACTGCCATTCGCCGAAGGGGCATTGAAAAAAGATCGGGCACCTATGAGGCTGTCCTCTAAGTTTTATCGTATTGTGTGGGTCATCTTGAGTCGGATGGGCCTTTTCAAACCTTAAAAGAGGCCAAACAAAAAGCAAAAGGCCGGAGTTTCCTTTCTTTTACCTCTTCTTCTTCTTCTTCCTCCACTGCATCCTCTCCCCCTACCCCCATCCGCCCTGCTACCTTTTCACTTCCTCAGCAATAATGTCAGGACTAGTACTGTCTTCTAAGCAGAGCACGTTTGTGCTTCCGAGCTGGGTCAACGACGTCGTCGCAGGCACTGTCGGTGGTTGGGCGCAGGTCGTTTCAGGTACACATGCCTCCACCGGACTCACTCGCTCGCACTCAGGAAGTGAAGGATAAACACAGCATCACCGCTGTTGTATTTCAGGACATTTCAGGATGCGGACTCTCCAAACCCTTCAGGATGACGATGGCGACCATATACCACCAGGATCAAGAGAATGATTTAGAGAGGGCTATGATACGGTTGCTTTAGTACTTGGCCCTTGACAACCGACATCTAACGTCTTAACCCTGCTCAACTATTTTCTTCTTCTTCTCCCAAATACCCCACTTCCCAAACGGAATAAAAGGCCACCCATTCGATACTCTGAAGGTAACACTCAAGCGTCAGTGCCTATGCCATCTTAGACTATACATATCGAAAATACTTTGTCGGGCTGATATCATTTATTATTCTGTGTCTACTTCAATGCGGATAACTAGGTCCGGCTACAGACCCAGCCCAACCCACCAAAGTACAGCGGAGCCATGGATTGTCTGCGGATGACTCTCAAGGAAGAAGGTGTACGTTCTTTAAAAAGCTTACTCGATCTGTGGATGCAGTGTCCCTGTAGGAACAAATTGGGCTGCAGGACAACCAACACATTACTAACATGTTGAAGTAACCTTTGTTGATCAAATAGCCCACTGGATTATATAAGGGTGTCACTTCGCCGTTGATGGGTATTGGAATCTGGTACAGTTCGTTCTATTCAATTTCAGTGGAAAGCGTGACTCACAGATGGAAATCTTTACGCTCACACCTGTTTTCTTTCTTACCACGCTTTTTTTTTTCTCAGCAATGCTGTTATGTTTGCAGCCAACGGAACCTTCCGTCGCATGCTCCAGGGTGGAGACGAGACCAGGACCCTTAGTTTGCGTAGGTGACTCTTGATACCGACCATTCCGGACATACTTTAAAATCTACAGGGCAGCGCTGACATGACGCCTGTTATCTCATCATTGTCCCTTTATAGTGGAGATCGGAACAGCTGGATCGATGGCGGGAGGTGTGATGGCCTTTGTGAACTGTCCTGTAGAATTGCTGAAGGTCAAGTTGCAGACGCAGTATGGACCGGCTTCGAATCCTGGTATTGCTGCAGTGGCCACAAAAGCTGGAGCTGGAGCTGGAGCTGGAGCTGTTAAGCCAGTATGTAGCGCAACAAACACTGGGAATTGGAAGGCCTTCGTTACAGACCATGATCGACTAATGATCTATTTATTTATTTATTTATTGTAGTACACTGGAGTGCTGGATGCGGGCATCCGGACCTTCCGTCAGCAGGGTTTGCGAGGACTGTATCGTGGTATGGATATTACGCTCATGCGTGATATTCCATCTTACTTTACATACTTTGGTGAGTTCAGGAACCATGCCTGGGTACAATCAAGACATGCGAAGAGATCGAAATAGGGAAGCAGAAGGCAATAGGAGTACTCATCGATAATTCTCTTTTATTTGTCTTTAACTCTTTCACAAAACAGTGACATACGAAGGTGGCAAGCGGATATTGGCGCATTTCAACCACAACGGTCAAGTTGACCAGCTCAGCACACCGGAACTGCTATTGGCCGGTGGTATCGCAGGATTCGGTGCCTGGGTACCATGCTACCCTCAGGACGTGATCAAGTCGAGGATGCAGAGCAACTTGAGCTACAGGAGCACAATGGAATGTTTCCGATCCCTTCGAGTCGAGGCCGCAGGTGGCAATTGGAAGGTCTGGTTCAAGGGCTTTGGTCCGACCATGGCCAGGGCCTTCCCTGCCAACGCTGCCACATTCTTCTTCTACGAAATGACCATGAAGTTCATGCGCGGTGAATAAGGGACTGCATGGAAACATCAGATACCGTTTAGCTCCGCCTAGATTGCGGCTTTTGCATAGACTTGGCCATAGAAACCATAGAAACCATCCATAAAAACCACCGAATTATGAATTCTTCTGCAGATCAAACATAAAAAGAGAGAGACCATGGGATGAATACTTTTGATAACAGTATACTTGCTTTTTGCGCGAGACTAAGAGTATAGACTAGTTTAGGATAATAGTGTAAAAGTACAAGAAAGGTGCGAAAAGAAAAAGAATGCTCGAGAGTACATGTAGAAAAGCTATAATATAACAGGGACTATAAGTATATGTACAACATCCTGCCAGACCAAATGGGTCCAGCAAAACAAAAAAATGGGTGTTTTTACAAAGAAACCCTCCAATAAAAAATAAAAGGCTTGAAAAAAAAAGGGTAGGAGAAAGAGGAGCCGCAAAACAACAGTTTTTACGCCCGTAATGATCACCCCTCCCATTGAACTCGTTCGCCTCTCCAAAGAGACGCGAGGTAGAAATCCAACAAGATTGTTGTAATAGGGTGCTCAACCACTTCAGACTCATTTTCCCTTTGGATCTCCCGGTTCAGCATGCGTCCAGCACAAAGATGCCTTCCACACGCCCAACAGAACTAGGGTCCAAAGAAAAAGAAAAAAAGGAAATCTAGTCAATACAATCGCGTCCAGCGCCTCTTCTCACTCCTACCCCCTCCTTCGAACAACTGTTCAAGCCAATCTGGGGTCCTCCACCCATCTTCCGTCCTGTATTCTCGATGATCCTTTTTCCTTCCCTCTTCCTTCACGTCTTCTTCTTTCCTGGAACATATCCTCCTCCGAAACCCGCCTCGCGCGGGGCCCAACGACCTGGCTTAGTGCTCGTCCTCAGCCTCAAGAGCCTTGGCCTCGGCGTCCGTCAAGGCCAAGAGTTCTTTAAGAGACTCCTCGATGATGCGGACACCGTCCATGAGCTCTTCCTCAGTGATGCAGAGAGGGGGAGCAAGACGGATGATGTTCTGGTGGGTGGGCTTAGCAAGGAGGCCCTTCTTCTTCATCAACAGGCACAATTGCCAGGCAGTACGACCATTTGCCTTGCTCTCGTCAATGACAATGGCATTCAGGAGACCACGACCGCGGGTAAGAGCCAAAGCGGGCGATTGAATCTTGGAAACGGCGGCGCGGAATTTTTCGCCCAAAGTGGCAGCCTTCTCAACCAAGTTCTCCTCCTTGATGACCTCCAAAGCTGCCATGGCAACAGCGCATCCAAGGGGGTTACCACCATAAGTCGAACCGTGCTCACCGGGCTTGATGCAGAGCATCACATCATCGTTCGCGAGGACAGCGCTGACGGGATAGACGCCTCCGGACAAGGCCTTGCCGAGCAAGATGATATCAGGCTTGACATTGTCGTGGTCGATGCAGAGCATCTTGCCAGTACGGGCGAGACCAGTCTGAATCTCGTCGGCGATCATGAGGACGTTATGCTTCCTGCAGAGCTGCTCGACCTTCTTAAGGTAGCCGTCGTCAGGGACCATGATACCGGCCTCACCTTGGATGGGCTCGACCAAGAAAGCAGCGACGTTCTTGCCATTGTGCTCGAGAACGTACTCTAGATCCTCGATGTTGTTGTAGCGGATGGTGCGGCCGGTCTTGGAGCAAATAGGACCGACGTTGGGGAGGTAGGGGCCAAAGTCAAGGCGGGCATCGGGGTCGGTCGACATGGAGATGATTCCGACAGTGCGTCCGTGAAAGTTCTCAGTGCAGGAAAGAACGACGGCCTGGTCCTCGGGAATACCCTTCTTCTGATAACCCCACTTGCGGGCCAGCTTGATAGCAGTCTCGACGGCCTCGGCACCGGTGTTCATGGGGAGGACCTTGTCGAAGCCAAAGTACTCGGTGATATATTTGGCGTACTGGCCAAAAACGTCATTGTAAAAAGCGCGGGAGCTAAGGCAGAGGGTCTGCGCTTGGTCGCAGAGAGCCTTGACGATCTTGGGGTGCGAGTGACCTGTGATGAAAAGCAGCGGATGGAAAGGAGGGTGAGCTGGGCTATTTGTGTTTATGGTACTTTCAACGACCAATCAACGAACAACAGAAACAGCTGCGGGCATGCATGCATATGCCGGCCGTGTTTGATGTATTTTTGTGTGTCTAGGACATTAAACACAAAAAAAAAAAAAAAAAAAAAAAAAAGAGGGACACCATCGCCGGGAGACATACCTTGGTTGGTGGCCGAGTAGGCGCTCAAGAAATCCATGTATTTGTTTCCCTATTAAGGACAGATAAGATAACAGGCGACATGGTCAGTATGGAATGAATGTATCGCCTGGCAGACTGCTTCGCTCCCGTGATGAGTCATGTGCCCAGGAGAGCAGCAAGGGAAGCTGATCAGAAGGAAGAAACTAGGCCAAAGACACCTACCTCGCAGTCCCAGACCCAGATACCCTGAGCCTTCGTGAAGACAACGGGGAGGGGGTGGTAGCTGATGAGCAAGAACGTAAGAAATGGATACAATATTATGATATCATGTCAGTATAACAACGCTTAATAGATCGCCATTGTCTGTGCCATTGCCACCACATTGCTGTGTGACAGAAAGACAGCGCCAAAAAACGTACTTGTGGGCACTGTACTGGTGCTCGAGGTGCATGACCTCCTTGTTGGTAAGCGAGTGCAAAGGCATACTTGGTTTCGAATACGACCGAGAGGATTAGTTAAAAGGACAGAAGGTTTGCTTCGATTGGATCGGGATGAGTTGGGCTGGACTGGGTTGGGTTGAGCTGGAGGGAAAGGGGGATGGAGTTTAAAGAAGAAAGAAAGGAAAAAAGAAGAAAGGCGAAATAAAGTCTTTATATACGTTTATGACTAACAGCGGAATTGAAAAGATACTCGACAGAGGGACAGGACCACCTGTGCCCCCCGTATTCGACGAGCAGGCCCACACGGACACCCATCCCTCATTTACAATATCCACACCCTATCCCACTCAGTCCTCCTTCCTCCACTCTCTTCCCCCTCCTTGTCTTTCCTCGTCATCGTCTCTCTCTCCTCGTACGGATACCTCGCTATGATTTTAGTCCGAATGGATCTGTCGTCTCAGATTAGTACAAATCAGGGAAGCAAACTGGGACGTTTTTTTTTTCCAGTCTATCTATTCTACCACACAACACAGTAAAAAAACAAGATCTCTTCCGCTTGCACGGCGCAGTAGGGAAAAGGAAAAGACTGCAGTTCCTTGGAAATCGCCAGAGGGAGAGAGGGAGAGAGGGAGAGAGGGCGGAGGAGGAGGCCCGGACAAATAGAGAAAACGAATGAGAGCCGCACTTCGTTGTTTCGTTGTTTTTGGAAGGTGACCTCTTTGCGTGGGAAGAAAAAAGGACATGTCTATATTCTGCACAGACAATCCTGGTCCTCCTTTGCCCACCGTATTGCTCTCCTCAACCTATAGACTGCCCGCACCAGGCCAGGCCTTCAGGCACCCCTCACCAAGAGACAGGCCAATGCCGCTTGCCGATTGCCACAGCGACTAAACAAAGGACCTTCGCCATCTTAAGGTTCACAGGCAAGGAGTAGTACGAGGAAGGCAGAATGAAAAAGCGGCCAAATGTGGACTGGGATACCTTCGCCGTACACACATGCTGCATTCCACACATACAAAACAACATAAATGATGTCACCACTTTCACCCGGGGCCCCTCCCTTGCCCCTCTGCCCCCTCCCTTGCCCCTCTGCCCCTAACCTGGCCTGATCAGTCCATTTATTTTTGACCTGGTCCTCCTTGCGTCTCACCTCTCTCATACCTCTCTTTCTTTCCAGTCTCGCCAGCTACCATCCCACAATCGACAGTTCGTCCTGTACCTGCACCCAGAAAGTCTTCAATAGCTCAGGAGGTATCGTCCGGCACAGTCTCAACAACAAATACTCGACTCTTCTTCTGCCAGTGTTTCCTTTGACGGAGCAAGATCAGAATGGAACGCATACCTCTTAGACATACCCCACACATCAATTCAACAAGAAGCAATTGGGGGACGGAATGAAGCAGTAGGAGACGGGCATGATCTTTATGCGGATCTCTATTTTTACGCGATCAGGGGGAACATAGCCTTACGACCGCGAGGGTAGTCTGAAAACTCCTTGCGGTAGCCCTTGTGCTTCTTGACTGCCCAGATGTACATCTGTCCGACAGCGACAACAAAGAACAAATGCGCTGACCAAGACATTGTCAAAACACTCACCGCCAACCATGACAGCGTTTCGAAAAAGTAGTTGGGGCATGACACCAGATCAAAGCCGTATCCACGAGGGATCTTCCGCACACGGGTGCCTGGAGGGCGGAGATTACGGAGGGTAACATGTGTGTGATAGTTGGATAGCTCTGCAAAGACGTAGAGAGCAATGCAGCCATACACAAGGACGTCGCTTCTCTCTGCCAGCTTCGCACCAGCGGCGTTCCAGGGACCATAGACCCAGTATGCGAGGTTAAGTCCAGATAACAGGTGGTAGTGAGCGCTGTTCTTGAAGACGTTACGGAAGGGCATAGTTCCATGTGAGAAGCGGTGGACAAACACGGTTTCATACTCGCGCTTCGCAAAGTGCAGCATCACCATCCAGAAGGTCACTCTATTTGGAATACCAGCACACATGTAAGTCAAATAGCTGATGGTTGTAAAGTGTACATAGCAAGGAAAAGATAATAAACAGCGTACGTTTGCATCCATGAATGTTTGAATGTTTGTCCGTAAATCAAGGACGGGAGGTAGAACACCAGAGGATGGATCACCAAGGGGCCGCCATACTCGATCAAAAAGACAGTGCGCCAGCTAATTTGGGGACCTGAAAATCGAAGTTAGTTGTGCGCGACTAGACCAAAAAAAGAAAATTGTTGGGACAACAAACATGAGTGCTGTTTCCTCCGTACCAAGATCCTTGATCGCAACCGAATCGCCATCTTTGATGCCATAGCCAGCTAGGGTCTTCCCGGTCTCGAGTACAGTCTTCTCAATAGTCAGACGCTGGCGATCAGGGTAGAGCTTTGGAAACGTTTTAGCGATTGCTGCCTGCACTGTTTCGACCTTGACGTCTGCTGGTGTGCCGGCTAGGTCCAAAGTAATAGGGAACTTTTGCGACTTCGGCGACCGTGAGACTATGATTAATTTCATGGTGAAAAGGGGATGTAAAAGTCGAGGACAGGAATGGAGGGAAGAGGGAAGAGGGAAGAGGAGGAGTAGGCAAAGAAGAGAAGAGTTCTATTTGGGAGAAGAGGGCCTTCGTTCGCCGTACTCCATGAACTCCGAAGCTCGCTATCTCGCCTCAACACTTTCGGGCTTTGCTCCGGCTGGCTACGTACAAGAAAAGGTGCAAATCTGCAAGGAGTCCACGAAAAGCATGCCCTCCAGCTGCCCCATAATCCACAGACGGTCCTTGCATCCGTCGCAGCCATATGCTCCGGGAATCAGCATTATCTTGGAGTAGTCGGAAATATAATCTTGGTCAGCGTGATTGCAGCATTTCGCCCCATCAAAGCAGCGATGTGCTTACTGCCAGCCAGGCACCCATTGAATTCCTTGTCCCTCTTTTCTGTTTATAGAGCTCTTTCTCTTCATTCAATTTCAACAGTTCAGCGGAGGCTCTGAATATCAACCCTGCTGCATATACTCTGAATAGATTCTAGTACTAGATATATCGCCATGGTGCCGCACGCAGACGATCCTTCCAGCTGGATATGAATCTGAAACAGCATTTGGTGGCGTGCCTTGTCATTAAGGATCGCGTCGCGTTCTGAAGTTGTTATTTTTTTTTTTTAATTTAGCTGGCCCTGCAGGATTCGGTGCTGTTCTAGTCCTTGCTGTCTGCTTACCTTCCCATTCATTTCATCCCTCATCTGTCATGCATTATCCACCCGCACAGTCAAAACTTCAGGACAACTCTGCATCATCAACTGGCATCAACAGTAACCATACCAGCATAACAGGTTTGCAGACACTTAACTCGTCCCTGAAACGAATCAGACTGAATGAAGAAGAGTCCTTGTCCAGATCAGATTCCGTCGATCGGGAGTGGGTAAGCGCCCATAATATTTTCAATTCGACCTTGTAACATCGCAGTAAAGTGCACCGGATTAATGCGGTCTGTGTTGTCATAAATAGGGGGCTATTGACCTGACGGAGCTCGACGAGGCTGACCTTGTTACGGAAAGTGAACCACCAAGTTCAAAGAGGCCTCGCAAAGGCGTGAGTTTTGTTTCCTTCATCTATTTGAATTTTCGGCACTCCATAGGAGCATACATTCTATGAGTTATTAACCAATCTATATTTCTATTTGGGTCGATGATAGCTCAACGAGGATGGAATCAAGGATGAAGATGTGGACGACATGGACGACTTTGACATAAGTTCAGGCGCTTCAACCACTACAGCAACAGCGACAACAACAGCAGACGAGAGAAGGATCCTTACTGGAAAACCTTTCGCAGAAGGCAACACTCTTTCCCTCTCCTCAACCTCGTCATTACACAGTACCAAAACCGCCAAGTTCCATACATCAAAACCTCCCAAGGCTCACAAACCTGCTCGCAGCCATAACGGCATGGAGGACGTCTTTTCTCACGATCAAGTCCAGGGTTGGTCCGAAGTGCGCATCAAGACATGGGAGCATCGTAGGACCAACGTTGAGGGCTTCTACTACCGCTTCGTGGGTATGCTGATCAGTTGATTTTGGTGGCGCATCACGTCAAACCGTGTCGCACAACGAGACATTACTCACAGGTCAAATATACTTGTATTTTGACATAGATCCAACTGAAGGGCAGCAAAATGGGCCGTGGAGCTCAAAGTCCATACGGGAGTTCATGGAAAGATTGGAGGAATGGAAAGCCAGAGGAATTCGTGTAGGGACTTCCTGGGGTGTTTTCAGCATGGGTGTCAGTAATAAGGCAGGATACCAGTGCAGTTCATATTACCGGAAGCTTTTGGAGAGCAAAAAACTGACGGACCCAGCTTACGCTTGGGAGGGAGGTAAGCTCGTTATGGTTAATAAATCGAGTGGAGGCGAAATGGCTGTCAGTGGATTGAGCGAGCGATGGGATACTGAAGAGGTCAAAGAGATTGAGGCGAATGTAAACCGCTGGATCAAAGAGTATCATAGTTATGCTGGGTAAGCAACACACCTGGACTCCGATGGAGTGGAAACCGATGATCGTAGTCATATTTCGACTTACTAACATTATATCTGTATCTTGTTCAATCCCATTTCAGAAGCCGATCAGCGGGGAAGACAAAGAAGCCCGACTCAAGTACATCGACGCCAAAATCTAGCGCCTCCACATCATCATCATCTCGACCTGCAGTATCCCTATTCAAATCCACTATGGAAGCTCCAAGAGTTAAAGCGACTACAGCACCAGCAACACCAAGGACGATATCTCTCAGACCCAGCAGACAGCAACTTGCGAATGAGTGCGATAGTATACCCGTTGTTGACATCAGTGACAAACTGGCCGAGTATTCTTCCTTTATGAAGTACGTCTTGGATTCTGTATTTCTCATCAGGAAACTTCGTCGAGTGTGTCTTTCTCCAGCTCGAACCATGCTAATCAATTTCGAGCTTACTCATTATAGAAAGTCGACAAGTGTTTCGAACGAACCTGGTCGGATCAGGCAGACCATTTCGCTTACTGTCGCCGGAACTATCACTTCTATAAGGTCGCCTTTAGCCAGAGCAATCGTACCTATCGAACCCAGGAAGGCACCGCTTGCCAAGACTATTGTCAAGGGGCAAGCAGGACTCTCTATGTTCTGGAAAAACATCCCAGTACGAGCGGAGTGCCCCGATATTTCAAAGTACATCATTCCCAAAGATGTCGAAGTGCGGCCGACATGGGCACACAGAATCCAAACATCTCGGGAACTGGGCAGCGCGCTAGTCGAAGGCTCATTGTGCGTGTCTTGAAGTGAATATCGCCAGCTGAGTTGCGTCTATTTGCTTTCGACCTATTGAGGAGCTAATTTACATGCATTATCCTTTATACAGCTGCAGGGAAGTTCCAAAAATGGCGGAGTTTGACTGGGCATCGCTTTCAGATGGATTCGATACACCTGTCAGCGATTTTCAGGGCGTCCTGGCAGATCCACCGTGGAACTTTATTGTTAAAGATGGAAGGAATGACGGCGCGTGCCAGCTTACCACTCAGGAATTTGTACGTGCAAGCTTTTCACATGGATGATTATTTTGTGGACCTTTCGTCAAGTTTTAAAATGTAATACTGTTTGCTGCTATCAATAGGGACAAATCATGGAGAAGGCGCTTGAACTGATGCCGAACGGGATTGTCAGTGTCTGGACTCACAAAGCCATCTTGCCAGAGGTGGTCAACACAATGCAGGGTCTAGGTATGCTGTTAAAGTGGTGCACTAGTTCGCATGGAAGACAACCTGGCAAGCTGTTCTTCGTACTGACAGACTTGGTCTCAAATGAATATAGGCTGCCGATATGTTGAAAACCTAGTTTGGTACAAGATGGCGCTGAACAACACTAACCTTGATCGCGCATCGCCATACTTCCGCACTTCAAAGGAGATCTTACTTCTTTTCAAGAAGGTAACGAGGCGCTCATACGCTGTTCCATCGATTTCGTTGCGTTGCGTTTTTGTTATAAGCTGCTGCTAAAAAGAAGTCCTGTTTTGCGCCTTTTCCGTTACAGGGTGACGGTTTCGATATTCGTCATCAGCGGACAGCGGACGTAATTATTGATTTTGAAAAGCCTACGAGCTCGTGGATTGATGAGGATTACACGGAGCCTAAGCCTGACGGTGTGTTTGAAATGATGGAAATCATGCTGCCGGACGCACGGTACACTCCTGAGGCAGGGCGCGGAAGACTTCTGGAACTTTGGGCTAAAAAGAGTCAGGAACGTCGCCCCGGCTGGTTTAGCATTCATGAGCTGAAGCACACTTCCACGACATCTGCAGCGCCATCATCAACTCTAACAGCTACAGCATCTACTGCACAGACAGCTCCTTTAACACTCACAGCGTCTCCAGTACCAAACGATTCTAGAATACCAGTATCACCTGAATCGGCATCTGGAGATGGCGGAGACACGGATAGTATTGACGATGTGGCACTACTAGAAATTGCAAACGACATGGATCTCGACTTTAATGAGTGACCCTTATACAAACGGACGTTTATTAAAGGAAACAGCGAAAATCCAATGTACGCTGTTCGAGAATATGCACTCTAGGCTCTCTGGATAATATGAAAACGACTGGAGTAGGACTAGGATCATGGTTGCTGTCGTCAGCATGTGCATGTGTAAAGCAAACCTCCCTGCAATGTTTTACCCTTATATCTACTTACAGACAATATGTCAACGAGACAAGAGAGGGATCTTTATTTCCTGGGCAGACGGACCCCTTATAAAGTACTACCCGTCTGCACCACGTTAAGGGTGCTTGTCTCTGCTCGTACGTACTACATAGGTCAATATAGTGCACTCCCGTTTGAGCTGTGGAGCTCAATGTGCTCCATATGTATTACTTGGTCCGTGCGGCTCTTGCTTTTGATACGAATCAAATAGTTATTCTCACCGGTGAACGGTTAACCGCGGTGAACAATTTTTTTTCTTTCATCGACTGGTGGAAAATAAAGTAGGTTCGTTCCCAGCCTGAGGGAGAAATCACGTGCAATGTGTATCGCATTATTGCCTTTAATGCACAATCTTTCTCCTCTCAGGCTGGGACCGAACTAAAATAAAGTTTACCGGTAAATTTTACATATGATAGTCTATATCACTGTTTTTCACCGAATTTCGCTGGTCTTTGTTCACCGGTGAGAATCACAGATTTGCGCGTACACTGCAGCTCGACTCATCGGAACTGAGCCTACCATGAAATTGTTACGCCTATATTAATCTAACACCAGAGTCAGTGCCATATACAGGCTATATACTTCCATTCAAGTGTATGTATGTTAAAGCCTAAAACACTTTAATAGTTAGATTATTCGGGTGTGGAGGCGTGGCCCCACATCTGTTTCTCATTGATATTCTTCAGTAACTGAAAAAAACTATTGTACGTAGAAGATAAGTAATAAAACAAAAAGATAGAAAGAAATGGCTTATTGCAATGTACCTGGTAGCAGTACATTGCGATCGGGACACGTTCGCGTCGAAAAAAAATGTACGTGGCTGTGCATAGCTGTGTATTTGAGTTTACAATCGTCGTGGAAGGTTGCCACATGCTTGTCTCAGTTGATAGCTGGGTTGTGCATGCGGAGCCAATCCACCCCGAGGATAATGCTGTAGGATGACTGGACCTGTAGAGGAAATCGCGCGATCAGGTTCATTTCATTAGCTTGGGTTTGAAGTCAGGAAGAGCCATGCGGGTATCTCGCTAGCCTTTATAAAAAGCGATGCAATGATTGGAAGGTCACGGCACCCCCATTCCTTTCTCCATCGCCATCTTATCAACCCCCCAGCGCGATTCATGGACTCATGCTAGACATTCATCTACCCTGCAGCATCATTTATAGTCAGTTCCATTGGAAATAAAGGATGTCTTCGTCATAAAAGCGCGATTTGAAAGGAATATTTTTTTCCTTTTTCCTCTATGATCCTTGTTATCGATACCCTACATGTGTTCAATTGTTACCAAACTATGCAAGCGTGTTTTTATGGAGCTCTTCCACGTTCCCTGAAAATGTGATATCCTTACTCTGCTTACTTGTCCATCATCATACATACGTGATCCCGCATGAATTTACTGTGAAATATAGAAGTTCCTTCAGTTTCTACTGCTTGAGACCTCTTGCTGACTTCAATGGGAAATGCAATAGATGAAGTGCAGTGCTTACTAAACTCAAACGTCTTTGCTTCAGAATTCATTCATAATGTAATAATGGATGTCCCGCAGAGATCGCTTGACGATGCGCGATTCTGTCTTGGTGACCTCTGAATGCATCGTCTATACAATACGACGGGTCTTTTTACTTTTCGGAGTATAGCTTTGTGGGCTTTGGGATTAATGCTTAAGATGAAAGTCCTCTATGAGCTGGACTTTGTCTTGAAATATGTGTGCTTTTGCCCTTGGTGAATGAGGATGGAGGAGAATGATAAGTATAGAGGGTCACGGATATTAAGGTTTCTGAATTGAATATGGTTCTGGATGTCCACATCCCCAGACAGAAGCAGTGCGGAAAAAAAAAAAAAAAAAAAAAAAAGAGTACATACAATGACAATGGTATGGTGTTTAATAAGAACAAGTATGGTAATTGGTGGCCCAATAAATGATACAAAATGCCATGCCCGTGGCAGCCACTAATCATCGCGACTCCTAATCATCGCGAGTGCGAATCCTCTTGCGGTCGTTACCACGGCCACCGCGTCCGCCGCGACCACCACGACCGCCACGACCTCCACGGCCTCCACGTCCTGAAGAGCCTGCGGCCATATTGCTCTCCCAGGCCTTCTTCTCATCCAGGAAACGCTGTACCTCCTCCTCTGAGGCGGCTGAAATTTCGGCCTTGCTACCATTGAACTCGAATCCTTTGCCCTGCATATCAGTAACAACCTTGGCAGCATCCAAGTCGTCATTCCTGATCTGAACTTCAATCACGTCTGAGTTCTTAGGCCAGCGAATATAGCCGATACGGAAGTGCTCCCTAAGAGTATCCTTGAGCTCTTTGATTCCTGAGTTCTCTGCAGCGGTGATGCCAGACAACTTGATAACCTTGTTCTTGAGGTCCTCGACTGTCTCTGGCTTCTCATCTTCCCTGGATCTCTTTTTCTCAGAGTTCTTCTTGTTATCGGTGTTGAATCCTTTGTTCTGGCGGGATGTGATCTGCTTAGGGTCCAATCCGAGCTGCTCCGCTTTCATCGTGCAGTAATCGGACCTATCATGAAAAGAAACAAGATGTACAATCAGATATTAGCTATCGAACTAGTGCCGACCTTGAAGTCCTTGGCTGCACAGCAGTAAAAAGATGCTAACGATATACTGTGACGATGCTTACTTTGACATGACCAGCAGATCCTGTCCGTTGTACTGCAATTTGCTCGAAGCAACCTTGTTAGCCTCGTCCAGGGTGGCGTACTCAACGAAAACGGAACCCTTGAATACGTTGGTTTCAGCATTACGTCTCATGCGAACCTGCTTCACATCTCCGAGGGCTGCAAAGTACTGCTCCAATTCCAACTGAAGAGAGGGGGTTTCATCACCGAATCCTTTCTATAAAGGTATATGAACACATGAAAGGTACACATACGTGTGTTAGCTGCAGTCCTGGGTTGCAATAAGCATCGAATGATCCAAGTGTCTTGATACGCACAGCATAGATGCTTCTCTGGAAGTGATCCTTGACGGGAACGAGAGGTGTCTTGCGGCGGACCTTCTCGCCATTCTCGCTGACCTCCAACAACTCCTTCGACTCACGAAGCGCCTCGACGATCAGTTCCATGTCCTTATAATCGCGCATTCTCTTGAAAGAGGCAATACGTGAAATCGCCACATCTACAGGCGTCAGACAGTTCAAAGTGCAGAAAGAGTGAGCAGATGGCACAGTGGAAAAGGAAGGTTTCGCAATGCAATCAAGTCAAATTGACGGCCAAGCAGACATTGATACGTACAGCCATCGTCCTTCTTGATCAGCTCTGACATGAATTTGTCGGAAGGCAAGTTACTGTCGCTGAAGTAGAACTCGACTTGCTTCAGAATCTTGGCCTTCTCCTCATTCCTGGTCTTCTCCTTGTCCGCAGCCGTGCTTTCAGTAGCAGTCTCCTCGACCTTGGGAGCCTCGGTAACCTCAACTGGGGCGGTGGAGGCAGAGGCCTCAGCGACGGAGGGGGTAGCAGTGGCCTCGACAATAGGAGTCTCTACGGTCTGATCAGTCATGATGAGTTGTGTGAGGTGTGGAGTGCGAGAGGTGATGGGACGAAGGAGGCAAGCGAATTCTCTCCTTTTCTTTTTTTTTTTTTGAGGTAAGAAATAACAATGCGCCACTGTGGTGCATCACGTGTAATTTATCTGCTATACTATGCATATCGACTGAGCCTCCGCTGTAGACGCGCGCGTCAAGTAGAGTCATAGTCCGCCGCTGTGAGCTTCTGTTGCTTCGCCTGGCTGCTCTAGCCGATATCCAATTGCGCAAAAAAAAAAAAAAAAAAAGAAAAGAGGAAATTGGTATGTCCATTTGTTCGTGTTTGGGTTCACCAGGTCTAAGTTTTTTTTTAAGGATTACATTCTAGAGAGGGCCGCAACGGCCGGCTGTGCACCGAACAGCTGTGTCTCTCTGTCTTGCATATTTGTTGTCCATAACTAAAGACAAATGGGTTATTTTTTTCCTCGGATTATTTTTTTATTTGCAGGGTTTGGGTTATTGGGCTACAGTCTGTGGCGTAATGTGGGATTGGGAACCAGGCTCAGAAAAGGGATCTGGGCGACGAACCAGATCCGTCCCTAATGCCCGGTATAGACTATGTACCTACTTGCAGGAATAAAGCATAGCATCCTGGAGAGTGTAGAGCCGACGTGCCGGGTGTGATGCACTATGTAATAAAGCAGTTGAGGAGAGAGAGAGAGGGGGGGGGGAAAAGAGAGAAAGAGAGAGAAAGAGAGGAAGGGATTGAATGCGGAAATAGAATGGGGATTTGGTAATAATAGCCGTTTGCTCACATCTGAGCCACTGACAGCCTGCGATATGAAGCCGAGAGAGAGAGAGAGAGAGAGAGAGAGAGAGAGAGAGAGAGAGAGAGAGAGAGAGAGAGAGAGAGAGAGAGAGAGAGAGAGAGAGAGAGAGAGAGAGAGAGAGAGAGAGAGAGAGAGAGAGAGAGAGAGAGAGGGTGTGGGTGCGGTGCAAGGGATGGTTTCTAACGGTCGATTGAATGGGCAGGCTGTTGTGCTGCAAGACTTGGTCTATGTGTAACAAAGAAACAAAGAAACAGCGGAGCATTGTCGACGGCAAGGGAGTTTTGGAGTGGATGTCGTCCCTTTTTCTGGGTAACCCACGCCTGCCCACCCACCACGGCACATATTGCATTTACCTCCCATTCTCCACCCTCTTTCTCCACGCACCCACTCACTCTCACTCTCATTCTCGTTCCTTCTCTCTCTCTCTCTCTTTATCTCTTTCTCTCTTTCTCTCTCTCTCTCTCTCCCTCACTCACTTTCTCTCTCTCTCTTTCTCTCGTCCCGTCTCCACACCCACTGTCCACTGTCCACTGCCCCGCCTTCGTCTGCTTGCTGTCCGGTCGACAACGGGAAGAAGGCACGAAGGAACACGCGCCTTGTTCTTCTCCTTGACCCCACATCCACACCTCCATACACCATACACCACACCCCATACACTCACTGGCCGGCCTCTTCGTCCTCGTCTTCTTCAAAGTCACAGCACCTCCCCTAATCCACTGCATGCATCTCTGACCTTCTTCTCTTCTGCTCCATCCCGCCCTCTCGTTCGACCCTCTTCTCGTCCTCTTGTTTTGCCGCCATCTTCCCTGGTGCCCACACATCCATCGGTCTTCCCATCCCCATCCATTCCCAAAGTCCAACCAAGCCGATCCCAACCAAATCCTACTCAGCATTCGAGCGAATGTTTGACAAGATTAAACGGGCCATCTCTGGCTGGAACCAGGACTCAAACTCGCCCCAGTCCTCTCCCACCCCTTCCCTGAGCAAGAAGGACCATGCCCTCAAGTCCAGCAACTCCTTCCGCAATTCCCTCCCAGGACGCTTTCGAAACTCGCTCCACCGACGTTCATCCTCTCCTTCGTCCGACATCCTTCCTTTGCCTCCTCCAAAGGACACCTTTGATACCAACAACGCACCAGCAGCCCTAAAGAAAACCTACCCTCCTAAGCCTGAAACGAGTACCATCCCAGGACTGAATCCCGCTTCAGGAAACACAAACCCCTCCAACAACCTCGACGCTGTTGGGCGCTTCATCCAGAGAGCCGCCACCTCTCCACCAAAATCAGCCTTTATCCGACGCACCTCCAGCTTCCAAGAGAGGTCCTCTTCTGAGAGCTTGCGTGAAGAAGCACGCGAAGAAGACATCATCATCTTCTCCTCCACCCCGCCAGTTACAATTGCTCGGTCTTCCTCTGGCAAGGTAACTCGGACTCACAAGGGCTCGCCTGATCAGCCCCCAACTCTTCCCTCTGAAGCGCCAGTAGTCCAGTGGCCCCGAGGCGGTGCTTCCTCAGCAGCGAATCGGTCGCAGGAACACTTTCTCCGGACACATCGCCGAACCTCCACCAGCTCGGACGCATCTCTGAAGGACCTGCAGTCTAACATGGCCACTACCCCACCCCTTGGTTCAGTTCTTCGCCAAGATCTCTCGCAGCACTCGCGTCCTAGCACAAATCCCGTTCCCACAGCTATCAATTCGACAACGATCTCCGTCACGGAATCGCACCAATCACACAATGTCTCGCGTTCCACTCACCGCGAGACTCCGTCCGATGCTTCTTCTGCTGAAAATGCCTCCGTTGAATCTCAGGGAGCACCAGCAGCCTCTAGCCATCTGCAGGCGTCTAATCAGGACCAACCTGATCATGTACTTGCGAACGAGCACCCACGGGAACTCGAGGCCGTCAAGATCACTCCAAATGATCCTGTCCCTGCCTTGAGTCCAGCTGTTGCAAGGCAATTGGCCGCAGGAACTCAGATGCTCAAGGTCTCGGCCAAGAAGCAACACTCGCGCCTTTTCAAGCTGGATCTGGAGCAAGGAAGGATCCTCTGGGACTCTAGGAAGTTTGGTCGCAGTAAGTTTCGTCTCCTTCCATCTAGTGCATTTCGGAAAAATCACTTTGTAAACTCATCAACACCCATCTTTTTATTTTTTATACTTCTCAACTATCATTAGTCAATGTGGAACAGATCAAAGAGCTTCGTAAAGGAAAGGCGGCGCGAATGTATCGGGAGCAGCTGCGTGTCAAACCAGAGCACGAGGAGCGCTGGTTGACCATTATCTACTCCGCCACGGGCAAGTACAAGGCATTGCATTTGGTAGCGCCCACCAAGGACACATACCAGGACTGGATCATGGCCGTTGAGCGCATGTGGTCCGTCAAGCGTGAGGTCTCCGAGGGCCTTCCTCAGCTTCAGCGCAAGACGAACCAGTGGCTCAAGGAACATTGGATGGATGCTGACAAGAACGTGGACTCGAAACTTGGGTACGAGGAGATTGTCCGTCTCTGCTACCGCTTGAACATCAACTTTTCGAGAAAGGAGATTCGACTGCGATTCGATCAGGCTGACGAGAAGAAGCAGGGCTATTTGGATTTCGCGGACTTTACGCAGTTCGTGAAACTGTTGAAAGAGCGTAAAGAGATCAGCGGTCTATTCCGCACCATCACCAAGAGCGACTCTATGAGCCTGAAAGAATTCACGGACTTTATTATCAACACTCAGAAGACTAGCTTTGATGCAGATCATATCAAGGAGATTTACGGCAAGCATATCGACAAGACGCTGGAAAAGTTCACGGTCGATTCCTTGACGAGTTTTCTGCTCGCGATGGACAACTCAATCTTGTCCCCGACTCACGCACATGTTCATCAAGACATGTCCCAGACTCTGTCAAACTACTATATCAGCAGCTCGCACAACACCTATCTTCTAGGCCATCAGTTAGCCGGAATCTCGTCGATCGAAGGATACATTCGAGCATTGCAAAGCGGCTGTCGCTGTGTGGAATTGGATTGCTGGGATGGAGCAGATGGGCAACCTGTCATCTATCACGGACGCACCTTGACTTCAAAGATCCTGTTTAGAGATGTCATCGAAGCTATCTCCACATATGCCTTTGTGAACTCGCCGTACCCATTGATCTTGTCCCTTGAGCTGCACTGTGACCTGGACCAGCAAGAGATCATGGCCAATATCATGCGAAACAAGCTTGGAAGTTGGCTGGTGGTCGCACCCCTCGATGTCAATGGCACCAATCTTCCTAGTCCTGACGAGATGAAGTTTAAGATTCTAGTCAAAAGCAAGGTCTTGCCTTCTGACGCAGCATCCCAAGAGTTTTCCACCGACACTGAATCGGAATCCGAGCGAGGTATAGTATACGAGATGAGAGATTTATTACTAAGCAAAGCAAAGCAAAGCAAAGGAAAGAAAAGCAAAGCAGTGTTTGGATCAGCGTCTAATTCAATAACCCTTTTGTTGGATATTCTTTTCATAATAGAGAGCGAAGGCGACTCTGATAGTGTAAAGCAGCATAAGTCAAAGACAAAGTCAAAGAAGATTCGGATTGCGAGGGCGTTAAGTGACATCACGATCTACTGCCAATCCCGCCACTTTCCTGGGTTCACCCACGATGGTTGCTCGCCACACAAAATCATTTCTTTCTCGGAAAGGGTTTCGTTGCGCCTTGGCAAGCAGTCTTTACAAGAATATATTAACTTGAACAAGAGCCATCTCACGCGCGTTTATCCTGCTGGCTTCAGGATCAACTCTACGAACTATGATCCTCACCACCACTGGGCTGCTGGTGCCCAGGTTGTTGCGTTGAACTATCAAAGCCATGGTAATGCTATCGATTACGTCGGCTATGATATAGCTTGCAAGTTACACTGTGCTATGATGAGCAACCTCACTAAACTTTGTGGATATTTCTGTTGACGATATAGATCGTGGTATGCAGATGAACAGTGCTATGTTCACGATGAACGGACACTGCGGCTACGTCTTGAAGCCCCCACCACTAAGACTCAAGCCCGGGGAGGTGTGTAACCATGACAAGGCCCCCAGTTTTATAAAGTCCCACCCTGTTGACATTACCCTGGAGGTAAGGTGTTCGCCTATGATAATTTATTTAAAAGGGTCTTTTTTTTATATAAACGTTCGGTGCTTGTGATTTCTGACTCTGGACTTTATTGATATGACATTTCAAAGGTAATTTCGGCTCAGCAGCTTCCAAGGCCCAACGAGGAAAAGTCTGGTGATGTGAGCGACCCGGTGTGCGAGATTGAATTGCTGGTTCCTGGAGAATCTGCGGTCAAGTACAAGACTCGTCATGTGAGCGACAATGGGTTCAATCCTGTTTGGCAGGAGACATTCAAGTTCCGGGTGGACTATGAGCATCATGAGTTGGTGTTCTTCCGATTTGTAGTGCAGGATGAGGATATCAAGTTTTCGGACTTGATTGCGTCGTATTGCATCTCGTTGGATTGTCTGCAGGAGGGATATCGACATGTACCGCTACATGATGCGTCGGGCGATCCGTATCTCTATAGCACGCTGTTTATTAAGGTTACAATTGAACCTATGAGCGTGAGCGGGTATTTAGCGCAGGTTGGAAATGCGGTGTCGAATGCAGCTGCGGCGGTATCGGCGAGGGTGCCAGGAGCATCTGGAAACGCCACGAGTGGATCTAGATCCTCGACAGATTGTGATGGAGATGGAACGTCGTTGGAGGACCGAAATAGCTCGACGCACTCTTTGCATACGACGACGACAACGAATAGTGCAGCCAATTTGGAGGCTGCTGCAATGGCGGGCGCGAAGAGCGATCGACCATTACCACCTCTACCACAGACATTGTTGTCAGAGCCGGTTCTTTTAACGGATCTGCCACCTTTGCCGCCGACTCCACCGCCGAAGTGAGCGAACAGGAGAAAAAAGAAATAGAAAAAAAAAAAAAAAGCTTTTGGACCTTTGGCAAAATGCTCAATTTTTGGCTTTCAGTTGCTTTGCCAAGTCAGCTGCACCATACCCCATCTGAAGCACAAAATGAAAGGCAACTCCGGTTTTTTTTTTTTTTTTTTTTTTTTTTTTTTTATTATTATTGTGAACCAAAGAGTTTACGATTTATGTTCGTCGTCGTCCTTGAAAGTCTGGTCGCTGAACAGCTGTCTATTGATGTTCCTTGAGATGCTGTTGTTCCTTCTCGATGACTTGGACGGTCCTGTCAATCTTTTCAAACTGCCAGGACCACGTGGCATTATAGAGGAATGGACGCAGATCAAAGCGGTTATCGTCAGGGCTGTAAGACTCTGCATGGTAGGCCGGTGTAAGGGTCGTCATCTTGTGGCGGTTGATGGAGTAGTAGAAGAAGAAGCGTTTCACCTTCACCGCGATCTATTTTTGAAGAAAAAAAAAAAAAAAAAAAAAAGAAAGACAGGAGAACCTCAGTAAGCTGGGTGAAAGGTATATCGCTCATCCGATAGGCAGCTAAAAACATGGACATAGATAATGTACCTCAGCGACGTCCATCTTATCGCTCCAAAGATGGACGAGTTTTGTGAACATGCTGTAGGGCCCACACTTGTAGACTTTACGCAAACGACCAAACTCGGTTAGCTCATCGTATGTCATGCCCATATCGATCTCATCTGCTTGCACATATGTCTCCGTGATCGGTTCCAATTCTGCGGTCGGTGTCGCATCCAGGAAACTAGATAGGCGTTACGCGGATACAGCAATAAGAAAAGAAAGAAAGAAAAAAAAAGAGAGGAAGAGGAAGAGATGGGATGGGATGGGATGAGTCGCATTAGTCATGGTGATATGAAGACCTAGGCGCAGATCGAATCATACAAACAGTGAATCAGACAGAGACTTGCCTCTCGAGAATGGGCATGTCAAAGGCAAGCTGCGCATAGGCAATAAAACGACGCAGATCCCGTTTACTGATGCCTCCAATAGGATTGATGTCCGCACTCGAGCAATCGTATTTTGTGAAATATCCTCTCAAGCTATCAGACAACAATAGTCAAAAAAAAAAAGTCCCGTTAGCAACCATCCAAATCCCCCTCTCTCCTCGGCCTAAGATGGCCCACAAAGTATAGTAGAGCAAAGCAGAGTACAGCATAGACATATTAGGTCCCTTACCACTCATCAACATTGGCACTTCCGAGGACAAGCAGCGACCCGGGACGACCACGCACCCATGGCAGAAGCTGTGCCAGAAGGTAGGCTACGACCATTCGGATACGGGCCTGGATATTCTGCAGAGCCAAGTTCTCGACATTCGATCCGCCATGTGCACGGAACTGTGGGGTCTTGCCCGTCACCAGCGTGAACAGGGCCTGAAGCGCCGCGACCACCGTATCCATATTCATGTCGATGTGGTAGCTATATCAAGTGAGTGAAATGAACAACAGCTATGAGTACAATCGACAGTGGAGATCGATGAGTAGGGTAAGGACAGTTGCGCAAGCAGTTTCGTATTGCATACCTTCCAATGGTCTCCGCGAGTTTCTTGGCTCTCGCGCGTGTCTCGTTGGAAGAATTCACAGTACCCATGTAACAGGTGTGGAAAATGCGGCTATTTGAGATATAAAAAGGAACGCAATAGTCTTCGAATTAATATCAATCGTGAGCTTGACCCGCATTCCCGGTAGAAAATAAAAAAAAAAAAAAAAAAAAAAAAATAAAGTACAGTGTCCGAAGACTTATACAAAGTGACGTGTTGCGTATTACCTGGCGAATTCCTGAGGGTCCTGAGGGATGTATCCAGTCTCGACACTCTCACCCGTCACCTGTCGCGCGTCTGCGATTGTCTGCTTATCGCCCTTGGCGCAGGACTTAACAACCAAACGGCACATTGATGCCACGATCGTGGCGGTCGCACAACTGTCAATGCCTCCGCTCAACGGCAAGAAGAATCCGCTGGTTTTGGATCGGCGGAGGTAATCCCAGAGCCAGCAAGCGGGCCCCAAGCTGTAAAGCAACATGAAAATGAAAAGTAGCAGTGATGGCACACGAGTTTCAGTATCGAGTGGTCACTTCATGTATATCCACCTCAAGGTTAGGATCACCTCTAGAAGTCAACATACCTGATCTCTTCTTCCGGAGTATGATAAAAGACCGGTTTGATAGGTGTTGGTCGAAGCGCAGGATTGTCCTCGAGTCTCCCGTCCGACAGAGCCACATTAGCCTCGATTCTTTTAAAACAAGGGCTCGTCGAAGCCTGGATACCTCGACTGCAGCTGGACCTGAACGAGCGGACATCCTCGAGGTCAATAGTGGCGGTGACGACCTCGACATCTCCGATCGAAAATTGTGACCCCTGAGCAACGACCTCACCGTTGACGAGAATCAGAGCGCAGCCGTCGTAGTAGAGTCGGTCACCGTCGCATCCTTGCTGGTTTGCGTACAAGTAGATTCCTCCGCTCTAAACAGGTGGGTATCACGTTTTGGTCATCAATATGTCAATATGTCCCTGACTTAATGATCGGTTGCGATAGTGTAGAAAAGGATAGAGTTTGATCCGCAACGCACCTTGAGAGTGGCCTCTTTGATGAGTTCTACACGAGTGTGGAGCTTGCGCAGCTCGTGATGGCTTCCACTGCTGTTCGTGATAATCTCGACTCCGTCCAACGACAATCCAATATGAGGACTGTTCCCATGCAAGGAATTATATAATTCATTAGGCCTTGTCCGTCTAACTCTTCTCAATCAAAGTCGCCCATTTTCTCCCTCAAGAATTCTTTTCATAGTACGTTACCTATTCGGGGTAAAGAGTTCCTCGCACATCTCTACGCCAATGCAAGAATCGTGAGTCGAGATAACGGCGTCGCCGATCGGCACCGTCACCTGGCCCGTGATTTTTTGAATCATTCGAGGAAGATAATGTTCCTCTGTGGTGCGATGCTTGCCCCAGGGCGTGAACCATCTGAGCTCACGATAGTTCCCGTCGTTGGCCATGAACATCTTGGGTCGGATCAACAGGATCTTGGAGTCCAGGGTGATGATCCTGCAGTTGTACTTAACGTTCTTGTGCATCACAGGCCTAATAATGCCAGTTACCATGTGTTCCATTTGCGGTTAAGAGAGGACAATAGTGCCAGGTATTGGTACTACACTGTACGCGTGTATTTGTCTAGACTTACATTCCGATATCCAGAAGCATGCCTTCGGCCTCCTTAGAGCTCAGGATCTGTCCGAGAATCTCCCATGAATGTAGATATGTGTCACCTAGAACCCAAAGGGTTGATTACTCCATGCTCACTGTTCCTATAGCAAAGATTAGCGTCAAAAGTATGCCATACCTTCTAAGAAATGATCGGCGCATCCATAACCGCTATCAGATTACGATGAATATATGTATCAGCATAAAGAACCCTGAGGGTGTAGCATACATGCAAGCGGGTCGAAGGACTCTTTTGAGATCAGCAGCCCTCTCTCCAAGGTCGTGTGCTCATTCCAGCCCTTACGTGATCTCCAACTCGGGACCGATGCGTAGAGTCGCACCGCGCTCTTTGGCGATTCGAATACTCTCCAATGTCCTGGCGAGGTTTCCTTTAAAATCGAGGGCCCATTGATTAAGCGAGCATGTCGCGACGGTGATGAGGTGGCCCATGGCAAACGGTGAAAGTGATGGACAAGAAGGACAGTTGACAAAGTTGGCGGCGTACAGACTCTCCTGAAGTGACCACTGCATTCCGCTCGTTCAGACTCTGTATTGAACTCTATTATGTTGTCGTTACATGTCGTTTCTACATATCATGGGCCGGTCGCTCCAGAGACCTTGACGTTCGGGGGGACAATGCCAAACTTGTAGTGAACATCCAGTAAGATCTTGAGCGCGTTCTTCGACTGCAGGTAGCTGAGATCGTCCGAGTGCGTTGGTGTCACCTGCTGTGCCAGCTCCTGAGATCCGCCAAAGGGGAACGCGCGCTGCAGGATTTCGTAGACCATCAATGTCGTACCGAACTGGGGCGATGAACGGAGGACACGTGCGGGGCCTCCCTTGAAGAAGGCCTGGAACCCTTCCTCTCTGTAGATCTTGCGTGCTGCATCTCCGATACCTGAATACGTGCTTTGCCCCTTCTTGGCCTCGACCTGCAGACGCGTCTTGATAACATCTGCCGGAGTGGTAAAATACGCGGCGGGCATACCAGCAACTGCACCAGCTATCAACAACTCGCCGATCGACAACTGATGATTGGGCCCTTCTTTGAATAAGTCCTTCTTCAAATGGGCGTAGACGGGGAAGTAGATCGAGGAGAAGGGGATATCACGAAGCAGGCACGCACTTGCTCCCTTGTAAAGACCGATGATACCCAATGTCCGCACAATCGCCACAGCACCGGGGCGGGGTACCTCCAGCGTCTTGGCGGCCTCACCAGCAACCTGCAAACGGATCTTGACGATCTCTAATGGGTTCGTAAATACAACCTGAGAACCTCCTGCGATACCTCCTGCAATCACTTCGCCCGCAAGGGAGATGTTTCCGTTCTTGTCTGTAAGATGGCCGCGCGCGAGATCGTTCATCGTCAGTTTGATAGCTTTTTCTGGCGCTACACCCTATAAAAATTGACTGTCAGCATTAGTTCTTTGTATGTAAATGAAAGAAGCAACTTTCCGAGGAATATATCGATTGACGTACGACCAGCTGGGGACCAAGTCCACTGTAGAGTCCTAAGACGCCCTCATTCCTGACAACCTTCTTAAAGCAATCAATACTGTTCTTGTACAACAATTCACCAACGACTTTCGAACGTTGGTTCTGCATGCGTGTTTTGACGAGGTCAACTGGATATACGACTGTGGCACCAACAGCACCACTGATCGATCCGAGCAAGAAACCATCTAATTTTTTGAGAGTCAATACATTATTACATCAAGGGTTCAACTGTCCATTGCATTCAAAGAGGTACGTACAGGATCCCCTCAAAATGTCATGAATGGCACCCTGCTTGATATCAGGGGCGGCAGGGTGAGTGACTGGAAGGGCGTGTTCCCACTTTGATTCCAGCAAACGGAAAAAGTCCTTGAGCGTCAGCTTGCCTGAAGGATTGTCCAAGCCCGCGAAATGAAAGATGATGTCGGCCTCCATGGGCGTGAAGAGTGAAAATCGCGTCTCCTTGGCGGCAGTGTTGAGAAAGTCTGCCCGGGTAATCGTGCCGTCCTTGTTCTTTTCTACAGCCTTACGGACCACTCTCTCAACCATATCCATGTCGCGAATCACATTGTAAAAGGCCATGACATTCGCAAATGAGATCTTGTTGCTGGCATAAAGATTGCAAAGAGTCGGGAGATTGTCGAGCACATGTTCCGACAGCTTGTGGCCTGCAATGTCGATGATAATCTTCTTGAACGCGACCGGGGTGATGTATCCTGTCGCGTCTTTGTCGTAGTAGCGAAACTCCTGACGAAGACGCTCTGCCTGGAGACCCTTGAGGAGCTGCGTGAACTCTTTGTATGACATTTCGTGTGTTGCATCCTTGCCGCCGGTGTACAATCTGAGCCACTCGCATTCAAATTCGAAGGGAATCGCGTCTTTGCCGATGTTTGCAGACAAGATTTGTTTGAACTGGTCCCGAGTGATCTTGCCGGTGCCCTCGGTATCGAACAATCGAAAAGCAATCTCGTACTCTGCGTCAGGACGGGACAGCAAGTTTTCAAACACAGTGCTACAGACAGAGGAGAAGATTGGAATGGTTAATAACGAGGCGTACCCCCGAGATCAAGGTCTCTTTTTCGCGTCCATAGAAGGTAATGCTGTAAGGGGGAGAGGGAGCCTGTTATCATGCAAAGAACACCACAGCTTGCTCAGGAGGAACTGAGTCGTTTGTCTCCCCGAAGTGCTCGAAGGAAAGATTGATTTTATATGCAAAGTCATCTTCCGTCTCTTGTATTACCCCGCATCATCCTCCAATGGCACAAACAGATATTGACTGAAAGCAGACAACATCTTGTTCCCCTTATTTTTGTGCTAATACGTGCGAGGCTTGACTTGCTTCACTTTACTCTTAATCCCGAGAATAATAAAACAAACCCTCCTCGGGAGAGAACCATCGCCAAAACAAAGGGTGGTTATGCAACATCAAACAAGAAGCAACAAAAATATTGACGCCTGATAAAAATGGCTTCTTGCTTACTTACAAATCCGACAATGAAAGAAGACCTTGCTTAGACTGATCCGCAACGTTAAAGAGAACAGCGTATTGCGACCGCTGTAGCCGCTTGTAGTCCTCGCCGGGTGCAATTGCGTTGACAAAGTCGTCCCGAGCCATGAATTTCTCGCCGTTGTTTTCCACCGATGCAAAGCGATTGAAGATGCGCTTGTAGCGCTCAACGGCCGCCTCATCGGGATTGCTGGCGGAAAGCGACTCTGTAGTCATCATGGCTGGATATATGCGTACTAACAATGTTGAGAAAGTTCCTATTGCATTGTTCATTAGGTTCATATAAAAAAAAATGAAAGCATGAGCATAGCCGAGTCAGAGTGACGGAGAACTAGGAGCCCTTCAATCCATAGACACTACTGAGCCATACAAGGCTTTTCAAGCATTACAGCTGCCTGTGCCTGAGGACAGGGCAGTGATTGTTGGCATCTTTTTTTAGGATTCAATTTTCTCATGTATGAGGCCGTGCCCCAGTCCAGACTAGCCAAGGCGGAGTGGGACAAATGAGTTGAAATGTCCAGAGATCGCTGATTCACTTGCATGGCAATGCATTCGAAGCGGACCAAGTTTCTTGCTCTTCTTCTCTGAATCCTGATATAGTCTGGGCTAGTTCCTGAGAAGGTCTCGAGATGGCATTGTCGTGAACTGTCAAGCTCTGTGGTTGTCAGGCTTACCGAAGGACTATTTCTGATCTGGCTAGCAGTGAGATACGAAACTTTGCTGGCGTAGAGGAACAGAGTGAAGTGGAAGAGGAAAAAGAAAAGATGCAGCCGAAACAAAAGAAAGAAAGAAGAAAGGAGGAAAAGGAAGCGTGGATAAATGAAGGTATAAGACGATACAGCCCATTCGATAATGCGTGCTTTGACACTACGTGTTCCCGCGCTTATTACGACATGCATCCACCATGGCCCGTGAACATGGACATCCATGTGGGGTCGATCGACTCTATTTTACTTGACTTCATCCACATTGACTGTCTAAGGCACACAGCGGTACGTGAATAACATGCTCGTCTCAAACACTCCAGTAATGCATCACCCCTGGAGATGTGATCGAAATAATGCCTGAATCTCTTTTTGCTCTCTGTTGTGAGGAAGACGCGCCTTTTATTTCTTCATTAAAAGCCCTGCTAACCTCACTTTAACCCGGAAACTCTTTCTTCTTGAGGATCCCGTGCTCTCAACGCTTGCATCTGCTTGCTGCTATACCATCGAATACTGAAGGAACGTTCCCATTTCCAGCGGTGCTGTTGAACATGTTAGCATCAATTGATCCACGCGAAGTAAACTTCCTATTGTCCCACGGCCCATAGTTGGGCCGCACGTATTTAAAAAATAAACCTCCTTATAGTCGCGCCTTCCAATAACAATGATATGCCCATTCCATTCTCACGCAAGTAAGGGTATATTATGCTTAAACCCCGGTTATCAATAACAAAAACTTCATCGCTCTTTGAAACCCGCTCATTTCACACTTCTCATCCCGGAAACATACATTTCTGTAGGCAGACCACCTCCTCTGCCACGCTTTTCTTATTCAGCATACTCGTCTACCTTAGACCAGCTTCAGTTTCCTTTGAAGCCCACTTTTAAAATCGCCATTCCTAGGTCATCAATTGCAATTGCAATGAGTGGAATAAAAGGAACTGATCGTATGCCGAGTTGGTTACGAAGAAAGATAAGCTGTTAATCAGATTTTATTACCTCCTTTGCAGCTAGAGCTCGTGAAAGAAGATTGAAAACAAATACAGGAGGAGATCAGCTTTAGAAGCTACTCGAAAATGCTGTAAACTGGCGAAGGTTCTCTCAATATCGCCTCTTAAGGGAGAGCTAGAGAGTGTGTACTCTACCGAAGAGACGTCGAGGAAACGCGCAAAATGCCGAAGAGGTACGCGGTGGGGTATTAGGGGAGTTAGCAATGGACCTGGACGAACTCGATGATGGTGTTCATAGAATAACAATCATCCGTAACAGTAGCAGTTGGGCGCTAGTCTATGCCACGTCGATCTTTGAATAGTCCGGCGATTATTATTATTTTTTTCTTGAAACCCCATGGTGAATAGCTCCACCCAGATAACCTAGTGGCATATCTTGAATAGTTTCCTTTCATTTGCTCTTGCTTAATAAAGATGCTATTTCTGTCAGCCCCAGTGCTGTCTCGTGGTCAAAGTATAAGTACTAAGTACTATAATCATCAAAAGTATTTAATGCTGTGTATTTGGTTGTATGGGCGCAGTGCAAATCCTCGCGCGCCTTGTCCATGCTTGGAAAGGCGTGAACATCAGTCACGATGCACTCTTTTTACTCTTTTTCCATAAATGAGAGCAGCGACCGTAGGCATGACCTTGGTCCGGGACGTGGACGTGGATCCCCTCGAAGTATATCTTACCTACATCCACGCAACCCACTAGCGGACCACATACGAAGGGTCCCGATGCGCCTTCCATTTCAAAGCTCCATCATCATCAACTAAGTCGGTCGTGACGGGACTTGTCCGCGCGCTCCACAAGGCCATGTCGCGAACATTTACTCAAGGCCCAGCAACCATCCTGTACTTTGATGATCCGCCAACAACGCAAGAGGCGGGGGCGCGAGATGCAAAAGCTTTATTATACTACCATATCAATAGTGCTGTGCCCAGTTTCTACAACTTTCCAGAGCAATGTGACAATGATCCCGCTAGTATGTACATAAGCCCTACCTACGCCTAAACTACATAGGAGCAGAAACCCCAATAAAGCCCTAGATTCACTCAACTAATCCCAATCGTTTGCACGAAAACAGAGAGGGACCAGGAGAGGCAAGGATGTAGATGTCATGAACGATCAGGCTAATAAGATTCAGAAGATGGTGGACTCCAATAATACCAACACATTCTCCAGAACTTACAAGAAAGCAAAGCGGAGCTGGGCCGCTGCAAGGATAAATGATTCGGCGGTAATGAGCGGTATCATTGCCGGGTTAGAGAAGCCATGCTGGAACGCTTGTCCTTGTCTTGTGGAAACGGACGTATGTATTGGTCGCAGCATCCTGGTCAGACTGTGGGTGGCTCAAATGACTCAGGCATGCCCTTTCATGAGTTAAAGGTGCTTCTCAGAAAGGACCCCCTTGACCATACCATCACATCGTACGAGGTGGAAGACGTGATTCAGAAGCTGGAAGCCAACGAGGCCCAGTGAATTGTCGCCGTCGTTGTTACGAACAACGACTACACGAGTCATGTACAGGGCCAGTCATTCGCAAAGAACCTCGCCGTGCTGCGTGAATGTGATTCAGACGACAAGCAGAGCGTCATAGATCAGCATTGTAGCCAGATGGGAGTAAGTAGCGAAATGTTCGAGTCGTCCAAGCAAACTCCCTTCAAGATCAAGATCTCGAAAGAGGAGTCCAAGAGCAACGAGGCTGTTGACGCGAGAACGAAGGAGATCGCAGACAGTGCCACACGTACCTCCAGGAGTACGTGTCTTTCAGTGCAGAGCATGCGCGATATATTGATGTGTCTTTACATTTTTATTGTTTCATCGCGCTGACTCTTCCTTTTTCTTATTTAGATTTAAAGCGGCCAACAAGAGTAGTAAAACGAATGCGATTAGCATGAAGGCCACGGTTATCGAGGAATCCATGACCAACGAGGTAGTCATGATCGCAGAGGAAGTCATGGTGAACGAGGTGGCTGACTAGGATGACACGAGTAAGAATAAGACCAAAGGGCGTTCTACCGCGTAAACCGCCTTTTTATTTCTCGCGTTTTAAGTTAATTTTAATAATATGGAACCGAAGGGTTAAAAAAAAATTGCAAAGCACGCAGAACTTATCCCTATATGCCTGGCAATAATAACGAGGCAAAAAAGTTCGTTTAGCCTGTTTTCAGTCCCGACCAGGACGATATGATTGCACTAGACCCCATCAAGAGTAGGAAATGGAAGGCCAGCTCCAAGGAAAAGGGCGAGGCAAAGATATCAACAAGAAGAGCAAGAACCAACCCAAGGCCAAGAAACCTCACAAAGAGAAAACTCTACGCAATCCCGCTTCAAGAAGGGTTCAGTAGTAAGAGTACATGGGCCCAGGAACACAAAAAAAGACGAAAGCGAAACGCTAGAAGCATGGCCGAGGATGTGATAAACAGTAATTTCGCGACAGTAACGATGAACTTTAGAACGACTGATTGGCTCCTTCCACGCGGACTGCAGCAAAACTACGGTGCCGGTGACTATCTCGAGGAGAGTCAGCGTATCGAGCCGACTACTCAGGAACTTGTCAAACTCAACAAGGATTTTATCAGATGCGGAAGCCTGGCAACGTTCAATTATATCAACAAGATCATGGCAGAGCATCCATCAATCTACTCAGACTCAGAAGATATTCAAATCCGTCGCGATATACTCAAGACAATCGTAAAAGGGATGCATCACTGGGACGATGGACTCAAGGACAGTGACGACAGCTTTAGCTTAGCGTTGACGACACTCGAACCTCTCAAGACAATACTTGGGGATAACGACGCCGTTATTCAGAGGGTTGAGGGGTACCTCGACATTGCGGCTCCGTCTCTGTTTCCGAGTTGAAGGAAGGGATAAGTATTCTGTTTCTGTCTCCCAATATCAAGTTGCCGTTCTCAAACCGCTACACGTATCTTCCAATGCCAGCCTACAAGGACAGCTTCTACTTGATCAGCAATTGACAGAAGTTGTTTTAAGGAGAAAATCAGACAAGAAAGCAAAAACAAACTAGTCAGGGTGTTCGGAGAATCCAAAGAGGTTAAGAAAATGACTCTCCTGTCTGGGAGGGTTTTCGAAAGCTGCTTTTCCATGGCAAAAGAACCAACTACGACCAACCCGCTTGTATGGCATTTCCCGATAGTAATTCTTTGCCATATGCGCTTGATCTGGGTTCTTTGCCTTCCTAAGGTCAGTTCGATACACTTACGACCAAGCCTGTGTTCACACCAGGGTATAAAAGGGCCAAGGGAGATGTCAAGACAGCAATCAAGGAGAGCCTTCTGGCCATAGATAGTACCACTCGGCCGGAGAAGTGCCTACTCGCTGGCGCTCTGTAAACCGATGGGCATCAACTCAGGAGCTATGCTTATAGCCTGACAGCGCAGAAAAAAGGACGTGGCAAAGACGAGGACAGCAGTGAAAGCGCCTCTCGGAGTAGCACCTCCTGTTCCACAAAGCCGCCGAAAGCGAGTAAGAGCGATCAGCAGGACGTCGCGGGCGCCAGCAAGGCCTCGACCGAGTCCAAGAGGACCAAGGTGAAGCAGCTAACCGAAGCGACCCTGGGTCCGGATGAACTACAGAAGGAGTTTGACGATCAGGAGAGCTAAGTTATGCTCGCCATCGATCCAGACATTAAGAACACCGCGACGGCTGTAATTGTGGATTCGCTTATACCTGAAAGCCTTGGAACCTGTCGTCGCCTAAGGGATGCCGTACCTGGGACAGCCAACGACACAAAGCTGTTAAGGCGCCTGAAAAAAGACAAACGAATTGAGGCTGCAGAGGACATGGTGAGCATCAACGATTAAGAGGTAAGAATTCGGCCTGCCAGGTGTTCTGACCCTCAAGGAGTCGATTGACTCAGCAGTTCAAGGAGCTCAGGGGTTTTTAATATAGTATGCAGACTCAATCTTCACGGTTGAGAGGCTGGGGGACCTTCCACGGATCGAAGGGCCTGAAGGTTGCTCGTTATCGCAAGGAGCAAGAAGAGAAGGCCGAGGTCTAACATGCAACCAACGGGATGCTCGGACAGCCCGGGGGAGGGCGAAGATTGGTCAAAGACGATATATGGTCGATCATTGGCGCTGGCAGCTTCAAGGTAAGGCCGGAGGACGAATAAGTTCATATCAAGACTCCAGGCTCAGGCACGTGGAAACGGATGAAGGATGGTACGATATGCGTGGGTCTCTGACACTCTGTTGCTGCGAATACTACTGTGTGTATAGGCCACCGGCGAAGGGATGCCGGTATGCTGCGTCGGCAAATTTCGAGCGTGGATACCTTGTTGCAGATGTCACCGGAGAGTCCAGACTGTTCTGACCTGACTTGTGGTGGTCTTCGGCTATTAGCATATGACGCAGCACACAAATCGAGCCCCAAGACCGGCCTTCAGCGCTAACACAACCTTTTAATGAGTAAAGGACTATAAGTGGCTCGATGCGCTGAACCAGCAACTTGTCAAGAGGCAAGAAGCGCCCATTGGAACATCGCATGTCAATATAGCTTGTAAATCTCTCCATTCTTTGCCTTGTGGGTCTATAATGGTAAGCTACATTCCCTCCGGGGTTTGCTTCTGGAGCGTATACTCTTTAGAACACAACCAACATAGCCTGGTTTTGAAATACAGTGCGACTGTGGGGTAAATGCACAAAACATGAGCAGCAGTTTGGTCGTACGAAGTACCCCATCGCTTATGAGACCAAGCACTTTCGTAGACACCCTTTTCTGGCCTGACCATGCTTGCGGCCATGTTGCTGAACAAGGATAGTCCAACGAATTGTAGTTTATAGGGGAGTTGGGCACCAGGGATGGATGCATCAGGCTACGATACATGCGCGTATGGGCACAAGCGATGGAGTGTCGATGTTGGTACCGTAAATATCATGGGTATCGCCAGCGCAGACGACACCGGTCAGGGTACGCCATCTGGTCGCATGTGCTGCAGAGTCGCGACTCGAGAGGTCGCTCGATTGGATTCGCTGACTGGTCGCTGTTTTGTTTTTTCTCGCTTCTGTTTGGATTCTCATCATCTTTTTTCTCCTCCTTCTCCTTCTTGCCTCATCTCCATCCCCATCCTATCTTTCATCCCTTTTCATCTTCACCACATCATAATCCATCATGCGTGAGATTGTCCACTTGCAGACCGGTCAGTGCGGTAACCAGATTGGTGGCAAGTTCTGGGAGGTCATCAGCGATGAGCACGGTATCGACCCCTCTGGTGTCTACACCGGCGACTCTGAGCTCCAGCTCGAGCGTATCAACGTCTACTACAACGAGGCCGCCGGCGGCAAGTACGTCCCCCGTGCCGTCCTCGTCGACTTGGAGCCCGGTACCATCGATGCCGTCCGCGCTGGTCCCTTTGGCCAGCTCTTCCGTCCTGACAACTACATTTTTGGCCAGAGCGGTGCCGGTAACAACTGGGCCAAGGGTCATTACACCGAGGGTGCCGAACTCGTCGACTCTGTCCTCGATGTCGTCCGCAAGGAGGCCGAGTCCTGCGATTGTCTTCAGGGATTCCAAATCACCCACTCCCTCGGAGGCGGTACCGGTGCTGGTATGGGAACCCTTTTGATCTCCAAGATTCGCGAGGAATATCCTGACCGTATGATGTGCACATTCTCTGTCATGCCCTCCCCCAAGGTAAGCTGTCCTGCGCTGTGTGCGCATTGAGCGTGGAATCAACTTGCTTTCTCTGGGTTGGTCCATCTTCGTTTGCGCATATTTTTATTTTCGGCTTGGTCTAGTTCTTAGTCGTCTGTGGCTCCCTTCTCCCCTGCTGCTCAGACAATGGTGCCCTTGGCGCCCTTTTTCTAAGCTTGCATTATTTCACCGACCCCCTTTGCTCTCTTCAATATGTCTATCCTTTTGCATAATGTCGATTCCTCCCCCTGGCGACGGCCTACAGTAATGAAGCAAGCCATGGGACGGGCAGTCTTCGATTTCACGCGTTTCTTTTGTTTATGTTCCTTTTCCCCCCTACCCCGTCACTGCTATATTGGTCGCCTTTTAATGAACAATCTTATAGGTGATGGATTATGAGGCATCCTTCAGGTTGAGAGAGCGATGCAAGATTTTACTGGCGTACTTTCTTGTCAAATTCCCGCCTGGGTCTTGCTGCATGGCGTCCCTTTATTTTCACAATCATGTCCTTGGAACCATGGTTTTTCTTTACGTCGCCTGTGCAATGTTTCCACACGAAATATGTTTTTGTTTGCCCAAGAGTGGATCTGCATGGGCTATCTTTTTTATGCTCAGTCGTACCCTGGAGGGAGCGAAGGGCCTCATAAGAGCCCTTTTCCTCTTTTCTATTTTGACATACTATTGTCAGCTGGCGCTTCTGCCGCTCCGTTCGTATTGGTTGCGGATTTTTTTACGTTTTATTTTTTTTGAACTGCCATGTATTTCCCCGTTGATAGTACCGTTTCCTCTGTTGAAGCGAAGGGAGCTGGCTAAGGAAGAAGCTGACTTTTTGACATGGGCTTTTTCTACGATACTACTATGTTCCAACATGTAGCTGATCTGAATTTGTTATTGTACCATGTCTATTCATCCTTAGGTCTCTGACACCGTTGTCGAGCCCTACAACGCCACCCTCTCCGTTCACCAATTGGTCGAGAACTCAGACGAGACCTTCTGTATCGATAATGAGGCCCTGTACGATATCTGCTTCCGCACCTTGAAGCTTACTTCCCCCAGCTACGGTGACTTGAACCATTTGGTTTCTGTCGTCATGAGCGGTATCACCACCTCCCTCCGCTTCCCTGGTCAGCTCAACGCTGACTTGAGAAAGTTGGCTGTCAACCTGGGTAAGTGGTCATAATGGATAGGATCTGCGTTGCTTTGCGTTGATTGCCTAGACTACTGAGTCTAGATGGAGCTCTCATGACTGAGGAATGCATTGAGCATCCTCTGCGGAATGACAGGGGTAAGAGCGTGAAAGCCATTACTAACCGCAAATTCATGACAATTGAATTGTACTCTATTGGCTACTAGTTCCTTTCCCCCGTCTCCACTTCTTCATGGTCGGTTTCGCCCCCTTGACCGCCAATAACTCTGCGTCGTTCCGTGCCTTGACCGTCCCTGAGTTGACCCAGCAGATGTTCGATGCCAAGAACATGATGGCTGCCTCTGATCCTCGTCACGGACGTTACTTGACCGTTGCTGCCATGTTCCGTGGTCGCATGTCCACCAAGGAGGTTGATGAGCAGATGTTCAACGTCCAGAACAAGAACAGCTCGTACTTTGTCGAGTGGATCCCCAACAACGTCAAGACCGCTGTCTGTGATATTCCTCCTCGCGGTCTTAAGATGTCGGTCACCTTCATCGGTAACTCGACCGCCATCCAGGAGTTGTTCAAGCGTATCTCTGAGCAGTTCACTGCCATGTTCCGTCGCAAGGCTTTCTTGCATTGGTACACTGGCGAGGGTATGGATGAGATGGAGTTTACTGAGGCTGGTAAGTAACTGTTTTTGCTTTATTTGTCTTGCGTAACACAGACTATGATACATAGGATGGGAACACAAACATGCATGCCACAAACACGCGCAATGGCCATGTCTAACGTCTTTCTCTTGTTTTCTCTTTTCATTTGCCAGAATCCAACATGAACGACTTGGTCTCTGAGTACCAGCAGTACCAGGATGCTACCGTCGAAGACGAGGACGTTGAGTACGAGGATGACATTGCCCAGGATATGGATATCTAAGGCAGCAGAGTCTTTTAATACATTTTCTTTACACAACTAATTCGCAGTCGATCGCAAAAAGAGCACGAATGAAAACATATATCCCCCCAATCTCTTGAGGAGAACCACAAGCACAAAAAATAAAGGATGGTGCCCAAAACTTATTTTTTTCTTTTTGGTTGCTGGTGGTCAGCATGGTACATGTTGGGTGGGGCGGATTGGAATGCGGTATTGTTGACCTGCATGTGCATATGCGCCTGCAGCTTTGTATTTTTGTCGTGCATGTTGTTGCACCATTCAGGGCAGGCCTCTATTTTTTTTAACGCGCACCGGGAAAAGAGGGAGGAGATACGATAAACAAGCTCGCCATGATAAAAATTGTCCGTTGGCCGCTACAAGACACGATAGGCGTAGGACCCCGACTCTTCAATTCATGACCTTGATGGTACCCTTGGTACAACATCGTTTAAAGTAATTATCGGCAGCGCCTGTTCATTAAAAATTACGATTTTCTCCTCCAGGGAATAATATGTGTGTTTAAAAAGAGAGAAAGTGCGTGTTAAGGTGTTGATTAAAGACTTGGGGAGGCAACAAGACGCGCTCGCTCGTTGGTCCTTTACTTGCGCTTGGGAGAAAGACCGGCTTGCATCGATTCCAACTCGGCTTCCAGAGCCTTGATGTGTGAATGCTCAGCCTCCAAGTCCTTGTTCAGGCGATCACGTTCAGCAATGAGCTATCAAAGGAAAAGGAGAAAGAATTTAGTAACTGGGCAATAGAGGATGAACAGAAACGGCTATCTTTAAAAAGACACCCGGTCTTCATTCTTACCTGCTGTTCCCAGGAGCGGAACCTGTTCTCCTCCAGACGGACCTGCTCAGTGAAGCGCTTGCGGAGGGCCTCCTCCTCTTCCTTCCACTTGGGGTTGGTCACAGTCTTGACCCTATTATATGTTCATGCACGCAAGAAGGAATTGTCAGTGCCCTGGTTGGAAAACACTCATCATTGGCTAACAAGAAGAGGACGGAGTAGAGGATCGTACTTGGGCTCCCCAATCTTGCGAGTCTCCATCTGGGCATTGCGGTAGTTCTCATAATGGGTCTCCTCAGTCGAGCTGATGAGATCCAACATGTGCGAACGGATCAACAGCTGGCGCAGCTTCTTGAAGTCACAATGGTCCTCGTTCTCGACTGGAAAATAAATAAAGAAAAACAAGCAGGGATGTTATCAGTTTATATGTGGTAGCGTAGTCTCATGCCAGGCCCTATCTCGTAGCACTTCAATCAATTATTACCCTCAGCGACTCCCCAAGAGTACTGGCGTCCCTTGACAGTGCGACCGTCCATAGTGAGCACATCGTCAGTGCTTCCGATAATGGAGAATGGCATAGCGTTCTATAGGGAAAGCCACAATAAACCATATTAGAGCGGCAAGATTCAAATCTGGTCAATCTTTCATTTGTCCATACTGCCGTTGCTTTACCATGATGCTGACGTTGCGCTTGGTGCTGGCCTCATCGTCGCTCTCCAAGGGGAAAGTGTAGCACTGGATGTTCTGGGCGGCAATGACCTCCAAGATCTATTTACAATAAAAATAAAAAGGGGAAAAGAACATCCGTCGCGTCAATACCAAGTCGCTCTTCAGATCTCTCTCTTCTCAAGTTCTGATACAAATGAGACGCACAAGATGATCGACAAGATCATTCCACATACACGTTTCTTGAACTTGTGCAGGTCCGTAGGTGTCATGGTATCGGCCTTGGCGATGACGGGGATCAAGTTGACACGCGTTCCCAACCGCTTCATGACCTCAATGTCCAAGGGCTTCAACGTATGACCCGTGGGACGAATGAAGTACAGACAGCAATGCACACGCATGTCGCTCAATTCGTGGCGCTTAGGCTGCTGCTCCTGGCGCATGTACGACTCATGCTGATCATCAATAAAGTCGATAATCGGCATCCAGCTGTCGCGGTTGTTGGTATAATCCCCGAATCCGGGAGTGTCGATCACAGACAGCTTGACGTTGAACTGCTTCTCCTCGAGTTCTAGAGGTAAATACCAAAAGAAAAAGAAAAAACGAAAAGCAAGACAGTTGAGTTGAGGGTACGCGGAATCCCTGTCTTCTGGGTCATGCTCCAGACGATTCTCTTTCTCACTCCTCTCACTCCTCTCATCCTTCTCTATTCTCTCGTCTTATAAGCGCCCATGCAAGTAGAAGAACTGAGCGAAGAGAAACAAGAGATTTGATTTTTGTTGAGAGCCATCACGAATTATATATAGCGAGGACCCGAAAAAATATTAAACTGCACCAAGGAACTAAATGAAGAAAGTGCTCAACAGAACTATTTCAAAGACTCAAAAGCTGAGGACTCAAAACAACACAAACCAGAGCCATTCCCAAGTAAACACTCACATACGTCTTAACAACGAAGAACTAAGGAACTGATGGACAGTAATTTGGTGCGTGTTGAGGTAAAGAACCGGGTACACAACAAAGCGAAGCGGAACAGTTGCTTCGCGATAAGAAAAGATACGGATAAAGGAAAGCTCAGAAGAAAAAGGGCGGATGAAGGAGGTGCCAAGGAGACACGCAGACAAAGGACAGACACCCATTAGCGGAGTCATCAAGGGTGCAGCGCTTGCCTGCGTGTATCTCCGCGCTATTAATCACTCCAAATGACCAACTTTCCACATGCCTATCCTCTGCTCTTCCAGCCGTGTCCTGTCTCCTTTCAATTGCTACACTAAGAAGAGAGATCAGCACGGATTACTTACCAGCACGAATGATCTCGATTTCGACAGTCTTCTCGGCAGACTTGTTGAAGCGACGCTTGTAGGTCTTTGGGGTCTTGATGGTAGTGGTGAAGAGGGTGTTGATGAAGGTGGTCTTGCCAAGACCAGACTCACCTAAAGGAGGGAAGGAAGCGCGAAAAGATAGAAAGATATAGGTTGCTCAGTAACAGTTGGTTTGGGCATGATGCAAGGACAAGATAAAGCGAGTATAACGCGCAACATACCGCAAACCATCAGGGTGAAGTTGGCGCCACGCTTGGCGACAATCTTGTGGCGCTGGTTAGGCAGGTTGGCAATACCGATGCCTGCTCCGACTTGAACTGGTGCCATGGCTGACAAAGATGGGTTACGCTGGAAAGGAAGGAGTGAGTGGGAGGCTTGAGTGTGCACAGACGTGAACGGCGGTAAAGAGCGTAAAAGTGTCAGAGAAGAGAGGAGGATATATGGGTTGAGGATGAGAGGATGGGATCCGACAGATGGAAGGATGGGGTGGGGGCAAGAAGACAAAGAATCAGATGAAGGAGAGAGGCCATATTTTATGGCACTCTCCTGCTCACAGGCACCATTGCGGCATGCAATTACAGGAAGGTAATATATCAACACAAGTTCCATAATTGCATGAGGCATGTAGCCACTCTGGTTGCCTGCGGAAAGGACCCCATGTTCTCTTATGTAGACGGCCAGGTCTGAGAGGACCCCATTGGGAATGCAGATCATTATCAATATCAGCGATGGCTGTGCTTGTCCGCCGTACCTGTGGTTGCCTGTCGTGCCTGTGTCTTTTTTGTAGGGCCCGCGGGAGTCGTATAAAAAAAAAAAAGAAGAGGCGAGGTCCAACTTCCCGCGTGCTTTTCTTTTCGTCGTTCATAACCCGCCCGCCTTGTCTTTCTCCTCTCTTCCTCCACTCTCGCCTCCTCGACTTCATTCCTTTTTAACCCATTCCCTTCATTCAGGCATGTACTCACACGTCTGTCCAGATTACGATGCTCCGCCTGATCCCTCGGACCCTCTGGCACTGCTGCCAGGCAGCGAATTGAAAGGGAAGAGTAAGTTGTCCACCTTCTTCACACTCGGCGCTCAGACTTCCTTTCAACTGATGCGCTTCATTATTGACCCATGACTCCTACCTGGGTGTTCCTTTTGCTTGGTGTCTCATAGGGCACCTCATTGGATGGGCCATATCAGGGTCGTGTGCGTTTCTAGCGACCGTAATCTCGTTCCACCTCTTGTACAGGCATGCCAAAAACTATAACAAGGTATGGTTTGTGTCGAAAGTACGGGATGGGGTAAGCAAGGGGTACGAATATACTTATATGGTACATGGAGATTCTGATGATGGGCCTTTTTCACACTGCCGGTGCACGATTATCTACCATTTAGCCATCAGAACAGCGTGAGTAAACCGATGTCGACCTTGTGCTGTTTCAATTGCAAGTAAACGTGTTGTTGAGGACTAAACGAATGCTTGTTGCAACGCAGGTCATATTATGAGGATCGTGCTTATGATACCGATCTACGCGATCATCTCCTTCCTCTCCTTCCGCTTCTACAAGGAGGCCATCTACTACGAGACCATTCGCGATTGTTACGAGGCCTTTGTGATATACTCCTTCTTTATTCTTCTGCTTACCTATCTCGGCGAAGACAACGAAGCACAGCGTTCCAAGATCACTGGATCCGATCGCAGGAGGCTGCTCTATCCCCTTAACTGCTTTTACTACAATCCACTCAACGAGAATTTTTTGCACTACATGAAGTACGGCATTCTGCAGTATGTGGCTGTGAAGCCGCTGTGCACTCTGGCGGCCGTAGTGCTAGAGTACTATGGACTCTACTGCGAAACGACGTACGACTTTCATTTCGGCATGGTATACATTACCATTATCAACTTTATCTCTGTCAGTATCGCTCTGTATTGCCTGGTAAGTTCCTCAACTGTGGCGATTTGATGTAACATTCAGTCAGACCTTTTGACCATCTTTCCCATAACATCTCGTCTTGAGTAGGTCCTGTTTTATCAAACAATTAATGTCGAAATCCAAGAATACTGTAAGCGCAATGGCTTGCCCTTGCTGACGAGAAAGGAAGGCAATGGTATAACGATTGGATGAACAGGGAGCTAAGAAACACATTCTTTGTTGGTAGCCCCATTCTTGAAGTTTATGTGTGTCAAGATGGTGGTCTTTTTCTGCTACTGGCAGACATGTCTACTCAGTCTTTTAGGCGCACTTGGTAAATCTATATTGAACATTGGAAAGTATGGATTTATTTTCATAGCTTACCGCCTTTCATTGACTAAAACCTTCCTCTCTCCCTCTCCCTCTCCCCCAGGTGTCTTCAAGCCCGAGGACGGCTGGTCTGTTATCAATGTAGAACTTGGGATATCGTCGATTCTGATCTGTGCAGAAATGGTCGTCTTTGCAATCTTGCACGTTTATTCATTCAGCTATCGACCCTATGTAGTCCCGGGAGTCACAACTCCGCTGACAAAATCGCTTTGGGACGGATTCAACCCATTGGATATGGTCCGGGAGATCATCTGGGCCTGTCAGGACACCGTACTCTTGATCCAAGGAAAGCCATTACCTGTTCGAGACGGACACTTGAATCTAAACTTCAAGTTGAAGCGCGCACACACGATCCGCATCAGAAAGCGAGATCGCTTCTTTAAGAATCGCAAGCCGGCGGCGCCAAAAAAAGTAGATCCCAAGCTGACGACTATCCATCAGAATACTTTGAATTCAGAGAATACTCTGCACTCCACTGATCAAGCGCAACAAGAGCGTGCTGGCCTTTTGGAACATGCTGAAGGTAAACAGTAATCTCAATCATCTTCAACATATACCACCTTTTCTCTTTGCACAAGATCTCTGATATACCTGGCAAATTTAAAATAATAGGCCACAACTACCAGTCGACTTCAGCCGTTTAGGACTGCTCAGGAACAACCGACACCGATACCCTACATGTTATTTATCATCCCCGCTCGAGAATAAACATATCCGCATCATCACGATGATCACTTTCTCTAGAGCAGTTTAAGGATAAGATACTCTATTGACAGACCCGACGAGGAGGCAAGTGCTCATCACACATATGGTGTTTGGCAAGAACACCATGGAGTGAGAACACATCAAGAAAGCAGCAATGTCAAAGGCGCTATCTTGCTATATGTGCCAACCAAGAGGGGATTCTTCAAACATAAACAAGTGGAGACCAATTTCTGAAACAAGCACATGTACAACACAGCAGTACGCGCTCGAGTCGCGTTGAGGATCTTCCCCATTCCGGGGTCAGCGTACGGACAGTTCTACTTTAAAAATTTTCATCAATCAAATGTTCGATATATTGATCAACATCGGCGACAATTATGAACATGAGGCAATGTTTAATGGGTATAGGCGCTGGCATAGTCTGCGTAGCGAGTTTGTGCGTGCAGACAGAAACTTGTTCAATATACCATACGTAGCTTACCCCTGCGGATCAATTCAAGTGAGGCAGCAACGAATAAAGAGACTCTTACTGTGGTAACGACGAAGGCCTGGCCACGGGCTATACATGTATGTCATGGTCACCCACTAATGCACTTCATCCTCGCCCCGACCTTCTTCCACATATTGTAAAGAGCAGCTTTCCTTTTGCTATACTCCTTCCTATCAACACAGGCATTCCATTCTTCTAACTCCTCCGCGATAGACAGATAGCAGCTGAATGAAACAAAAGAACGAGAGCGCGCGTGAAACTTTGTGATGTCGGCAGATCAGCCCATGTAAAAATCCTTAATTAACGATGGGACCTCAACTCCAAATGAACAACCTATAGTTTCAGGAAGCGCCTGTGTTTATATGCATTCTCATATTATTCTCGGAATGACAGTTGACCTAAACCGGCGGACTCTACCCCACCATCAGATCCGGTCTCCATTGCGGACAACGAGGACGACGAGGAGCTACAGCGGACGAACGAGGAAGAGTGCCTTGAGTTGACAGAGAGCACGTCGCTGGATTCTTCCAAGATGGTTGGGTGATGAAACCACACCCGACGGCGCCATGGCGGCAACTGTGCAGGATTCTTAAATTTGGATTACATGCTGCACTTTCAGACTCCGCTGTGCTATGGTTTTGTCGGTTGGACTCGCAACATCATGTCTGTGGACCAAGGATGACATATCCTGATCTACAGAGAAGTGGTGCAGGCGAACATCAAGGACGAGGACAAAGGCTATTTTTACACACGGTTCCAGGATCATTGCTCATCCATTACAGCAGTCAGCAATGATAAGGAGCAACAATTGGAGAGCATGAAAAACGGTTTTCAGATGAGCCTTGAGGAGCCGCAGACGAGTATGGGACAGTTGCAAACGAATATGGAGCGGTTGCAGGCGAATCTGAAGAAGGATCTGAGGTAGGATCTGAGGTAGGATCTGAGACAATTGCAGCAGAGATCGGACAGGGAGTACGAGGCGCTTCAATTCCAGCCAAAGATCTTGGTAGAGCTGCTTCAGTAAAAGAAGTATTGGAGCTCGTTGTTTGCCATGGGTATGATGCGGGCAGCTTGGTTTTGCTACAGGCCCCAGACGCCAGAGTAAATAAATATAACGCATTGTTTGGGGTGCCCAGTACAGCGAGCGGCCTGGCGGAGCCCGCATTCAACGCTCAGCAATTGACATTCACGCGGACATTCTCTAAGCTTCCCTTTACAGCCTGTGTGGGAAGTATATCGATAATGGTCTGGGCAAGATAGTGTTCGATGCAAATGGCATGGGATTCGTTTGTGTTACGCCCACACGCTGCGGACTATTTCCTTCCCACGCATCAATTTTTGTTGCTGTGTGTTGTTTTCCACCATCAGAAGACCGGTTTTTTGATTACTCTCCCACGGGGGCGTGACTCATCTGGCGGTCATTCTTCTTCCTTTTCTTCTTCCACTCCACATCTCATCACAAACACTCCATCAGACTCCATAGCACGACATCAGAAGGGAAAGCATACCAGGAAACACAGCGAGACGCTCCAGAATCAAGACGCACCGCTGCTCCAGAGAACCCTCATCGTCTGGAGACATACATTCCTCTATAGCCAGCACACATAGACACACTCCACTCTACGATGCATCACACTTTGCTCCCAAGGCTGCTCAGAATATCGGACCCCACATCCGTACCCACATCGCTTCTTCAACATCCAGTCCTGAGACCACGCAACACAGCAACTGCAGCCCCACTCGTAGTCCCTGTACGGACTTTGAAGCAAACAGCCAAACACCCCGCTCGCCACCACCGCAATATTAACAGTATCAATGGCAGACCTAATACAGCGTCTACTGAAGGCGCAAATAGCACCGCTGCATATTTAAAACGCAGTCTATGGATCCAGGCCCCGACTCGCAGCAGCAGCAACAATAAGGTCAGCGGCAACTATTACAACTACTATCACTCTGGTACATCCGCAATCACAGCATCGACATCTCATCTTTTGCAGACGATGGATATCCGTGCCCTCAGGACCGCGGCGATGGCAGCGACGAACATGAGGATGGCCCGAGGCTTCTACTCGCAATCTGAACAGCGTGAATTGGACGATGTGGTCTCGTTTTATGACGATAAAGTGACCCAGGTATGAATGAGGACATTATTCACACAATTTTCGCATGATGTCCATTAGTATCCGACTATTTAATTACCTAAGCCCAGGATTGATTCGCAATTGACCTGGTTGTTGTTTTTATTGTTGGAATATGATAGTACGCAAATCAAGAGATCCAGACGGTCACCCTAAAAACGCTTTTGGGCCTGGGACGCTCAGGATTATCACCATCATCAACATCATCGGCAGCAACAGGGTCGTCGGCATCTGTTCAGGATCAGCAAAAGCAACAGAATGCGGCAAGCGATCTTGAAATCAATCTAGATGTGGCGCGGTATGCACGCAAGGAACTGCCGGTTCGTTTGGCACGTTTGATCAAAGCAACGCAGAAATTGCCCTTTATTGTAGGCACGAATCCATACATCAAGCGAGTGTACAAGCTTTATTATGACTCCTTCCAGACACTGACGGTTTATCCGGAGCAGATTCGGAATAAGGAAGAGCTGGATCGATTCGCAGCCTTGTTGCAGGGATTGGTGGCATCTCATGCAGATGTTATCCCGATGCTTTCGCAGGGTATGTAAGAGGGAAAACGGTGGATTTTTGTTGGGAAGGTGCATATGTGCTGGTTGTGTGAATGTATATTGCCATCATTGCTACTAACTGAACTCAATTGGCCTTGGCAATAGGATTTTTGGAATGCAAAAAGTACATGCCAAAGGAAGACATCAAAAAGTTCTTGGACGGAATGATTCGTGCTCGTATTGGCATCCGTCTGATTGCAGAGCAAGCCATTTCCTTGAGAGAACAACGGGAAGACGATAACAACGAAAGTAGCATCAACAGTAAACAGGGTCACCCCAAGCACCAGAGCGATGTCGTGGGCGTAGTTCATACAGAACTCCGACCTGCAAACCTAATCAAAACATGCGCCTCGTTCGTGCAGGAACTCTGCGATATCAATTATGGATCAAGCCCCGAGGTCGTGATCAACGGACAGACTGACACAACTTTTACCTACGTCCCTGTTCACCTCGAATATATCCTCTGCGAGCTACTCAAGAACGCTGTTCGGGCAACGGTTGAACAATCGCAAAAAATTGGACGCTCAGCACTAGATCCTCATGGGCGTAATAGCCAGAATCACACCACACAAGGGCGGCCGTTGTTCTCGTCCGCAGCAACCGCGGGATCTGGCAGCAAGTCGAGCGCAGTGATTGTGAACCAGGACGATGATCAGGACGTAACGAAGCGGCCGAACGAATTTGGTCACCCACCCGTCGAGGTGACGATCGCGCAAGGTGATCATGAGATCACGATTCGGATCCGGGATCACGGTGGTGGTATCTCGAGAGAACATTTTGACGCCATCTTTGATTATTCGTTCACGACAGTTAAGAACGAGAATGATGCGGATGGGTCGATGGATGCAGGCGCTGGAGATTCTCCTTATGGTGTCGATAGCATCTTCAAGGGTGTGAGTCGCTTAGCCATGCAGGCGGGATTGGGTGGACCGATTGCGGGACTCGGATTCGGGTATGTCCTCTAGATTTGTTTGTACTATTGTCCGCATTTTGTGACCTATGACGGCTTGCTAAAGACGATCCAGCTAACATTTTTATAACTGCTCTCTATCCACTTTCCCTTATCTATAGATTACCGCTGACGAGGATTTATGCACAGTATTTTGGCGGAGACATACACCTGGTCTCGCTGCAGGGATATGGTTGCGACGTATTCCTGAAGTTGAAGCAGATTGACGAGACCTTGGAGGATCTTCAGATTTAAGGATCCATCAAGCCATCTCTCACGCTCAGTAGAATATAATATTTGCCTTGTTTATTAGTATCGGTCAAAATATATATTTCACTTTTATGGGTCAACCTTCCGCCTCTTGATACAATTGGCGCCGAGAACATTCACAGCCGGTGCAGACGACGACGCTGTAGCTGCAGTTGGGGAAGCATCTAAGGACACATCCGCTGGGGCAGCTGTTGTAGATACTGTTGTTCCTGTCGTTGATGCAGCTGTAACCTTGCGCTTGATCATACTAGCGCTCAAAACATTGACCACTGAAGCTGCTGTCGCACTTGGGGCCTCCTTGCGCTTGATCAAGTTGGCGTTCAAGACATTGATTACCGGCGCAGCATCTAGAGTCTTGCGCTTGATACACCCGGGTGTCAGTGTATGTACCGCTGGTGTTGTCGTCGTCGCTGTCGTCGATGTTATGTTGCCCTGTTGCGCTGGACATGCAGGAATTTCCTCCGCATGGCGTAAACGGACCTGGGCATGTCCTCGTTGGATCCATGATGGCCATGCAGAGGTGGGCTGTGGAGCGCTGTATGATAGTTGGTCCTTCGCTGTCACCGCAACCTTCTCCTCCTTCTCGCTCTGCTGTTTCTGCTGTTCCTGCTTCTCAGACTCCCTCTCCTTCACGATCTCTTGCTCCTTCTCGGTCGCCCGTTTCGCCCAGATATGGACACGACGGTTCCACAGTCTCGTCGATTCCTGGGCGCTCTCGAGTGTTGAGAAATCTAGTCCAAGCAGAAAATTAATGACTTTTGTATAATCATCCGTCGTTCCTGCTACGGGCACGGAATCCGATGTTGATGTAGTGGTCATCTTCGCAGTCAACCCTTCTTTCTGTTCCTTCTCCCTCTCCGGCCCGGGTTGCTCTCCTTCCTCTATGACACGGAAGAACCCTGTGATCTTGCCTGCGCCACTCTCTTCGCCGATCGCGGCCAATTCCCAGAAGGTATCGATATTGACGAACCCGCCCGCGCAGGAGGGGGACTGCATCATGCGTGATTTCGGGTCATCCGGGAACTGTGGGATCAAGGTGTGCGCCATCTCTTTAGAGCCCTTGTCTGGGTAACCGTAGGTCCATTGGAATGGCGATGACAATGGCGATGATGATGATGATGATGATGCTGTTGTTATTGAGTAAGTGGAAGAGGTTGACTGAATGATATTTGTAGCCTGACGTTCGGTCTCGATGCCGGGGATCAACCACCACCCTTGTACCTTTGTTGGGTCTCGTCGCTTTTGGTCCGGCCACGAATCGTTGCTGTTTATATTGAGGGTGTAAACGGAGTCGATCATATTCTTCCACCATCGGACCAAACCTCGGTCATTCAGAATATGTTTTCCAGTGTTCTTGGCAGATTCTGCAAATAGGTATTGTGGTTGAGCGCGCGCAAAGACATAAAGCGATTTCTTGTAAGGCGTATGATGTCCAGATGTGGAATGATCTCCTGTGGCCCTGTCTCCTGAGGACTGCGATGTCGAAGAAAGTGTCAATGCAGACATCTGCGTGGTCGTCGTACTTCCGATGCTGGAAGATGATATAGTTTTCAGTTCGCTGGATCGCATGGCCCTGAGATATCCGTGGACCAGGGCTCGGACGGGGCTACTGACTCCCCGTGTGTCGAGACCTGGTAAAGGCCAACATCCTGAAGTATCGACCTTTGCGATGTACACGATCGACTCCGCTGGCTGTCTCTGCTGCTGTGTCTCGGTATTTTCGTCGTTGGTGCTGTTATGGTCGAGTGGGAAAAGTGTGTACTCGAGGACTTCTAGACCCGCCACGAGGACCGCTCCGTCCCCGCCCTTGGTATGTTCCACCTTGTCGTTCTCCTCTTTCCCAGCCTCGTCTTCATCGAGCTGCTGTTCCTTGCTCTTGGAACCGACAGACACAAGGATGAGTCGCTCCTGAACGGTGATTCGCCGGTATCGCTGCTTCTGCACACGGGGTGGGAAGAGTTTGGTACATGTCCGGGGGAGTGTCAGGAAACTGTTGAGCCGAAACTCGTACTCCTGAACCGATTCGGTCTCGTCCTGCTGTTGTGTCTGCGCATCTGCACAAGTCCTCGTGTGATTAACCGTCGTTAGGAGTTCATGAGCAATGGCGCGCAACACTGGATCGCTGGCTTCAAGGCGATCTGTTTTGGACATCGTGCTGAAGGAATGAAGCTTGCATGTAAGGGTAAGACTTTTATTTTGGATGGCAGGAAACGCGTGTATAAAAGAAGCGTTGTTTTGATGTAAAGCGCCCGCCACAGCTCATTGGCCAACGCAAGACGCGTCCAGTGATTCAGGGGCAAAAAAAATATATGTATAAATATCGACCGTGCGTCGATCGTGAAGATCTCTTTTTGGTCCTTCCTAAGCTATCTGTAACTGCATATAAAGGACAAGCAATTCTATACGAAAAATGGAAAAAGAACTAGACACTCAGCATTTTTTTGGTACTAAACAATAAAAGAACTGTACAAGCGAAGGATTCATAATGAAAACACGCTGAGAAACAAATGAGACAAATAAACAAGCAATTGCAATCGAAGGTAGGTGGTATACGTGGCAGCTTGCAATACTAGAATACAGTAAACAGGGAAAGCAGCCTTGATAGAAAACATTAACCATAGGTGGTGACAATCTGAGCCAGGTGCGCAAGTCCAGACATCTCCTCACTTGGCTCCTGCTTATCCGAAGGTCGACTTCTCTTGGCAGATGGTGCAGACACCGAGTTCGACGATGCCGAAGAGACGGAAGTCATCGAGGACGCTGATGACACAATTGAAGACCGTGTCGTCGATGACATGTCTTCGTCTTCGACAGCTGCAGCAGCACTATGGTAATGAGACAAGTAGCGGGACTGGGGCTCCGTACGGCTGTCACGGTGCTCGCCGCGCTGTTGATGATTATGGTGGTGGTGGTGATGCTGCTTATCTTGTTGCAAGCAATCATGGATAGGATCAAATCGGTGTTTCGTCGGTGTGTGTGGCGTTGACTGAGGCAAAGAAGAGGCTACAGCATTGAGATGACCGCCTTGAGTTTGGTCAAACGCCTTTCGATCTTGGCCATGGACCGACAAAGGAGGGAGCTGATAGTTGCTATGAGGTTGATTCGGCTGAGCATGGCCAGCATGCTGTGCGTTACTTTGGCGTTGAGGATACTGGTACTGGTGTTGGTGTAGCCCAGAAGATGCCTGGGTCTGATACTGTTGAGGGTACTGCTGCTGTGCGTGCTGTTGCTCGTGATAGTCGTGGTGGGAATAGTAACGGTTATGCTCGGCTGAAGGTGCCACGCCTTCCATTCGCTCAACGTCCTGCGATTGAGGCGATGTGGGGGAGGCGAGAGTCGAGTCGGATCGGTGGCGGATACTGGGAGATTGAGAGCCATCGACGCCATATTTTTGACGCGTATACAGGTCATGCTGACGAGACGCTGAAACATGGGGCATCGGTGGCACATAAGCCGGCTGCTGATGGTACACCGGTGCCTGGGCAATCGTTGGTGTCAGCGGCGAAGGTAGTGTGCCTTGCGCGCCGATCTGTACCTCGCCTTGTCCATGCTGGTGAGCCGTCGACACCGCCTGGACATTGAAATGAGGCATAGGCGTATGATGCTGGTGCGTCTGGATAGTACCCGAATTTTTGTGCCTAAGGCCGCCGCTATTGCTACTACTGCTGCTGTAGCTCTCTGAGGAATGACGAGCAGCCTCGAATGCATTTCCGCTCCTATCAAATGGATTGAATCTTGGCGGCGAGCTTTGTCTTGAGCCCTGTCGAGAACCGCCCAGTTTGGCAATGTGCTGATGCTGCTGTTCATGCTCTCCCACGTAGTGGCCAATTACTGGGCTGTGCTCTCCACCTAGAACAAGTGTCTCTTGAGAACTATTAGCCATGCTGTCCAAGCCATGGCCCTCTTGCTTCTTAGATGCACCGCGGCGTGATTTTGGAGAGATGTGGGTGCGGTAGTGCTGCATCATGTTGTCTTGACGAGAGAACTTGCTGGGGCACCCGGGCATGAGGCAAGCGAAATTACGTTCGCCAGTATGGATCCTGTTATGGCGTGCAAGGTGGCCACTAATCGAGTTCGTTTTGGGAACAAAAGAGCATATCGAGGTTAGAGATGTTAGTCTATTGTTTACCCCGAGACGGTGCATAATACAAATCATGCAAAGGTGCATTAGTGAGTATGATACGTACCTTGTAGTGAAACACTTGTTGCAGCCTGGAAAAGAGCAAGAGTACTTGCGTTTGATAACGTTGGTTCCGGATGCATTTGCCGAGTTAGGGTCAGACATCCGCTGACAAGACTCTGAGTCGTCAGAATGATTATCCTCCGAATAAGATCGCGAGAAGGGGTATGTGGGCGATGCTACCGAGGCTGGTGAATTGGACGAAGCGGCTGGCCGAGCGGATGTTGAGATTTTTGGTGATAAGGCCGAGCCGCTGCTGAGACTTCGGCTTCGCTGTGAGGCCGCTAACATACCCTTAGGTGATTTGGAATTCGCCATCTCCAAGCTGGAGTAGATAGGCGTGGACGCATTGGTGAGGGATGACGAACGGCCTGCCTCGAAGCAACTTTCTGGGTGAAGTTTACTATCTTCGCGCTGTTGATTTTGTTGGTGGTGACGGAGGGGCTGGAAGCGTGGTGGGCTGTGATGCGAAACTTGTGTGTGCTCTTCTGAGGGGGTATCTCGACGGCCAAAGGCGCCTTGGGGATGAGGCGACTCCACGAGGGGTAAGCGTGGTGAGGGTTGGTGTCTCGGAGATGAGCAGTGTTCGGTAGAGCTATCGTTGAGGATGCTAACTTTTGCGCCCGTGGCATTAGTGATGGACAGACCTGCAAGACGTTTCGATTGCTGGTGCACAGCGGAATCTGCTTCAGAATGGCTCATTGTGGATGTAGAGAGTTCTGGAGACTGGGGACGGGAGCTGGAGCGGGCTGGATGTTGAGCCTGGTGGTTCACAGGGCTGGGAAAGGAATTTGAATAGGAAGAAGTGGAAGGGGCAAGGGGAGTCGCAGCGCTTGACATGGTCTGCTCTATTGACCAGGGTTTTTTTGTAAGGCGTTGTACGGGATTATCCAAGACCAGAAGAGGACGGAGAAAAAAAAAAGAGGGAGATGAAATGTGTAGGGTCTAGGTCAAATTCGAGGGTTGTCAGAAGAAGAGATATCGGCCTTGTCGCTGGACTAGAAAGCGAAGAAAGAGTAAAGACCTGGTTAGGGACATGCTGCAACGAGGGTGATGGTGGTGGGGCAGCAAGTACTGCAGTCTACGGAGGAATGTCTGAGGAAAACCAATCCACCAGTTTCTTCATCCAACAAGTAAACAAATAAGTAAACGTAAGCGGGGAAAGGAGTTTTCTTATTGCGTTCATGGGAAATGAGAACCACCAGAGTTTTGAAGAAGGGAAAAACGGGGCTCAGGCACAAAAAGATAGAACCAAGGCTCTAGAGGAACCAACATGGCCCCTACTATGGATTGTGTTCTAATCCGCTCCTGGGACCTGGACATTAATAAGAAAAAAGCTCCAGCTGGAATTGAAAGAAAGAAAGATAGTGCTGGAGCTGGAGAAAAAAGTAGATTGTATGCCACAGATACTAGTTTAGCGGAAGATAATGTTGTGCAGGGAATAAAAGGATCGCCTGCAAGAGGGGGGGGTCAAACGGTAAAGATAACAAAACAGGGTGGAAGCAATTGCAGGCGTTGAGGGTGGAGTGTGAGAGGGAATGTGAGAGGGAAGATGAGAGTGCTGTGCTGTGTTGCAGTGCGAGAGGAGGGAGGGCAGGAAAATGAAATGGCTCGTGTCCCAAGCGAGCACAGGAGTCATTAAAAATAACTTAACAGGGGTGGTTAAGACTTAAGGCAACCTGGCCATTTTAATTCATTTCAAAGTTGGGGTTAGGGATACAAGGGCAATTGATTCAATACAATGTATTCTAAACCCATCAATATATTCACACTCTGCAAAAATAAAGGCCAACTCTCCGGGGGTAGTATGCTCACGTAGGGGGAAGGAAACAACACAGAATTGCAGATAGATAGATTAAAAGAAGAATACTTTTTTCTTCTCTTGCTTTTGCGCCTGCTGTGTTTCTGTAAAATCGCTGTAGACGGGTAGACGACTGCAGGAGAACGCTGACCAAGACAATCAAAAAGGGTAGAAGAGGACAGTAGGGATAGAACGAAAGACAGGAGGACGTGAATTAAGAAAGAAAAAAGAATGGAGGCAAGGAAAGGTTGATTGCTGGCTATATATTTTATAGTGCTACCAGCAAAGACTCGGAAAGTGTGCTAAAGACCATTATCTACTCCATCCATGACAAGGTTGGCAATTGCTGTCTTCCTTACATATACCGCGGCAGGAATACACAAAAGGCTGGTGCGAATCGGGATCGTGATGTGCCTCGTCTCCAGTTGAGAGGGATAATTAAGTTGTGTAGAGAGGAGAGAGAGAGAATACGGAAAGTGATAATGGTGAAGTTGGAACGGACAAGTGTCTAGGGAAAAAGGGAAGCAGGAAGGTGGTCTGCCGGGGACACGAAGGACAGGACAGGGAGGTGTGGAATGAGGATGAGCCAGATGGTGGGGTGAACACTTCTGGGTGCAGAGGATGGGGCGGTGTGGCAGGGTATGGGCTATGGGGGATGACCTGAAAAGAGAAAGAGCGCGGGGAGGGAGGGAGAGAAGGAGAGAAAGAAAGAGAAGGAAAGAAAGCAAGGGTGAGAACCAAGGAAAAGGGAAGGAACTAAAGAAAAGAGCAGCGAGAAAGACAGGGTTTTAAATACAATGATTACTGTTACCGAATAATTCATATTGAGTCGCACCTCTACTGTTTGTTCACTTACACACTCCAATTCAGTTGGCCTTCAATATAAACGAGTATGTATAATATGTATTTAGGCCATATGTCCCATAGTCCATCGACCCTAATGTGCCTGATTGTCGGCCATGTTCACATTATTCACATTGACGGGCGAACGGATGATTGCGCGGGAGGGGAAACGGACACACAAGCCGTTCCTCACTCCTCTCCCATTCCCTCTCTCCCTCTCATTCCCTCTCTCCTCTCTTACACGCACACGCCAATCTCTTTCTTTCTTTCATCCCTTCTCGCTCTCTCGTTCGCTCGCTCTCTCCTCTCTCGCCAGCACATTTGATTGCAAAACTGTTGCAGTTGCATATTTTGCATATTATATCAATCCATAGTCTACGCGCCTGGCCTTGGGTGTATAAGCAGTACAGTGCAGCTTAGCACTTTTGTGGAGGAGACTTGTACAGCTAGACCAGGCCTTGTCTTCCTTTCTCGCAGGAGACTTGATGCTGTGGCATGGATTGACAAACGGGCCATGAACTCGACCGAACAAGCAAAAATCGGCGCTGATGATGTTTAGCCCTGCAGTACCAAGAAGAATGAAAAAACAGTGGACAAACACGCACAAACACATACAAACACACACACAAACACAAATACAACGAGCAGAAGGACACACAAACGCTACCCGTGTAGGAGAGACAGACAGGGTCCTCCCTCCGACTCTCTTTCTCCGACTCTCTTTCTCCCTCTGACCACGCTTACTTACGTGCACCCCTTCACGGACTAGATGCTCCGTCTATCCTGAAGTCTGATGTCAGCAAGAAGAGGATAAAAAAACCCACCTTTGTTACCCCATCGTAGGTCACCATGCATCTTCCCTTACTCTCTGTCATTTCGCTATATCCATCATCTGCGGATAATTTACACGGGTCTCTGTAGCGAGCCTGTGCCTCCTCCGTCTCTTTCTGCCCGTACAGGTATCGATTGTTAATTACAAAGACTTGTTAACGGCGCCTGAACCGGCTTCTCATTCCTGCTGTGCCCAATGGCCGTCTTAAAATGCGCCTTTCTGGTCCCTGTATGGCCAATGCAGAGTGTGCCCTTCGCTTTACAAATACCTGCATCCTGTCAGAATGGAAGAGGAGTCCGATATCTCGAGACCAACTGGGCCTTGTGTGTAATTCTATACTCTCCTACATAGATTGATGATCCTTCCTCCTCTGACCTTTTGATCCTTTGACCCTTTCTCTTTACGCTGGAATCTTGCTTCTCCGCTCAATTTACGTGGCATTCTGGCGTGTCATCTCCAGTTTACACATTGACCGTTCCAACAGACCCTTCGATTGCATCCCTTTATAACATCGTGCTCTGGGTCTGATTTGAACTTGACGATCCTTCGCCATCCCCTCTAACTCTTCTTTCCAGAAATAACAGTATAGCAGAATAGAGACGGAAGCTGACTGTGCTTGAAAACTTTGTTTTTCTGGTGTACGATGGCTCTCAGTCCTAATCCCAGGGATGCGTGCAAATATCTCCTTAGTCAATGGTATTCATGTGTCCAACCCAAGTTTAAAGCGTGGGGCCATTTTTTTTTCTGGCACGATTAGCGGAGAGGCTGGGGCGGTAGTTTCTTTATGCAAAAGTCGACTTGCCTTCAGTCGAAACCGTTTAAAAGACTCCTGCCATTAACTTCTGAAAATTAATCGCTCAACTGGCACCGGAATTTACCTCCCCGTTCCTGGTCATTCGTCACCGAGATGAGCATCGGCGCATGTACCCGTGTGCTCATGCTTCATATTGACCTAATACATGCACATCAAACCAAGCCCGCAAGACATACACGACATCCTGCTTACTATGAAGGTTGGCCTGGTCGCTTTGTCTAAATTAGTCCACTGCTGCATCCTATTTTTGCGTTTGGTCTGAGAATGACAAAGCGGCCACCATTTATCTCATGAAAAGTGCTATAGCAGCATCGAGCTACACGTGAACATACGCGCTCTCCATCTGTTCCTTGAGAACTGGCGCCGGAAGCAGTACTCGTCTATATGATAGGTCAATCCCATCCTTGCTTCGCTATTTTATCAATTTGTGTCTCCCAACCTCCCGCCCTGCTTGTCTCGTGTGGGTGATTACCTGCACGTTAAAAAAAAAGAGGGTTCAATTCGAAACGGTCTTTGAATGCTATCCCAACGTACATGGCGGATTGCGTTATGGAGGCTGTCCATGAACATGTAGGGCACTAGACAGATGGACTGACTGACGGGAACAGGTCCCTGGACGTGTTGGTGAATGTATCAGGGCAGGATGGGTTGCTTAACGTTCAATACCAGCTCACGATGGCGCCCTTATGCCTGCCTCATTTTATCGTTGAAGTCGATATTTCTGCTAGTCTACTGTGCCCCTGGAGATGGATTAAATAAAAATAGTCTTGCATTTAAACCTGTACTTGGAATACCACACTGTCTATATCTGAAGCCCCTTTGTGATGTCATTTGTAGCGTGTTTGCTGGGTGAAGGTGCACTTCCAGTGCCAGCTTAAAACACACTGGAGATTTATTCATCCAGCAGATGCGGTCTAGATCTCGAAAGGTTTAGTCCGAGTTGATCATTCGCCGTGGCGATCGTCTGTAGGGTGGACCGGGTGTATAATACTCTCAGAAGAGTCAGCAGAGCGGACAAAAAAAATGGTTATGGTCCTGGTACTATAGCCAAGCAACAAGGTACCCACTTTGCGGTTCGCAGCATGATGATAGTGATGGGGGACAAAGATGGAACCAAAAAACATGGCAATGTCATACCATCACGCACACTCCTTTCCTGTAGCATACACTAGCTAAAGAAACGGAAGAAACTAGATGTGGATGATAAAAGATCAGACAGGATGTCAGTCACCTCGTGGTTGTATGTTTGTTTATCTCTGGGGCGATAGATCTTCCTGTTCTCATACTGGAGCGGAATTTGTAGCTCCACAACAGACTTCCCCCTCTTGCTAGGCTAGACCCAAATTTTATTTGCAACCTACTGCATGGCCGATCGCCCTGTGTGTGGGCGTTAGACTGCTCCTCTGAATCGGCGACAGTGACGATGATGGAGGAAGGACAAAACGAGGGGACACTAAACCAAAAGTGGTCAAGGCTGATGTACTCGTCGCTGTACCTGAGCAAGAGCACAACTTTGAGTTTCACTCTTCGTCTTTTCTAAATGTATCACACCTGTACCTGTACCACCATGTCGATGCAGTCAACGGGAACGTGTACTACTCCTGTGGATTTGCATAGGCACCATATTCCTGGCATGCAACGTCGAGACCGTTTCTTATCCAGTCTTCTGCCCTCACTCTCTGATTCCCGCTTGGCGTCAGGCCAGGACTGACGACAAAGTCCATATCCACTACTCGGCTGACACGTCCGGACAGCCAGAAATTGAGGGAAATAAGGGAGCCTTCACATCCTGAGCCAACCATCCTCTCTGTAATGCATCCTGCGTTCAATACCTGGCTCTTAGCAGAATATTTCCTTTTTCGCAAGAATCCAGCACCGCTGTGGGACTCTTCTTCTCTCTTTCTCTGTATGGCGACAGCTTCATTCGTCATCTTATCACGGTTATTTAGATGGCACCAGGATCTGCATGATGGATATGTATGTAGTTTTTTTTATCTGCTGCATCGTACATAGTCAGCATTTTGTTCCGCTACACCATTCCTTGTTGACAAAGAGTTCTTCCTTTGCGGTAAACGAATGGGTTTAATTTTATCGGCTCATTTTACCTCCTGCACGACACAAACCTGCACCCATCTTCATACAAACATTAGCCATTATTAGTAGCGCATGGTCCCTCCTTATGGCGAATTGTTCTGTTCCATGAAATGCAGCAATATCATCCAACAACCTCCTGTGGCGTGCATTAATCCAGCTGTGAATTAAAAACAAGAGCAGGTGAGGAATAAGCAAACAAGATAATCGCAAAGATCATTCGTTGTTGTATAGAATAAAACGCACAGAGTGTGTGGAATGTGAGGCAACAAAGAAGGCATTCTTGAGTAAAAGCAGCCAGAGAGACGAGAGCCACACCATTGAGCGACATGCAGAGGTCAAGATAAAGTTAATTAAGGTTGCAAAATGAATCAATCTATCACACAAAGGCGATGGCAAATGCCAGGAGAAGTTGACAAATATCCGAATGCGGTACAAGATCCATGAGTCGTGCCATAGCTGCCTGAATATGGATTGGCCAGAGTCAAATACCGCAAAAATCTATGTAATGAGCACAGGAACAGTCGGTTGTATGGCACTATAGGGACATCAACAATCTCACTGTATCCTTTCCAGGCTCTCTCATGAGCAATCGATTTGCCAGCAGTGTCGACTTTGCGACGGCATGGTACCATAATACCCTCGCGAGATCGACGAACATGTGGCGTATACAGGTACGTTGGGGCGAGCGATCCGTTATCTAGCTGCTTCTCGACGCCGGATCTCATCCAAAGTTCTTGCGAATGATCTTCATTGTCGATACGATGTCTTGCGACTAAACTCTGGCCGCGGGGTGTTTTCGCTAGGCTTTCTATTCCACAAATCAGAAGACTGTGGCTGCATTAGCTTCACGCCTTATCAGGTACTCCAGACGGCTGCCACATAGTTCATCCAAACTAAACGCCTGCGGGTCCTGACTCTTTCCCTATCAGATAGAGCATCCTTAGCAGTGGGTGCGCTTAAAAAGATGTCGCTACGATTAGCAGCCGAGGTGGGTTATGACTGGTTTGATATTTTGTTCATGTTATCATAGGACTAAGAGCCGCTGGACATCCGAAATCAGGGGAGCATGACTAGCTTCTTCGTCACCTTGTACTCCGTTGCTGAACCTGGCTTCTCCAACCTTGTGCTCTTCTACTGACTACATGTACACATAATTGAACAGATTGTTGCTCATTATTTATTTGCATGATTTGTGTATTGAGCACACTAACCTTGTAGTATCTTAGCCTCTTTTTTTCCATAACCATTCGCTTGGGTTCTGTAGAGGCGCTTTTCTCCTGTGATTGTGTGAGTCTTTGCCACTCCCTGGATACAGCACAGCGCCATAAAACCCTGCTCCTATTTTCATTTGGACTTGGAGCACTTAATCAAACTCTGCACACCATCATGCATACAAACACGTACCCCGTCTTGAAACTAATGTAGTCCCTCAAGTTTATCCACAAAGTTTATCCACTCATCCATGATGACTGATACTAGACTATCTTGATGCGTGTTTTTAATTCAAGGGGAAAGGGGAGGTGTAGTCTATGATGTCCTACAACTTATAGTTGAAGCGTTAGTAATAAACTACCAGAGCACCGAAATGACTATTCTATATCCGTCTTCATCTTATCATAATCCCCTCTTCACTTTGGAGGCCCTCGTAGCATCGTTCTCGGCTGTTGAGAACTTGAAGTTGACTCTAGTGCCTGCTGACTGGCGGTGATAGTAGTGCTGGTAGCACTAGGATGGGGAGTAGCTCACAGAAAAAACACGGGCTGGGCTTGTTGGACTTGTTGGGCTTGGACTTGTTGGGCTTGGACTTGCTGGACATTCTGGCTTTCGTATGCCACTCGAGGTCAGGGATAAAAATTATATTTTGCATTGAAGCATGGTTCTGCAGGGAAAGTTGGGATTCCAGGAGAAGGATTGACAAAGTCAAAGGTGTGCAATAGCGAAATGAAAGCGCATTGCAAGGTAGGGAGCGATGGGAAGTTGCCAAATGGTGCGGGTTTATAGGCATTAACACATGCATGCACTACCAAGAACGCGAAGCCTTCTGTTTCGGCAGGCCTTGAATGATGGGGGAAGTAAGAGGACAAGGTGTGATTGATATATCTCTGTCTATGGTTAAGGCTAGCTCGCGTCAAATCTTTTATTCGTGCGTACAGAATAGACCCTGCGGAGTAATCAGCTTGACGCGTCTTCTGCCTCCGTTGCATTATCTTCTGAACTGAGAGAGATTGACAAAGCAATGGATCGCTCAAAATAGCCAACTTCCATGGTTTTGGTTACAGTAGGATTCGGCCATATACACAAGCATGGCATCCTTATACTTGTCAGACCGTCGCTCTTGAAGGTAATGCCGCCTCTTGGCCTTGATATCCTCGGTCTCGACAAAATTCCTAGTGTTCCTGACATCCTGATAACGGAAATCCATTTCTTTATCAACAAGCGAACCACTTCCTTGATTGGAATCTTGAATTAATCCGCGAATAGCGCCTTGATATGGTTAAAAAAGACTCTAAGGTTAATAGGTTGTCCCTTGGTGTTCATTTCCGTTGCGATTCCTCGAAGGTCTGAAGCAAACGAGTGAGAACCTCATGTAATAGGCCGTTTGTATAAAAGGGTCCGATGTCGTAACAAGTTTCGCGTTCTCTTTTTTCCTTGCTCCTCTACAGACACCCTTTTTCCTAAAGGCCGTTTATACTTTTTGATTGAAACGAACATATTGCTGGGAGGCGTGATCTTTCGCAATTCTCTGATCTGGCTCTGCAATAGCTTGGCTTTCTTCTGCAGCTTCTCAGTCATCTCCAAGGTCTCCGAGGCTATTGGCTCTTCTTCTTCCTCCATATCATTGGATAGAGTTTCTGAAGGAGGGTCAAGGCAGGGGCGTTTTCTTGAAGTCCTCGTGGATGATTTGTCCGACGAAGTAGCATGGGCTTCAGACAAGGACATGGCTTTGGCAACCTGTATATCGTAGTCGTCGAAGCCATCTTCCACAGCATCCAAGGTTTCCATGAGAAAATGGTTTTTGAGAAAAACGCTCGCGGCTAGTGTAAGCAGACTGGTGCTTGAGAAGGCAACGGCGTGCTCCGGTGTGCAAAAAGTTGATTCCAGTGGTGATGAAGAAGAGATGACAAAATTTTGTAGCGATATAGATCCTTCAAAACAAACGATGGAAACGCGCTGTAAAACCCTGCCATCTAAACCCAATGGAGTCCTTAGTGACTTTGTAGAGCCGGGGGGGATAGCATTCGTATTGGAGGAGTGTTTTTTTTGTCGCGTACAATCCAATTATCCTTGGTGGGTCTTTACATGGACAGACGCGCGTAAAAGGAAATAGAATAAAAATAAAACCACATCTTACGCCCCACTGAGGGAAGCAGGACGATTTTCACAAGGAGAAAATTCATTCCGAATATTTTTAAGTTGTAAAAGGATTCAGCATGCGATACACGGCACCTCAAAATAAGAAAACTGTATGGCAATGATCCGCAGCGACTGGGTAAGCAACAACGATGCGAACCTGAGCTCTCAAACCCTAATTTTAAGAAAAAAAAGTAGTGGAGCAGAGATATCGCCATGTTGGTGGCTTGATTTGTATCCAGGGATAGATTGTTTTTTTTTTCCTGTGAATAGGTGGAGAGCCGGGCGTCATCTTCACACACTCATGTCTCAAATCGCCCTTCCCCTTTTTTTATCAATATCAAACTCAGGATTCTGTTGGCGCTAAAAAACTGTCGGTCCTGAACTCAATGATCACAACTGCGCCAACAAGTATCCTCCTTCGTTAGTCGATATTCATATCCATCCCGCCTTTGGCAGATAGCTGCATGAGAAGATCGCTTCTCTTTTTTCTTTTTTTGCAACTGCCGTCGTAATTGCTTATTCAAATACGAAAATCAAAAGAAAGCAAACTCCGGGAAAAAAAAAAGCTGTGCGACAGAACTGAGATTAAAAGACAGAAAGAGCCCGGTGTTTTAAATAAACGGCAAAAATAAGGTAATTGCCGCAAAGTTAAGGATCCAAAGGGTAGCCTTTTTCATCTTGATCCATCTAGTACAGTCGGAAGTGCACATTGTGTCTGCGAAGGCCCTCCCTGACGAGAAATATCCTTTTCTAGACAGTAATAAGGACGGATTTCGACATGAAGATCTTCAGCCCAGGATTTTTTCAACGACGGCTGAATGACAAAAGAAAAAAAAAAGCTTCACACGCTGTTAAAAGGAGATGTCTTGATAAATAACCCCCTAGATTTTTAGTGTAAAGTGATCTCCTTGTAGTCTATCTATCATCAAAAATACAGTTGCCGTTATTTTGGAACAAAGTGGAAGGCATATCTTGAACCGGGAAAGAAAACCCTGGCAGTATTTGGTTTCTCGGTATTTTGTCTCTGAATTTCGCCCCTCTGTCCTATTCTGTGCCCTTGCAGCTCACTTCCAGGGTTCAGGTTTAGAGTGGCGTCAGCTGTGCGTACACATGTGGGCGTATTCTAATCTATGACATGGCAGTCTGTGAGTGAATTATGTTTCTGTGGAGGACGCACAGGCGTGCAAACCTATCAAACCAAGCGATACAAGACTGCTTTACAAAAAGCGGGGGTCTTTGCTCGAATGCTGAAAGTGCCTCTCTTTTTGTGCGCGTTTTGTAGTCTCTCTTTTTTCGCAAAAGCGATACAAAGCTGTAATTGTTTATTGCACAAAGACGAATTATGTCGGCGTGCGATCTCGCTTTAAAGAGAAAAATTATCGTTGTATCGTTGTATCGTTGTAGCACGGCCGATGGCCTTATCGGTTATGCCTGTTCAGCTCTTTCAGCATCTCAAGATACTTAAAGCTCTTGAAGATGAAAGATTTGGGAGGATATACTTTGATTTTACGCCTTAGCGCGGTGAGGATATGCAGCACCATGCACAGTTTTGACCATCCCAAGAGGCGGAACCACGCTCGCCTTATATGCACCATAGCCCATTGTAGAGGAAATTCAAGGATATCGTTACACAGCTCCCCGAGCTACCAACCTGCCTAGATACATCAATTGGGTCTTAGTAACCTTTTCTTTTTGGTTTTGAGAGGTACCTGTTGTCCTTTAATGGTTGTTATCATCAGGGGCCAAAGTCTCACACGTATATCTCTCCGCGGACGGCTTTTACACACTTCATGAAGTTTCATAGAGCCCCCTCTTTGAGTGCATTATCATAAGATGATGGGGTTCAGTCAGCTCATTTAGTGTTGTTATCGTATGTGTAACAAACGAGTATATGTGTATCTTGAATCAGACGAGCCAAGTTGTAATTTGCGTTTGGGGCAGCTCGCATATGCTCTTCCATCACGATTCGGGTGGCTCTCCGGGACAAATGAGGTAGAACTCTTTCTGCTCGACGCGTTATTCTCAGAAATGACGGGCTACTTTATCGATTTCTTATTTTATTTTGGTTCTTGGGAATCTGTACTACGTGAGCCTTACAGGTATCGAAAGAAAATAAAAAATAAACGAACAAAAGCGATCCTGATCTGGCGATAGCGGCGTAGCCAAAGAGGCTTTCTGATATGAAGCTAGAATATAAACGTTGATAGACACTCTCAGCAACGTCGAAGGAAACTCAGGTGAGGAATGATGGAGGTCGTTTGGTGAATTTTTTTCATACCAAAAACGCGTTCAAAAATGAAATTGCGGTAAAACGTGATCTGACTGTCTTCTCTTGTTTTGCCTTGGCAGTCATACATGGAGAACATCTAAAGCGACCACCACTCTCACCACCGCCAGTCCTCAACTACCAGCAACATCCGTGTCTTTCTACATCGCCACGACTGATGGCTGCACACACGTCTCGCCGTGGCGGGAAGACCGTGATGGAACTCCCATACAAGGTAATAACCTCAAATGGAATGGAGCATCAGCATTACACAAGGATGACCTCGTCAGGCTGCAGATGGGGTTTAATGTGTCCAGGGCCCAGCAATGAGCGTTTTCGGCTCAACCCTCCGCCATCAATCTTTCCAACGTACTTCTTGTTCTGAGGCCCACATTTGACTTTATGCTTTGTTTGCAGCTAGGAGATTTACACTGGGCAGCTGACCACAAGAGTAATGAGGAGGGTATCTACTGTTATTGCGGAAGGAACAAGGCTTCGTAAGTCGCGATGTATTTTGAGCGATATCCTGAGGTCTCTATTTCGCATGTAGGAATTTAACTGTGCCTAAAACACCCTGACCCCACACTAATAGAGACGAGCCGATGCTGCCCTGCCAAAGATGTGGTCAACTTTTTCACTCTGGTAAGGCGGGGTCGTTTAATCAGACAACATTTTGCGTTTATTATCGCCAATATTCAGGATACTAATGAACGCGTTTGATATTCTCGCTCCTCTAGGCTGTGTATCTTGCTTGACACGGCCGTTGTTAAAGGGGGATGAGTTCTTCAAGTTTGAATGTTCTGTATGTACGCAAGGCCCAGAGTTCTTCGAAAGGGCCGCCCTTAGCTGGTAAGCGAAATAGGCTGCTCGCTAAATCTTTGGTTGGTTCTAAGCAACATATATTGACCTCAGACTTTCGATTATCATGATTTCAGGGTGATTTTGGTTCATTTGGTTCTGTACAACTTGATGGATACGCATCCTGAGCAACAATACTTTCGTTGGAAGGAGGAAATCTGCAAGTTTATTGATGACTATTGGTCGTACTTATTGCCGGACAAAGAGCGTAAGATGTCTTCGCCCCATTTTTTTTAATATTAGATGGGTGATCCGTATGCCTTTATCGTACCCACTGACGTTTCATCTTTGGTTAAATAGAATCTCCTACTTGGAACAACACCGTGGCCAGCGTCTTGTCCGTACAAAACCATATATTTTTGTCTGGAGTGGAGACTAAGGGGGCATCAGGTATGGCAGGCACTCTTCAGCCTTGAAAGATGGTATTATTTTCTCAGTGTACAGGACTTAACCAATATGTTTTTCCGTGTTAGGATGGTGGACATTGATCGAAAAGGCTCCGCCAGACAGGAATAGAAGTAAGCAAACCGTTTAACCATCGACTGAGGCATTGAGCAACGAAGAAAGATATTTCTAACACCATGCCCTTCTTGTATCTATATTTATGTAGAATTGAAACCAAAGAATAAGGCATCACAGAAGCCTGGCACTCCTAGAGTTACGGGCCAAAAGAACAAGGAGAAAAAAACGCGCGCGAAGGGCACACCATTGAAGAAAAAGACAAAATTCGACGAGACCTCCTCGGACGACGACTTTCACACTTCGGCCAAACCTAGACCTCAGTCATCGGCACCAACGACCAGGATCAAGGTAGAGCCCTAGTTCGGCCTTTGAACTCGATTACAGTCTACCAGCTAGTGCCCTGGGTAATAAATTGTGGTCTAATCATGGTAACGCCGACTGCCTTTTCTTTTACTTGTCATCAATAGAACCGTCAATTTTCACTTTCTTCAGGATCTTCGCTATCTTCGGCGGGTGATTCAGATGATTCTCTGGATGATGATAATTTCTGGAAATCAGACGATGAGAAAGAGATCCGACCGCTTGTGCATCTCCACGGCATCCCTGCTTGTATTCATCACCATTTCAACCCATCAGGACTGGATTTTTCTGGAGGACCAATTCATCTGGAAGAGATTTTCCGGCTCACGGATCTCATCGACGAGAGATCTCCAGGAAGGCTGATCCACCGAGTGAACAGCCTTGGGAAGATGTCGATCGGTGGCAAAAAGAAGAAAAGGAGGTCAAGTGCGGGCCTCTCTGCTGATTCAGGAGCGTTCTCCAGATCTGACCCGACCACGGAGAGCTTTTCATCAAACGATACCACAGCAAACCCCACACCAATATTGAAGCTCCAACTGTCGCCCGCGGACGCGGCCCCTAAACCCCCGCCGGCATTGACGCTTCAACAGCTACAGAGACAGCAGGAATGGCACATTTTGCAGGTTATCGAGGACGCATCTAAAACAAAGGCATTGCCCACTGTCGCAGCCAGATTCAAGCGGAAACTGCATCTGAAGAGATTAAAGGCGTTCTTGCATCTGCCTCTGTTTGACATGGAAGGCTATATGCGCCAGCACCTCACCTCGCCCCTGGATCTGACGCCACTCTCGAAGCATATCCCGCCTGACCCATACGAGCTGCGGAGACTGCGTGAGGAGCAGTTCCGCGAGAATATCCAGAAGATCGACCATACACCATACGGAAACTCGTTTGCATCGCGTCTACTGGGCCAGCCCGCGGAGTGTCAGACTCAGAAACCATGGGAGCCTCTCTGGAAGAGTTCTTTCTCTGGCAAGGTTTTGAAGGATTTTATCTGGAGGGACTACGAATCCAGATCTGTGATGATGGACGTGTTGGACGAGATCAAGATGCGCCAAGGTCGTCCCGCAAAGGTGCCGTGGGCAAATCTTGGAGTCGAGGGACTTCAGGGTCAACTTGCGAAGAAGCGGAGGCGAGAAGAATCGCCGGATTTCGGCCAGGCGAATGCAGATCAGCAGGACTGGGATGCGCAGAAACAGGACCGACAGCGTTTGATTGAGAGTCGGGCCCCTATCGACTATTGCTACTTCAGAAAGGAACATCTTGCGCAAGTGAACGAGACGTTATGCCGCCGGTTTTGGCCTGGAATTGACAGTAAGTTGCAATAGCTTGCGTAATATTGTCTTCCCGTGGCATGCTTACTAACCGGGATCGATTGTTGTTTTGAACTCGTGATAGTGACGGAGGCGCTGCAATATCCAGAATACTCTGTCGTTGTTCTATACAAGCGTTTGGTGGTCGGATGTGCCTTTATGACACCGGAAGGGTACATTACATACGTAGCCGTGTCTGCTGGCTGGGAGAAAGCCGGTATTGGACAGTAAGTGGTTGAATACTGGACTCTAATTGAAACCTCGCAAATTTTTTTTTTTTTTTTGTGAAAATATATTAACCCTAGCATTTTGGTTCGTATAGGTTTATGCTGTATCACTTAATGCAGGCATCTGAAGGGAAGGACATCACACTGCATGTCAGCGCGAATAATCCAGCGATGGTAAGGACAGTTGGAGTTATGTCCTTTATAATTTTCTGTCGTGTAAATGTATCTTCAACTGATCATAAAATGTTCATTCAAATGGCCTGTTTGTGCTGGCTCGTTAGATCATGTATCAAAAGTTTGGATTCAAGCCGGAGCAGTTCTTGATTAACTTCTACAAGGAGTACCTGCCCCAGAACAGCCTGATGTGCCATAACGCCTTTTTTGTGCGGTTAAGGCGGTAGGCAGTATGCGAATAAAAGCCCATTTTTACGTGAACGCATTCTGCTCCACAACAATGAAAGTGAAAACGCGACAGCTGTATGCTGCACGTTTGCCTGTTTGATTGTTTTCTCCGTTGTTCCATCTTCAACTACAACGCGAGGTCCTCTACTACTCGCAATAGAGTTGAAGGCATTTGAAATCAATGGCGATTTGTCATTATACATTGCGGCGAAGGGGGAACCAAGAACAAAAAGCCACTTCACTTGCAAAGTAAATGAACCAATTGCTCATCTGCTGAATCGGACTTGTGCGCTCGGGTAGGACAACCAGAACCAGGATACAGGACCAAGAGAGTTGATATAAAACCACTGGCCAAACCCCACTTTTCCACTTTTTTCAACTCTCTCTCAGTCTATTTACGTTTACCTCAATCCCACCATACTCAGCTCCAGCTCTACCAATTTCTATCGAGCAAACGATCCAGCCTGTTTCACCTCTGTTCATCATATCGTACCCCACATGGTCCAAGAAATGTCACACGTCCGGTTCGATTCTATCGAAGACGCTATCAAAGACTTTGGTAAGAATGGACTCTTTAGCTCCACTGCGAAGGAGGGCTTTCATTTGGTGGTTTATTCTCATCTTCTAATATTCAGCCTTTGCATTTCTCAATTTATAGCCGAGGGCAAGTTTGTGATCGCTGTCGACAATGAGGACCGTGAGAACGAGGGCGATCTAATTATTGCGGCCGAGAAGATAACGACCGAGCAAATGGCATTTTTGATCCGCCATTCAAGGTACAAGCGAGTCGATTTTGCTCTCTTTGTCAGACTTTTGAGTCAAGGGGCATCAGACAACGGCAATGTGTTTTCTCGGATCGGCAAAAAAAAAAAAAAAAAAATGCGCCCAAAGCGACAGAACCACCATCCGCAAGGCAATACCGTAAGGGGAAAGCAACCACGGTCAACTTGCAACAGCCCAACATCTATTTCTTCTCACATCAACAAGAAACAGGAACAGTATAGATAATACCACATCTCGCAACAACGAACACACTGAAGAGCTGCGCGCAATTTAGGAGAGAGGGATATCGCTGCTTTTATTTTTTTATTTGTTATCTAACGCTCCAGCGCTTACATTTTGCAAAATAGTGGCTACGTCTGTGTGCCAACCGTCGCCTCAAGGCTAAAGGAACTCGAGCTGCCTCTGATGGTTCCCAACAACCAAGAGCTCATGAAGACCGCCTATACGGTCTCGGTTGACTATGCCCACGGTACAACTACCGGCATATCTGCCCACGACCGGGCCCTTACCGCCCGCTCTCTGGCAGATCCAACAAAGACCGCCAAGGACTTTAATCGGCCCGGGCATATCCTCCCTCTACGCTATGCAGAGGGTGGCACGCTACGTCGGTTCGGTCATACGGAGGCCTCGGTCGATCTGTGCAATCTAGCCAAGCTGCAGCCCGTGGCGGTGATCTGCGAGTTGGTGAACGACCGTGATGGCTCTATGGCCCGCAGAGATGATTGCTACAAGTTTGCGAAGATGCATGGCATCAAGTTGATCACGATCGCGGATATTATCAAGTATCGACGGGATCATGGACTTATTGACAACAAATTTTAGAGACCTGCCAGGCCACAAACTTGGTTGTACTATGGATCGTTTACTGCACACCTCATTGTAATATTATGTGAATAAATCTGAATTTCGCTCGACGCCAGACCAGCACTTGGTCCTTTTCCTGCGCGAGTTGCCTGGGCATGAGGCTTTATATCTCACTTTCTTTTTATTCTTTCAATAAACGGATATATGAACTGATAATAATGACATGTGTAAAGAAAGGGCACCTAGTACAGCTTCTCCCTCAATGATGCGAGCATCTTCTCCAATTCTTGGATGCGCGCCTGTTGCATTTGATCTTTGTCCGCCAACAACGATCGTTCCAACTCAACCTCGTTCAACTTGGCTTCGAACATCGAGTTCTCGACCTCCAATTCGGCAACTCGTTGCTCCAAACCCTCCATCTTGACCAACTTCTTATGACGCGAACGACGGGCTGCATCTGTGTTTTTGGCGCGCTTCAACGCGACCTCGTCCATTTCGGAAAGGTCTTTGCCATCCAAGACCGATGGTGGCTCCTCACACGCCCGGTCGCGCTTCAAGCTGCCGCGGGGAAGCGACGCAGAGCGGTAGGCGCTTTTGTAGGTCGTGGCCTTGACAGAGTTCGTTCCAGGGACGGGCGTCTGGGTGCTACTCAAGATTGAGAGCGACAACCTAGGAGTGGAAGGCGCAACCGAGGGGGTCGCGGATGAAGCACGCTCCGAGGCAGCAGGAGTCGCTGGCGAGATTGGCGTCATCGCGCGGTCAGTGTGCCTGGGCGACATAACGGGCGAAGGAATAGGTGCATGGGCAGCGGGCGTGGCAGGCGCAATGGGGCTCAACGGAGCAGTTGCGTGTCTCAATGGCATCTGGAGAGCCATGGGAATGGAAGCCAACAACGACTGGGCCAAGACCGCAGTCTCCAAGGACTTGCTCCAGGGTATGTTCAATGCTGCGGCGGCCTGTTGCACGGCTTCAGGGGTCAATGGCAACATGGACGCGGCAGGGGTAGCCGTGGCAGCGGCGGCGGCGGAAGCGCTGAATCCAAAGATGGGGCCAGTGTTCGAGGGCTGCTGGACCTCGGGGAAGAGAGCCATGGAAGCATCAAGATCCGTCGACTGGATCAGTTCAGTATCCGAGGCAATCGAGTCGAACCCAACGACGGGCGAGTCGCTCTCATTCGAGATACGCGGGCTGTTGTTGCTGCTCGAGTCTGAATCGGAGGAGCACAAGGACTCGTCCTGGCTCATAAAGCCGACCTGCTGAAGATCGTTAGCGAGCCAGTCATCAAAGAGGGTAGCTGAGAGATCGCTGGTGCCAAAGATGGCATCCAAACTGCCAAAGTCAATGAAGCCCTGTCGAGAGGTGCTGGCGGCGGCGGTGCTCTTCTTGTTTGCGCCTACAATCAAAAATCAGATTTATTTATTTAGTGTTTTGTGGCAGACATCAAACAGCAGTCCGATTACTCATATCTGTCATTCTGGCAACCTTAAAAAAATTGAGAGCAGAGCAGACACATAACATACCTTGGAGGGCAAAGTCAAGGGAATCCGCAGACTTCATCAAGCGCTCGGCAGTGCCGGCGTTGAAAGCGTTGAAGGTGTTGGTTGTGGTCATTTTTGGGTAGATTTTTTGGGGGTTTAAAATTGGTCTCTTTTTCTTTTCAAGAAAGGATGGGGTAATTCAAAGGAATAATGGGTCGCTTGTTTAGGATGGTTGTGGGAATGGTCTATGTCTATCGAAGGACGACTTTGGTTCGTTGAATCTGTTGTGTTTCTTGTTTGTCTGAGCACTGGGGTGGGAGGGGGGGCACGAGGGAGCCATTTTGATAATGAGATTGATAAGATATTAAGACTGAGATTGAGATTTGATGAGAGAGTTGATTGACAACGAGTAGTAGTTTTCACTGATGATAGTTTTCACTGAGATAAGAAAGGGATGCGAGAGAAGCAAAACGTTTAAACGATAATGGACGACATCTTGGCGATATGCTGAAAGTGGAAATGGGCTGAAGATAATAAAAAATAAAATAAAAAAAAGTGGTCAAGACAAAAAAAAAAAAAAAAAAAAAAGGTCAAGAATAAAGAGTATGCGATGTGTAGTTTCGATAGTGAAAAAGAAGGCAGCTGAGGGGAGTGAAAAGAGTGAAGAAGGAAAGAAAAAAGAAGGGTAAAAAGGAAGGGGGGGGAGGGAGGTTTTTATACTGGCGGGCAGGAAAAGCGGACCTCCGAACACAACAAGCACGCCAAAGCACGACAAGCCAGATTCGAATCCATCTCTGTACTCTCATTGGTCCATTCCATCTCTCTTTTTTTGCCTCTGCAGCACATGAAGAAAGGAATACATCGAAACAAACCAAAGGGCAAGAGAGGCAACATGGTCTCCTTTTTTTTCAAAGCATATCGTAGAGTCCAACAGGGCGACCTGTCCCAGGGAGGGGGGAAACAAACAACCTGTGAGGGCGGAGCGGACAGCTGGGGCACTTGAGCATATAGGACTCAAAGTCTCAGCAGTACGATGTAATCTTCACCATTTGCTACCTGCCAGGTGTCACTCCACACCCACTCTGTGAAGGAGAGGACCCTTCTCTCAACCCAAGAACACAACATTGTTGTTTACTTTGATTGTTCGTTTAATCGAATCGAATCAAATCAATTATCAAACAAAGATTATCACTACCATTACCATACACCCATAGCGCCCACATGTGGAGTAAAGTGGGAAGTGCCGCGCGAAGAGGAGGGCTAGCTCGGGAAAGGGTACCGTCCTCCTATCTCTGCCCCCTGAACTCATACTTATCTTCGTTTTTGACGCCACGGGTCGCCAATCCTCGATTGGCCGCACCTTAATAACCTCTCACACATGACATTTCTTACGGCCGATCCGCCGAATCATAAGCAGCCCGCCGACTTTCATCCATGCATCTACCACCATTTGGCGTAGTGCTCCTTCTTTTCCCTAGTCACAAAGAGGAGAGAAGCGAACCTTGATCTGCTTCTTCCTGATGTCCTTTAAAAGAAACGATTGCAGACAGGAAAAAAGGCGCTTTTTTGAACCCTTGGGTAAACGGAGAACCTTGTTGCAAATGAAAAAGAGGCGGGGAAGGCCAGCTGTACGTAGTACGTACAGTCTTCAGGCCCGGTCATCATTTGCACTGGATTAGAGTACCTCTTGGTATCCATCAGCAACTGTTGATAGATCCAAGGCAACGAGAGTGTGGAGCCACTAGGGACAACGCAACGGAATGTCAGCCTCCAAGGTAATAAACGCAAGTCATCCTTCAATTGGTCTTCAACCGGAAATGCCTTTGATAAATAAATCGAGGCAATTTGGCGCGTGCAATTGAATGCGGGTTGGGACTACGGTCCAGCCAGCGATTTACTCAGATACATGGCCGTGGATGAGCGCCATCTTTTATATGATGCATAGAAGAAGGAATACCATCATCAGAGAGCAGTGGGATCTTCATTTGAGGCAATGGCCCTGGGATGGTGAGTGTGTGTCCAGGGGACAACTTCCTTCCGGATAAGGCCCAATGGGCGGAACACATTTGGTCCACCTATGTCATCATTTTGATACATCGCGTTCCTCCACATTGTCCTTCCTTATTCTACTCATTCTACCCATCTCATTCCTCTCCATAAGATTCCATCGCATAACATTCTTTTTCAAAAACACATTATGTTGCGATTTACCCGCCCTCTGGAGCAGTCTACACGCCTGATGTCTCGAGCAGTAGCTCCAGAGTTCCGGAGGCCTTTCACTATTCGTCGCCAAAAGTTCCCCACGGTCCTTAGATATTACGCCACTGAGACAGGTTCTCATGTCCCTCCATCACCACCAAAACCACCTCACTCGCGTCTATACCGCGTCGGTCGTGCCTTGCTTATCATGACGGCAGGCGTACCTGTAGCAGGGGGTCTGGCCTGGTACACCTATGATACTCTCTTCGAGGCAAAGGGCGACATTCTACACACGAAGCGTCCTAAACACATCGTCGGTGGACCCAAGAACCTTGTCATAACGCACGGATGTCGTGGCAGCGTGCTCAAGGCCGAAGAGATCCATCAGAATGACCCTCGCCAGAGACTGGTCATCCTTGGAAGCGGATGGGGTGTATGTGGTCATTTGGCAATGGATACACGCGGCAATTGGCGACCTAGTATGGCTAATAACTCTTCATTGCTGTATAGGCCGTCTCGGTGATCAATCAATTGGACCCTAAAAAGTTTCATGTCACGGTTGTGTCCCCGACGTAAGTGGCCAGCTTGGGGTTATCATGATTTGTGCACGTTATGATAGCGCCCGAGATACGTCACTAATTCATGGCCTCTTGGGTGCCTATAGAAACTATTTCCTCTTCACTCCACTGTTACCAAGTGCAACGTAAGCTACCTCTGTCAATGGTATAAAGCATAACCGATAATTAGTGAGTAAATGACTGACAGCAACACGTATTTTTGGTTGCCCGTGGACAGCGTGGGCACTCTCGAGCTCAGGTACGTGTAACTGAAGAGATGCGGTCGCGATAGGGAACTCTGATGGTGGGTCCAAAATGCGTTTCAGTCAACCTGTTGCTCATACAAAATGAACACATATCTCGTATAGGTCGCTCATTGAGCCAATAAGAAGACTCTTATCAAAACTTGGTGGATACTATGTCGAAGGACGCGCAGAGGACATCGACTTTGAAAACCAGCTGGTGGAAGTCTCGGGCGTGAATAACAGCGAGGGGCAAATGTTCTATGGTAACACCTGTGCCAATCATTCATTTCGTCGAATCAATCCATTGTAAACCCTAGCGGACTCTCGTGAACTAACCGTTCCTTGTTGATTCCGCATAGTCCCATATGATAAACTCGTTATTGCAGTTGGGTCTGAGTCCATGACGCACGGCATCCAAGGATTGGAGCACTGCAACTTTTTGAAGTCCATCACAGATGCTCGAGATATCAGAAGGAAGGTCATGGAGAACTTTGAGAAGGCTAGTTTGCCCACGACGACTGACGAGGAGAGACGCCAGCTTCTTAGCTTTGTGATCTGCGGTGGCGGTAAGATACGATGGAATTGGTGCACACAGGTCGAAAGTCCCTATGATAACTATCTGGCTAATCGTGCTTGTCTGCCCTCTCTCTCAGGTCCTACTGGAGTCGAATTTGCAGCTGAGCTATATGACTTTTTGTATGAAGACCTGGTCGGCTATGTAAGGACATTTGCATCTGTCGATTTTGTTCTGTGTTGCCCTGCTGTATGGATCCTAAGCAATTGTGCCAATTCCCTGCTGTTATCCGTATAGTTCCCCGCTATCCCACCAGAGGAAGTGCAGGTCAGCATTATCCAGAGCGCGGGACATATCTTGAATACCTACGGCAAGACATTTCTCTGGCTCATCATCGAAAATGTAATGTTACATAACACTCTCGCAGACCACTAACGCTATCTTCTGAACTCACTTATGCAACTATAGACCTGAAGATCAGTGAGATGACAGAGGCCAAGTTCAAGCGCGAGAGCATCAACGTGGTTACCAATGCCAGAGTGGTTAAGGTCAATCCCAAGTCGGTCACATACAAGGAGAAGAGCACCGGGAAGGAATACGAAGTGCCATTCGGCGTCTGCCTCTGGTCGACTGGCGTGGGCATGACCCCGCTTGTCAAGACTTTGGTGGCAAAACTCCCTACGGGCTCTCAGTCCAACAAACACGCGATCGAGACGGACGGATATCTACGCGTCCTTGGAGCGCCAGAAGAAACTGTTTATGCCATTGGTGACTGTGCCACGATTCGTAAGTGCATGTACAGAGCCTTGTTCAGTTTACGTGAGACGATCTATGATTTGCTGCGGACTAATACCGAGTATTTCGCTACATCTGTATTCTAGCCCAACCTCACTTTGTTGAGAAAGTGATGACGATTCTACAGGAAAACGATACTAATGGAGATAATGTTCTGAATTACGACGAGTTCCACAATCTCGCCAACAAGATTATTGCAAAGCACAGTGTCCTCAAAGTGTTCCTGGCTCGTCTGGACATGGTCTTTGAAAAATACGACAAAGATCACAACGGAACGCTTGATCTAGATGAAATCCGTGCCTTCCTGGTCGATGTCGAGAAGCAATGCACGGCTTTGCCAGCGGTACGTACATTTGCTTTGTGAGCCATGTCTCTTATTATTTTACTGCACTATTGAAGCGTTGCTCGCTAATGCACATCATACCGGTGTTTTGTGTTGTCTAATAGACCGCACAAGTCGCCAGCCAGCAGGGCAAGTTTGTCGGCAAGAGAATCAACGTTCTTCACGAGATTGAAGATGATCCTGTGGCTGCCGCCAAATTGCCTCAGTTCAATTACACCCATCTGGGCTCGCTCGCGTATATTGGTGGCAACGAGGCAGTCTTGGATCTAGGCAAGGGCTATGTTTATGGTGGCCTTGGATCCGAATACCTTTGGCGATCCGTTTACTTCAGTGAGCAGGTTTCGATTAGGACACGACTCTTGCTTCTCATGGATTGGTCGAAGCGTGCTCTATTTGGACGAGACATCAGCAAATTTTAGAGGGCGATAGAACGGAAGACCTGTACAAGATACTGATATAGTCCTGAGAAGAAAAATTTTAAAGATCATCGATTTTTGGCTTTTTTGGCTTTTTTGGCTTCTTGCCCTGTTGTTGCTGAGTCCTGACAGTTCTCATAGGTGGTGAATTAGAATCGGGGCTATGTTCCTTTTGCTTTGACTCCCCTGGTTTTCTTTTTCCTTCAGTCCCTTGCTTCGCTACAACTTTTCCCCATATCACATACATCATCATGTTGTTCTCAAGGTCCTCAATTTTTGTTGCGCTGATGGCTGCAGCATGGTTATTTCACGCCGCTATTGCACCTCCTGCTCGTGTCGACGTAGATCTGGACGTGATATCGCATAACCATGCTACAAGGCAATCGTGCGAGTCACCTGCGGGATGCTCGCAAGCGTAACACGCGAGTCTCAGCACCAACCCTGATATGGGCAATGAAGGGTATGTGTGCAATACTTTTTAGTTTTTTACACATTTGTCCATAATGAGCCTATCGATGAGCATCATATAGCCTATGGATAATAGCTGGGAATTTCACGCATCTTTCTGTCTAGACAGTTGTCGGCGAACGGGGTGTGTACAGCTCTAGAGGCGTAAAACCAGAAAACGAAAAAAAAATTGATGGCAAGGGCAGATATGGCCTGCTTTCAGTTGTATGGGTTTAGTGCGGGTAAATCTGACCCCAGACGACATAGTAAACCGGCGCCCTGGTGTCAAAGTGCTATGCATAACTAAGCAGACTATGCTCGGCGAACAGGATAATTACCCATCCCAACCCTTCCCTCAACACACCAATGACAATGCATTTAGAATTGATGGCAAAAATTAGTGCCACAACGGCTTTTTGGGATCCCAAACATTATATCCTGGTGCCAAAATAATGGTAAGAAATCCAGTTTTTTCAGTTCGCATGGTGCTGTCGAGTCTATTGAACGATCATATCCTGAATCTTGCGCCACGAGAACAGGGCGAACAGAGAATTGGTGGCTGACAGTCTGTTAAGGGTTTTTTCGGTGGCGAGGACGTGCCGAGAAGGGGGAGGGGTTAGAAAGAGAGTAGAGGTGGAGGAGTGGTCGGAGGATGTCAGGGAGCTGAGAAGGACCACCCCCATTCTGGAACCGCTTTCAACCCCAAGTCCAGCAACAAAAATGAAAACTCGTGCTGCGTGTATCCCCCAAACTTTTTTATTTTTATTTCTTGCCTACCTGGTCGCGTTTTGTTCGATGGACTTGTTTTTTCTTCAAGTGACTTCTTCCCAAACAAGCAGGAGATCGCCGCATCGATCAACCAATCGCTAACTCACTTTTCATTCTTCCCACACAACCCTAACTTTTCTTTTCATAATACTTTCATCTATTCCATTCTATCCAGTTCCATCCAATCGCATCCCATCCCATTCTACCCCATTCTTGACATCCCTTTCTTTTTTGGATTTCTTTAAAGGCAGCGGACCTTTTGGATGTTGATGCAACAGTGAACGTGACGACCCCAGGATCGCTTTTTGCATGTCCCAGCCCTCATCGTCTGATGCTGCCTTCATCCCACTCTTACCCCTCGATACTCATCCCGCCACCAGCAGTATGAGCGACGGTACCAGCATCAGCAGTAACAGTAACAGCACTGTCTGTGGCGTGTCCTTTGCACGCTCGACCAGTCCTCCACCACATTTACCAGCAAGTGACTCAGCTGTGCTGGAAGCCGTGTCAGCGAACAAAAGCCCGGAACTAGGCCAAGCGTCCAACCTCGACCTTAAGCCCTCAGGGAGCCAGTCTATACTCACCAACGGTCATGCCCACCATAACCTGCCTATCCCAACAAACCAGAGTGTGGCCAAAGACAACCCGCCTAAGCGAGGACCTGGACGACCCCGACGCTCTGATATCGCTACAGCTGCCCCTGAGAAGCCATCTTCTGATCTCAACACTCGTCCTAGACGAACTCTGCGTGCAGTCTCTTCTTCACCCACATCAGGAATATCAGCTGAAGCCATGACACCAACCGCCCCAACTCGCACACAAAATAGTCCTGTCAAAGGACGCTCCCAGTCTGCCATACCTTCATTGGTGTCAGAACCTGCAGGAACCGTAAAGGTGACTGGTCAGCGCACCTCAACGCGAAACATCAGACCGCCAGGGAAGTTTTCGGAGGCAGTGATCATGACAACGACCCACAGGGGCAGCGGAACCAAGCCAACACCTTCAAATCAGCGAGCAGGGATGACTCCGCAGCAACAACGGCCGACAGAACATTTTCCGAAGCGGGGCCCTGGACGACCTGCCGCCATCAAACTGGTGCCCATATCACCTCCATCAGTAGTACCTATGAAGCGCGGGCCCGGCCGTCCACCACGCAACCCGCTCTCTCCAAAACTGACCCCGCAGACAGCAAACAGCAATCATACCGAGCCTGGACCCACACCTCGCAAAAGGCGCACCTCATCTTTGAATCAAAACTCGCAGCCTAGCCAGACTCCCGGTCAGCACCAGAGTACAAGTTCAAATGTGAGTGCAAGTGCGAGTTCCAGTCAGGGCCAGGGTACTACTAGGAGCAAGACCTCAACTACTGAACCCTACAAGCCGCTTCGACCTCCTAAACCACGCACACCCTTGGATAAAGCAAGACAGGCAAAAGTTAATGAATGGGAAGCAAAGCTGCATGGCGTTATCGATCATCATGACAGTTTGGCGCGCGAGCTCTATCATTTGGAGACCTACACGACCACGCTGACATATGACCCCGTCAAGATCAAGTCCGATCATAGCGAGAGGATGTTGAAGGCAAGTCAGGCTGTATGCTCCAGTAACGACCTCATTCAATGACAATCACTGGAGGTGAACTGATGATGTGATATATTACCTATTTGTTCATATCTGTTGATAGTTCCTGCGAAACTTCGACCTTTGGTCCCAAGTCCCTGACCTTGTTTCCAATGTTCAGCTGAATACGGACAGGATATCAACTCGGAGAAGCGCAATCGAACATCGCGAGCAGCTGGTGGACATGCTTCAAAAGAATGTCGAGGAGGCATTACCACGGCGGGGAGACGGGTCACTTTCTCTGGATACTATTCGCATGAGGACACAAAAGGGCTATCTCACGCAATTTCAAAGCTTTGAAGACTACTTGAATTCGTTCGTCTATGCCGACGATGAGGAAGTCACGCCAGAGGAAGCGGACAGGCGCGCAGAATCACACGCACAGCTTTTGAATCGGATTGACTGCCTTAAAGCGGAGGGTAGGCTTGGAGGAAAATTAGCTAAACCGTTTGTCGACCCCGAGGTGCCCAAGCTACACTACAACTGGCTAATGGAACATATCATGACGTCCTCGAGACTTATCAAGGAGGAGGGGAAACTGCAAATGGCTCGCGCACGTAAGGTCAGTAAGCTGATCACCCGACATTTTGAACAGCTTCATGGAAAGAGCGAGCGGGAACAGAGGCTGGAGGAGAAGCGGTTGAGGAAACTGGCCAAGTTGACGGCAAACGAGGTCAAAAAGAAATGGCGCTATGTCGAAGGAGTAAGTCAGAGTACCGGAGGAGCGAATCATGGTAACTATCGCAGTTACACATTGACCATCAATATCGATTTCTGATATGACTCGCTTTTATTCTTAATAGGTCGTCAAGGCACGACACAGGGCGCTGATTCAGGAGGAACAAGAAGAGGCCGGCAAGCGACATTTGAATCTCATATTAGAGCACTCCACACAGATACTAGGAGTACAGCAAAGCGCCTTTAACATCAGCATGCCGCGGCAATTGTCAGACCCCCTTGGCTTAGCGGATGTTCTTAGTGGTCTACCGTCACCGCTCTCAGCAGCAGATCCCACCAGTCGTCGATCTTCAGTTCCACTATCGGTGGTCTCGTCGGATGCGGAGCTTGACGCTGGTGATGGTGAGTTCACTGTCGCAGAAGCTGATGTGGACGATGAAACGACACTCGCCAACGAAGAGTCAGGAACAGAGGATGATGAGGCCGAGATTTCAGGTCTGGCAGCTGAAATGGACATTCCGATTGAGGAGCTCTTGAAGCAGTACGGCTATCGACTTTCTGAAGACGAGGAGAGCGACGAGGACGATGAGCAAGCTGGGGACGATGAGAATGCGGATGAGAGAAGCCAGCCAGGTTCATCTAAGGATCCAATTGGCAAAAACGAGATAGTGCCTGCAGTCGCCGAGAAACCACATGTGAAGGTTGAGATGAATATAGAGACGGAGTCAGGCAGCGCTCTGGAGGACACTCATCCGGATGCATCGATGGACATGGAGGTCGACTCTGCAGCGAATGGAGTAAACGGCAGCAATGATGCTTCGGAGCTGGATGAACTGCCAAACACTGTTCCTAATCCAAGACAGTCTATGGAGAAGGAGGAGGAGAGGCCCATGTCCTCCAAGGATATTGCTAAAGCGTTACCGGAAAGCCTCAAGTCTGTCACCAGACCCAGCCCAGTATCTGAGCGAACCTATGTTCCTAAGCGAAGGCGGTTGTCCCTTAGCGGTTTATATCGTGGCCCTCCATTGCCTTGGAATCCTTATGGTGAGGTGGACGATGAGCGGACGATGGAGGAAGAAGAACAGGAGGATCTCTCTGACCCGGAGGAACTCGCTGGTCTGATAGTGGAGAAGGATATGTCGATTGAGGACCTCCTGAATAGATATGCATACGAAGCGGAAAGCTCTGAATACTCGGATTCGTACTACGACTCGGACTCTGAATACGAAGACACCATCATGAGCTCGCTGCAACGAGCAAAACCATCTGATCCGCGTTACGTGGTCACCCTGCAGGATGTCGCACGCAGTCGCAAGTTCCCGACGAGACCAAGCAGTGAAGTATCCGACACGGACACAGAGTACGATGATAACCGGACCATATCGATATACGGGACCGATGACGAGCTCTGTCTTGGTGATATGCTTCCACTGCTGGATCCAGAGGTGCCACCAAAGAGTCCAGAAATCGACACCTTCACTACCGGGGCGAACGTCAAGACCAAAATCCCGTTCCTTCTTCGTCATCAGCTTCGAGAATACCAGCATGTGGGCATGGATTGGCTCGCGAATCTCTACAGCAACGGCTTGAATGGTATTCTGGCAGATGAGATGGGCCTTGGAAAGACGATGCAGACAATTGCCCTGTTGGCTCATTTGGCATGCGAGCACGGGATTTGGGGACCTCATTTGATCGTTGTTCCTACGAGTGTCATGCTCAATTGGGAGATGGAGTTCAAGAAGTGGTGTCCAGGTTTCAAGATCATGACCTACTACGGCAGCCCCAGGGAGCGCAAGGAGAAACGAGTTGGCTGGTCTCGCGAGAACTCGTTCCATGTCTGCATTACTTCGTATCAGTTGGTTGTCCAAGACCAAGCCGTGTTTCGACGCAAGGCCTGGCAGTACCTGATTTTGGACGAGGCGCACAATATCAAAAATTTCAGATCTCAACGCTGGCAAACGCTCCTCAACTTCAACTCAGCTAGACGACTGCTACTGACAGGAACACCTCTTCAGAACAACCTGATGGAATTATGGTCGCTTTTGTACTTCCTCATGCCAAATGGTGTTTCGCAGACTATGCCGGTCGGCTTCGCCAACCAGAAAGAATTCCAGGAGTGGTTTTCACACCCAGTCGACCGCATGATCGAAGGCAACGATCAACAGGACGAGGACTCGAAAGCTGCCATTGCTCGACTCCACACTGTTCTCCGGCCATATTTGCTCCGCCGTCTCAAGTCCGACGTAGAAACCCAGATGCCAGCCAAGTACGAGCACATTGTCTACTGCCGACTCTCCAAACGGCAGCGATTCCTTTACGACGACTTTATGAGCCGTGCGAAAACTCGCGAAACTCTGGCATCCGGAAATTTTCTCAGCATTATCAACTGTTTGATGCAGCTGCGTAAAGTGTGTAACCATCCGGACTTGTTTGAGGTGCGGCCGATCGTTACGTCGTTTGCGATGCCCTCCGCCACGGCGTCCTTTGAGATCACGGAGTTTTTGGTTCGGCGGCGGATCTTCTCTGAGGTCGACAAAGCTCAAGAATCTGTCAACTTGGGGTTCCTGGGGCTGATCTTCACCACAGCGGAGGAGCGTTTGTCGAAGATGGATCTAGAGTCATACGAGGAGCTAAACGCCGCGTCGTGTTTTCAAAAGAAGGCGGCAGAGTTTACAATGCCCCAATCGAAGACGCTGTCGAGTTCCAACCATTATCAGGACGTTCGACAATATGTCAGCATGAGACGGCACCAGTTGATGCTGGCTGACAGACATCGCTGGGAGCAATTAGGATACGTCAACATGAATAAGTGTCGGACGAATCTCCTGTATGGATCCAGCTTGCTCAACATGTGTCGATTGCCTATCAAGGCTCCTATAGGGTGCACCACAACTTTGAACCAAGTTGCGGATCCACAGCATTATTTTGAGTATACCGATGCGATTGCGCGAGCCATCATTCCGAGCGAGGCACGACTGTGCCAGAATGAGGAGACGATCAAGCGGTTTGCGTTTGTAACACCCGCTGTTTTGGTCCGCGACTACTCATGGAAACCGATTCATGTGAGCCCGGAACCATCTTCACTAGAGTTGGTTTGCAAAAAGGCAGAGGAACTTCTCTATCCTATCACGTCATGTCTACAGGTGCAGTTCCCGGACAAACGATTGCTTCAGTTTGATTGCGGCAAGCTGCAAAAGCTGGACAGCCTTCTTCGTGAGCTTAAGTCCGGTGGCCATCGTGCCCTGATCTTCACACAGATGACCAAGGTCCTCGATATTCTGGAGATCTTTTTGAACATTCATGGACATCGTTACCTTCGATTGGATGGTGCCACCAAAGTGGAGAATCGACAACATCTTACGGATCGCTTCAACTCAGACCCAAAGATTTTGGCCTTTATCTTGTCAACTCGATCGGGCGGTGTTGGTATCAATCTTACGGGAGCTGATACCGTTATCTTTTATGACTCTGATTGGAACCCATCGATGGACCGCCAATGCCAGGACAGGTATGTTATCGCCTCGCTTTCTTTCTGTATTTCTTTGCTCCTTCGGCCACTCTAGCAAGTGTATGTGAACGACAGTACTCCTTACACTGAGTTTTTTGTTTATAATAGATGTCATCGTATTGGACAAACAAGGGATGTCCATATCTACCGTTTCGTCAGCGAGTTCACGATCGAGGAAAACATGCTCAAGAAGGCAAATCAGAAACGCATGTTGGACAACGTCGTCATTCAGGAAGGAGAATTTACAACTGACTACTTCCAAAAAATGGACTGGCGCGATATGCTGGGCGAAGAAGAGTTGGCCAAGATAGGCGATTTGGGGCCGACTCAAAAAGATGGCGAACCTCAGGATTTATCGACTGTTCACGGGGCCGATTTAGAGCAGGCGTTGGCTGCTGCTGAGGACGAGAACGATGTCATGGCAATGCAGCAGGCCAAACACGAGATGGAGGGTGTTGACCTTGGAGACTTTTCTGAGGTTGGAGCCAGCAATACACCGACAACGGCCTCCAAGGATAAGCACTCCAAGTCCAGGGACATTGAGGGCGGCACAGCAAAAGTCCAGTTTGCGGGTGCGCCATTGATTGAGGCAACAGAGGAGGAGGAGATCATCGAGATGGGCCATGTGGACGAATATATGCTTCGGTTCATGGAGCGAGAGTATGGGCACTATGTTGGATTCGGTGGACTGCCAGAACCCGAGAAGAACGAGGACGCGGACGATTTGGAGATGCTCGACGATGAGACGAAGCCGAGCGAAGATAGCGAGCAAGAAGGAGAAGAGGAAGAGGAGGTGGAAGTAGAAGAAGAGAACGAGTACGACATCGAGGAGACGGAGGAAAGCGATTCTGGCGAGGATGGCGATCCAGAGGGATTATTATCATCGTCTGAGGAAGAAGGAGACAACAATGAAGGTGCCGATGTTGCTGCAGGTGTGGAGGCGATGGAAACGGACGATTGAAGCGTATGTGTCCTTTTTTAATTTTGTAACATAATGACAGCGAGACCACCAATGTATATTAAAGAAAAATCGCCTTGAGATTGCTTTTATTTTGGCGCCATCCGCTATTTAGGAGTGAACTACCATTTCTAGTTATCAAATTGGTGGCGAAACAGTCATCCCGCTATGGTAAACAACCTGAGACGGTTCCCTCTTGGTCAGCTTTACCGGACAGGCACATCCAGTCATCAACACCGGACGCTCAGGATCCGGTCAAGCATCTCATCCCATCCTAGCCTCAACTGTTATCACATTTCAATAATTTCAACATATACTCATGTTCACGATTTCAAAGAGACTGGTGGCTATCAGTCACAGCACCATGGTATCAGGATACCTCGGCAGAAAGAGCTTCTCGACATTAATCAGTAGCACCAGGACGCCATTGAGACTCTTAAAGCACAACACGCGGGTTTGGGGCACACAGTTCAGCTATGCTGAGCAGTTCCGGTCTGTCACCTTGGCTGCCTCAAATGCTCTGCCGCCCACCTCTGAGACTTCGTTCGATGTGATTGTCGTAGGAGGAGGACATGCAGGTTCTGAGGCCTGTGCAGCCGCTGCAAGGACAGGTGCCAAGACATTATTGCTCACTCAAAAGCTAGATACCATCGGTACGTTGGCTGTGTAGTATTCATCCCTAATGTATCTGATATCTGGATCTTGTTTTGCGAGAGGCTGATCGGTCAAACTATTGAATGAATATCGATATAGGCGAAATGTCATGCAACCCTTCTTTCGGTGGCGTGGGCAAAGGAGTCCTCGTCAAGGAAATCGACGCACTGGATGGTCTCTGTGGCAGGATTTCAGATCTGGCAGGCGTTCAGTTCAGAATCTTAAACAGATCCAAGGGACCCGCAGTTCATGGACCCCGTGCGCAGATTGATCGAAAGCTGTACAAGAAACATATGCAAAAGGCACTGCACGAATACCCTAACTTGACCATCAAGGCTGGTTCTGTCTCAGATATTGTACTTGGAGCAGAGATTTTGCCACCTATTCCGGGACAGAACAATGTCCAGGCCGAGATCAAGGGGATCAAACTCGGTATGTGTTTCTATGGTCATTCATTGGACAGTTCTTCTACATATTGCGTTTATTTATGGGCTGTAGGTTTTTCATGTTAAATAGAATCGGGCGAGGTCATCCATGCCCCCAAAGTGGTCATCACAACAGGAACATTCCTGCGCGGCGAAATCCACATTGGACTGGAGGCATATCCTGCAGGACGAATTGGCGAGAACGCGTCCATTGGCCTCTCTGATTCACTTGCTCAAGCAGGCTTTGAGCTTTCTCGACTCAAGACTGGAACCCCTCCTCGACTGGACGGCAAGACCATCGACTATACAGAACTCATACCTCAGTATGGCGACATAACCCCATCACCCTTCTCCTACCTTCACAAAGAGGTCGCTAACGCTCACAACCAGTTGGTGTGCTATCAAACCAGCACAAACCCAAAGACTCATGAGATTATTCGTAATAACCTACACAAATCGATTCATATTCGAGAGACTGTCAAAGGACCGCGATACTGCCCCTCAATCGAATCCAAGATCATGAGGTTCGCCACAAAAGAGGCACACACGATCTGGCTGGAGCCTGAGGGGTATGACACAGATGTGGTTTACCCGAATGGCATCTCGATGACGCTTCCTGAGAAGGAGCAGATCGAGATGTTGAGGACGATTAAAGGACTCGAGAATGTGACGGTACTGCGATGTGGATATGGCGTCGAGTACGATTATGTGGATCCTCGGGAACTCAAGCGCACTCTGGAGACCCATCGAATCCGCGGACTTTACCTTGCAGGGCAAATCAACGGAACGACAGGATATGAAGAGGCAGCAGCTCAGGGTATCCTTGCAGGAATCAATGCCAGCTTGGCAGTACAGTCGAAATCTCCGCTGATCCTCACTCGTGCAGACGCTTACATTGGTGTGCTCGTGGATGACTTGATCACAAAGGGAGTTGAGGAGCCGTACAGGATTTTTACGTCGCGTTCAGAATATCGACTAACGTTGCGTGCGGATAACGCGGATCTGAGATTAACGCGCAAGGGATATGAAGCTGGATGTGTGTCGGAGTATCGCTGGAATGTGTACCAGCAGATGGAGCGGGATATGAGCCGTGGAATGCAGCTGATGAACGATTTCAAGCTGTCGCCGGTCAAGTGGGCCGAGTTTGGGTTTGGCAAGAGCGACGATGGCATCAAACGAAGGTATGCAAAATGATGATCTGGCGTTTTGAGCTACTTTTTCCCTTATCAAACATCGCATTATAACGACTCGAACGGATTGATTTATTTCTATATCCTTTTCTGTTGCGGACAAAACTGTTTTTTAGTGCTATTGAAATACTCGCCTTCCCCAATGTGAAGATGGAGGACTTTTACGAGGCCATTCCAGAGCTGAAGGAAATCGGTCCAGTCGTTCAAGCAAAGATTGCAGTCGAAGGCGCTTACTCGGTCTATCTTCGCCGTCAGGGTGCAGAAGTTGTGGCATTCATGAGAGATGAGTCGATGGAGCTACCCTTAGACCTGGACTACTCTGCGTAAGTGACAATCTGTGGTTTTTGTTCTTGACGAATATCATGAACGCGGAATCATGCTGCGCTGTCTTCTAATCTGTTAACATTGCGTGATGATAGTATTCCTAATCTGTCGAATGAGAATCGGTCCAAGCTGGAGCGTCAACGTCCTGCAACCTTGGTAAGTGATTTCTTCGTTTCATGGATCGAAACTTACTATTGTTATTGTTATCGTTATTGTTATATGTTATGGCAACATGCGCCTTATTAACACCATACGCGTGTTGTTTCTCATATGTTGTTCAGGGAGCTGCAAAGCGCATTGAGGGTATGACACCGACGAGCATACTGGAGCTGCTCAAGTATGTCCAGAGGACCAAGCGGCCTTCGACGACGATCACGGGCGAAGCGATTCGATCTGGGAGTCGGAAGGACCGCCTGCGACAGAAGATGTTAGCGAAAGGGTTTTGAGCAGGAAATGGAGGGAAGCATGCTTCTGAACTCGATGTGTACCATTAGTGGCATTGTAAACTATTTGCATAAAGACACTTGTTATTATCCAGTGAAGAGAGAAATGACACCTCCCAAATGGACATGGGAGATGTTCCTTGTATGAGGTATAAGCGCAAAAAAGCGGGCAGTTGAGGAAATGGGCAAACGTGCGTGCCCCAATCTGCAGCTGCTAGAATAAGGCTCAGGATCTCCGAGGTGCATTTTGCCAATTCGTCTGTGGTATCTACCGTGGCAATTTTTTTTTTTTCAAACTCTGACTCGGTGGAATAAGCGCACCAGCAGCAAAAAGTCCGTTGATTCTAGATCCCCTTCCTTCATTTCCCTCATCCTTCTTTCGCTCATTGACTCCTTCGCTCTTACAAACACTCTCTCATACTCATACTCATACACCCACCATGTCCAGTCTAAACATCGCCTCGAGGACTCTCTTCGCCCGCTCTGTCTCCCACAGTGCTCGCCCCATGACACAAAGCGCAGCGGTCATGGTAATACCCTAACCCCAGCAGAATCTCGGAGTTCCCTGGAGATTTCTGCACAAACACAAGGCAAAGCACCGTCATAATCCATGAATGAACGATTCATGGACTAAAAATGGTACTCTCTCTCCTCATAGGCCCTCCGGAACTACAACGCCACAGTTGTTAAAGACACGCCCGCCTCAGCAAAGAAATCAAAGTTCGCGGACAAGTTCGCTACCGGACCCAGCTTCGAGGACTTTGTTGGCGGAAATCAGAAGCTGTCTGTCGAGGAATCCCTAGAGCTCAAGGAAACTGTCGTCGATCAGCAGGCAGCAGCAGCAGCAGTAGCAGCGGAGGCTGCCTCACCATCGACAGGCAAACCTGCCAAGCGTCCGCCGTAAGTCTCTCTTTTTTTTTAACATATACAACCTCAGTGCTGTCCCAGTTACGCAACGAGCTAGCTATCTGGCTGACAGCATTGTAAGACCTATCGTGGGATACTTGCTCTATCTCCGGATCTCCGGTATTCCTCGATCTCACTGGATGCTTGGACACGTTTTTTTTCGCCTACGATAGAAAGCAGCGTTTGCCGGAGTGGCTCAAGACGCCGATTCCCTCTGGAAAGAACTTCACGCAGATCAAGAAGAATCTCAGGGAACTTAATCTTCACACCGTCTGCGAGGAAGCCAAGTGCCCCAACATCTCGGACTGCTGGGGAGGTGGAGAGCACCAGACAGCCACAGCCACCATCATGGTATGTTTGCCCCTTTCTTCTATCCTCGGAACCCGTGTTGTCTGAATAATGATCTCTCGTGCCATCCCACTGACTTGGTCCCTCTGACCACTTGCTGGTCTGTTTTTTATATATATAAAAATAGTTGATGGGGGACGAATGTACTCGTGGATGCCGATTCTGCTCTGTTAAGACCAACAAGGCGCCAAAGCCCTTGGATATCCATGAGCCAGAAAACACTGCCGAAGCGATTTCAAGATGGGGCCTGGATTACGTTGTCTTGACTTCAGTTGACCGTGATGGTATGAACTAAGAGGATTTTGCTCAGTAAGCCCATGTAGGCCAAAGTATTAATGACCGTTTACATGAACTGTTGGCCTGCATACTGTCATAGATCTTCCGGATGGTGGTTCGGCGCATTTTGCAGAGACGATCATGAAGCTGAAGCTGAAGTAAGTAGTGTGGTTGAAACCCTGAACTCTCTAGATGCTTTTTTTTTTTAAAAAAAAAAAAAAAACACTGCAATATTCCTTACCGTCTTATGTCCTACCTCCCTTGTTTCTTAATGTAGAGCGCCCAGGATTCTTGTCGAGTGCTTGACTGGAGATTTCCAAGGAGACATGGAGTGCGTTGCGCGTGTGGCGACCTCCGGATTGGACGTCTATGCACACAATATTGAGACTGTCGAGGCTCTCTCTGCCTATGTTCGTGATCCTCGTGCCAAATTCAGACAGTCGATTGCTGTGCTGGCTCATGCCAAGAAGGCCAAGCCTGGTCTGTTGACGAAGACTAGTATGATGTTGGGATGTGGTGAGAGTGAGGCCGAGGTCATCCATGCCATGGATGGTAAGTATCTTTAGGAATATTTGGCGCGGTCCTTCAGTTTGATAAGTAGGAATGCGTCCTCGACGTTTTTTGACTGACACTAACTGTCATTTACTTGGTGTGACCCAAATGGTAGAATTGCGCAAGGTAGATGTGGATGTTTTGACACTGGGTCAATACATGCGGCCGACAAAGAAGCACATGCGCGTGCATGAATATGTCAAGCCGGAGGTGTTCGAAAAATATCAGAAATTGGCAGAGGAGCGTGGATTTAAATATGTGGCGTCAGGACCACTTGTACGATCGTCCTACAAGGCAGGAGAGTTCTATATCAGCAATATTCTGAAGAAGGAAAAGGAGCAGGGCATGTCTGTTGTGGGAAATGATGCCGTGGTCAAGCTGACGAATGCTGGCGTCCATGTCTAATATCAGGACAGTGTTCAGAATTTTTCACTTGCATTTTCTCATCTTTAGAATCATTTTTCATGTTGCTTGCTTTGTTTGACTTTTCTTTTTACGCGCCTACCTTGTAACCCATACCAATAAAATAAGATAATAGCAAAAAAAAAAACTATCTCTAACTTGCATTCAACTACTAGTCCATCAGTATCAACGGACAAACATGGGGCAACGTGTCGAATCCTTTGGGTTCCATGATTATCGCTTTCATCTACGCCGAACGGGGCATTCGTCCCTTGGCTGATTCATCAGGGCATAAAAAGGCGCCCCACCGTATCTAGACCCAGAAAACACCTTTCTACACAGAAAAATAACGTGCCGTACACATTCGTACAACTTCATCGTAAGGTTCATGACTTCCCCGCTTGCCTCGTTTTGGCCTCGTTTGTCCTGGCCATGAGCATGTCTGCTACGACGGTTGCAGCGGTCCCAATGATCAGCACCACAATTACTGAGGCAGGCGCTTACCCCACAACCATCCCTGGCTCTCCTTCCAGGTCTGTAAGTCTTCCCACCGGGTCCGACATTCTCTCGCCATCACCTTCCTCGGCCGACGCTGTCGTCCCATCTCCAATGACGACCTCTACGATCAGCATCGCTGGCGTTACTGGTACACCTACCATGAGCAGCCCCATCGTACCAATTGCGACGACTACCAAACCCTCGGATGCGGCCTCTGTGGTCGAATCTCAGTCGACTATGTTGGTCGCCATGGCTGACTTGCTGTTGCGATGGCTATTGGCCCCAAAGTGCTCGAATCCCCTTCTGATAACTCAGGGCATGACATTCTTTGTATCTAGTTTCTATGACGCCGTATGTAATCCTACCCTCACTTCCCTCTCTATACGAAATTCACTCCCTTTCTCTCTTGATGCCAGTCAAGCGTTTGAATTATTTCGTTGTTCGTTGTCAGAATGCTATGCTATGCTAATCAATCAAAGTACAACTGGACAGTAAACATGAAAGTATGCATGAGCTAAACTAGATTCCTGCAAGACTACCCCTGGACGCATTTTTAATGTACGTAGGCGCATAGTGCGTAAAAAAAAACCAGAGTTCTTTGGTCTAGCGGAGTGCAAGCTAGCCGTCTCAAAAATAGATGTGCATGTCCTGTCGGCCCCACTAGACTATGAATGAAAGATACACACCTCCTCCCCATCAACTGAATGTGTGCCATCGTTGCCACCAATAATAAGTTTCAAGGCGTACTTGTTCAACAGCAATTTGTGGGTTTACGAGTGCTTGTTTGGCCACGATACATGCAGATTAGGGCTCATTTGTCCATGTGCAAGCGAATTCCCATTCACGAATCTGCTGCATTAGACCAAACAAGGCTCATTGTGGCCAACCTTGTTGCTTAGCTCCATATCCTCGAAATAATACAAATCTCCCTGGGTTTATCCGAAGACGAAAAAGAGTGCCTGCGGGATGAGCAAGATACGCTGGGCAATTCTCCCAATATTCCCCTCGCCTAAGGCACATATTGCAGGCGCAATGGCAGACCGGTAAGGACAAATCGGCAGACATGGTGCTTTACTCGGAGATTACGAACAGAATTACCAAGGGACCGAGAGTAGCTGACTCTCTTCAGGTACCGGTCAAAGCCCACTGGTCGGTACCATCTTTATCCCTTATAAAACGACAGAAAGACTTCTCTTCACTTTCCCCTCACCTTTTCTCCCTTCTTCGCCTCATCTTCCTCAACGCCTTCCTTCCTATCTGTCATCGATCGAGCAAACCTCGATTCCATTCCGGTCCACACACCAAACACCCTTCATCTCCCCCTCCACACGACTGTACCACTTACTCCTCAGCAACATCTCCTTCCCTCCCTCCTCCACACGCTGCTACGCACACCAATCTCGCCATTGACGATTCATTAACCAGCCACCTTAAAGTATCCATTCCCTCAACATGGTCAAGATTATTCTTACTTTCACTGCACTGTCCATGGCACTCTCCATGGTCATGGGCCACGGTGTCCACGGACTCGAGAAGCGTGCTACGGCCACCTGCAGCACCGTGTACAAGCCCGTGGCTGCAGGTGCTTACCCAGCCCTGGACTGCACACCTTTCGTCCAGGATCCTCAGGTCCAGACTTGGCTTAAGTTGGTCGACTTCACAAAAACACCTGTCTATCCTCCTTCGAAGGATGGTGTTTGTCCGACGGACTTGACTACCATCCCCAAGGACCAATGCTGGTGGACTTGCCAGAAGTGCGAGGCTCCTGGAGACATCACCAGCTGCCCCAAGACCGGTACCTGGGGGCTAACCTACGACGGTATGTTGTATTCTTTGTCTCTTCGCATGTTTTTTTTTTCTTTTTCTTCAAATGCAAACTCCTTATGTTGTCCGATATCGGTCGTACTGGTGCGGATGACAATGACTTGCTATCTCTATCTCGTTTGGCAAGCAAGGCTCTCACTTGCGGTGTTCCGCGTCCGTTGTTCTCCCAGCATCCTCCTCCTCTCCCCTTCGACTTTTATAATAGCCCTTATAAACAGAAATACTGTGGACTTTGGTCATCTGCACCCACGCCTCTCGCAAAAATAGCGCACGCGTTCATTTCGGACCTCCAAAATTCGCAACCAACAATCCCCAGGTTCTTAGCACGACAAAACAGTATGCCCTCTCACACAGTTCTCTTCTTGATGCCTGTTTACCCTGCTTAGATGGTCCCTCGCCTGACTCGCCTCGTCTGTACGATAACCTACTGGCCCATAAGCAAAAGGCGACGCTCTTCATCGTCGGATCGCGTGCTATCAGCTTCCCTGCGACCTTGAAGCGTGCCTATGCTGATGGTCATCAGATTGCCATTCACACCTGGTCCCATCCTTCGATGACCAGCTTGACTAACCAGCAGATCGTTGCAGAGCTCAAGTGGACGGAGAAGGCCATCTTTGATACCATCGGTGTCACGCCCCTGTACTGGCGTCCTCCTTATGGTGACGTTGACAACCGCGTCCGTAACATTGCTACTCAGCTCGGTTACAAGACCTCGATCTGGACCCAGGACTTTGACACCGACGACGTAAGACTTCTTCGTTTCGTGCTTGCTTGTTGTACTGTATTTAGAAGGAAACTATGTACTGACATACTTTCACTCTTATGAATACGCAGTGGAACATTCCTGGAGGAACTGCCACTGCTCAGTCAGTTGTTGCTACCTTCCAGTCCTGGCTCGCCAAGATTCCAACCATGAGCACCGGATTCATTGTCCTCGAGCACGACTGTAAGCGTCGCTTTTGCTCTTTAATAATTGGTTTCTGTGAATTAGGAAGAGCATAGTGTCACGATACTAACTTTTTATAAAACAGTGTTCCCTCAGGAAGTCGATGTGTCCGTGAACGGTATCTTGCCAATTGCGTACGCAACCAAGAACTTGGTCATGCAACCCATCGCTCAGTGCTTGAGCGACGGTAAGCCCTACAAGGAGGGTGCCGGTACTTTCCAGTTGTTGCCCTCTAACAACGGCACCACCAGCAACTCTACCACCGGACCTACCGTCATTAGCGGCAGCGGTGACAAGAGCAGCAATGCTGCAGTCTCGATCTCGGTCTCGAGCGGCGCCTCGGTCTTGATGGCCGTCGCGGTCATGACTGCCTTGTGCTAATGCAGTTTTTGTACTGGGCTTGAACCCCCCCCCCCCCCACACACACACACACATAGTGGATAGAGTAGGAAAGAATATTTTTATACGTTGATGCGCTTATTTGACGGTATTAAAAAACAAAGCGCTATATGTATCGTCACCTTTATCCAATATGTAAAAATAAGATGAAGATACCCATCGCCACACCGGAAAAAAACTTTCCAGCATAGCCACCGTATCAACGTCCACCACAACGGACATTCATGCACGGCCTTCGGCAGGCAAAGAGAGGTCTTTGTTCAAAACTTTTCAAGCAGATTTTTTGTGTTCAGCCGTGCTCACTGACGTGGAATGATTGCCAAGGAGATTAGACTAGATAATCCGTAGCACAATGTCTCATGAAGGAGTCTTCGGATCAAGATATGTGTGTGGGAGGGGAGGAAGAGGGAAGGGGGAGGGAGAGCAATTGAGCAGGGCTCTTAATACGAAATAAGTAGCTATTCACTGAGTATCATATAAAAATAAATGGCCAGGGCGCTGGGGGCCAGACTCTCACCATAGATTCTTTGACAATAAATGAAATATTTGCGATTTTGAGTTTATGCATTTTATCCAGCTGGACTGAATTCTCCACGGATGAACTCTCTGCAGAAATGGTGGCAAATTGCTCTAAAGTCATCATTTCCTCATCCTCCAAAGAAACGTTTCTAAAGGAAGAACGAAATGCGAAGAGTCATTCTTTGAACAAAAATAAAATAAAATAAAATAAAAAAGAGAACGCCATTGACTGCGTGCGCAATCATCGTCATTTATTCAGTGATAACCATGGTCATTGCGTTTTGCACTAAACAAAAGGGACGTAGAGGTAGCATTTCTAACTATAGACTGGCTCTCGCAGTCTACGTTTACCCACGTCTTTTGGTGATGAAGACATTTTTATACACCTCTCCCTTGATCTGACACTGCAGTGCCCACTACCGTGGCTAATGCGTAGGATTAGTGTGGTCGTTGACGAGGGAAAACAGGGATCAAAATACTCATGGCTATAATTTGATTGAAGCGTTTTGAGCCCCTGCATGAGTCCGGCACTTTTTCCATACGATATGTCCCAGGTCAACAGTCCATGGGACCCATCAGAGCTGGATAGGAGCGAGAGTATTATACTATTGTAAGATCGATGTACGTGAACCATTATACTTCCTCTCTCTCTCACTCTCATCGCTGGCCGAGCCTGTTCCTTTATTTTTCCCGCTATTTTTCACGTTTGCCTGTGGTCGCTCTTAAAATAAGCGACACCGCAATTTACCCCTGACTTGTCCATAAATGGTAGTAGGCTGGACAGTTGGACAAACACTCTAGTATAAATAGACCTGAACAGACCTCCAACAGCAAAATTCGTCCTTTTCGTCCCCCTTCCTCTTCCTTGAATCCTGAACAACACGTCAAATATACCACCATCGCCTCATTCATCTTCCATTCACACCACATTCTAAATACACATCTCCTTATCTCTTTTAAGTGCACTTCAAAAAAATGGTTAAAGCAATCTCTGCACTTCTGGCCCTCTCAGCCTCTCTCTCCGTTGTCTTTGGCCACGCCGCTGGCCACAAACACCTTAGCGTGCTCGAAAAGCGTGGCACCAGCGCCCCCGAGCCCAGCCCATGCAGCTCCACGTATGTGCAGGTCGCAAATGGTTCCTGGCCTGTTTTGGATTGCATTCCCTTTGTGCAGGATCCTCAAGTCCAGACTTGGCTCAAGCTGGTAGATTTTACAAAGACGCCTGTCTACCCTCTTTCGAATGACGGCCTTTGCCCGACTGATTTGACAACCATCCCTACGGCTCAGTGCTGGTGGACTTGTCAGAAGTGCACCGCCCCTGCTGATGTTACCTTTTGCCCCAAGACCAACACCTGGGGTCTCACCTACGATGGTAAGCAACCCCTCATCTCATATTCACCCCCCTGGAACCCCCCACTGTATCTTTATCTGGTTTTTATCTGCTTCATCTTAATAACCCAATTCATTCTCGACCTTATACACCGACATTATCCTGTCACTGATTCGTAGACGGCCCATCTCCCGATTCCCCTCGTCTTTACGACTACCTTGCGGCCCACAACCAAAAGGCCACACTCTTCATCGTCGGCTCCCGTGCGGTCAGCTACCCCGCGACCTTGCAGCGCGCTTACAAGGAGGGTCACCAGATCGCTATTCACACCTGGTCCCATCCTTCGATGACTAGCTTGTCGAACGAGCAGGTCGTTGCAGAGCTCAAGTGGACGGAGAAGGCCATTTTCAGCATAATTGGTGTCACTCCTCTATACTGGCGTCCTCCTTATGGTGATGTCGATAACCGTGTTCGCGACATTGCTACCCAACTTGGTTACAAGACCTCGATCTGGACCGATGGTTTTGATACCAACGACGTAAGTGTTCCTACGTCTCATTTTCTTCCCTTGGCTTTGTGGTTTTTGAAGAGACGGCGACTTAACACGCGTATCTATCTTATGTTCATAGTGGAACATTCCCGGCGGAACGGCTACTCCACAGTCTGTCATTGCTACCTTCCAGACCTGGCTTGCCAAGATCCCAACTATGAGCACCGGTTTCATCGTACTTGAGCATGACCGTAAGTCTTCATTTAAAGCACTTTATCCCCCTCCTTAAAAATGAGAAAAGGAAAGGCTGCATATTTAACAGATGTACGTCTCGTTTAAATAGTGTTCCCTCAAGAGGTCAACGTCTCGATTACTGGCATCTTGCCCTTGGCCTATGCCGACAAGTCTTTGATCATCGAACCCATCGCCAAATGCGTCGGCGATGCCAAGCCCTACAAGGAAGGTGCCGGCACTTTCGTCCTCGGTGGTTCTGCCAGCAACACCACCGCTACTGTCTCTGGCTCCAGCGGCAGCAGCGGCACTACGACTGGCTCCAGTGGCGCTAGCAGCGGTCCAACCGTCGTTGCGAAACCCAGTAGTGCTCTCAACAATGCTGTTGCTAACAGTGGTCTCTTGATCGCCGGATCTTCGGCTCTCATGGCCATCCTTACTAGCGTTTTTTAAAGTTTTTTTCACATGCATTAAAAAAAGGATAATTCTGTTTGACAATCTTGAAATCCTCGAAAAAAATCCATGTAAAATATTTTAGTGCATTGGCTCAAAACTGAGCGTAAGCCTTTGGTCCGATTTTCAGGGTAAACGAGCTGCACGGATTTCCGCACGGGTAATCTCTTTGACAACCCGGGTTGATTGGCAGTCTTACTTTACAACCCCTGCAGGAAGTCCATGGAAAACACTTGATGTATTTGCCGAAGTTAAAGGCAACCTGAGCGTAAATAACACACCCTCTCGTGAATCAGCCGCCGTGTGAACACAGGAAAGGTATTACTTTGGTCCGATTTTCAGGACATGCGAGTTACATGGATTTCCTACGGGAATTGACTTGCGGAAGAATATAATCTCACCCCTCCCTCTAATCTTACACCCTGTTATTTTAGGTTTCTAAGTGCTTAAGCACCTGACACCCCATTATCGCTGCACTGCGTCGCCCAGGTGTGTCAAGAGTGCAAACTTCTCTCTCTACCAGTGCGCACTTTTGTACACCTCTCTCTCTATACCAGCCCGCACTTTTTTCCTTCTGCCCCGACCACGCGCCACCGTACCCAATACGTAATTGTTAATAGATTGCTCTTGTTCCTATCTCGCATCTAGTCTCATAACCTCAATTCGTTTAAGGATCCGGATCTTTTTAGCCATCGCTTCCTTGATATAGGCTGTAGTTCAGCTCCGTCCTCTGACCAGGTGTGTTACGCTCTTGGCACACCTGGGCGACGCACTAAATTGCTGATTACCAGTAGTGCGGTGATATCGGGGTGTCATACTAGGTCTACATGTAGATTCACATATCAGTTTTCTCGTCGCTGGAGAATCTACCCCTTTCTCCAATCCAATATGAGGCAGGATTGAGCCAGATTTTACTCCGAAGCTGAATGACGAGGTGCCATGGAGAAGAGAAAACAGACAGTCGTTTGTGATCATATTGGAGCAGTATTTTACGATTCAAAATCACTATCGTGGATCTTTGCAAAGGTTTAATGCTAGATTTAGTATGCTATGATGTCGTCAGTGCTTCGCCCAATTTCTACAATATTCTAATGCACTGTTGACACCGATGCAACAGCATATAAACCCTATCTACGCATAGAACTATATAGCAGCATTCGCCCAATAAAATACCCTTTTCACTCTAGATCCCTCGACACCTCAGGTACTCCAATCGTTTGCAAGCATGCCGACGCGTAGGGAATAACCTAGCTTTCACTATCGTGGAAAATGATAAGCAAGGCGAGACCATGCGCTTTCCCGTCTCTACATCTGCGCAATTTTTATATCGATCTACACTCGCTCCACCAAACCGCCATTTTTATTTTACTTATTTTCAGTTGGACATACAACTAGGGGACCTGAATGTTCCAAAGTGAGGGGCGTCAGAGCGCGTTCTCTTTCTACTTTTAGAAACCGGATTAGAAGGTCCGGTGTCAGAAGCAGAAGCAGAGGCAGCTTGCACAGCTTGCCCCTGCCCTTGACCTGCTGCAATCTAGGCAATAGAGCTCAGGATCCGTTGCTCCATGGTCGTGATCAGCGCGCGCTGTTGCTCTTGAAACGCCGTGATTTTGCATGCGCTGTGCATGTTGCTGTTGAGTATTTGCAATGTCCAAGCCCCGCATGAACTCTTGGATAGTTGCGCCAACCACTCTTCCTGAATCAAATGTCATTGAAGTAGCCGAAGTGTTGCGGATGGCCGCTGCCTTATTTCTCGTGCATGCCTCTGCTCCAGTTCTTTGGCGGCAAACGAGCAGCTTGTCGCATTCGCTTCAATTGATCCCTAATCCCTTTCGGCTATTTTTTTTGTTGGCATTGTGTATGTCTGCGCCAACGTCTTGGGTGCGCGTCACGATCGATCTACTCGATCTGCTCGCCTTATCCGACTCTTGTTGTTCTCTGCACTCCCTGTTCAGCTCAATGTCTTCTTTTCTCTCCGCTGCGGAAGAGAGGTTAAGGATACTTCAATTTTGGAAGCTTTATTTTCTTGCTGTGCAATTTTTGAGATTCACAATATGACTAATAGTTTTTTCATTTCGCCTTTTAAGTGCCACAGTCATCTCCAGCAAGTCTGCCAAATCGTAGGTTGAGTTTATGCTACCCAGGACAGTGCCAGTGTATACGCTGTACACTATGATCATGCCCTTTATACATCGAGCTTCGAAGAACTCGACTCTGGATTTCGAGAAAATAATCCCGTAAACACGCAAATCACCAAGATGCTTCGGGGACATATCAGGGTGGTCTTGAATAATTCGGACGAGGGCTACGCAAAGAGCACTCTACAGCTTTTCCAAGTCTCCCTTTTGACCCTTGCGATCCGTATTTCGCTTTCATTCCACAATTAGTAGATCCAGATTATAGGCGCTGTGTCTGAGGATCGTGTCATGCCGCACGATTGGGTCTCGGCAACAGGTACAACGGTTTATTCGAGAATGATGTCATAGTCATAACTATGCTACGCCTAGTTTCTTGAGCATTCCAGCACAACTGTGCCTAGCCACATCCTTCGTATATAAGAGCTCTCCAAACGTAGGATTAGACAGCAATCACTCATCGAATAAACCTCTGATTCCATCCTAGAATCCCTCCGACACCTGACTGTTTGCAGAAAGCAACATCCACATTTAGGGTGGAGTCACTTTTCTTGAGGTGTATGAAGAATTCTTCAAAACACTAGTAAGAGCAGAATGACGGCTTGAAGTAGTTGCGAACGTCGACATATCTTGATGGGATCCAGCTGGTCAGCATTATGGAAGGAATGCTTGAGAAATATGACTGTGTCCAGAATCAATGAGAACAAGAGAGGGATCTTTACTCAGTCTAGCTATCGGACATAGAGGCAGCGTGTAAAATAGGCTATATGCCACAATGTTCGATGATGTGGAGGAGTGTTTGGTGATGTGAAGGAGTGATGCTCTACGCGGAGCGCGTTTCTTTTATACCAGTTATGGTGTTATGTCCATGCAAAGTACCCAAGACGTAAAAGTAGTGATTCTCACCGGCGGACGGCTAACCACGATGAAGGGATCATTTCGCCGGCCGGTGAGTAAAGTTCGCCGGCGGATTCCACATATGCATGTTGATAGCTGATTCACTCACTGAGGTGGTGAATTAAATATACGTGGCCGACTCTTTATTCGCCGGTGATGATCACCGGTGTCCTGCAGAAAATGTACTACAATTCACCGGTGTGGTGTGGTAAACCCACACGGAGTATACACGGGGTATCCAGGTACAAGGAACGGACACAACACCTGATATGATACGATGGGAGGAATAGGTACAGGACACTCATACGATCATACCAGACACGTGCCGCACGTGCAGTTACAGCATGTGCAATTAGAAGGACACGCAATTAGACAAGAGTCAATAGGGTTTGCATTTATAGAGATTTTCTTTGGTCACAGAACGACAGGACCAAATGGTTCCTGGTCTGTTTCCTCACTATCTTATACAAATAAATATCTAATCGGTGTGGTGTGTGGAGCCACATCTCTTTCTCACTCATTTCAATCCCAAAAATATCTCAGTGTGCAGACACTTCTTTTGCGTAATGCAAGGGGACAGCAGGTGTAAGTATAGGATCAGCCTCGTTCTCAAGCGCTGATGTGGCATATAGCCCATTTTACACGCTGTATCTGTGTTCGATAACTAGACTGTCACGAACCGCACCATAGTTCGTAGTGAGGGTGCAAGTGAGAGAGCAAAAAAGAGATCTTGTTTACGTTTGATCTTTTGCTCTGTCGCGTCTCACGGCAGATTAAGGTTTGGTCGTAGCCACATCGTCTTCGCGTTTGATAAAGGCGGCATACTCTCGCACCCGGCACCACCTGGTATCTCTATTAGCCATCCGGATTTACTCTAACACCATTCGGCTTAATAGTCCATGCCTTGTAAAATAGGTATAAATATCTAGTAGCTTTATTATAGAATCCTCAGTCTGCAATAAACACTTACCTTGTCCCTTCCAGTTTTCCTACCTCTTGCCTCCATATCTTTCACCACTTACCTGTCTGTCCTGAGTCCAGACATTAACTTAAGCCGCTGAGCAATAAGTAATTGTTCGGTCGCTGTAATTAAAGATCCCTCTCTTGTTCTCATTGATTCTGGACAGTCATATTCTTCAGCTGGTTCAAGGAGCAGTGGCAGGATCTCGAAGATTTCGAGTCGAAAGTTGGTTCAGAGCTCCTAGTCGCCTATCCGCATTACATCGCCTCGACCAGGACCGAGGATCACCTCACCAGGACTGAGGATCACCCCGCCAGCACTTGTATGAGGAGTGTGCACACCTTACTCTCTACAGAATCCTCGACACCGCAGCCAAGGAAGGAGGAACGGCTGAGGAAGAAGCGGTACGCATATGTCACAGGAATCGCGAGAGAGCTGGCCATCATGGGGATAGCTGATCCAGCCATTCATGATGAAGCGATGCAAACGCTCAACAACCTCTCAATCTCGCTGAAACGGAGACGGGGGCTCATGGAGCTACAGGACGCGTCTGGCAACGAAGCAGGCCTTGGTGTCACCAAAGACCCACTTGTGGTGAAGCCGAAGGGGCGTCCAAGAGCCAAACGTATCAAGAGCAGCAGCGAGATGTCACGACCATTCAAAGAATTCCATCCTGCTGAAACAGACCTTGAACAATAAACGAGTGCTTTTTTTTTGTTTTTTTTTTTTTTTTTTAAACGAGGCCCTGCAGACTATCCCCGTAAGAATATGACGCTCACCTCCCGTGAAAAAAAAGCTCGAATTATTCTTACCTGGATGTGAGAATAACCGGCTTACACCCCTGTGAGATGACAAAACGAGGGACAATTTCACGGGGGAGTGAGATTATATTCTTCTTTGACTTGCATGCTCAACGTGGCAAATGGGTTGTGCCAAACAGACAGTTTCTTTAAAAAAGAAACGAAGCTCCTTGG